ACAATACTTGGATCATTAGCTTTAAATACGGGCATAACATGGGCAATTTTCCAGCCATTTGGATATATACCAGATGATAAGGAATAATTGAAAATGATAGATAATGGTACAGAAATTTCAGTAGATAGTAACTTTAGCATTTTGTGACTAATACCGTCGGGTCCTGATGCTTTGTTTGTATCAAGTATATTGACGATGTCTTCAATTTCTTTAGGTAGTAATATTATTTCATTTAAGACTGAATCAGTTCGCCTCTCAAAAAAGGGTAAAGCTTTATCAAGGTCAGTTTCTAATAATGTACAAACAGAACTGAAATAATTATTCAATAATTCACATTTACTGTTGTTATCATATATAATTTCATTAGTATTATTGTCTAAAAGTGGGGATATGTCAGTATGTTTACTAACTTTTAAAATATTGCGAAGAAGTTTCCAATATGCCTTAGGGTTGTTTTTGCTTTTATCAATAGTTGAATCTATATTTTCATAAAAAAATTTCTTTAGCTCGTTTAACCATGTTGTTTATTTTATTTCTAATATGTTTGTATTTATTTCTATTTGTTTCAGTATTGTTATTAAACATTATCTTTTTTAATCTTTCCCTTTTCCTTATATTGTTTCTGATGATCCCATTCATCCATGGTTTGTCCCCTTCCCGTACTAATATTTCTTTAGATGGTATACACTTTATTATAACCTATGTCATTATTCATAATGCTGGTATGATATTTTTGGAGGAGACCACGAAAATTAAATTATGACAATAAATATTTTCTACTTGCTGATGTTAGATACTTTACTAACTTATTAAGTCCTTTCATATTTTCGACTTTGAGTAACTGAATGAATTTAAACATACTAAGCTTATTTAAATAATATGGCTTCATAGATATGGTAGAACATCTGTATAACACTTACGTTTAATAATAAAACGATATTCGTCTTCTATATCGTTCTCATTACATAAAATACATTTTTTTTCTTCCTTTGTACGTCCCTGTATCGCCCGCGTCCGATTGCTAAATCATGTATACATTACGACATCCACCGGGCAATATACGATAACAAATACGTCTTTGACCACACCCATTGATTTTCTTTCTGTTCTTATAACTTACAATATATACAGTACGGATTTGACGACAAGTAAACTGTGAATATGACATGGTCGTTCACGATGGTGTATGATAAGCAGGTAAGATATTAAAAAAAAGTTAAGGAAAACCATTGCGCATATGGGAAAAACAAAGCATATTATAAATTTCTTAAAATAAATTCTGTAAGAAACAACAGAGTTTGGTGCACCAGAAAATTAATTTTCGGGTTTAGACGTCCGGCAACATAAACATTTTTTGCTACAAAACCTAAATTATCATTTCTCTTAGTCATGCAAATTTTACCTGCCCCTGTCTAACACTTTCGCTGCCATGTCAAATTTCAAAGGTCCCAACGTCACCGTGATTGTGACGTCGTCAGTTGACGTCAAACAAAGATAGTCTCTACGCTGATGAATTTTGACGTAGGCAAATAAAAACGCAAAATCGATGCGTACATTCGATATAACTCTGTGAATCTATTTGTACATCAATTATTGTCTAAATTTTTCAGTATCTTCAGTATTACTGCGTACACCTACTTTAATTGTTGTTTATGATCTACATTTCTTTAGGAATTACATCTAAAATTATTAGACACAATATGTAGAATCGGCACAATATAAAAAAAACTCATCACATGATCATAAACAAGAGAAGTGAACAAGAGGCCCAGAGGGCCTGTATCGCTCACCTGGATCTTTATGGCCAACAGTACTATATCTGTGCATATGTTCTACAGTAGATGCTTAAAGCAATATTACAGATTACGCCATATGGGTTCTGTCCCTCAGTAGTCAGCCCCTCATCTATGCAGTGTTGAATTGAGACTTTCTTATGGTATTTCCAGTTAAATATAATTGATAGCTTTCTTTTAAATCAAGGAAAGAAGATGGTCAAACAATATAGCAGAAAAACCCTTAGTTATAGCTGGACGGATGATCCAGGAGACAGAAGCTTACTTACCCTTTAGATCATAGTTTACAAACACAGATACAACATATTTGAGGCTTGCACAGGTCAACAATATATAGCAACAATTAAATATAAAGATAGGAAAAATTAAGGTACATGCAATTATAAACCATAATCCTAACTCAAAACCAATAATAAAACATTACTGGAGATATACTGATAACAGTTTACTGTAGGCCTATAAACACTGCTTAGCAAATGGGATCAACTTAGAATTTCGTATTTATTTATTCTATAATTATGAAGAATCTTAAATCAAAATGAAGCTCTTGCATTTCTCTTTCCGATCATGTTTTCTGTATTTAAATGCTGTGTATAGAACATGAGTAATTGGCCAACATGTAGTTTTTTCACATTACTTAGCTCAAGCCTCTCAGACCTCCAGGGGCTTGGCCTTATATATTTTTAGGAACAGTGTGACATCACTGTGAAAGGTCTTTATAATTTATTCCAAATTATGCCAAGAAAATTCCCAGCCAGTTCTTTTCTCAAATATTATCAGGCATCATTGAGAACATAATTTGGCATAATATCACTATTACTATCCTAGATATTTGGTTAGTCAGAAAAAGTCGTTTAAAGGTTTTAACACATTTGACATCTGTGACCTTGAATATGAGTCAAGGTGATTTCTTTTTGCAAACTTTCTTGGGCTTGATAAAAGTAACGTACTGGCCAAATATAATGATTCTAGGCTTTTCGGTATTTCATAAGAAGTTGTTTAAAGGTTTAAACACATTTGACCCCTGTGACCTTGAAGACTGGTCAAGATCATTTCTTTTAGCAAACATTGTAGAACACCATAAGAGCAACATAGTAGCCTAATATAATGATTCTAGGCCTTCCGGTATTTTGGAAGAAGTCGTTTAAAGGTTTTAACACATTTGACCTCTGTGACCTCCAATATGGCTCAAGGTAATTTCTTTTTACAAACTTGTTTAAATGAAAAGTTGACGGACGCAAGATGGACGGACGACAGACGACGGACAGACGGCTGACAGACGCTGCGCTATGGCATAAGCTCACTTGGCTCTTTGGGCCAGAGGAGCTAATAATGCGACCATCTCTTCCATAAACCTGTTTCACAATCCAACAATTAGGCAACTCGGTATATTTAAGTGCAAAATTTGTACAAAGTCGGTGTTATGGAACACATGGAAGGTAGACAGCAGAAGAAAGAAAAGAAAAAAAATAAGTTAGGTGTTCCTTCTGTAGTTCTGGTGGGAAAACACGGAACCACAGCACCGCCATATATCAAAAAAATGTATTCCCTCTATGATGACTTTTAATACAACATAATGACGTAATTTTTCGGGTTATGGCGTCAAAAAATGTTTCCAAATGGCTACGAGATGTGACTTTTCCAAGTGTAATAAACACAGAAATAAAAAAGATCATTTTTGACAAACCTGCATCGGTTGCTGGAACTATACGTAGTATTAAAATTGGCCATGTGGCACATAACTCGTTAAAACAATCCTGTAGAAAGCATGTGATAGATTCTTACAGCAGCCACTTAACCCACATAGGTTGTCACCATTGTGTAGTGACTCAGGTGTCGACTTGAAGTGGTGTATATCATCGTGGATGACGTCATCAGTATTGAAGGTTACTGTAGCCAGATGGCTTATAGGGAAATGGTGTTCCATCAAATTATAAAAAAAATATAGCAGAAACAAAATCAATTATTGGTTTCATTAAAAGTTATACATGTAACGTTGATCTAACATTTATTATCAGACCTAATATGTATCGTTAGTTAATAAGATTTACACTGATGTGGCAAGACATTGAAGACTATAAGTTGGTGAAGTAGGATTACTTTACAAACAGGAAGATTTCATCACATTAAATTACGCAGTATACAATTGTATGTGTATCTATTTCTATATTAGTATTATCAATGTACATATTCCTTTATAAAGTTAGTATGTATGATTTACGGATTGTATTGGTCAGCAATAATTTAGCTAACATCAGCGTAAATTCAGGATTCAAGATACATGGGTTAAGCGGGGTTTGATCAACGGTCATCTTTGGCAGTGGAGTTAAATAGATGACAGATATTGAGGTTTGTCAGAGAAGGCCGGGGAGCGTTGGAGAAAGGAACACCATCTCTCACAAACTAAGACTCTGCTTGTACATAACTAAACTACATGAAAGAAGACATAACGTCTTTGTGCTTATACTCAATCAGGCCACATTACCCTTTCTGTGTATGACGTCATTAAAATGAGTGTAAAGAACCAGTACGGAATTATCTCTCCATCAATTCTCTACAATTTTTTTTCATGGACTTCAGTGGCATCTAGACTCTAGAACACAGGCACTCAGAAGCTCACTTATATCCGTTTTTCAAAATCATAAATGGGCTTATCTCAACCCTATACAACCATAGTATGTGTCCAACACAACCCATACAAACAGCCACTCTTCTTCCTAAAGAAGCCAAACCATTTATACAGAAATCTGCACCATGCATGATTCAGACCAAACTGGAACAGAATCCTGCCATTCCTATTTGACCTGGCCTTGTCTGTCGCATAATGTGTCGTGTGAGAGGTGAGTGATGTGTAATGGAAACTTAGTGCATATCAGAAAGTTTCATTTGACATCAGTTACTTTTGAGAGTTTAGCTTAACAATTCTAATGCTAGAAATGCAAAACCAATAGCATTCTTTTGTTTCCATCTCATAGGAAAAAATTAAACTGGCCTTCATCTTTGACATTCAATAATGACCTTTGTAACATACTTTTCAGATGCCATTAATGTTGAAATTCACCAAATGAAAAAGTTCCACATCGTCAGTGTTTGAGTATATCCAGCATGTCCAAATACACCAAAATGAATTGTTGTTATTTGTTGTTTGTGTTATCAGTACTCCCAGTACTTTAAATCTTCTATAAAACAGTACAACAAACACTGAAATTATCAATTACTATTTTAATGATGCATCTATATAGTGTATATCTAGTAGCTGTAACAAATTTTCACATTCTATGGCAGAGGTTTAGATTTCATAACGGTTTCAAATTGCATTAAAAGTAAAGTCAAATAAGGAAAAATGACAATTCCATAAATATATATATAGGTTATACAAAATGATAGTAGTACCTATTGCAGCAAGAGGACTAGATTAAACCTGATGATGTGCAGATGTAAAGCTGAATTTTGAAATCATGAAGTCATTTGACCGACATGGGTAGTGTGCATCTGTGACATCACAAGTTCAATGCTGTTAAAACAGCCCTATAGATATATACTGGGAAACGTCTATATTGCATTTGATATATGAACTTTTTAGCGACCTTTGTGATATATTTCATTGACATTTACTTAAAAGTTAAATTTAAAGTGACACATATACACAGACATGACTTTTTACATGTTAAATTATGAAATGAGCTCCTACTGAGCAGACAAGCAATATACTTGAAGCACTTGTCCCACACAGATGCTATCTAAATCAGTCTGTGTAAGGATTGCACAATGTCAATTTGTTATTATGATATGAATATAATACATCATACAATTTATCATTAACGAAAAAAAACCCAGCAATACTGAAGTTATTTTGTAAATATTTCACCGACTGTATATAACTTTTAAATATAAAAAATCTGGCACCAAATATTGCTGTTAAACAACATGAAGTGGAATAACAGTTCTCACTGTAGAATAAATAAAATGATTACAAACTAACTTCTCATATGAAGTAAAGAAACTCATCTTTGATCAACAACATTGAGAGTTCTTCTGTTTTATTTTTCTGAAAACATTTTTTATTTGACAAACTTCTCATCATTGCTGAGAAAGTGTATTGAATGCCTCCAGACCTCAACCAACCTCAAAATCTGAAAATTCTGGCAAATTTCATGCTTGGATATATCTGTATATACCATCTACACAACGTTATTGTCAGCAATATCATTCTTCCTCAAAACTGAAAAATTCATTTTCAATCTGACGTTGGATGCCATGACTGCTCCAGATCATGTTTATTCTTTCAACGGTGACTGCTTTAGTCATTGAACTTGTGACATCACAGCTGATAGAGTCCCATTCAGCACGAGTAATGTTTATGCTGTTAAGTAGTAGAAGGACAGGCAAAACTTTTACTTTCATACATGAATAATTTTGATGCAGTTTTCAACCCTTGTTTTCAGATCATATAGAATAATAATACATTTACATTAATTATATTTTCATTCTGGACACATTTTAAAGTAAGAAGAGACTCAGATGCCTTAATAGTCATCTGACAGCTGACATCTGTAACAGCAGTAATGGTAGTGGGAACAATTATTAAATGTTTCTGAATATTATCACTCTAATTCATACTAGTTTCTTAACTCTCCCTCATAGTTTCAGCTCAATAGCATGTGATACTAGAGGGGAAGTTGTAAAAAGTTTGCAGATGGCAGTCATGGCTGGACCATATGTGGATCATTTCAGGCAAGTTTCAGCCAAACCCCATGGGTGGAACTTTAGAAGAAGTTCAAAATAGGTACAGTATTGTTAAGGAAAAGTATGATTTTCAAATATATTTTCATGATGGCCACATTGAACTTTTGAAGGGACTTAAAAATAACGCCTGGCCAGCATCCTTACCATCCTCACCAATTTTCAGCTCAATGGCACGAAGGGAAATAAAGAAATTAAAATATGGATCCCAGATTGACACTAAAAATATCAACATAATTGCAACAAGCTTTAATAACAATATTCCAAGCTTTACTACACTAAATGAGGTCACTCGTATCTCCAGGATTTGGTATATAACAGCCACAAGACAGGAAGCTCTGTGTACATTTAAGCAATAAATTAATAGATCATCATGAAAAATGCATGCAAGAGATTTAGCTGTAAAATAAACCACTATAACATATAATACATTCTCCCTGCCAATCAAATGGAAAACATTATGTGTGCTAATTCATCAAGGTATAAACGTGATAACTTAAAAACAGTCATATTTTGTATTGCACATTTTACCATGTGAACACTGACATTTTTGGTTACATTTCATTTCACTAATACATGTATCATCATGCTGAGAGATGATTTTTATTTTTTTACTGGGCAAATCATATAGAGAACCATGAGTTCACAAATCACAAAAAAAAACAAGCATTTGGATAATTTGCAAAAACCAAAACTGCTTTAACTACAACCAGAAAGCAAAAAATAAGACTTGTCTGATACTAAGATGTTTTCAGACAACAACATGCATTGTTTTAAAAACAAACTGTTTCCACAACACGAGGTATAATATTAAAGGTGGTGTGTAATACATTTCATCAATCTAAGATCAGGAAATGTCACCGTTTATGCTGAAATTCATTGCGTAATTGACATCCATCTGTTTAGAACTATTACTGAGCTCTGGAGTTCCTTTTGAACATTGTGTAGTCTGCTCATTTACCATTTCATCCTCACTTTCGCTCTCCAGAGCTTTACTTAACACTTCTATATCAGAATCAGATTGCATGTCTTCTTGTTCCCTGTTCTCATTACATTTAGTCTCACTGTTATGTTTTAAATACTGTGTAGTAACTGTTTCGCCTACGGCTGCACTGGTGTCAATATTGTTTTGGTCGTCTTTCCACTGTCCTGTTGAGTTTTCAGCATCCACCACCACTGACAGTGGAGGGAATGAACTGAACTCCTCCTGATCTGTCAATGATGAGCTGTTGCTATCTGTGAATAAGTCGACACTGCTGTCACTTGTAACACTATTTTGATCCTCAGTTGATTCATCCTGTGTTCTCAGGTCCGACTTCGTGTCCAACACTGCATTCTTGTTAAAATCTCTGTCATACAAATAGATGCTATTATCAATCATATCGTAGTTTTGTCAGTGCAAAAGAAACACTAGATGTAACACTAACTTTGTCAGTGTAGACACCAGGTGTAACACTAACTTTGTCAGTGTAAACACCAGGTGTAACACTAACTTTGTCAGTGTAAACACCAGGTGTAACACAAACAATATACTCAATCATTTACTACCTTTTTTCCATGGAAAATTCAACACCAGGTGTAACACACAGACACCATAACCAATCAATTACCACTTTTGTCAGTGTAAAAGTTCAGACCAGGTGTAACACTAGCATTGTCAGCATAAAAGTCAATATCTGGTGTAACACAGATACATTATAACCAATCATTTACCAGCTTTGTCAGTGTAACAGTCAACACTAGTGTAACACACAGACATTGAAACCAATCATTTACCAGCTTTGTCAGTGTAACAGTCAACACTAGGTGTAACACACAGACATTGAAACCAATCATTTACCAGCTTTGTCAGTTTAAAAGTCAACACTAGGTGTAACACACAGACATTGAAACCAATCATTTACCAGCTTTGTCAGTGTAACAGTCAACACTAGGTGTAACACACAGACACCATAACCAATCATTTACCAGCTTTGTCAGTGTAACAGTCAACACTAGGTGTAACACACAGACACCATAACCAATCATTTACCAGCTTTGTCAGTGTAACAGTCAACACTAGGTGTAACACACAGACATTGAAACCAATCATTTACCAGCTTTGTCAGTGTAACAGTCAACACTAGGTGTAACACACAGACATTATAACCAATCATTTCCCAGCTTTGTCAGTGTAACAGTCAACACCAGGTGTAACACACAGACACCATTACCAATCACTTACCAGCTTTGTCAGTGTAACAGTCAACACTAGATGTAAACACACATGCATTGAAAAGCAATCATTTACCAATTTGTCAGTGTAACAGTAAATTAACACACATCACACAATCATTTACCAGTGTAAAGTCAACACAGGTGTAACACACAGACATTGAAACCAATCATTTACCAGCTTTGCCATAAATGCACTATGTAACACACAGGGGCCATTTTGCCATCCATGACATCATCGATAACACACAGACATTGAAACCAATCATTTACCAGCTTTGTATGTAACAGGTGCAATAGGTGTAACACACAGACATGAAACAGTTTTACAGCTGTCAGTGTAATCTAGATCAAATCAAGGTAACACACAGAACAAACACAGATTTACTTTGTCAGTGTAACAGATCAACATCAGGTGTAACACACAGACATTATAACAAACACAGCTTTGTCAGAGTAATCTAGATCAAATCAGGTGTAACACACAGTTTAACAAACACCAGAATTGTCAGTGCTAAAGTAATCTAGATCAAACAAATAAATTGTAAAACAAACAAATTTTCTTGTGGAGTAAATTAAACATCACACAATCATTAGGAAGTACATGTAATACCTGCAGTTTTCCTTGATTCCTCCACTTTGCCATAAATGCTCTATGACATCAGGGGCCATTTTGCCATCCATGACATCATCGATATCCTTACAGGTGAGGTCTGACTGTATGAACAGGTGCAATAGGGCATCGGACATGAACAGTTTTACCTCCAGTAATCTAGATCAAATCAAGGTAAATTAGTTTAACAAACACAGATTTACTTCGAGTAATCTAGATCAAATCAAGGTAAATTAGTTTAACAAACACAGAATTACTTCGAGTAATCTAGATCAAATCAAGGTAAATAAGTTTAACAAACATAGAATTTCTTCGAGTAATCTAGATCAAATCAAGGTAAATTAGTTTAACAAACACAGATTTACTTCGAGTAATCTAGATCAAATCAAGGTAAATAAGTTTAACAAACATAGAATTTCTTCTAGTAATCTAGATCAAACAACAACATCAGTGGGACTGATTTTATTGGACACAAATTTTAGCTACAATTCTGTAGTTCACGGGTTCTGGGCCCTTGATTTGGTTCACTGCACATCCTCTTAGTATGATCAATGCTTACACAAAGTTTCATTATACTAACTTAAATGAAAGCAAGGTTAAGTAACAAAGGTCAATAACTCATAAACAGGTTACAGGCCCTGAAGTTGGTATAATGCACAGTGTCTTAGTATGACCAATGCTGACACCAAGTTTCATTATACTTACTGAAATTAAAGCAAGGTTAAGCTATGGATATAAGTTTTAACAAAGGCCAATAACTGATAAAGGGGTTACAGGCCCTGAAGTTATATACTGACCAATGCTATAATCAAGTCTTATTATCCTAGTTTATATGCAAGCCATGTTATGTTCTGGACATGAATTTTAAAACAAAAATGGCAATGACTAAGGGGTTGTTGGCCCTGAAATTGGTACACTGCACATTTTCTTAGTATGACCAATGTTTACAAAAAGTTTCGTTAGTTTTATTGAAGCAATTTATAGCTATGTTTGGTACACAAAATCTCAACAAAGTGCAATAACTCTGTAATGATCTTCCTAAACTTTAGTAATCTGAACAACCATAGAAAAGTATTACATAATCTAATGAAAAACTTACATTTAAAGAAATTTCCTTCAATTATCTAATGATTTGCCTGAGATCAATTTTTAGTTAAGCGAAAATTCCAAACAGCAGGCAAAGAAAGTGCTAAAGCCATATTTTCGATCACAATCACCTTTAAGGGTTATTAGATTGATGCAGAAAAGGTATCCAGATGAGGAGAGATTGAGTAAACAGTAGATCCTGAGAGTTGTGAAAAGTTTGAGATAATGGAACCGTTTGAAACAATGGACACAAATGATATTGATGGCAGACCAAGGACAGTAAGAAAGGAAGTAATAATACAGCAGGTGTGGAAGATCGTTAAAGAGATACCACATAAATCACGTGTAATGTTACACACACTGCTAGCTGCACAAGTGTACACAGAATTTTAGGATTTGATCTCTATTTAGGTCCATATAAAATTTACGTAATGCAGCATCTTATGCAAAGTGACATTGACAGCAGGACTATGTCTGCAAGATGGATTCAAGACAACATCGTCATTGTTGATGATATTTGGTTTTCCTATCCGATTTTATGTAAAAGTTATTGCAACAATTAAAATAATGCTGGATGTTGTTGGAAATTTGAACTGGAAAAATGCCCTGCATCAATACACTAGTTACCTTTATATAGTGACATTGAAACAGTGAATAGTAAATGGTACCGAAACATTTTTAACAATTCCAGACACACTTGCTCAGAAGACACATTCATGGAGGGGACACTTGGCTTGAGCAGAACAGAGTGACACCCCACACAGCCAGAGTTGTTCTCAGTTGGTTGGATAAAAGATTTGGTTAGAAGCTGATTTCCTTTAAAACAGCTAACATATGGCCTCATAACTCCTCAGACTTCAGCCCTATTAATTTTTTATGGGATTTTTAAAAGATGCTGTATACAATACACATCCAAATTCTTTATCTGAATTTAAGTTGGCAATTAATTGTAAGATTTCTGTTGAGCTATGCTGCTGTAGTTTACTTGCTTTTTTTCATGAAACTGTCTGGAAATTTGTCTTATAAAACTTTAATATATATGGTAATATATCAAATTCTCACAATGCTATCAATGTTTTCCTATCCGATTTTATGTAAAAGTTATTGTAACAAATAAAATAATGCTGGATGTTGTTGGATATTATGAGATGCCCTGCATCAATACACTAGTTATTTATATCTAGCTTTAATGTAACCATAAAGGGATCCCAAACAAGTATAAATTTTATCTAGTTTTAACATATATTTGTGAAAAGTTACTGGTTTGTAATAATCAACATTTGGAGTAATGAATATTTATCCCAATAATTTGAATGGTTTCATATCAATATCAATGTTCACTGATGATGTCTATAGGCAGAGGGAAGTACTTATTTTACTTGAATGAGGAAACTGAAGATGTGACCAGTCACATGATAAACTTATCTCTTATTACAAATATATCTTAAATGTAAGCAATAGTGTAGCAGGCAGACATCTCACAAATGATCTTGTTTCTCTGAATTACCCTTAACTACCAGCAAAATTTTCTACTTAAACTAAACATGAACCTATAAAATAAAATTGAAGGATCAAATTAAGTTAAAAGGCAGTAATTGATAAGACATGGTCATACATCTTGAATATATATTCATGGTTAGAATGGCTGTTCCTGGTAGGAAATACATTTAGCAGTGATATAATTGAGTTGTATATGTATATATAAGATTATAATAATCTAGTCTTTTTCTGAGGTACAGGAATGTCAGTTTCAGAGTTATAGGGTTGTCTGTTTCAGAGATACAGGATTATCAGTTTCTGAGGTACAGGATTATCAGTTTCAGACGTACAGGATTATCAGTTTCAGAGGTACAGGATTATCAGTTTCAGAGGTACAGGATTATCAGTTTTGAGGTACAGGATTATCAGTGTCTGAGGTACAGGATTGTCAGTTTCAGAGGTACAGGATTATCAGTTTCAGAGGTACAGGATTATCAGTTTCTGAGGTACAGGATTATCAGTGTCAAAGGTACAGGATTATCAGTTCCAGACGTACAGGATTATCAGTTTCTGTGGTACAGGATTGTCAGATTCAGAGGTACAGGATTATCAGTTTCAGAGGTACAGGATTATCAGTTTCAGAGGTACAGGATTATCAGTTTCAGAGGTAAAGGATTATCAGTGTCAAAGGTACAGGATTATCAGTTTCTGAGGTACAGGATTGTCAGTTTCTGAGGTACAGGATTATCAGTTCCAGACGTACAGGATTATCAGTTTCTGAGGTACAGGATTATCAGTTTCTGAGGTACAGGATTATCAGTTTCAGACGTACAGGATTATCAGTTTCTGAGGTACAGGATTATCAGTTTCAGAGGTACAGGATTATCAGTTTCAGATGTACAGGATTATCAGTTTCTGAGGTACAGGATTATCAGTTTCTGAGGTACAGGATTGTCAGTTTCAGAGGTACAGGATTGTCAGTGTCAAAGGTACAGGATTAGTAGATGTACCAGTGGAAATATTAGTTAACAAGAAAATACTCTAGATCATTCATTGTTATAAACTTGTGACTTTCTTATAAATCTATGACTTAGTTGACAAGGAAATTCTCCAGAACTTTCATTGTTACTAACCTGTGACTGACTTATTAACTTGTGACTTACTTGACAAGGAAGTTCTCCAGACCCTTCATTCTAAATGCTACAAATTCTGCATCAAACCGATCCCCGAAGATTTTCTTAGGTGGAAGTGGTGGTGGTTTTCTATAATGCAAATATATGTTGTGTTATTTTTATACCTACACAATGTAATTAAATGTTTAGGTAATTGCAACAACAACAAGTTTTAACAAAAGGCAATAACTCTGTAATTAAGGACTTATGGTGTCCAATATTGGTACACAGAAAATAGTCTTAGTTGACTAAATGGTATACCAAGTTTCATTATTCTTGTTCAAGTGTAAACAAAGTTATGCTCGGGACATAAAATCTTACTGAAGGGCAATAACCCTTACATCAAAGAGTCATTGGCCCTGAATTTGAACATTGCACATCACCTTAATATATCCAATGTATACAGCAAGTTTCATGCAACTTGCTTCACTGTGAGCAAAATTATGCTCTAAACACAAAATGATGGATCGACAGAAAAGCTGATTCTGGTTTCCCCCCACCCCCACCCTCATTTTCATTGCAGGGATATGATATGAAACATTCATAATAAGACAGTAAATTTTCTAAACATGCCATATCGCTGCATGACGTCACCAATACTTTCCCAATGCTAACTAATGCAATACATTGATAATTAATATTTCCCATGACAAGGGGGATTCCATAAAAAGCAGCTTTAGCTAACAGATGAATGTAATATTTCGTATTGTGCATTTAAAATACTTAAAGTTGTACATATTTCATGGTCCGAAAATTGCTTGTATAATTTTGACAAGATTCAACAAGAGGCATGTCTGACTTTTAAACATGGGAAATCTATGTACTCACAGCAATGGATGGTGCCGGCGCAGTCTCTTTCTTAGCCATTCAAATTCTGAATATCGTCTGCGAGTCAGAGATTGTGACAAACTGAAGGCACAATTGGATGTCTGAAAATAGAACATCAACAAGACACCTGTATTATTCACCTCTATGTATGGCATGACAGAAGAATAGAAATATCTTTGATTTTTGCTTCCTAAATGAACATCAACACAGCTTAAACAGCTTAGTTTGGAGATTTTCACTTTTTGAATGCATCCTCAAATTCATGCTCACATCCCAGAAGTACTACAGGCAAAAGTAAATGTTTTATTTAATACTGGGATTTTGAGACATGTTCTGTAAGAAAAAATATTATAGACAGATACAAAAAAATGGTCAAATGGGAAAACAGATATGTATGTAGATATTTAAAATTCTTTTCCCTTTAGTTTTGATGAAGCAATTTCAACCATGTACAGTCAAGTGAGCCATATAGACTCAATGATGCTTCAGACACAATGTGGGTGAAATCAAAATTTATATCTTACATAAAACATCCACATAAAACAACATTTTAATGTATACTTACTTTGATGGCAATCTCATAAGTAATATAGCGTCCATTGTCCCAGGTGTTATGTGTTACAGGATTCCTCACACAAACATCCAAAGAGGACTGTAAATATCAAATTACTATGTATTAATTCAAATACCATAATTTCTTACTGTCTGTGGGTATTTCATTTCTTCACTTTGGGAGGTGCTTTTACAATTTTCTGTGATGTAATTTATGTACTGTCCATGAGGTGTACATTTTAAAATGAGATTAATCATATGTCTTTCTCATGGTTTTTTTTTAACATTAGTAGCCAGTGAGGATAATACTTTATATTACCCATGGGTTGTTAATGCATTTTCAATATAGGGTATATCATCTTTTAAAAGGTCTCATGAAAAATTAATTGTCCATCTCTTGAAACCCAAGGTGGGTAAAATTGAGTGGCTAAGTGGAAAGGCACTCCCTTTCGACAAGGCATCAATAGTCGATTCCTGGAATGGAAGTAATAAAGGTATGGGGTCATCTGTCCACCACCTAAGTTTTCCATGTGTAATCCAGTTTCCACCTAACAAGAGTGATTAATATAAGTTGGAACAATTTGTATGAGCTATGTCTTATAAGGATTCTGCACAAGTCATACCTGGTGCTAACACTGTGCGATACATGTCTTGTAATGATACTGTGTGAGATAAACCTGGTGATGATACTGTGTGAGATGTGCCTGGTAATGATATTGTGTGAGATGTGCCTGGTGATGATATTGTGTGAGATGTGCCTGGTGATATTGTGAGATGTGCCTGGTGATGATACTGTATGAGATGTGTCCGGTGATGGTACTGTGTGAGATATGCTTGGTGATGATACTGTGTGAGATGTGCCTGGTGATGATACTGTGTGAGACGTGCCTGGTGATGATACTGTGTGAGATGTGTCTGGTGATGATATTGTATGAGATGTGCCTGGTGATGATACTGTAGGAGATGTGCCTGGTGATGATACTGTGTGAGATATGCCTGGTGACGATATTGTGTGAGATGTGCCTGGTGATGATATTGTGTGAGATATGCCTGGTGATGATACTGTGTGAGAGGTGCCTGGTGATGATACTGTGTGAGATGTGCCTGGTGATATTGTGAGATGTGCCTGGTGATGATACTGTGTGAGAGGTGCCTGGTGATGATACTGTGTGAGAGGTGCCTGGTGATGATACTGTGTGAGACTTGCATGGTTATGATATTGTGTTAGATGTGCCTGGTGATGATACTGTGTGAGACTTGCCAGGTGATGATACTGTGTGAGATGTGCCTGGTGATATTGTGAGATGTGCCTGGTTATGATATTGTGTGAGATGTGCCTGGTGATGATACTGTGTGAGACTTGCCAGGTGATGATACTGTGTGAGATGTGCCTGGTGATATTGTGAGATTTGCCTGGTGATGATATTGTGTGAGAGGTGCCTGGTGATGATACTGTGTGAGATGTGCCTGGTGATATTGTGAGATGTGCCTGGTGATGATACTGTGTGAGATGTGCCTGGTGATGATACTGTGTGAGAGGTGCCTGGTCATGATACTGTGTGAGACTTGCCTGGTGATGATACTGTATGAGATGTGCCTGGTGATGATACTGTGTGAGATGTACCTGGTGATATTGTGAGATGTGCCTGGTGATGATACTGTGTGAGATGTGCCTGGTGATGATACTTTATGAGATGTGCCTGGTGATGATACTGTGTGAGATGTGCCTGGTGATGATACTGTGTGAGATGTGCCTGGTGATGATAGTGTGTGAGATGTGCTTGGTGATATTGTGAGATGTGCCTGGTGATGATACTGTGTGAGATGTGCCTGGTGATGATACTGTGTGAGAGGTGCCTGGTGATGGTACTGTGTGAGATGTGCCTGATGATGATACTGTGTGACATTTGCCTGGTGATGATACTGTGTGAGATGTGCCTGGTGATGATACTATGTGAGATGTACCTGGTGATGATATTGTGTGAGATGTGCCTGGTGATGATACTGTGTGAGATGTGCCTGGTGATATTGTGAGATGTGCCTGGTTATGATATTGTGTGAGATGTGCCTGGTGATGATACTGTGTGAGACTTGCCAGGTGATGATATTGTGTGAGACGTGCCTGGTGATGATACTGTGTGAGATGTGCCTGGTCATGATACTGTACGAGACTTGCCTGGTGATGATATTGTGTGAGATATGCCTGGTGATGATACTGTGTGTGATGTACCTGGTGATGATACTCTATGAGATGTGCCTGGTGATGATACTGTGTGAGATGTGCCTGGTCATGATACTGTACGAGACTTGCCTGGTGATGATATTGTGTGAGATATGCCTGGTGATGATACTGTGTGAGATGTGCCTGGTGATGATACTCTATGAGATGTGCCTGGTGATGATACTGTACGAGCCTTGCCTGGTGATGATACTTTATGAGATGTGCCTGGTGATGAAATTGTGTGAGATGTGCCTGGTGATGATATTGTGTGAGATGTGCCTGGTCATGATACTGTGTGAGAAGTGCCTGGTGATGATACTGTGTGAGATTTGCCTGGTGATGCTACTGTGTGAGATGTACCTGGTGATGATACTGTGTGAGATGTGCCTGGTGATGATACTGTGTGAGATTTGCCTGGTGATGCTTCTGTGTGAGATGTACTTGGTGATGATACTGTGTGAGATCCTGGTGATGCTACTGTGTGAGATGTACCTGGTGATGATACTGTGTGAGATGTGCCTGGTGATGATACTGTGTGAGATGTGCCTGGTGATGATACTGTGTGAGATCCTGGTGATGCTACTGTGCGAGATGTACCTGGTGATGATACTGTGTGAGATGTGCCTGGTGATGATACTGTGTGAGATGTGCCTGGTGATAATACTGTGTGAGATGTTGTTTAACAGCTTAATTTTCAAAACTTGGGATTGATTCCTGTAGCATAAGTTTGATCACCTCCATAAGAAATTATATATAGTCATAAAGCGGGAATTTCATCATATTCTTTTTATATTCTGAGTCAAACAAGGTTCTCAAAGGAGTGAAGCTAGATATTGGGGATGATTTTGCGTCTTCATAACAAGAGAAATTTTATACATTAACAACATTTAGGTCTTGTCAGACACAGATCATAGGAAACATGGTATGATTAATGATAACATCATGAAACTAAAGCCAAATAACAGGACTGATTTTGACAGGTATAATTGGGATTCATCATGTTGACAGTAGTTCAAAATGCTGAGGTTACAAATATCAATTCCATTTCCAAGCCATCTCCCAAGGACGGATAGCCAACCAATGCTGATTGGCCCAAAGTCAAACCTGGTAGTATTGTATACCTCAGCTCCCTCTTAGATCTTCTGTGTTATTTTGTAAACCCATCATGGCCTAGCTGTGCAGAACTTTGTTATTTCCAATAAATTTGATATCAATGAGGAATTAGGATCAGAGCGATTTTTTTTACACAAGTTAAAGCTCTTAAATCAACATTTTGCCAGTTCAACATTCCAACCTAACATCCCCAAACCAATCCAACATGTTCCCTCTATTTTGACTGTCAGGTGGTATGGGCACCCAAAGAATTTTCTAACTACAATAGAATTTGATAGTAAAACACAAAGAGGCACAGGAGTCCAACGTCCTGTGGGTGGTACCGGTTAGTATATATATCTGTAGAGGAATCCTAGGTGGATACTGGAGTATTCTAGTACAGCTCCATAGACAATAGGTAATAACAAGCAGATAAAGGATGGAGCACCAACACCAGGGATTCTGTAACATAAATTTTTGGAATCCCTGGTAATGATGCTCCATCGTATAGCCAACAAAATTTCTTTGATATCCATTTCTCCTTACAATAAATGGTTATTTGTTTTTATTTTTTGTCAAATGGTGAAGTAAGTACTTTTGCTTTAGGTTTCATATATCATTTTTATGATCAATTTGAAAAGAAATAATAATTTGGAAACAAGAGGCCCCCGGGTCATCTGATTATAAAAACATATGTATGATATATGCTTAATGGACCTGCATCCCCCTGATTGCTCACCTGTTCTGTAGCTCACAAAGACGATCTTTTCAGTTCATTTAGTCAATTTCTGCAAACTTGAAATCTTATTCCTCATATACATGCTGCTAAAAATACCAACAAAATACCATAACCCACTACCTATTGCTTGTTGATAAAAGAAATGTTCAGTTCTGAACACATTCTGAACACATTCGACCCAGTGACATTGAAAGTGGGTAAAGGTAAATCATTTGAATAAATTGTTACAATAGAATTTACCTTTTGGTTATTAAGAATAAGTTTCTTTAAAGTCTTCAAAATATATTTCACAAATTAAACAGCATCTGAATCATAAGCTTTCAGTTTAATTGTGAATGAATGATTCACCCTAAAGTGACTTTTTCAAAGAATGAAGAAAATGAAAGTTTGATGACCCTTTTTCATGTAGTGTCATATTACACACTTGAATGCACTAATTGATTTCCTGTAATACATATATTTATAGAAAAGAAACAAAAACAAATTGAAATTCCAGAATGCACTTTTACTTTCTGTTTTCTTTCGTTTTTGCTCTTACTGATATGAAATATGAACATTCCTTGAAAATTCCAATAGTGATAATAATCTTTAGCTGCCAAACCAAAGATGGTTGTCTAGCAGCTATTTTGTTTTTCTGATCAGTCCCAAAATAAAACAGGCACACCTAGGAACCAAGGAGAGCCTACATATGAGATTTGAGAGAGATCAAGAAATAGCTATCACAAAAATTGGTTACAGACAGATGGATGGATGGATGGACCACAGACGCTGGGCAGGTTTGAGAAGCCCAACATCTGATTGGCTATAAACTTGAATTTTACTTAAATAACAATCTTTAACACCATCAGCTTTGTATTAAGCCTCATGAATCAGTAACACTCTAAATTAAAAAAATACTGACAATTATGTCATATTATTTCTATTTTAAATTATATAGTTTAAACAATTCCAAGCTCTGTTTATCAATTACCAATAACTGTAGCACCCAATGAACTGCTTATTTCTGAATATGCTTATATTAATCAATACCAAACTTATTGTAAAAAATAAAGACAAACACAATACTGTAAACATTCCTTATCAAAATAGGTTTTACTTTCATTAATAATATCTAGTAGATCAGAGTTGCCAAACTAAGTTAACATTATAGGACTGTTTTAACAGCAAGACATGTCCACATCAGATGACATATCATCTGACAATCCGACACATTCATTATGTCAAATTCACAGTCGACATACTGTAGCCACTTAACTAGAAATCTGTGATCGTAAACAAATTACAGTTTCAATATCAATTTAATTTAACTTTTGACATACTTACCATTATTTTCGCCTTTTGTGTTTCTAATCAACTGGAGCTTCCTGAAGCATTGAAAAACCCATACTCCAGCCTGATCACATGACTAAGGATGTAAATAATTCAGGGTCGCTACATTGCTTGTTTTAGTGCCAGCAGTCAAACATTCTAATGACTCGCAATGCTTCATCGCATATCCAACGCTTGAAAACATAAAATCATACGAAAAAAAATCATACACAAAATAATAACAAAATAAAAGAAGAAACAGAATGGATAAAAGTACCATCACTCTTTACATGGTTATTTCAATAACAATAAATACCGATTGGAACAGTTCATGTGATCTGGAATTATTTTAGTACAACCGGAAGTACTTGTACCTGATATTAGACCTGAAATGCACAGTTATGGAATTTCCTGTCAAGCATAAATCAATTAACTTAAATTTCCATCAATTTCACTCATACTTTACAGCATAATGCTCCCGGAAATATGTGAGTGCATCGACCCCACTTTTTATAATGAAATTCTGAAATCTAATGATATTCAGCAAGTTAGTTTCGGACAGGTAAGGATGGACCTCACAAACTGCACGTACGAAATATTCCGCTGTCCAGTCTCGGTCCTGATCTGTATATTGTAGGTTAAACCGGTCCAACCGTATCAACTGCCTACGCGAAAGCGCCCTAACTTTCAGACTGAGGACTTCAGTTGGGCACAACTATCGTTTACGGGCACTTTTGCGTAAGCAGTAGAAATGGTTGGACCGGATTTAAAAATCTGACACATGTCTTACTGAACACAATTTTGAATAATTTAATTAACTCACATATTAACTTTAAATTGTTCATTCGTCCCTTTGTAATAGTTAAACTCACATATCAACTTTTAATAGTTTAGCATCAATCAAGTTGGGTTTTTTTTTTCTGTCGTAACAACAGACCGATCAGTGACTGTGGGTCATTAGTGACGTGGTTGTGCTGTACCGTTATTCACGTATGCGCCTTTTGGCAATCCATGAAGATCTCTGAATCCCTTTTGTGGAAATCACGTGTTTGAAAATTTCAAATTGTTAAAAAAAACTTTTAGAAATAGAAATGTTGACCTTCACCTTGGAACGGAGACAATGGCGTAGCTGGCCTGTAACATAGGGACATGCGAATTTTGTTTCTTTGGGCTATGTGATGCTGGGAGTGCTTGGTGCTCGTTAGTTTGCCTGTTGGTTCCGTTGTTGTATACCTTGCTCTTATTTGAGAACGCGACATTACTTACACGAACTGAACAAGATTTACATGTCGAACACATGTCGTCGATGAAGCATCAGACGCTTACTCTTCTAGAGCACATGGTCTTATTCTCCTTGTACTTTTTCAGGAGTTCCTGTGTAAATCTTTGCTTTATCGTTATTTTTGTTTTATTGCAGTTCTTTGTTGTTTATGTTTCTATCCTGGTTGTAAGTTTATTACAGAATGAAACAGTCACGCTGTGCTTTCTTTTTCGTTTTAGAAGAATGTAAAATTGTATCACCATTTTTTCATTTGTATTATTAATCACGGACTTATAAATATTCGAAGCCCTAAGATTAATAGCGTATACCGTTTATTTACCGATACCTCAGTTATCACAACCTGTTGTCACGTGTACAGGATGATTGTGTAATTTTGAAGTTTAATATCAGAAAAAAATCCTATAAAGGAAATAGCTCTTGTGATCTAATGGAAGCTACTTCGATAATGTATTTGAGGCTGGAAACAACACACATTCTTTAAGATGCTCAAAATCAAACACAATTTCAATGTTTATTAATTGTTGTTATGCCTAAGGTACACCCATTTTTTATGTAAAAAATGATACTAAGATATACAATGTATCATAAAAACGGACATTAATGAATCTTTGTAAAGAAGGGAACGTACATAAAGTAACAAGTCTAAGATAAAAGTGACCGCTACCAATAGCCTTTGTTAGACAATATCAATGTACGGTTCTTGGCTTCTCTACATTGCTGAACTACAGCTAGGGCAAGAACCGATATTGATCTGGTTACATCAGTCAATAATCTGGCTTCTAGTCCCCGAGTTTCTTACACTATTTAATGTCCTCCTAGTTTGATCCGAAACGCCAAAATTATAACGGTAATTATTTATAACTTGATATTCTAAAACAGTCTGAGTCCATGTCTAGCATACAGAGACATGGACCAGTAAGACTGTGAACTAGACCAGCTAACAACTAAGTTAGGGTTTGGGTGATAACTAGGTGTTTACAAATCAAAGAATCGTTATGAATATTTCCGTGATACCCCCTCCCCCCTTCCAACAATTTTATTGTATAATATAAACCGTGTATAACATACAAATATTTCTTTGACCAACAGGCACGCTGAAGATCATCCTCGATACTCCAGAGAGGCTAAACGTGTACACTGATATTTACACTGATGTACACATCTAATTGTATTTAAAATATTAAATATGATGAAAATGGGTATTCACACTATGTTAAAGCCGCTAGATACCGGTTTTCTGTCTGATTCGGTTTAGAGCGGTTTTCACGGTTAAATTGTTATGCGATCACGAGTGACGTCTTCTGTGGGTGTGTCCTCTCAACCAATCGGAATACATCCGAGTTGTGTGAAGGTCGTACTGTCACGAACGAAGCATGTGTATTGAAATTAGTAACATGATGTACTTTATAAATAAATTATTTCGAAATAATTAAAAAGAACAACAAAATTGATTACGAACATTTAACAGTGATTATACAAGAAAACATTGATTAATGCCTAAAATTATCCTGAAACACACAATTTATTGCATGATCCAGAGACGTAGATCCAATATGAATGAACACGTGTGTCAAACGTGGGCGATAATACCCTGTCATGCGATAAATGGGTTGGTAGCGACCAGATTTGTCATAACACGTGGCGAACATAATGGGTAGAGGAAGCAACATCCCCGAAATGAACACGGAAAATGTCGATAAAATTGACAGAAACTCTACAAACAGCATATGGATTCGAGATACTGAGTATTCTAATGTAAGTACTAAGTTAATTTGAAATGTATACTTTGAAAATTAATAGCCTTATTTAATTGTGGGATTTATGTCCCATTATGTATTTGGCTTTACAATGTCCTCGTGCCTTCAAAACAGGATCAGGGCGCTACCTGTATGATACGGGCCGTTACTGCTGACAGTTGTGGGGCATCCAACTTGTGCGAGGGGCAGGTTCTCTCAGATAAGGGGCCGAATGAGCATGACCCCCTCACGCCAGACTCGAATGATGATCATGACGGTCCCATCATTGGTGGGTAACGCGTGCTTCACACCTCACTTAAAAGTGGTGGCGAACTCATATCAAAGGGATTAGACGATCAGCTGGGACAGAAAATCAAATTTAATAATGTAATTTTCTTCTCTTTTTTTTTGCGTTGATCGAACGCTAATTAGAAAATATTCCTTTCTGTGTTCTTATTGAAACAAATTTAATGGTAAGAAATGCAAAAATATCATCCGCCCGGCATTTTGAGTGTCCGATCCCTTTGTTCGCAAGTTCACGACATATAGGCCTAATTATAAATGTACTAGTTGCAGAGTATAATCAGGCCAGGGGGTCCAACCAGATACATCAGTCGTTCACGTTTCACGCAGCATATTGAGGCTTATTGAACAGTACAGAGAAGATAATGCTAGTAAAAAGACCTCGTAATATTGTAATACTAGATTATTCTGGTTGGACTAACAAGTAGCCCATTACAAGTTACTGGCATGGACGTGGATATAGATGAATAGATCCAAGTCCGTGGTACTGTAACCAAACTTATCAAAATCTGCAATGTAAGAATTTGTGATTAACCACAGTTTGTTACATTTTATTTTTTACCCATTTTGTTTCTTCTTTTATCTTTTCATTAATTATACACCCATGGTACTGAATGTCACAAAAGAAACCCACATTTGTAACCAAGTCTCATAAGGGTTTCTTATTGGTATGGGGTGGAGTGATACAAGGACGGGGGGAAGTTGGGAATTGGACTTCAGGACAAGGGGCAGGGCTGAATGTCAAATATGAATGTGGATAGGCCTATATATACCCCATCCACACTGACAGGCCATTTAAGAAAATTTGTTATCTTCATCAAATTACAAATTGTGGGTACTTTTGTGGCAGAAGGCTTATGATTCAACAATGTATTTTTTTTATTCTACATTTTGATATTTACTTGTAGAATCTTGCATGACATCAATTAATACTTCACAAGAGATATAAAATTGGAATTTCAACAACTTTTCCATTTAGCAAACATTTTGAAAATTTTATGAATATCTAATTAGAAATTGTATGAAGTTTTTATCACATGATCAATTATTTTTGCAATTAAAGATATTGCAAATTGTACTTTTTCCATGCCATTCATAAAAGATTGAATATTAATCCATTCTGACATTCCCTGGTACACACAGCTGTATGACACCATTTCATCATGATTACAGGGTACCCAAATATGGTTGTTGGACATTATTGTAACTTTCTAACAAGGCAATCATGTGATGAAAATTGATTACATGCAGCACACTCTGATTACACATTGTAGTAATAGGCTAGGTATTACACTTGTGGATATCAAATTTCACATTTATGCAGTTTAGCCCAACCAAAGACTTCACAGAATCTCGAGCCACAATTCAAAATTTAGATGTCTGATTTTAATCTATATTGATTTCTAAGTATATGGCTGTGTAGTACATCATTTACAAAATTGGTTTTTGTTGACTGTTGGAAAATTATCCCCCTTCGTAGGCAAGGGAGACAATTTCAACAAAATGTTTTCATAATCATACATGAGAGTGTTTATTCATGATTGCTTATCCAGGTGATTGATGCAGGTCTTACATAATACAATATGTATTACCTGTAATTTAAATAATGTCTTTAGCAAGCCTGTTTGACTTTGTTGACCTGTAAGGGATTTTTAATTACAGACCTGGGTACAAGTGGAAAGGTGAAGCATGTAGTCCTGGTGATCTTCAAAGGAATCACCCTCCTCATCCTTCTTTATCTCTTTATCTGTTCACTGGGCTTCCTCAGCTCAGCATTCAGGCTTCTCGGAGGCAAGACTGCCGGTATGTATGCTAGTAACATTTCATATACATGTGGAATACAAATGTCCAATACTTGTGTAACATTTGCTTAAAAAGCTTTCTTATTATGAAAACTTGAAATGTAAAGATGATGTCATAAGTCTCCGATATTTTATTTATTGTTGATAAAACCATAAAAGTGTAGCAATTAACTTAATTGAATTTAATTGCCAAAAACAATTGGCAATTGTGGTTCCACAATAGAAAATTTTAAGTATTTCCAGAAATTCTGTGAGTCCCATGAAAATTTTATGAGAACAGGATTTGGGGACTTGCACATAGATTGATCACTGATATAGATGTAAACTAAGTCAAAGAGAAAATATACATGTAATATACAGCTTGTGCTTAATAATACTGATGACTTTCTCTCTATTTCAGGTACTGTATTTAAGGAATCGGAGTTGCTGCAAAACCCTGTGACTGGTTTGATGATTGGCATATTGGCCACAGTTCTAGTACAGAGTTCAAGCACATCTAGCTCCATTGTTGTTACCATGGTAGCTTCCGGAAGTAAGTCTGGCACTTGCTTAACTTACATATGTTGCTATGAAAAAATCACTGAATGAGATTTGGTCAACTTAAATTGAAATGTTTTTTTTACCAAATTTACACTCAAAGCAGCAGTTCTGTGACATGTTATATTTAAAGTGAATGTTCAGTTAATATTGCAAATTCATGAAATTGTTTACAAAATCTTTTACATTTATACTGTGACATGAAAGAAGAACAAAAAAATTTGCGATTTTTTTCACCCTTAGATTTGTACAAATTTCAGTTTTGGAGGTTAGGCCTGCCATTCCTATCATTATGGGGGCCAACATTGGAACAAGTGTTACCAACACCATAGTATCAATGGCCCAGTCTGGCGATCGAGAGACATTCAAACGTGCGTTTGCCGGGGCAACTGTACACGACATGTTCAACTGGCTCAGTGTTGTAGTATTGCTGCCACTGGAAGTATTGACTGGTAGGTCACTTTAAGGGACTGCAAAAATATTTCTGAATTTTAGAAGCTTATTGTATCATATTGTATGTACGGTATATATTAATTCAATAACTGTTTGAGAAACAAAACTATAATAAATGTCCTCTGCAGTGGTGCATGGAAAGGTGTATGATTAAATGTTTGAGTTTGACCTTTATGTATTTGAAATTACAGGTTACCTGGAAAAATTAACATTTCTGATAGTAAGTCAGTGTGAACTGTCCTCAAGCAGTATAGGAAACCAGCAGCTTCTCAAGGTCATCACCAAACCCTTCACCTCTAAGGTCATACAGGTACATTAAATTTCACATGTTCCAGTCTTATACCCAGATTCAGTATAGCTATTAGTCATTATAAAATTCAATATTGATGACAAAATATGTTTTTCTATTCAATGTGACAAAAATATGTATCTGATAAATACATATAAATAAATTACATAAAATGTTACAAAATATGTATTTCTATACAATGTAACAAAAATATGTATTTAAATAAAATGTTACAAAAAATGTATTTCTATACAATGTACCAAGTCAAAATGGCAAACTACATGTGTACCTGGTAGGTAGGTACAATACGTTTACACCATCGACCACAGAGATTTTCCTTGGATCATAAGAACATGATGGGGTTTCTTGGCCATGTTATTGGTTTCCAAGACATATGTATATACAGCACAGAAATTTAATGTATACACAAATATTGTATTAATCAGTGTTCTATTAGTAACACACATTATAGTATTGTCATTCTTTTACACTTTACAGATCAACAAAAAATTGATTGCTAAAATTGCAGCTGGAGAGAAGGGACATGAAAATGAAAGTCTTCTCAAGGTAAAAAAACAGCTTTTCAAAATAGTAACTACATGTACCTTTAAAAGTTGTGATTTAAAAAAAACAATAAAATGGATTTTATTGCGATTTGCTGAAAAGAAATTTGTCTTGTTGTAGGTGTACTGCCACTACAATGAAACTGTCGTCACTACCAATGGTTCTGATGGGAATTTAACCCAGACTATTCTAAGAATACCAACGGAGAAATGTAAGTACCTGCATTGATTTTATAGGAATGTCAAATACACTAGCAAAAGAAATGTTTGAAATGGAAAAAAAATGTTTGGAAATATTATGGACATATGAGAAGATCACAATGCTGAATTCTTAATGTATTTTATGTAAATCACAAAGAAAAAAAACAGATGGTTTCCATGTAGTAAGTTTGATGTGCACTTGTTTCATGCTACTATCAAAACTGATCAGGAATATATCAGATTAATGTAAATATAAATGAAAGTAAATTAGGTAGAAAACAAAGTCCTGAAGGCAAACCTGATCATAAGATCTGATGTTCGAGGAAGTCAGTGTATGTGTGTAAGATAATTTCAGCATCAATGAATAATAAAATAAATAGAAAATTAAGTAATATACGTAATTTACCAAGTTAAGCATCTGAGAATAGGAAACTACAAAAGGTAAACTACATTTTAGTAATTAAAAAGAATAGCATATTGAATTCAAACAATTCATCTTTTCAATCATAGTCATTCAAAATTATTTATGATGGGTAAATAACTAGGGTTTTTTCAAAATAAAACCTTTTTTATTCCTCCAGGTGAGTCACTGTTCAGCATACTTGACCTTGGTGACACAGCAACTGGATTAATAATGTTGATAGCATCCATAGTTATGCTGTGTGCTTGTCTAATCTTCACCGTCAAACTTCTCAACTCCATGATGCATGGCTCAATTGCCAAGGCCATCAAGAAGACTGTAAATTCCGAGTTTCCAGGTCCTTGTCGTCATCTGACTGGCTTTGTGGCGATAATTGTTGGAGCTGTCATGACAGTTCTAGTTCAGAGCTCATCCATCTTCACATCAACCCTCACTCCTCTTGTTGGAATGGGACTCATAGAAATAGAAAGAATGTACCCGTTGACTTTGGGATCAAATATTGGAACAACTATGACTGGTTTATTGGCAGCATTTGCAGCATCAGGCGGTAAGGCAGAAGTTGCATTTCAAATTGCTTTCTGTCACCTGTTCTTTAATATCAGTGGTATTATCTTGTTTTACCCAATCCCTGCATTGCGAAAACTGCCAATCAAGGGGGCTAAATTCTTAGGTGCTACTACAGCGAAATACCGCTGGTTTGCTGTTCTCTACCTTATTCTGATGTTTTTAATGTTGCCAATGTCAGTCTTTCTGCTAAGCTTGGCTGGTAAGATCACTTATATCTGTGTCTCCAGCTTTGTTGGTATTATCATATTTTTAATAGTGACTTTGAATATTATACAAAAAAAGTGGCCACATATTTTACCAAAATGTTTCCAAACTTGGGAATTCCTGCCAGAATTCATGAGGTCTCTGGCACCACTTGATAGTATAATCACCAAAGTACTGTATGCATTTAGTGGGAAATGCTCTTGTACATGTAGTTGTGACTTGTTCAAACCTAAAACATTTGTGGACAGTAGCTCACTAAGTTCCACTGCCAGTTCTACAGCAGAACTGCTTCATACTACTAAAGATCAACTCAAAGAGCCATCTCAGACATTCTCTTCAGATCAATGTGTTGTTGACATGTTCCGCAATGTTCCAGGAGAGTCTTCGCAAAGTCTTCTTCCTAGTATAATCCAAAGGGAAACTATTATATGATAGCTTTTAATTAGTTTGATCCAAGTATTGCTGGTAAGATTAATCTAGTCATCCAATAGCCTACAGGTAGAAGGTCTGGTACACTTCAGTAAAGGCTGGTACACCTCAGTAAAGGCCTGAAGGTCTGGTACACTTCAGTAAAGGCCTGAATGTCGGGTACACTTCATTAAAGACCTGAAGGTCTGGTACACTTCAGTAAAGGCTTGAAGGTCTGGTACACCTCAGTAAAGGCCTGGAGGTCTGGTACACATCAGTAAAGGCTGGTATACCTCAGTAAAGGCCTGAGGTCTGGTACACTTCAGTAAAGGCTTGAAGGTCTGGTACACCTCAGTAAAGGCCTGGAGGTCTGGTACACCTCAGTAAAGGCCTGGAGGTCTGGTACACTTCAGTAAAGGCTTGAAGGTCTGGTACACTTCAGTAAAGGCCTGGAGGTCTGGTACACTTCAGTAAAGGCTTGAAGGTCTGGTACACTTCAGTAAAGGCCTGCTGTATCTAGCTTATCATAGCTTATCATAGTATACAATCATCTTTGAGGTTGCCAAGTTTTCACATTGGTAATAACCTAGCTTCTGGGCTGTTAGCCAAGTTGTCATCCCTTGTAAACCTTCAGAAGCCCAAACCAATAAGATACACAATATTGTAAATACATAAATATTTATTGATTTGATATTTGTTGTCCTTATTTATAAGGCAATTTATTTTACAGGTAACATTCCTATGTACAATGCATTTTTGTAAAGGCAACTCTGATTTTTTCCCATCTTAGTTTAAGAATCTGATTTTTTCCCCTCTTAGTTTAAGAATCTCAAAAGTTTTTGTCTTCCAAGTTGAAATTCAGGTAGATTGAGACTTTCAATAAATAATGTTGTTTTACATATAACAGATTATTTGCTGATTTTATGAGATTTTGTATATCTGCATTTTTATGCTGTTTTATAGTCTCATTTTTAGCTTGTGAATACAGGGACAATGATGTTTTGTGAAATTTTTGTAACAGTATATAACATTATCAATGCTGTTTTGTACTTAGCAATATTTTGCTTCACTTTATTATTTAATAAAAACAATAAAATTTACAACCTGAGTTTGTAATGTTTGATCTGAAAGTTCACATTAGAATGGTAAATTTTCCTGGACCAGATTTGAACATGATTTTGGGTGTGAAACTATTTTAACAGAAGACTGATTCCAGGAGTCTAGTGTCTTTAGATTGGTGTATGGGAAGTGAAGTGAATTCTTAATTATCTTCATAAGTATGACATACATATTACTTGTCTTTGTAAATTATATTAAGTTATTGTGTAAAAGCGCCTCCTAATCTATATTGTTACACTTATGAGACCTTTTATATTTTTGAAATTTGCCTTCTTGAGACACTTCAGGCCCTTAACATCACTGATGAGCCCAAGAAAGAGGAAATGGCTACTCCAGTAAAATTGATCGAATTTTGCCCAAATTCGTCTGAAGCATTCTTGGATGAAAGGTAATACATTTTATGTAAATGTGGAGTCTCAACTCCCAGGGGCAGGCTTGATAGGTGAAACGGGGGAAATTCTTTAAAATCCACCTTCTTTGAAGGAATGCTAGGATTCTGTACCCATTTAGCCTGGAGTATCTTTGGTGGACAGGGATTAAATATGTGTCTTAACTTAACTTCCTGTGGCGGAATGGGAGGGGCTAAAAAGGAAATGAAGAAAATTGTTTATAATCCTTCTTCTATGGTAATGCATTTATTTTGTCCATATTTGGTCTAAAACAAAGATGGTTGAAAGGAACCCAAATTTGTGTAAACCAGGAGTCTTAATGCCTCCTCGGGGGCCAGTGGTGTTCATTATTCTGAAGCATTCTTGGGTAAATGAAACTCCAGTTTTTTCATAAGCAGTGGATCTGACCTTCAAGTGACAAAATGGTTGACTGAATAACTGAATCACCCAGGTGAGTGATGCAGACCCCTTGGGCCTCTTGTTATTTCTTTCAGTGGTTCATATTTTTTTGCAGCCGCAGCAAAAGCCTGAAGCAATAAAGATGTCCTTTTCACAAGTAGTCCTGAAACAAACAATTTCATTTTTAAGGTACATATATTTGATTTTGCAAACTAATTCTTTCCTTGAAAATATCAACCTTTACAGTTCTGCCTTGTGGGACAGCTTTTAACAACACATGGCTTGATACATGGGGCCTTACCAAGGGCTTCAGTGTAGGCTGTAATAGGCACCAGCTTGGGACAAAAATATCTTTTAATTTTTTTTTGTTTTTGTTGGTAGATCTATCAATTACAATTGTCAGTCAGTCAACTTTTCATCACACAAAGACAAGACATTGTAACCTGTATTACCAAGGGAGTTAACCTCCACAATTCATACAAAAATTGGAAACTTATATCTCACAAAGCATTATGGAAAGTTTTCAATAAATTAATAAATATTGATCAAACAGGTTTCATGTATGTTACTCTCAAATGATTATGAAAAAGCATTTCATCAACATCCAACATGGATGTCGTAAAGTCAACCCGATTGCTTCATATATTTTAATTCTCTACTTTGAAGTACTTCTTGCAAAACTGATGAGAAATGAAAATATTAATGGGATCCAAGTGGAAAATGTAGCTATTTTGAATTTACAGTATGCTGTTGATACTATTTTAGAGCTAGATGGTTCTCAAATAACTTGGGAGTCTTTTATTGAATTAAATAATTTTTCAAAGATCTTGACTTAACACCAATACTGACAAGACAAATGCTGTATGGTTTGGTAGTAAAAGGTATAGCAAAGAACCTTTTTTATCAGAATTAAACTTACAGTGGGGAAAAAAAGGTTTACTTTTTTAGGAGTTGACTTTTCTGTTGACTGAAATCCCTCATTTGAATTATGATAAAAAAAACTCAATTTTTTAATTAATGCATAGAAAAAGTGGAATTTGACTCCTATTGGCAAAATAAATGTAATAAAATCTTTGTTGATATCACAGCTCAACTATTTGTTTATTACTTTACCAAACCCTTCAGAGAGATATAAATAAATTGAATTATCTTATCAGATGGCAAATGGATTGTGCTCCTAGATACCATGATAGACCAGAAGAAGTTGCAAAACTGTGGTAATGCTTTTTTTGTCATTTACGTGGCTCCTACTTTTCAAATAAATTCTGGAGAGATGTGTTTCATAGTTAGGGAATAAATGTACAAATCATCACTTTTTATGAGGCATTTAATCAATCATGATTCTATTTTGAAAACTTGTACAAAAATGATATACAAGTTGATAATAAATCATTTTTTTACCAACACTGGATTAATGAAAGTATATTTACACTGAATGACATGGTTAAAGATACTGTAAATCTCACTTTTTATTTACTACAAGAATTTCTTGATCTATATAGATTTAATACAAACTTCAATACCAAGAAATTGAAAAAAAGAGGGTCGTGGTTCTCAAAAGTTCTGGACAAGCAAACCACAGAATTGGGTGGTCTAACAAATATGATAATTCCAAATTTTAAACATTCCTAGAAAGTATCAGAAACTCATAAATGGTGGTTTTGTTCATGAAAAACAGTCATGCAATCACATTACAAAATGCCTACTGTGATTTAAAGTAAGTTTACGACAGCACATGGTGCACGACAATAGACATAAAGTAATAAGTTAAAAGCCTGCTTTTTGAAGCTATGACAACTGTAAAAAGATAATAACCACATGCATAATGCAAGGACAAAATGATGACAAGTGAAGTGTCACTAGCCAACAAGGAAAGGTCTGGAAAGATTTTTAATATTTTTCAATGAATGGACATAACTCAATAAGTAAGGGTCAGAATCAAAAATGATACTCGGATGCACAACCCCATGGGATAATGTGTAAGATTTCCTACTTATGCCAAATAGGAGTTGTTCAGTGAAAGATTTATAGTATTTTTGAACGAAGGAGAATCATCCACATGCATAGGCTGGCATGAACAAATTGATGACAAGTTATATGTGTAAAAGGAAGGAGTTCTAAAGACAAGTTCTAGTGGACTTTCTGTTGTTATTTCTCAAGAGGAACTAGTTGAATGGATCTTCTGAGACTCTCCTTGGATCATAGTTGCATGTACAATGAGTCTCAAGACTGACTGAATAAAAGTATAAACAGTATAATGGGGCAGTGCAGTCTCTACTGTATCTGAAAAATATTACAGAAAGGTAAATAAATCAAATTAAAGTAAATAAATTGTTACGAATACTCTATATGTTCTAGTTTGACATACATATGCCATGGAGAGTAACATAACAAAAGAAAATATGACAAGTTGTTGGTATACAGAAAACAATGTTAGATGGGAAACTGAATTGACAGATACCCATAAAAAGACAAAACAAAATATCCCAAAACTTTATCAATTTAATAAATAAGAACTCATCAGTACACAAATTTCAACATTTGCTAGTACAATATCTACTGATCACAGGAACCAGGCTAAATAAAATGTACTCACAACTAGAATTTCAGTGAGTATAACCAAGAAAGTGCTGTGAGGCTTTAGTCTGGTATAAAAACATACTGTCCATTACATCACATGAATGGTTAAAAGGAGTCCACACACTCTAAAGTGTCACCTTTGAATTCTTAATCACTTCTTCTTATGTTAACATTTTGGCAGATTCAGTCCGACTAGATTGGCACTTTCTTCCGTACTTCTGTCTCCTTTACCACCATATAACTTGATCAATTCCTTTGAAATAGAAACAATCAAAAGCAATAATCTCACATAATGTGTGTCATGTTTTAATTAAATGTTTAATTACATTCAAAACTATATATTTAGATTTGTATGCTGCTTCCTAAAACAACAGTACTAGACAGTCAATGTAATAATGTGACTAGAATTATATAAACTGGTCGCACTGTATTGTGACATCACAATCCCCCTGCTGACCGTTACATGTTATCAGTACTGGATGAATTCACGTCATCATATAGAATGAAATTTTTTAGCTCAATACAACCAGATGCATCAAATGGTTATCATTGGTATTTCAAAGACATTAGGTATCTGTCCATGTACCAGATTTCTGAATTATGTGTTAATGTAGACACAAATAAGTGCTAATTTGAAACAGCTTATACTAGACCAGAACAGAAAAATCATCTATTGTTTGTGGGTATTGTTTTATAGCAAACAGGACTTTTAAGCTTGTCACCACCATCTTGATATGGCATTGGTAACACACAAATGTCCTTGCTTCCAACTGATGAGAAATATGGAACTCCTGTGTTACTGACTTGGACTAGGTGTATGAGTCCTAATACAGTCAGGACATATTTTTGATACAATTAAACACTTAGCTCAGTAAGTGTCAAATTTGCAGTTTTTCATTACCTCATGTTTTCTTGTACTCTGCAACATACATCTGTAAGCATCTGCTACATACTGGACTTCATTTTCAGCTCTACACAAAAGTTTTCCTGTTGCCCTGAACTTCTTAAATTCTCTTGTCATGTAATTAAAGGCAGGTACATCATCAAGTTTTACCTGAAACAAAATCCATGTGCTACAAGAACTATGTGTAATTACATCTCTGGCTTGTCCTGCATTTTTTTCAGCTTTCTTCAGAAGAACACTAAAATCTGTTCTTTTTCCTCCAAAATATATTTTCTAAGTAAATTTCAATCAATAGCATGTAAGTATCATATATATTTGTTGTCATGTCATAAAGTTAAAATTGTAGAACATAAAACGAAATTCTAAAAATACTTTCAAACTTGTGTGATATTTTACAGTTATATGACTATGAAACAAATATGAAGCCAATGGATCAAGCTATAAAGATTTGTGCTCTTTTCTTAAAAGTTTTTGGCTCCAAAATACACACAAAAATAAGTAAATAAATAAATAATTTAAATTGATGTAATGCATCTGTTGGGTTTAGAAGTTTGTACTTCAATGTTTTATGTTGCACTGGAAGAGCTCATGTACTTGAATGGTTTTCCTTTTTGTTAAATTCTGTTAAAATTTAAAATTAAAATCCAAATAACACTACCACTGGTATGACACAGCTCAAATATGTCCCAATACCTATTTAGCAGGCAGTTGCAATTACTTGTTACACATGAGTGCGAAATTTAATGAAGTGACCAGTCACATGGTAACACTTTGATGTAAACATGCACTAAGATGTAAACAGATACCAAGGTACTTTTCATATGATCCCATTTTTGGTGATACCTTTCTAAAGTATTCTTCTTTAACTTAACACAATGTAACATTCCTTACAAACTTAAGCAAACTTGTTTAAATAAAAGAGGCTTATAGGGCCTGTAACAATCACCTAGCTTTACTAGGCTGAAACTCAGTTTCATATGTATGTGTGTTAAACATAAACAAGAGAATTATTCAAATATGTAGGACTAATTGATAAAAAATATTCATCCAAAGGACAATTGAACGGTAATAGCATATAAACTCAATGACCTGAAGGATTTTGAGAGCTGAATTTCCTGTACTTTTTCAAACCAAATGTCTATTACATGTTCTGATAGGCAATATGGGAAAAGTGATGACAGTATTATAGCATACACATTAAATGTTCTAGGAGTGCAAAGTGCAAAAGTGATCACAACCATGTATTTCTTGGTATACAAGTTATGGATCTTCTCAAATAGAGTCTTTCATATAACTGCATATAGATGTGTCACATTCTGACTCCCTTTCAAAATAAAGAAAATATGAAAAGAAAAGAAAATTTTTACTGTCATACATCTTTATGTAATCTATATACCATTTACAACAGTTGGTTTCATTCTAAAACAATTCAAATCTATATGAATGAATGTATGTGTGAAATATGTAGGCACGTCTTATTAGCTAAAAATAAACTTACTGTCATCAAATTAACATTTTGATGTCATGTGACCTAATTCCACTTTTGAAATATGCATATCCACTAGCTAAGCTAAGGGAGGTGACCCAAGATTTAGTGGTTGCCGCTATCAGTGATACTAATAACAGCTTGGCACCACTCAGTACAGTCCAGTACCATCCTAAACAGCACAGTTCTCTTCAGTCAGGTAATAATGGGCAGTACCAGGCTGATATTAGTATCATTAGTATACCAGCTCGATCGGTTGAGCGTCAGATTAGAACGCTAGAGGTCCCGAGTTTGAATCCAAGCGGATGCATTCAGATAAATAATGATTTCTGTTACATTTGTAACCGTGGTAAAATACTATCCGCAATATACCACTCGGTTATAGAGAACTTCTCTTTAGCTCGATTGGTTGAGCGTCAGACTGGTAAGCCATGGGTCCCAAGTTCGATTCTTAGCGGAGGCATTGAAATAAATACTGACCTCTGTCACACATTTAAATACGGTTACAATACACATGTCCATACCTTTGGGTGTATAAGCCGAAATTCCCTTGAAAGCTCACGGAATATTCGCCTCGAGGACAAGGAGAGCGCCATGTTTATTTTTCGTCAGCGTCAACATAACGCTTAGGCGTATGCAAACACATGTACCGTTACAGCAAACGTTCTATATACGTCAACAACACATATCTGCTATCAACATGGCTCAAGCAGAACCAGGACAAGCCGAAAGGCTCCCGGACTTATTTGAAAATGTTTGGAAAGCCTGGGAATTTTTAGAGAGCACACAGGAAGACACAAATTCATATTCTGTACAGGTAAATCTGTTCTGAAATTTTGTATCAAGAATCCAATATACGCCCCTGTTCCTTAAAATATCACACTACCATTGAGTAAGTTTACTGTATCAGTGTAAGCAGTCAGGACATAATCGGTTTTGGTCAATTTTGTTGTGTTGTATATCTTATGATACAGTAATTGTAGACTAAACATAAGTACAGCCTTCTTTCAAAACTGTTTTACATGGCGCTAATGATACAAAAAAAAGACGAAGACGGAATTCACAAACTTTCCCCCTTATGATTGTGAAGAATTTGGAGCTGTGCCATTCATTCCGTACAACAGTTAGATACATGTTGTTCCGTAACAAAAACGAAAGTCAATATATGCCATTATTTCAGATGTTACGTATGATGAAATAGATCAATTGGTACCACATGATATATATATATGTAAATTATATATTTGGACATTAACTGAATAAAACTGGCGTATTTTCCAGAATGTATGTTAAGTTTATTTTTATGTACATGTACTCTACTGAATACAGATATTTTATGGAATTAATCATAACTACTGACTTCTAATTTTTATTCTTGTACGTGATGTATAATTTAAGTCCCTTTGATGGAAAAAAATTGATTGAAGTGTTGTGTGTTCCTGACATTTTCATAAAAATTCTTTAATGTTAATATGTTATACAAACGCTGACTAACACTTTACAACCAGATTGAAGGGCAGAGGCAACTGCAACAAAGCTGCTTCTGTCAACCAAAACATTACGCTAAGAGCAAACTAAGTTGTATAGAACAATTTCAGACAATTAGTTTAATTGAAATCAAACAGACAACTCAAAGGATATCAAAAATTGTTGCACTGAATATAGTTTCTGAGCATTAATGAGAAAATGTTCTCTCACCCATGATGATAGAATTTCATATTTTGGTTCTTTTTATTGCAGAAAGAAGCCATTAAAGGTTTGACAGATGGAGAAAAGGCAATAAAGATGGTTAATGATCTAGCTTTGTTTAGCAGTAACGAGTCGATAGAGGAGGTGACAACAAATGAGCTAAGGTGACACAGGAGAATTTATAATTACTGTTTAGATGGTGTATTTGTTGTACCTTAATTTTGTTTAGTATCACAATATCTTTTACATGGTACATGTCATATGTCAGTTTTCAGAGACAAACATGACTGGAAGTTAAACTTCCTTAATTTGTAAATGTCTTTATTGTGTCTTTAAATATCACCTTTAAGTGATAAATCAAGTACGATCTACTGACCAAACTAACACAGTTGAGCCTACTTATTTTTAACTCAGAGATATTGAAATACTGCTTAGTTTGAAATCAAATAATCTCCATGTCCACATGCCTTTTTTTATCTTTGTATTTACCTGGTGGTATATCATCTAATTTGCTTAATTTGAATGCCACTGTTTTTATGCAGTTTTATTCTCAATCTCATTAAATCTGAAAGATTTGAAACTATAGATAAACAGCTATTATAGATACAGTGGGTCTCAGAACCTTGGGGTGGAAGAGGTGGTGCCCAATAAGGGAAATATTGGGTAGAGAAAATTCTTTATGGTATGATTGGATTTTGCCCAAATTTGGTCAGAAGCATCCTTTGTGTAAATGATGGGTTTTGACCTCTATGGACAGGTATTGCGAGGCTCAATAGGGGAAATAGAGCAAATTCTATCAAATCTTACTCCTGTAGGAATGATTGGATTGTGCCCAAATCTGGTCTGAAACATTTTTGAATGAAGGGGAAACAGTTTTGTGTAAATGGTGGGTGTCTACCCTCTTGGTCAGGAGATGCAGGAATGGTTTGACTAACCCATTAGGACAGAGGGTAGGGGCCCAATTGGAAAATAGATATGTTGTTTTGTTTGCTTGGATATCTAGAAATATTTTTCCTTTAGTTTTGATGAAGCAATTTCAGCCAAACAAAGCCAGTCGAGTGATACAAGCCTATAGAGCCTTTGCTTTAATGTACATATGTCTTCTGACTTTGTGCTAGAAGGAAAGAACAGCTTGATCAGTAGTGCCTGGATACTATTAGGTTCTAGCCATTTGTTCATTTTTTAGTGGATGCATGCTGCTCACATTTCTTGTCACAAATTCATTAGTGCAAAGAATGGGTGAAATAACAAGTATGGTATCTCAGACTGTGAGCAGTGTCATAGGTTCAAGTGCTTTCTGCTATAAACTAGACTTGATTTTGTTTACCGGTACATCTCCTACAGTTCAGTGCAATCATCTTTTAAATGAAGTTGTCCCTGTGGTAAAGAAAATGTTCTAGATCTAGAAATAACTCAATCTAAATACCGGAGTAGCAGATAAAGAAAGAGATAAGTGGTTAATTAGTCTGGTTCCCATCAATCTTGATTTATCAAGAATGGTTAAATTAATATGTTTTTATATTTCTTTCAGGTATATGCTTCTTCCTGCCTTTATGGGATATTTTATACAGAAAAGGGTTACTAAGGATAGACTACAGCTTGTTAGGACTGGCAAGGTCAGTATAGCTGTTTCTGGGCAGGATAATGTACAAATTATTAGAATGGACAAGGTCAGTATAGCTGTTTCTGGGCAGGATAATGTACAAATTATTAGAATGGACAAGGTCAGTATAGTTGTCCATCTGCAGGACAGACAACAGCTTGTTAGGATTGGCAAGGTCAGTATAGCTGTCAATGTCGAGGACAGAGTAAAGCTGTCCATGGCCAGGACAGACTAGTATAGCTGTCTATGGCCAGGACAGACTAGTGTATCTGTCTATGACCAGGACAGACTACAGCTTGTTATGACAGACAAGGTCAGTATAGCTGTCCATGTTGAGGACAGAGTAAAGCTGTCCATGGTCAGGATAGACTAGTATAGCTGTCTATGGCCAGGACAGACTACAGCTTGTTATGACAGACAAGGTCAGTATAGCTGTCCATGTTGAGGACAGAGTAAAGCTGTCCATGGCCAGGATAGACTAGTATAGCTGTCTATGGCCAGGACAGACTACAGCTTGTTATGACAGACAAGGTCAGTATAGCTGTCCATGTTGAGGACAGAGTAAAGCTGTCCATGGCCAGGATAGACTAGTATAGCTGTCTATGGCCAGGACAGACTACAGCTTGTTAGGACAGACAAGGTCAGTATAGCTGTTAATAGCCAGGACAGACTATAGCTTGTTAAGTCAGAAATTCTGTAAGTTTGTTATTTCAATTTCCAACTTCTGTCAATATAGTGAAAAAGTAATCAATATCTGCTCATTTTGTTGTTTTAATTTTAGGCATATTTTGAGGACTTCCTTCGTCAATGCAAAACTTACAGGGTGGTGAAAGTGAATGCTCACCTGGATGATGATGAGAAAGAAGAAGTGTCAGAAAATGGAGTAGTACCTGTTGCACGAGGGTAGGTACATAACAGCTAGTTAAAACTATGGCATTGATATGTTGGAATATATCTATAATATCTCGTTGTAGCTTGTCCTCAAAGATGAAGGGAAAATACAGCGATAGTACCTCCAGTGATGAGTAAGACATGGTCTTGGTTTCTGCCCTTGTGACATTTAAAACAGCCACGAAGATAACCATCTTGAAAATCTTGGACTCCTACTGAACAAAAAGCTGTATCAATTCAGGATGTCCTATTATGCTTTGTCTGCAGTCTTTAAACTCATATCATCTCAACTTCACCTGAAAGAAAGTCACATCAAGACAGGACATCGGTCAACAAGTTGTTGATAGTTCAAAATTAAATTCTGACTTATGCTGCAGCTAAGCTGTTGGCCACTATCTTTCAAATGTTATCACTACTTTTCCTGAATGGATAGAAGGATTAAAATAGGAATTTCAATAATGATTCACACCTTGCATTCAAATATGGCCATATGAGATAATGCTTAAAATGCTAAAACAGAATTGAGTCAAAATTTCATTTTGTATGTGTATTTCCTGAAGTCTGGTAATTGGAATAAAACGTGAATTTTTGACTTTTGTAGTCCTCCAGGTATGATGAAGATGATCAGTGATAGGGAAAGTAAGATAAAGGCATTTAAGGAACAGAAAGAACTGGAGGTTAGACTTGCAGAACTAAAACAGTACGTTGATAAAGAGCATGTGGATGATGAGGTGAAGGTGAGTATTTGGTGATAAGTAAGAAATAGTAGTGTTCCAGGTCAACTAGGTAGTTACAGCAGTGTTCCATATCAACTAGGTAGTTACAGCAGTGTTCCATATCAACTAGGTAGTTACAGCAGTGTTCCAGGTCAACTAGGTAGTTACAGCAGTGTTCCATATCAACTAGGTAGTTACAGCAGTGTTCCATATCAACTAGGTAGTTACAGCAGTGTTCCAGGTCAACTAGGTAGTTACAGCAGTGTTCCTTATCAACTAGGTAGTTACAGCAGTGTTCCATATCAAGTAGGTAGTTACAATAGTGTTCCATATTAACTAGGTAGTTACAGCAGTGTTCCATATCAACTAGGTAGTTACAGCAGTATTCCAGTTAACTAGGTAGTTACAGCAGTGTTCCATATTAACTAGGTAGTTACAGCAGTATTCCAGGTTAACTAGGTAGTAACAGCAGTGTTCCATATCAACTAGGTAGTGACAGCAGTGTTCCATATCAACTAGGTAGTTAAAGCAGTATTCCAGGTTAACTAGGTAGTTACAGCAGTGTTCCATATCAGCTTGGTAGTTACAGCAGTATTCCATATCAACTAGGTTGCCTGGACATCTCCTCCTAAACATGTGAGCTGATTTCAGTGAAACTTCACAGAAATGTTCGGATTCCTATATAGTTGTGCATACAGATATTTGGGATTTGGGTTACCATAGTAACCAGGTCTCTATACAAAGGTTTTTATGTAATGACTGTAACTTATCAATCCTTTGATCAATTTTTTCAATGCCTGCAATTTTGACATATCAGGTGTTTCCAGAACCAGTACTATGTAAATATGATGAAGGCTTCTGATTGGTCAAACTTGAGATATTGTCCAATTGTGCTGAAAATTGATATATATATATATTATGGTTTTGAGGAATGGCAATTACAATGGTGCCATTTTCAAAAATGTCCAATGTCATTTGGTTGATATGGCAACCATATAAGACGCAAGATGAAACTGATCTTTTCCAGACTTCTCCAAATGGTGTGGACAGATTTCAGTGAAACTACACATATATGTTGTGGATGTGTATATGTGCAGATGTACAGATGTGAATACAAGTTTTTGATCCCTCGCAAAACTATTTAGTTGGTCGTCCTGGCGACAGTTCCAGTTACAGAAATGTAATGTGAATGTGATTCTGTACAGTATGCACTGTTAACAAACACAACAATTACTCAACATGGAAGATATGAACACCAAAATTACCAACTTATTTTGGATGAAAAGAATGTCCATAGGTGTGATAGACACTTGTGATGGCCTCAGAAATTAATGATATTGCAATGGTACATAAAATTACAGAAAAGTTGTCTAAAACACAATCTAATTATCAGATTTTTGTTCCAAAATTTCAGGTGATGAGAGTTGATTTTTATTCAGAAATACTATTTTAACTACAGCATGAACTACTTGGTTGATCTTTCTAAAATTTCAGAAAAATGAAATGGCTTACAGGTATCCATTTTGGATTTTGACAATGAAAGTTTTTCATGGTTATTTTTTTTTGTAAGTGTGATGTATCTTTCTCAAATTCAATTTATAAGTTCTTCTCGGTCCATAGGTGTGTCTGAAACATCCTTTCGTAAAAGAGACTCAATTTTGTTTAAATGATGGATCTTGGTCCTATGGGGTGGATGGGTAGGGCCCAGTATGAGAAATAACACAAATTCTTTAACATCCCTTTTCTTCTGTAGAAATGTATGGGGTATTGTCCAAATTTGGTCTGAAACATCCTGTGATGAAGGGGACTAAATGTTTTACATTTATGAAAGGTGGTTATCCCCAGGGAAAAGAGGGGAAGGCCCTGAATGGCGAAATTAAAAACCTTTCTTTTTCTGAAGGAATGCCAGGATTCTGTCCCAATTATAGTCTGAAGCATACATTGTTGAGGGAGAATGAATTTGGTATGGATGGTGGGCATCAGCCTCCAGGGCAAGAGGGATGTGGGGGCTATAGCATAAATAGAGTAAGTTCTTTAAAATCCTTCTTTTTCTGTAGAAATGGCAAGATTCTGTCTCAGTTTGTGAATTTGGTCGGAAGCATGCTTGGTTGAATCAGCCATTTGTATAAATGCTTTAGTTGAGCCCCTGGGTCAGAGGAATGGAGCACAATGGGAAATAGATATAAACAGTTCAGTCTAACAACCCATGCTGCTTGGGTCTCTTGTAACTTAAGTACTATTTTTCCAATTCCAGAGAGATTATTATACTACGTTACTAAAGAAGTGGGTGAACATTGCATCTGAGGATCTATCAGGGATTAACTGTAAGTACTTGTGGGAATCTAACTGTATGGGTATTGACTTCATTTTTACCCACCACTACAGATGGTGGGCTATTCAATTCACTCGACATTTCTGTTCTCTCAGTCCATCCCTTTGTCCCCAGGCAAAATGGAGAACAATGGACCATCTTTGATTTACAAGTTTCATATGATTAAGATCAAGAACAGAGGAAAGCAGAAAAAATATTGGAAAAGATTAAAGTTTTAAGGAATAAATTAAGATCACCCTTTGGAAGAGTTTCGATATAACTAATTTCCTGAAGTACCTTCATGGAGTCTTGCTTTTATAATAAAACAAAGGGGGACAACAACTCATCAGTGGTAGGTATTATGTAGTTAAATGTCCTATTGAGAAAAGTTTGCTTTAATTATAGTCATTAAATATGTATAAGCATTACCATGCCCAATATCTAAATGTTACCATAATCATTAAAGATATTTTGACTGACCTTGTTTTCATTCATAGCATATACATCCTCGATACTCCAGTGGTTACAATCACTTTTGCTCTCTGCACACCTGGAACATATCATGGCAAAATTTAAGGCGCAAGCAAAGTAATTGGATTTGTTCTAGGACAAAATAACTGGCCAATCACACACTGATACGCTCTGTTTGAAGGTTACAAAGCAGCAACACCCAACTTCAAAGCCATTACAATATATCATTTTGCACCCCAAGATTCGTTTGATGTACATCAAATGATCAAACTAGTTTTTTTGTCTTGCCCACAAGGTGTCCCACATGGAACTTTAATTTTGCCATGACATGTTCCAGGGGTGCAGAAAGTAAAAGTTATTGTTACTCCTGGAGTATGGAGGATGTAACACATACACCTAACCGCTGTATGTTGTCTTTTCATAAAGTCAGAGTTGGAAGAGTGAGGTACATATCTTTGAACGAAATGATCTTAAATTTGTATAAATAGTGGGACAACTGAGTGCCCTTATGCCACAGGGGCAGCGCCTACATATCGGAAAGAGAGTATATTACTTAAAATTTTTCGTTTTTCCATAGGGATGTGTGAATTCTGTTCTAATTTGGTCTGAAGCATCCTAGGGTAACAGAATCAATTTTGTATACCAACTGTGGGTCTAGCCCCACTCCCCCTTGGATGAGAGTGATGATAAAAGATAGGTCACAGCACCCTATGTGGAGAGGGGAAGGGTTCAAAAGGGGAAATAAAAGCAAATTCTTCAAATTCCTTCTTCTTTAGGAAGGTCAGGGTTTTGTTCCAATTTGGTTTGAAGTATCCTAGATCCTTGATTTTAGACTAGGCCTCCTAGGGCAAGACACAATAGGAAAAATACAGCAATTTCATTAAAAAATGCTCTTGTTCTTTTAGAATGATCAAATTTTGTTCTGATTTGGTCTGAAGCATCCATGGGTAAAAGGAACTAAAATCTGAATAAATGATCCATCTATACCCATTGGGAATATTGGCAGACTTTATTGGGGAAATATAAATAGAATTTTTAGATTCCTTTACTTTAGGTGAAGCAATCTCATCAAACTAAGCCAGGTGAGCAATACAGGTCCTATGGGCATTTTGTTCCACAAAGCAAATGATATGTTGTTGGTGTTTCAGGCCAATTTTTCTTAAAAAATCACAAGGTCTTAAATCCAGTATTCCAGCAATTACCATTTTACAGATAATGATGGGCATTGATAATTGCACTTGTAATTGTTTGTCACAAATCAAAAGATTGATGGATGGAGCCTAGGGTAATAAACTATAATGTTCTTGTCTTTCAGTTGAAATTCAGATGTTAGAACTTCGAGAGGATACTCAGAGTGATGCTGAGGCCCGTAAGGAAGACTACAAGAAAAAGAAACTACCAGTATGTTTTTGTCTATAACATTATATATATACGGAAAATTGTGAATTTTTTTGTTCTTATTAATGTTTGTCAATCATAGAGGAATTCACAATAAATGCTGCACCCTCAGCACCGGTCTTCAAGACAAAACATTTGTGACAAGTATCAGACACGTTACTTACTGTGTGTGACCAGTATTATATAGGTTACTTACTGTGTGTGACCCAGTATTATACAGGTTACTTACTGTGTGTGACCCAGTATTATACAGGTTACTTACTGTGTGTGACCCAGTATTATACAGGTTACTTACTGTGTGTGACCTAGTATTATAATGGTTACTTACTGTGTGTTAACCAAGTATTATATAGGTTACTTACTGTGTGTGACCCAGTATTATACAGGTTACTTACTGTGTGTGACCCAGTATTATATAGGTTACTTACTGTGTGTGACCAGTATTATACAGGTTGCTTTCTGTGTGTGACTAGTATTATATAGGTTACTTACTGTGTGTGACCAAGTATTATACAGGTTACTTACTGTGTGTGACCAGTATTATACAGGTTACTTACTGTGTGTGACCTAGTATTATACAGGTAACTTACTGTGTGTGACCCAGTATTATACAGGTTACTTACTGTGTGTGACCCAGTATTATACAGGTTACTTACTGTGTGTGACCAGTATTATATAGGTTACTTATTGTGTGTGACCCAGTATTATACAGGTTACTTACTGTGTGTGACCAGTATTATACAGGTTACTTACTCTGTGTGACCAGTATTATACAGGTTACTTACTCTGTGTGACCAGTATTATATAGGTTACTTACTCTGTGTGACCAGTATTATACAGGTTACTTACTGTGTGCGACCAAGTATTATACAGGTTGCTTACTGTGTGTGACCTAGTATTATACTGGTTACTTACTGTGTGTGACCAGTATTATACAGGTTACTTACTGTGTGTGGCCTAGTATTATACAGGTTGCTTACTGTGTGTGACCAGTATTATACTAGTTACTTACTGTGTTTAACTCAACATTATGAGGTCAACTAAAACAAAGTTTCTTGGGGACCTGTGGTCGCCTTTTGTTCCTCTTGGAAAACTCCTGTGAAATTTTCCAGAATTTTTCCATGGCCAAAATGTGAACCAAAATTGTGAACTATATAGTCTGTACTCATCAAGGGTGTAAGTGTTTGGGCCAAAAGGTTAGAATTGACTAAAATTTTAAATATTGTATTCTCAACACCCAAATCAGAAAGAATCAAATGTTCTTCATAAAATGGAAGGGTCTTAAGGTGCTTAACCAAAGTTGTGAATTTCATTACCCCAGAGTCTCACATTTACCTCTGGGGAGGTAATAAATTTTACTGTCGTTTGTATGGGAAAATTACATTTTGAGTATAATTTGTTTAGTTTCCATTGAAAATAACATGCTAGAATTATTGGTATAGAATAAAGAATTAATGGTAGGCACATATTGACCCTGCTTGATACTCAGAGACTGATGGATAATTGACTTAAGTTTAAAAAATCTTCTTCTCAGCACCAATAGATGGTAGAATGAAATGTATATCATGGACAGAAGGATCTAAAGATGCTTTACCAAATAACAAATTTCATGACCTAAGGATTGCACATATATATGGGAGCAAGTTTTCTATTTAGGAAAATTAAATTTTTGAGCATGATTTGTTTATTTTTCATTTGAATTACAGTGATTCAAACTTGGTTGGCATTATGAGTATTTGATGACAGTTTGATGATGTAGCCATATTGATGCTTACATATATAAACAAACATATATATTTACCTAGTCTGTCAAAGATTTCACTTATAGGTTTAAGATTCTTGATCTTCTTCACAGCAGTCAATTTTAAAATCATGTGTAAGGTCTGTGATATTGAGCATATCTTGTAAGTCTTTGAAAATGTCTGACTTACATCTAATAGAATTTGTTATTTCTGTAGGAAGACTGACATTTTTTAACCAAATCTCATGAGAGGTAAAGCTGAAAAATCAACCTAGAACACAAGTGGGAAATGGCTATTTCTCTTTCATCATTTTGTCAAAATTGATAAAACATACATGACTGGTTTCCTGTTCTGATTGTTCAATTTGACTAGATTACCTCCTTTTTGGTTTATTCGTCAGAAAGACAATTTAAGGTCACATTCATTTATGACGTCACTTGAAAATGTACAGAACAGACGAGACAGAAAAATATGGCACTGAGTAGTACATAAGAATTCCCTACCTTATTTCTGGACATTCTTTTTTCAAGCCTATGCGTCCTTTCATCATCACAAAAGACATGATACAGAAGCAGGTGTTTGGACTGGGATATCCGAGCATTCCAACTCTCACCATTGAGGAGTTCTATGAACAGAAACTTAAAGATGGTACATTTCAGCCACCTATGGCAGGGTATGTGTAAATCTGATGTTTGAATTATCAATATAGAACAGTTTTAAAAGGTGAAGTGTTGAGCGCCAGTAACAATTCCGTTTACAAGGTATGATAAGCAATACTACTCCCCAATAATAGATATGCCAATTCAATTGAAGTAAGTAAAACCATTTATTTCAATTAATTAATGATGATGTATCATCCAATATACTTATGATCAATTTTTCATTGTTTTCTACACAAAATGCAGCTTTTTGATTCATCATTTTTTTTCTTTTCTTTTACCATTGTAAAAAATAAACCAGTCTAGCTTTGCCCACTTTATGATTGGAGGAGTCAATGGCAACATGCTTCCTTATAGTGTTTCTGTTGAAACTTCTTTTTTGTACAAATGGAATGTTTTTTCACATTCACCTGTTCTGTGGATCGCTGTCTTTCAATACTGTAAACAAAAAACTAACTACAATATCATAAGACATCCAAATATCTTATAACGAACATGTACACAAACAATAAACAATAAATAAATATGGATTAATCAGGGGTAAATATGTTACTTTGTACTTGTACATAGTTCTGTTTGGAATGTGACAGGCCAACTCACAAATGAATTTTGGAAATTAGTTGTCAGTGATGTCACATCATGTCACGCCAGCTGTTATGTGTAGTAATTTGTTATAAAATTATCTTTAATTAAATTATCAAATTTATACAATAATATTAATACAAGATCAATGCAAGATTCTGTCACTATCTTGTAATAGTCGTAACTGTGGAACCTTTCATTATAACTTGAAACTAAAAATTACCTTCAACTCCTGCTGGTTATTATTTGCACAGCATTGACATCAGGCTACAAGGACCTTTACCTCAAGTCATAAATTACCAGTTATTTGTGAGATAAAATTCCTGTTAATTATAGCATGATTTTTAACTTTCAGGCACAGTATGCAGGACTGGGCAGAAAACCCTGAACTAGACAAAGAGGACCGGGAAAGAGAGGACGAGGAGAAAGAGAAAAAGATAGAGGCAGATGATCCCGAAGATTTACAGAAGGCACGCAACTGGGATGAATGGAAGGATGGTAGGTAGTGATACAGAAAGACAGAGAAGGATGGTAGGTAGTGATACAGAAAGACAGAGAAGGATGGTAGGTAGTGATACAGAAAGACAGAGAAGGATGGTAGGTAGTGATACAGAAAGACAGAGAAGGATAGTAGGTAGTGATAGTGATGCAGAAAGGATGGTAGATAGTGATACAGAAAGACAGAAGGAAAGACTGAAAGAGATTTAAAGAAGGATGGTAGATAGTGATACAGAAAGACAGAGAAGGATGGTAGGTAGTGATACAGAAAGACAGAGAAGGATGGTAGGAAGTGATACAGAAAGACAGAGAAGGATGGTAGATAGTGATACAGAAAGACAGAGAAGGATGGTAGGTAGTGATACAGAAAGACAGAGAAGGATGGTAGGTAGTGATACAGAAAGACAGAGAAGGATGGTAGGTAGTGATACAGAAAGACAGAGAAGGATGGTAGGTAGTGATACAGAAAGAGATTTAAAGATGGATGGAAGGTAGTGATACAGAAAGACAGAGAATGTTGGTAGGTAGTGATACAGAAAGACAGAGAAGGATGGTAGGTAATGATACAGAAAGACAGAGCAGGATGGTAGGTAGTGATACAGAAAGACAGAGCAGGTTGGTAGGTAGTGATATAGAAAGACAGAGAAGGATGGTTGGTAGTGAGATAGAAAGACACAGAAAGACAGAGAAGGATGGTAGGTAGTGATACAGAAAGACAGAGAAGGATGGTAGGTAGTGAGACAGAAAGACAGAGAAGGATGGTAGGTAGTGAGACAGAAAGACAGAGAAGGATGGTAGGTAGTGATACAGAAAGACAGAATGATGGTAGGTAGTGAGACAGAGATACAGAAAGACAGAGAAGGATGGTAAGTAGTGAGACAGAAAGAGGTACTTAGATGTACCCTCTAGAGTAAAGGATGCCTTGTACTAGATCATGCTTGGATTACATAGTGATAACATCATTTTAATTGTTGGCCGTATCCTTACATTTCAAGTTGGTTGGTATGCATGATAATTTCACATTACTTGTCAGCTGTTTGTTTAAGACCAATGGATATTCTTTTCTTCCTCAGAACATCGAAGAGGATGGGGCAACAGGAAGAACATGGGATGAAACGATGTCTGATGATTGACAAAAACACTTCACTATATCATGTCTTTAATCATCAATGTCAGGACATCCATTAGACCTAGGACCAGGACACCATTCAAGATTCAAGACAACAGTACATCTGCTGTTAGTTCATAGCAACAGGACATCTGTGTTTGGATTTAGCACTTGGACACTATCGGTTGTCCATGACAACAGGACAACTGTGTTTGGATCTAGGACTGTGACACTATCGGTTGTTCATGACAATAGGATATCTTTATTTGGATCTAGAACTAGGACACTATTTGTTGTCCATGACAACAGGACATTGGTGTTTGGATCTAGGACTGGGATATTATATCCAGCCAGATATCTTTGACCTGACATAGCTACAATTATAGATTTAAACCAGAGGTTTGTTATTCAGTGGTATATATTTTAATAATATTGATAGACCTACAGTCCTCATTATTCAGGATATAAATGTAGGAGGGTACCTATGGAATTCAATCCATAGAGAAATTGATTCATGCTGTGTAATTGAATAGATTGATACACCATTGAGATGGAACGATGAAATCCTGAACTAAAACATGTCTGTTATTATTCATGGTCTGTTCACATTAATTTTTTTTACCTCTCTTATGAAGCCTTCAACCAGACTTTAATGAAACTTTGGTGGTTTAGAAAAACTGGTCTTCCAGAGGGCTTTCAGACATGGCAATAGAGGAGTGACGTGTGTAACAACTTGTAGGACACTTTTAATATACCTGAATTGTGACCTAGTCTAATTGCCATTTGTCTGTCATTGAGCATCATCCAATAGTAAAAAAAAATATGTTTTTGACTTCAGAAACCCCAGAACCACTTTCAATAATTTTGCATGAACCTTCCTTGGTCAAAGATACACCAAAATGAGTAATTATGGATTCTAAGGGGCTGGGCCAAAAGGGGTCAAAATGGTTAGGATTTCCATTTTGTTCTCCACACCTGGATAAGATTGGAACCAATACTCTTCATGTATAGAGGGATCTTATGTACTTTACTAACATTCATGACCCCCAGGCTCCATGTTTGCCAAGAGGGTGGAAACTGACAGCTTTAATCATTTGTTAAATTTCTTTGAAATAATTCAAACTTAGAATGATTAACATAGGATGCTGGTTGATGAGATGCATATTTCAAATTTTCATTACATGAACAAAGTAGTTTTAAGTTACTTTAATTTAACAAAATAATTTCTATGACATGTTACAGGAATAATAACAGCATTTTGTCGGAGGTGACCTATGGGCAACTTGTTACATCTTAAAATCAATAAACTTTATTGAAGAATGAAGATATGTTCATTTTGTAGTCTGTGGGGCATTAAGTATCAAGTGCTGATGTAAAGAGTGCACACCCCGGAGCCCAAAGCTCAATATCAGTAAAATGGAAGAGATATAAAAAATGAAAATATTATCAAGTCAAATAATTTATCGAGGTTTAATCATTACGCCCACCTCCCCAACTTTCACAGGTTGTCCTTCTGTCCATCCATCCATCTGTCCATCTGTATGTCCGTCCACCCATCTGTAGACACAAGGATGTACTGTCTACTTCTTTTAATCTACTGAATTGATGTCAATGCTGCTTGCTTGATCTAATTCTTATATACTGGAGAAGTGCATAATCTAGATCAGGTTGAGTTACCTCCCCTTTTTGGAAAATTATGCCCCTTTAGGAACGCAATAATGTACCCGCTACTCCCACTTTTTTGGATTTCAATGAAACTTGCTGGCAATAATCTTTATACGTTGTAAATGTGCAGCATGTATATCAAGTTATCTCCCCTTTGCAGAAACTTAAGCTGCTTTCTGGATTTCAATGAAAATTTGATGACAAGAATCCTTATAAATTGTAGATGAAGGTGATCTATATCAGGTTTAGTTATTTCCCCTTTCCAAAATAAGTCACAGATGTATCCTCAATATCACTGATATCCCTTTATTATACTGGTAATAATAAGTCACAGAAGTATCGTCAATGTCACAGATATCCCTCTATTATACTGGTAATAATAAGTCACAGAAGTATCGTCAATGTCACAGAAACCCCTCTGTTATACTGGTAATAAGTCACAGACGTATCCTCAATGTCACTGATATCCCTCTGTTATACTGGTAATAAGTCACAGACGTATCCTCAATGTCACTGATATCCCTCTGTTATACTGGTAATAAGTCACAGACGTATCCTCAATGTCACAGATACCCCTCTGTTATACTGGTAATATGTCACAGACGTATCCTCAATGTCACTGATATCCCTCTATTATACTGGTAATAAGTCACAGAAGTATCGTCAATGTCACAGATATCCCTCTGTTATACTGGTAATAAGTCACAGACGTATCCTCAATGTCACTGATATCCCTCTGTTATACTGGTAATAAGTCACAGAAGTATCGTCAATGTCACAGATATCCCTCTGTTATACTGGTAATAAGTCACAGACGTATCCTCAATGTCACGGATATCCCTCTGTTATACTGGTAATAAGTCACAGACGTATCCTCAATGTCACTGATATCCCTCTGTTATACTGGTAATAAGTCACAGACGTATCCTCAATGTCACTGATATCCCTCTGTTATACTGGTAATAAGTCACAGACGTATCCTCAATGTCACAGATACCCCTCTATAATACTGGTAATAAGTCACAGACGTATCCTCAATGTCACAGATATCCCTCTGTTATACTGGTAATAAGTCACAGACGTATCCTCAATGTCACAGATACCCCTCTATAATACTGGTAATAAGTCACAGACGTATCCTCAATGTCACAGATATCCCTCTGTTATATTGGTAATAAGTCACAGACGTATCCTCAATGTCACAGATACCCCTCTATAATACTGGTAATAAGTCACAGACGTATCCTCAATGTCACAGATATCCCTCTGTTATACTGATAATGTCACAGACGTATCCTCAATGTCACAGATACCCACTGTTATACTGGTAATAAGTCACGGACGTATCCTCAATGTCACTGATATCCCTCTCTTATACTGATAATGTCACAGACGTATCCTCAATATCACAGATATCCCTCTCTTATACTGATAATGTCACAGACGTATCCTCAATGTCACTGATATCCCTCTCTTATACTGATAATGTCACAGACGTATCCTCAATGTCACAGATATCCCTCTGTTATACTGGTAATAAGTCACAGACGTATCCTCAATGTCACAGATATCCCTCTGTTATACTGGTAATAAGTCACAGACGTATCCTCAATGTCCAAAAAAACGAAATAATATTTCGAAAAAACGAATTAATATTTCGAAAATACAAAATAATTTTTCGTTTAAACGAATTATTATTTCGAAAAAACGAAATAAAATAAATATGGAGCATGTCAGTTAACGGGCTCCGTATAATCCCGATTTTTAAAAGTGGAAAAAAGAATTATAGACCGATATCGCTTCCGGTTTTACATAAAGATTGTACAAAAGACACAGAAGTGAAAAGCATCCTTTGATAATTCAGAGTTATATACAGTAAAGCAAAATAATGGGTTAAACTGTACCATACAGCTGTATCGTCCCTCTAGGACTCGTCAGTGATGCTAACTTGGAACAGAATAGTAAATTGTATACTGCATTTCTCGATACGTGTAAGGCATTTGATACAGTGACAACACAATGGAATGCTCCAGAAATGATATAATCTTAAAGCAACTGCTGAATTATTACTATATAATTAGTACCAAGAAATCAGTAGTGCCGTACTTACCAATTGTGTTAGATCAAGGTAATGTGGAGTTATCTCCACTTGTATGTATCTTATCCCTATCCCCCTTTTTTTTAACCGTAGTGGTACAATGGTATATAACTCTGGAAGATATGATACGGAAAATTCTTCATTGGTGATTAAAAACTCCATACCATGCAAACAGATTCGTTACCCTGGAGTTGTCTGTTTGGTTTCATTTAAACTCACTTGTCAATAATGCTTCATGTACTTGCGTTTATCATTGTGTAAACGTCATTCACTACTTGTGATAATGTCATCTTTATACCTTGAAGGAATATTTTGATCTACAATTTTACTGCTTTGAATGTTGCGTTCAGTGTGGATACAATTTTGTTAGAAATCCTCGTCTCACGGTACACCTTAGTTGAAATATATTAAGACAAGTGCAGTCCTTAATTAAATCTAGTAACATATTTCAATTTTGAATAGTAACTGTTATTGTAGACATATACTTTTCCCGTGGTAGTTATTGGCAGAGTGCTTAAAGTTGTAATAACGTGTGCATCCTCCCTAGTTCTAAGGTTGAGAAGATATGTATAAATTGGACACCGTTTGAAACTTCTGGCAAAGTTCGTGTGACTGTTTACGTCTACATAACGTTATCATTGAACTTGTGAGTTACAGCCAATAGGGTCCCGTTCAGAGCGAGTCACTCTTATGTCATTCTCGCCGGGGCCCCTATTTACTCATTTATTTATTTATTTACCGGGTTTTGCACCCACTCTTATGACCTTTCGGCCTTTTTAGCGGACGAAACTTTGCCCTCGTGATGATGATGATGCTGAGGGTTTCGCGTCTCCATGACTCTTCCCGTTGCCGGGCGTTGTCCAATAGACTGGATTCGATTCTCTGATGACTTGAAGGGGTGCTCCTCTCATGTGATGGAGTCGTCTGTGGATGGAATAGTCTATATGTTTGAGACGTCTCCCTGGCCTAATGACACCTGACTTCCATATCTGGACTTCCGATGTTGAAGTGGGGGGCGGGGTATCCTATCTTCAGTGTCCTGCCCATTCTTCAGACTGTCCCTCTATCTGTACTAACTTTTAGATCAAGGGAAATTTAGAAGTCCTTGTCTAATAGTTTATAATAATCATAATGTGGCCGTTAAAAATTTGTCTTAAATATGGAATATGTCTATATTAGTAACGGCATCGTTTTTAAGAAAACGGAATCAAACATGGTAGTGAGATCACCCTTTATATAGCCGTTATTTCGAGGGAAAATTTCCAGGCTTATTTGGGCTCCTGTAAATTTGATAAGGCGTTAAGCGCCTACTCTTATTATCGGTAACCACAGGAGGTATAAAATATATGACAGCCGAATAAAATGTTGATTTTATCATGTCATGTATTAAACGAAAAGTCACATTCATCTTTCATTTGTCTGGATATTAATGTGATAGGATATAAATAAAATTGATGTTCATCAAATTCAAATACAAACATTGATCTTTTCCTTCATTTTACTTTGCCTGCTTTACCCCATTTCCTTTTTCTATCTATCTCTCTGCCTTTCTATCTATCTCTCTGCCTTTCTATCTATTTCTACTCTTTAACAAACAAAAACACACACACTCTTGCTCCAAAATAAATAGAGATTCACATAGCTGTCTCTCATGAAATTTTAGTGTTTAAACTGAAGATCAGACTGCATAATGTTAATGTATGTTGCAGTGATATCTGATGTCTATGGTATTGATGAGTGTGAAAAGATGAAATGTTCAATTGATTGATAACGATTGTGTGATAATGAAATTAATACAAGGCTAACATATTGAATCATTGATGATATCTAAATATACATTCTATCTGGATGATTAGCATGTTGATGTTGGAAAATATGGTAACATTGTGTGATTGTTGGCTGATTGGAAATCAATGTTTATAAGCAGATGATACTGAAAATAATTATGATATAAGATAGGTTGTTGATGATAATTTCGATGAGGGTGGTCATGGCAATGATAGGGAATTTGATGATTTGAAGTGTGTATGATGATGATGATGATGATGATGATGATGATGATGATTGAGCGATTGAACGAGCCTATAAGTGAATCCATATTATGTATTGTTATGTTTTGTCATGTGTGGTTTGAAAAAAAATCATACAAAAAAATCTATCATTGTTTAATGCATATTTGGATATATCTATCTCTATATATCTCTGTTTATCAATATCTGGATATACCTATCTCTATATATCTCTGTTTATCAATATCTGGATATATCTATCTCTATATATCTCTGTTTATCAATATATGGATATATCTGTCTCTATATATCTCTGTTTATCAATATCTGGATATATCTATCTCTATATATCTCTGTTTATCAATATCTGGATATATCTGTCTCTATATATTTCTGTTTATCAATATCTGGATAAAACCTATCTCTATATATCTCTGTTTATCAATATCTGGATATATCGGTCTCTATATATCTCTGTTTATCAATATCTGGATATATCTATCTCTATATATCTCTGTTTATCAATATCTGGATATATCTGTCTCTATATATCTCTGTTTATCAATATCTGGATATATCTATCTCTGTATATCTCTGTTTATCAATATCTGGATATATCTAACAATCTCTGTTTATCAATATCTGGATATATCTCTATATATCTCTGTTTATCAATATATGGATATACCTATCTCTACATATCTCTGTTTATCAATATATGGATATACCTATCTCTATATATCTCTGTTTATCGATATCTGGATATATCTGTCTCTGTATTTCTGGAGCGGCTTATCTCTGTTTATCAGTTTATTCCTATGTATGTATATATATCTATGTATATCTATATCTGTAAAACTGTTTATGTCTCTGTGTATCTATTTCTGTATATTTCTTCATGTCTATGTATGAATATCTATCTCTGTATATCTTGAGTATATATCTCTGTATATCTGTTTATTTATAAGTATGTATATCTTTCTCTGTATGTCTCTGTGTATATCTCTCTGTATATCATTTTTAGGTCTATATGTATCTATATATATATATATGTCCGTATGCCAAATATTTTTTTCTAAATAAAATGTGAGGTATATGACACGTTACATTTCGATAAAAAACGGGACGGTGAAATATCATTCTCGGTCCCATCGGCTGTCAAGCTTATTGCTATATCCTTCTGTCATAGTGAAACTAAGGCCAGTAATTCTGGGAGATAAAAATGAGGAAATATAAGCGAGACTATTAATGTCTTATATAATGGTAAGCTACTTGTGTATAAAATTCCTTGTCTATTTGATTGATTAAAACTTCACAATCTCGTGAATGTTAATTCCATATCTCCGTAAACAAACAAATTTGATAGATATTAATTAACTCTTCATACATGTTAATTCAAATGAATCTTTGTAGTAAATTAAACCACAACTTGAAAACAGATGAACTTGAAGAAATTGACAGAGATGCTCTTTTCATCGTGTAATGACTTTTGTGATGATACAGGCCATACAGAATTTGTTTTATCAGTGCATCAGTTTACACAATCGAGATTTGCAGAGGTTACATAGGTTACTTATACCAAGCTGAGAAAACGGAACTTACGATAACGGACTTGTCTATTTTCCAACATGGATATTAAGAAGTATTTTATGGTTAGAAGAGTATTATATACATATATATCTAGATAATAATGATTCTTCATTTCGAATCACTACTTTCCTGTATAGAAACAGGACAGTACACGAAACTATCCCGTTTGATTTAACATCGTTATATCAGGATAACCACATTTGCAACTAACCAGTAAAAAGGCTTAAGATTTAAGGTCGATCACTATTTTAGACTCGTTCGTTTTAATTTTAAATGTAACTGCTGCGTAATTTCTAACACAACTTGTTAATAATTTCAGAATCAGTCGGAGTGAGCTAATAACACACGAACGCACATACACCACACACACATACCACAACCACCACCATCACAAACGCACCACCAACACCTCACACCCACACTAGCACCCACACACACTCACCCACACTAGCAACCACACACTCACCAACATCACCACCTCACACCCACACTACCACCCACACACACTCACCACACCACCACACACCCACACTAGCACTCACACACACATCAGCACCACCATCACACACCCACATTAGCACTCACACACCACCACCACCACCATCACACACACACCCACCCACTTACCACCACACAACCTCATCCTCCTCCCCACACACACCACCACCACACAACCTCATCCTCCTCCCCACACACATCACCACACACGTCATCCTCCTCCCCACACACACCACCACACACGTCATCCTCCTCCCCACACAACCTCATCCTCCTCCCCACACACACCACCACAACCCTCATCCTCCTCCCCACACACCCGCACTAGCACCCACACACACTCACCACCACCATCAACACCTCACACACGCACACCACTGCACGCACGCACCCTCACCCACATACAAAACTCAGAGATCAGAAAAAATGTTGTGGATTCACGGGAGCACGTCTGGGCACGCCACTGTTTTAAAAATGAAAACCAAGGACTTAAATCATATGCCAAAGAAACATTTCCAGTCGGTATTAATAAAATATTGATATAAAAACAATTTCGTCGACGACACCGCTACGAATAAATACCAAGTAAGCGATACGAAGTTCTCGAATGAAAACAAGGTTAGGAACAACGGAACTGTCAGGTATATTAACGAACAACACGTCCCGAATTCATATCTGACAGGAAACAGGAAAAAAATCTCACGGGATCATTATGACTACCATAAAACTGACCCACGCGTTAGCTATTGATCATGAAAAAATGTGAATCGAACAAGACAATATAACATCATAAAACAGAGATTTTATTTTCTTTATTTTACAAATGGTATATGTAATGAAGGAGAATTTGTAGTTTTGCTGTTAGAAGATGTGTCAGGATATCATTTAATAACTCCTGGCGTCATATATGTTTCAAGTTGTCTGTTTTTTAAGAGAAATATGTTACCAGTTAAGAGTGTAGCATCGCATGTATTTCATTATGTCTACTGCGAAGACAGGCTCTGCATAACTTATATTTTAAATAATTAATGCATGAACATTATAGCGGGCCAGTGGGAAGCGGACACGTCGCTCGGTTTTTCCTGATAGATCTAGAGTTATTTCCCTTCCTATGACTCTTTTTCCAAGATGTCGGCGCCCTATGTTGCACAACATTATTAATCACTTTCACGTACTTACTCGGCAATTACTGCGACACCAAGAAATACCACGTCATAGCGATATTTAATTAAGAAAAGGTAAGAATAAAGGTACGTGCGCTTTCAGTAGTCTTCAATATCCTGGATGGACGTGTATAGTTAAAGTATGTCTTGTTCCAGTCGTTCGGTGAGTGATGACAGCCGGTGTCAGTCGTATAAAACTTATCTGCAGTAATATTTGAAATTTAGTCATCGTTTTCTTGTAATCTATATACTTCCCTTTGTACCCCCACCAAAGTTTTGTCAAGGATGAGATATCTATGTGTTGGGGTTTCCAAACGAAACCTTTTCTCTACGGTCTCCATTATTATTAAGACAAGTCATATTTGACTCATCTGTAAACTGCGTATGTAACATCATTTCGTTATTTAGACACATGGCGTCACAGTAGGTACACATAATGGCCATATAACATTGGTTCATACAAAAAAATATTACATGGGCATATTCACTTAATAGCACGACAATCATTTGGTGAGAAATGTGTGTACTAATTTATCAATTAAAATAAATTCAATCGTAGATGGTAGACATATGATATGATTATCGTAAGCAATAGAGATTAAAAAATGTGATATAAGTTAATTGGCATTTAGTTATGCGTTGACATTCTTTGCAGGGTTAATCTCACAATAATGGCTGAGACCGTGTTGGACATTAATGAAATAATTACAAATCTGTATCTTGGGAGTTGGAGTGCAGCAAAAGATATAATTCGGTTAAAAGCGAAAGGAATCACACACATATTGACGGTGAACAACTCGCCTCTTCCTAAATCAGTCAGTGAGCAGTTCAAGTACAAGTTCATTCATGGGTTTGACCTGGAGTTCACAGACCTACTGAACTACTTTGAAGAATGTATTAAGTTTATAGATGAAGGGATCAGATATGGGTCTGTTTTGGTTCACTGGTGTGTATGTTTTGATATTTTATTTCATCCCAGACAAAAACAAATCAAATACTTTATGCTTGAAATTATACAAGTACATGTATATTTCTGATCTTTGAAATTACAATAATGAAAATTCAGCTGATAATCCTTCTAATACAGGCTATTTCTGAATGACAACAATATCACATTTTGGATTTTAATTTATTTCAGTATATCATTCCTTCATCTTTCTCTTGATTTAACATTATTGTCTTTCTGTCATTTATCACCTTTGGATTTCCTATTTTAGCTTGGCAGGCTGTTCTAGAAGTGCTACTGTTGTTATTGCATACCTAATGAAAAAGAAAGAGATGTGTTTTGCTGAAGCTTTGGGATTTGTCCGGAAAAGCAGATCAATAGTTCAGTATGTAAACCAAGTTAAAATATTGACTTATACTTTGTACATCTGAGGAAAGTTGACAGAGATTAATACATCCATTGTTGATGTAGAATTGATAATATACAAAAAGGATATAGTTCTTCTTGAGATGAAAATGTGAGACTGACTCAATTAACTTAACATTATGAATATGGTTTTTAAATTTTAAGTGCTCTGCTCGGTAAACAAGTATTACCACACATGTTTCATTATATTTTGCAATGTTCACTTCCCACAGTCCAAATGAAGGTTTTAAAGATCAACTTCTCCTATATGAAGAAATGGAGAATAAGATTGACACAACCAATGAAAGATTTAGACGATATCGACTGAAAAAACTGGCATTGAAAATTCACAGCTATGATTGTAAGTTTCTCTTTTGTAACCCTTTCTGTTATAATATAACATTTTGAATTAAATGTGACTGGTATTATTGATATCAGATTTGAAAATTGTGTTAAGAGAATGTTGAATGCAACCATATATTGAAATTTGACATAGAAAGATGATTGATTAATATTTTTGGATTGTTAATACATTCCTGCAATATATTTTTACAGTAGATGAAACCTTTAGTCCAGAGGAGCTGACAGCCAATCCATCAGACACAGATAGTAAGATGGATACAGTTTACAAATGCAGGAAATGCCGGTAAATGTCTCTTCTAAAATTTTATAACCACAAACATGTATTTTCCTCATAGAAAGCGCTGTACATGATGTAGTCCTGACCAGTAAACTTTTAACTTTGATTTCATTAGCCTGCCATTAGTAAGAGATATTAGAGAAGTCTGAAATGTATGAAAATATATGGTAATTCTGTCATAGGAATTGGAGTAATAGAATCTTATACAAGTGTAGGTCTGTTCTGTTTACAGGGATATCTCAACCAAATTATAAGAGTTTGGCTGGCCAGCAAAAGACTGATAATTTTTCTCACAAATAAAATTGTAACATATTAGATGTTGTATACAGTGTACAATATCAGTTATCCATGGAATGTAACTTACTTTTGCCAATTATGGCTTGGTTACACTACATAAAATGATGACACAAACCTATTGCGAGTAGCGTCGTGGCACATACCAGTTGTCTTTATCTACCCTGTGTAAGATAGAGTTATCTTATCCCTAGCAAAACTAGGATCATGGATATGGAGTATGTGAGAAATAGAATATCTGTCAACATACCAGTAAAATTGTGTTTTGATTGACATTTACAGGCAGGCTCTGTTTAAACAGTCAGGATTAATTACACATTGTGTTGGTGAGGGAGAAGCTGCCTTTGATTGGAGAAGTAGAATCCCAGCTAGTCAAAAAGAGAATGTTGACCGAGGGGAAAGCTTGACTACCTGTAGACAGTCTCTATTTATCGAACCAGTTCGATGGATGGCAAACTTCATATCTGAACCTCTGGGCAAGGTACAAGTTCATTTTAATAAATGTCAAATACTTAAATAAAAAAATATGTACGTCTTGAAATTTAACTACTCTTCCGACTAATTGAAAAGTAATGTAACCGAACCTTTCAATTTTCAAACTTTCCTAACTATTACATTTCACAACAACAACACTTCAAACTCTCTTAAAGAATTTTATTGTAAGAGTTGTAAACACAAAACTGCAAACAAGTTTTTAGGAAATGATAGACTTATTAAGAAATTCTCATAGGTGTTGAATTTTATCATCAAAATCAGTTAGAACAATGGATTTGAGAAATCCCTGTAATAGTAATACTTGGTAATTTGTCATCATTTGTGAAATGTTGGAAGTAAAAATGGTTTCAATAGAACAAGGCATCATGAAATAATTATGATGTTGTTATTGGTAAAATAGCTTAGTAAAATGAAATGTTCATAAACTTTATTTCCGGTTATCATAAAGTCCATCAAATCCAAATGATCCCAATCTATGATAGAGAAAGAGAGAGAGAAAAAATGAATAATAATGATTTACACTTTGCATTTTTTTCCAGTTATCTTGTCCAAAATGTAACTCTAAGATTGGATCTTTTGTATGGCATGGTAAGTACTATCATTTCAACTTGCTATCATCAAATGGTGGAATTTAATAATGTTTTTTTTTTTGTGTCCATGAGTTCATCCTGTATATATATGGTTATCACTATTTTCCAGAACTTGACACTGTAAGGATGTACAGAAAAGTTAATGAACATGTTAAATTAAGGGCTATAGTTGGACACATTTTTACTTTAATGAGAAATTCTTGATAGCTGCCTGTGGCCTTTTTTGGATTTATTTCATTTGAATGAACCCTGGTGAAATAGTAACAGCAATACAACACATGACTAGAGAGAACGTCCCTTAAACTCGCTTGGTTTAGCATTAGACTAGTAAGTCAGAGGTCCTAGCAGAGAAAATAAAATAAAGAATGACATCTGTCACACAAAGATTGTGTCTAATTTTTCTCCAGAATTCATCGAGATCTTCTTCTTGAAACTTCATGTGTTCATTATGGATTTTTGCTGTGCTTGCTTTTTTTTATTTGAATTAGATTTTGAACATGATGGCAAAGGGAGAGAAGAGTATGTCCATTATTGAGGCATACTCTGAACATGTATTTTTTAATGTCACTCAAAGTAGGGAGGGAAATGTAGGTGGAAAGATGATAATGTTAAATAGTTATGTTTTAGTACTTCTCGAAAGATAGATAAAAGGCAACTGGAATCACAAAGTGAAGTCTTAACAGGCGTGCAACTTATTTTAGAGGGTGTATAACAGTATAATATGATATTGTTGATATCATGTTGTTCATTTATTAGGGCGTGCTGTTATCTGAACCTACAGATTTGTAAACAGAAATTAAATAAATGTTAATTCTGAAGGAAACATCTTAATATCACACGTCTTAATACCCTGACCTTATTGCTTTTATTATAAGTGATATATGGTTTTACATGTTATTTATTTGTTTACAGGAGAGAAGTGCCCCTGTGGAGCATGGGTGGCCCCAGCCTTTCATATTCGTACTAACAAAGTAGACGAAAGTAAACCACTTGTTTTGCTGGCAAAGTGAGACTATTACAAAAATGATGTGTTTTTCTGGACATTGTAGAAAAAATCCTCAATTGACAAGGGCAAGCCTTTTGATGCATTAACCAAATTCACTCAGCAAAATGTGAAACAAAAACAGTAAAGATACATTGTAAAATGCATGACTTGAATATGCCAACCTTTGATGGACATGATGATTCAAAATTCAGTCCTTTAAAGAGGTTTGAGAGGACCAACAATCAGTGGTACTAGACTGTTAAAATTTTGAAATGGACACTGCAGGTATTTCCAAATCCAGTGTCTGTATACCTGTATTTAAGTATGCTTGGTACTTAAAAGAATTCATTCATCACATGATTGTTTTATTCAGTGAGTCTACCATTACCTCATTTACAATGTAATAACCCCATTGTGACATTCGTCAAGGTTTAGATATTGAAATAATGTCATACATTTGCAGAGTACATTGTGGTGTCACCACGGAGACCATAGATATACAGTCAAGAGGACTTAATGTATGATGTACAAAAATCTGTTTTCTTCAATAATTGCCAAAATTATTGATCGTGTGATAAATAGGATCTTTGTATGTTTCCGATGTGATTGATGAAAATTGTCTCATAAGTTTTCTTTTTAGCTCACCTTATATAATATTTATTTATATACAGGCTATAGGATTGGGACTTTGTTCAACATCTGCATGTTCTTATGCAATATAATCTTACCTTTCTTCAATGTTATTTAAGGAACTGTTTTCTTAGTCTGTATGTAAGTGTAGTAATTCATCAGAGTAAGTTATACCCTGTTTGTTACAAGTTCAGTAGTAGGTGAGAAACCATACAGCTTTGGTGTGTATACATAATGTATAAATTAGTGCAATGTCTACTCACACTTTATGTCATTAATAAACAGTCTCCCAAAGTGATCAACTCATATTGAACAATGTTGTTAAATAAACTGCCATTTTTCTTGAATCTGTCATCTTTCATATTTTTTCTGTTTTAATCACACCCCCTTCCTTTTTCTTTTGATTCTGTGTTTGTGGTAGTCAGCGCTGCCAACCTGTAATGATCAAATATCTGGTCATGGTATCAGTGAATTGTACTTTAAATCCATTTCATTGTAAAGTAGTCTGATATTCTGTTGACTTTTTTTCATATTGGTTGTGGAGTTGATTAAGATCAGAACTCCAGTTCTGTAATGTTAATTGTGCAAAGACATCCTGTGAACACTAAATCTTTTACTACAATGTAATTAATTAATATTCAGTTATTGAACTACTTATTTATTGTAAAATGTATTTGAGTACAGCTAAACTTGATTTTGTGGATAAATATAGCTCAATACATTTACTTACACTAATTTTAAGAGGTCATAAATGTATGAACTTGTGGATTAAGATTATCCATGAAATCTACAAAAAAACCCCAAAACTGACAGAAGTAAGTGATCGATCAGTACATAAGCTATATGTATACATACTGCAGTAACTTACATACATCATGTGACAACGGACATGTGACCTACATAGGGTACATTTGATGTTTTATAGGTCAGCATTGGTAGTACTACTACAAGGTACCATAAACCAGTGATTAATTTACACATATCTGTTAATAGGATCACTCAAATCTCTGCAATTTCAGCAGAAATACAAGCAGATCAAATTATCCTGTTTTCCCAGACTTTGGATTAGATATGTTTGCCAGTGTTTATCACAAATGCTGTCTCATTAAAACTAGACGGTAAGTGTCTACGCCTGTATGTTTTGGCCTGTTACCAGAGCCAGTATCAGTTTCATTAAAACTGGACGGTTAGAGTCTACACCTGTATGTGTTAGCCAGTTACTAGAGCCAGCATCAGTCTCATTAAAACTTAGACTTTTTATTTTATCAAACTGCTACCAGAGCCAAGATCAGTCTCATGAAAACAACTGAGGTAGACCGGCAATGTCTACTTCTTTATATACTGCTCGTTACAGGCCGGATAGCTGTGATATGATTATGGTTCACAGCTGAGAGACGTTCATGGTTTTCAGCGCTGTGAGATGATCACTGTTCACAGAGCTGTGACAGGATCATAGTATATTGACAAGCAAACAATAAATTTTCAATAATTATAAATATTTTAATAGACAAATCAGTTCAATACACTAAAAATCTATTCAGCATAAAACAGGCAGAAACAAGTATCTGTCACATCTATAAGCAATGACTTAAATATGTCTACCAGGTTTAATCTGTGCCATAAGGTAGTATTATCATTAGGTTTGGCTAAATCAAAAATTGGTGGTATTAGGAGTACAACAGGTAATTGATCACACCTTAGTACATGTACCTACGTCACAATATTTATACACTCAGAGAGTGTAACATATGTTACAACATAAACATATAGCTTTGTCATAAAGGATAATTACCTTATTATGCTGACCGACAATAATAACTACAGTAGGACAATACCTACTGATGGTACTGTTTATTACATAACTATTCTATAATCAGATGTGCAATCATCTTAGCATTTATTACTTATCAATCACTTGTACAGACTTGGTGAGTCAATACTGTAATTTCTACTATATTGTTTATCAATCTCCAGGCTTTTATCCTGTCCATAACTGTCTTTTCTTCATTTCCTTGTCTTATTACAGGGTTGAGAGGGGGTATTCTCAGTATTAACAATACAATGACGTCACTTAAGTAATGAGAACAAAATAACATACAAAAGAAGATCAGAAAAAAGGTAAAATAAAATTAGTATTCACTCCTTTGTAGGTAAGACAACGGGTTCTCAAATGAATTCTCAAGGAAAGATTATCAAATTGCCAAACACTCACCAAGCTTCATCTTTACAAACTTAAAAATCCCCTGTATTATATTAGTCTTTACGTTTTAGGATTTCTCATGCAAACAAAATCATTTGTGGATTTACAACTACATCTCTCATCTTACATTCATCCAGCAATATGTCCATGCCTGATTCTAAGCATATCCACATCTATTTGAATTTCCGAATACATTGTAAATGAAAACAAATGCTACATCACTACCAATTAATAATCCCATCTCTTTACTTTGAGTCAAAGACATTGATTTAGCTTCTGTGGCTTACTGCAGGAAAGATACGATAATCTCAAAAATATGTCTGATTCAAAAATATATCAATCTTGATATTGTATGTCTTGTATTTTGTTTTCGTAGAGGAATGGCATTCCCAATTTCAATCAAAGCATTTGTAAGTGGCAAACCATCACATGTTAACTACTCTGCATCATGTTCTCTTCAAGGTGTCTATGTATATATTACCAGCAGCACATCACATGATAACCATGTGATAGGAGAAAAGTCCACCATTTCAAAGCCTTAGGTATATTCAAGCTGCATTATTAATTTTCTCTCAATTCCAGATAGGTTTTCTTGCTCTATGCTGAAAATTTCTTACACAAAGAAAAACAGTGACTGTGTTGACCTGAAATGTACTTATTACACAATATTTCAAACCAGATGGAAGTAGTGTTGATTGTTCACAAGCTTGTAGGGTAACTTTAGTCTGGATTATCTCCCCTAGATTTCACAGACCACATCTCAATAGCATATCACGAAAACCTCTACAGGTTTAAGTTGTATTTAGAGAGACAATAATGCACCGATATAGTGAAGGGAAATGTTCCATATCATACAGACCTTGACTAAGGTCAGATGTTATAAGGAAGATTGCTGTTAAACAAGTTTTGGAAAGAGAGACACTGTCTCTACATGTATACAACTATCAAATTTGGATAATTCTGCATATAATAGTTAAGTACTGAGGAACAGATATTAGCAGTGAGCAGACTTTGTAAACTAATGAAGCAAGAAAGAAAGACTTTAAAGAGGTAAAGATGATTTTTTTTCTGATAGAAATATTGAATACTTATAACGACAATGTGAATACAAATTGTACATGTGCTTGACCTTGGGCATAATGCCTCGAAATCCAACTTTTAACAAGCTTCAAAGTGTAGCATGTCAAATTAATGTGAGCATGTTACATTACTGTGAACCATATTTCATTGATGTGAACCATCTCAAATACCTAATAAAAGCTCCTGTCAATATATCGTGTAATCAGAGCTTAATTTATCTCCATTAATACCGGAAACTGAAAATAGGTCCTATATAACACAAGTACCTGTTCTGGCAAATGTAAAGTAAAACAGCCCACATCCTTTGACATAATTTTTGACTTTCTTTTTGCACATTTTTACTAAAATCATTTAGAAGGAAATTATTGTGAATTTGACAAAAGGTATTTTATTTTTGCCTTTTTTCAACATCAAGGAATTTTCATGGTTTTTGATTTTTAAAACAGAATGCAAACAAACTTGTCAATAAAGGTCACTAAAGGTAGCAATAAAAATGTCCTTTATGTAGCAGTTATTTTACGTATTGTACAGTGGATTCTAGACAAGTTTTTGTTACTGACAGATTTTTTTAGCAGATTTTACAGCTGTTCAGCTTTATCACTATTTCCTATTTTACAGATTTTTGCCACAGCCAAATTTCTTTTCTATACAGTCTCATTAAAAAATATCTATGAATATGTTAAACTGAAAATATCACAGATCTGCTTCTTTTAGTTTAGACAAAATCTTCACAGTATGATGAAATAAATACTTATTGTCAAGGTTACTGGTGGCCAAATTGTAATGACTAATGTTTAAAATCAGATGTTAATTAAGTCAGGATTCAATGAGTTTCTCTCAAGATTCTGAATAAAGCTATAACCTACATTCCCTTATAAGATGTTGGCATTGGTCGAGAGTAGTTCCTATATATCTGACCTTGTACTTGTCTTATAGCTTGGAAGAAGAACTCATAAAGTTTCTTTACCATTGAAAATAAATCTATTCCTAGTATTGCTGTAAGTAGAAATATCAGTTCAATGTCTTGAAATAAATCCAACCATATGGCTATAAATAAGCCATCTCCCTTATTTGATTTAGATGTTATGTCTTTGCCACTGGGCTTATTGTAGGATAAATATGGTATAAAGTTTAATGAAACAGATATTTATACCTAACAGAGATCTGAACCTGACTTATCTGATAGATACCTTTTCTTGGTAAAATCATCCAACCTTTTCTTGGAAGGAGCAGGAAAAAGGCCAATAATTAACTTAGCCATGAAAGATGTTATCCAAAAAAGTATATAAAGAAAGGTATATAGACAGAAAGATAACTTATTTTGTAAGGTAATATTGTTGTCATGAAAATTCTGTGCAATTTGGTATTTGGCATTGACATATGGATTTAGAAAATGATTAGGTGTAGCACTTCAAGAGAGGCACACTTTTTCAGTTCCAGATTTCTTAATCTTGGTGTGAACTCAATGACGAGGACACAATGACAAACATGAGTACAACCTTCACACCACTAAGGTTCTAACAAGAGATCCCAGAGGGATCTTGGAGTCTACCATTTCTCTTACTTCTGATCTATTTTCAACTTTCGAGGTATTGACACCAATATCAATTAATGTTCTGATTATATTTATCATAGGGTATGGTTACCCCTTTAAACAAACATTCATTTTGCGAAAGACATCTCCAGCACTTTCTGACAAGTAGCAATAATGATTGGGATCTTGGATAGCCACTTGTCCTGTCAGAATGAGCATGAAAAAAAACCCAAAACTTTCACCTTTGAAACAGTCTTCCAGCGCATCCTTAGAAAAGTTCTTCATTTTACATATATTAAAGACAGATCCATCCCCCTCTGTTCTCTGATAGTTTCATAACTGATATTACACAAATTTTACAAAGATCAATTCAACACTTTCAGAGAAATACAATGAATAGGGATTGTTTAAGGACAGCCAGATCACAGACTACGGATGAAAGGTAATTTAAACAGCCCATCATCTAAAAGTGATGAGCAAAAATATCCCAGTTATTTACATATATTGTATATATGTAGAGGTAGCAGCTCCCTAAAACACTGTTAAGCCATTGCCATTTCTGGTTGTCTCACTGCCTTGCCTTCCTTGATCTGGTCCATCTGTAAATCAATGAAATGCAAATGAATAATTTGGAAAAAGAATAAATCTGGACTTATCTCTAATAGTTGTTCTTTGGCAGCTGAGCTAAAAATTCTATTAATCTCTCACTTTTGATAGTGTATACCAGTCATGAGGTTTTAATGATTAAGAATATCTCTAACATTTGACAGTTTATCCTGTCCATAGGATTTAAAAACTAAGAATGTCTATAAGTTTTGATAATGTGGTGTTACAAACTGAAATGTAAAACTTTTGTTTGACATTGTATAATTGCCATCAAGTGTTAAAAACTTAAGAATAGCTCTAATTTTTGATAATGCAGACTTGTCATGAAGTGATAAATTAAGAATATCTCTAATGTTTGATAGTGTATACTGACATGAGGTGATAAATTAAGATTATCTCTAATGTTTGATAGTGTATACTGACATGAGGTGATAAATTAAGATTATCTCTAATGTTTGATAGTGTATACTGACATGAGGTGATAAATGTTTAACTGACATGAGGTGATAAATTATCTCTAATGTTTGATAGTGTATACTGACATGAGGTGATAAATTTAATGTTTGATAGTGTATCTCTAATGTTTGATAGTGTATACTGACATGAGGTGATAAATTAAGATTATCTCTAATGTTTGATAGTGTATACTGACATGAGGTGATAAATTAAGGATATCTCTAATGTTTGATAGTGTATACTGACATGAGGTGATAAATTAAGGATATCTCTTATGTTTGATAGTGTATACTGACATGAGGTGATAAATTAAGGATATCTCTAATGTTTGATAGTGTATACTGACATGAGGTGATAAATTAAGGATCTTATCTCTTATGTTTGATAGTGTATACTGACATGAGGTGATAAATTAAGGATATCTCTAATGTTTGATAGTGTATACTGACATGAGGTGATAAATTAAGGATATCTCTAATGTTTGATAGTGTATACTGACATGAGGTGATAAATTAAGGATATCTCTAATGTTTGATAGTGTATACTGACATGAGGTGATAAATTAAGGATATCTCTTATGTTTGATAGTGTATACTGACATGAGGTGATAAATTAAGATTATCTCTAATGTTTGATAGTGTATACTGACATGAGGTGATAAATTAAGGATATCTCTTATGTTTGATAGTGTATACTGACATGAGGTGATAAATTAAGATTATCTCTAATGTTTGATAGTGTATACTGACATGAGGTGATAAATTAAGGATATCTCTAATGTTTGATAGTGTATACTGACATGAGGTGATAAATTAAGGATATCTCTTATGTTTGATAGTGTATACTGACATGAGGTGATAAATTAAGGATATCTCTTATGTTTGATAGTGTATACTGACATGAGGTGATAAATTAAGGATATCTCTTATGTTTGATAGTGTATACTGACATGAGGTGATAAATTAAGATTATCTCTAATGATTATCTCTAATGTTTGATAGTGTATACTGACATGATGTTTGATGTTTGATAGTGTATACTAAGGATATCTCATGTTTGATAGTGTATACTGACATGAGGTGATAAATTAAGGATATCTCTAATGTTTGATAGTGTATACTGACATGAGGTGATAAATTAAGGATATCTCTAATGTTTGATAGTGTATACTGACATGAGGTGATAAATTAAGGATATCTCTTATGTTTGATAGTGTATACTGACATGAGGTGATAAATTAAGGATATCTCTAATGTTTGATAGTGTATACTGACATGAGGTGATAAATTAAGGATATCTCTAATGTTTGATAGTGTATACTGACATGAGGTGATAAATTAAGGATATAAGGATATCTCTAATGTTTGATAGTGTATACTGACATGAGGTGATAAATTAAGGATATCTCTAATGTTTGATAGTGTATACTGACATGAGGTGATAAATTAAGGATATCTCTAATGTTTGATAGTGTATACTGACATGAGGTGATAAATTAAGGATATCTCTTATGTTTGATAGTGTAAGGATATCTCTAATGTTTGAGTGTATACTAATAATGTGTATACTGACATGAGGTAAGGATATCTCTAATGTTTGAAATTGACATGAGGTGATAAATTAAGGATATCTCTAATGTTTGATAGTGTATACTGACATGAGGTGATAAATTAAGGATATCTCTTATGTTTGATAGTGTATACTGACATGAGGTGATAAATTAAGGATATCTCTAATGTTTGATAGTGTATACTGACATGAGGTGATAAATTAAGGATATCTCATGAGGTGATAAATTAAGGATATCTCTTATGTTTGATAGTGTATACTGACATGAGGTGATAAATTAAGGATATCTCTAATGTTTGATAGTGTATATTGACATGAGGTGATAAATTAAGGATATCTCTAATGTTTGATAGTGTATACTGACATGAGGTGATAAATTAAGGATATCTCTAATGTTTGATAGTGTATACTGACATGAGGTGATAAATTAAGGATATCTCTAATGTTTGATAGTGTATACTGACATGAGGTGATAAATTAAGTATATCTCTAATGTTTGATAGTGTATACTGACATGAGGTGATAAATTAAGGATATCTCTAATGTTTGATAGTGTATACTGACATGAGGTGATAAATTAAGGATATCTCTAATGTTTGATAGTGTATACTGACATGAGGTGATAAATTAAGGATATCTCTAATGTTTGATAGTGTATACTGACATGAGGTGATAAATTAAGGATATCTCTAATGTTTGATAGTGTATACTGACATGAGGTGATAAATTAATGTTTGGAGTGTATACTGACATGAGGTGATAAATTAAGGATATCTCTAATGTTTGATAGTGTATACTGACATGAGGTGATAAATTAAGGATATCTCTAATGTTTGATAGTGTATACTGACATGAGGTGATAAATTAAGGATATCTCTAATGTTTGATAGTGTATACTGACATGAGGTGATAAATTAAGATTATCTCTAATGTATACTGACATGAGGTGATAAATTAAGGATATCTCTAATGTTTGATAGTGTATACTGACATGAGATATCTCTAATGTTTGATAGTGTGATAAATTGAGGTGATATCTCTAATGTTTGATAGTGTATACTGACATGAGGTGATAGGTGATAAATTAAGGATATCTCTAATGTTTGATAGTGTATACTGACATGAGGTGATAAATTAAGGATGTTTGATATGACATGAGGTGATAAATTAAGGATTATCTCTAATGTTTGATAGTGTATACTGACATGAGGTGATAAATTAAGGATATCTCTAATGTTTGATATGTTTGATAGTGTATACTGACATGAGGTGATAAATTAAGATGTTTGATATCTCTAATGTTTGATAGTGTATACTGACATGAGGTGATAAATTAAGGATATCTCTTATGATTGATATTTTATACTGACATGAGGTGATAAATTAAGGATATCTCTAATGTTTGATAGTGTATACTGACATGAGGTGATAAATTAAGGATATCTCTAATGTTTGATAGTGTATACTGACATGAGGTGATAAATTAAGGATCTCTAATGTTTGATAGTGTATATCTCTAATGTTTGATAGTGATATACTGACATGAGGTGATAAATTAAGGATATCTAATGTTTGATAGTGTATACTAATGATTTGATATGTTTGATGTGTATACTGACATGAGGTGATAAATTAAGGATACTAATGTTTGATAGTGTATACTGACATGAGGTGATAAATTAAGGATTATCTCTAATGTTTGATAGTGTATACTGACATGAGGTGATAAATTAAGATTATCTCTAATGTATACTGACATGAGGTGATAAATTAAGGATATCTCTTATGTTTGATAGTGTATACTGACATGAGGTGATAAATTAAGAATATCTCTAATGTTTGATAGTGTATACTGACCATGGGATATTACAAGTTTAGAATATCTCTGACTTTTGAAAATGTATACTGATCACAGGTGTTGACTAAAAAGGAATGTCAAACTTTTGAGTGTGTATACTGGCCATGGGGTGTTACAAATAAAAAATGTCTTTTGACTTTTAACAGTTTTATTTTAGGGTAAACTAACAAAGAACATGGCTGAAAGTTATCATTACACAACTGGGTATAAATTAATTAAGTTTATCTCAGAAGAGTTATCATTTATCTCACAATGCAACAAGGTTAGAACTAGGGCTAGAGAGCTTTTGAATCCCATACAACATTATCAGAACACATCTTACCCGGTCTACTCGATGTTTGTAAATTTTTCCCTCTTTGTTTACATGGAACACTGACACACCACAATAATACCTGAAAATAAAATTATAATAATTGTCACATATTACCATAGATTTCACATACCAGTTGTACAAGTGTGAAAAAAAAAGTCTTCTTGAAGTTTAAGAATATGTATCATAAAAACACAAGAGGTACAATGGGCCTGCATCACTCAATTGATATGCTGTTTGCCAAAAAAAAAAAAATTACAATCATGACCTACAAAGTACATTATTGGCACCCTTGGGTCAAGGTTACATTTTTTATTTTTCAAAATATTGTTGGACTTCTTTCAAGGGAAGCAGGAAACATTTCTAACCATTTTTGTTTTCTAAAAGTTGTTTGATCATTTTACCTTGAAAGTCAATATCATTCATCTGAGGAATTTTGGTAGCCCTTCATCCAAGCATGACACTGGCCCAATATCAGTACCTTGAGGGAGTCTTTTGATAATTTAGATGTCTTTCACAGATCTTAACAAATATTACACATATGACCTTGAAAGTCTTGATATATAGTCCTTTGTCACAGTATCCTATGTGCAAAATTTCTGGACCCTGTGCCTCAAAGAATGTTATTGAAAAGGTCTTGTAAAATGCTTATATGCATTCTGGTTTCTTATTCATTGGTCAGAGATACAAAACGATACTGCAGACTGCATCAGATTGCTTTCTAATATAATTCTGTTCTGAAAATGCTGGTCAACTATCCTTCATCTTCACAAGAAATCACATAATGATCAGTATTCTTGTCAAGATATAGCAGTTATAGAAATGGTTTCAGGACAAAATTAACTTTTGAACTAATATAAGTTTGAACAACCAACCATCTGGTGATACTGAAACAAAGCATGGGATTCCAGAGTTGTTCTTTTTTTTTCTCTCTCATTCCTACCAGTCCACAAATCAAAAGGGCATAAGAAGGGCCATCAGAAAATTACAAATGATAATTGAGAAAGATCCTCTCTAGGGCCATGTAATTCACAATTTTGGTTAACCATCTTAAGACACTACCATTCATGAAGAGCATTTGAGACTACCATATCTGGATGTTGAGAAGATTTTTGAAATCTGAGTAAATCTGACTCCTTTTGGGCCTACCCAACAGCCCCTCGGGTTCAATTGAGGTCAATTTGTGCATCTCATAAAACAGTCATCTTAACCTAATAATTCTGATCAGGTTTAAACTATTTCCAATAAAAAATAAACAAATATGTTCAAATATATGATTTTCCTAAATAAACTATAGCAAAATTTACCCCCTCCCCATGGAGAAATGTGAGACTCTTGGGCCATGTAATTCACAATTTTGATAAATCATCTTAAGACACTTCCATTCATGAAGAGCATTTGATATTACTATATCTGGATGTTGAGAAGTAGATTTTTGAAATCAAACTAAATTTAACCCCCTTTGGCCCCACCCATCAGCCTCTTTGGGTCAACCAGGATCAGTATGGGTGTACCATCAAGCTGTCATCCTTCAATCACTGTTCTAACTGAGTTTGAAATATTTCCAATGGAAATTAAACAAATTATGCTCAAAAATCTATTTTTCCTATATAAACTATAGTAAACTTTACCCCCTCCCCTGGGATGGTAAACCATCTGAAGGCCTTTACATCCATGAAGAGCACTTGATTCTACCATTTTTGAAATTTTGGTCTGGTCCTTCAGGACCTTGGGGGTTGGGGACCCTATAATTTACAATTTTGTTTTACCTTTAGCCATGGAAGGGTTTTGTAAAATTTAATTGATTTCAGGATTTTTCAAAAAGTCGAAAATGTTAAAAGTTAACGACACACAATGTATGATGCACAACGCCAGACAAAAAGGGTTTGCAATAGGGACAAAGTTTCTGGGCGACCTTGAAATTAAATGGCTTCCTCTGTTTGATTTTATCTTCCACATTTTTCCTTAAAAATCTGTTAAAATATAATCTATCAGTGAAGAGTATCATAAACTTTTGTCATATGAGACTTCACAAAACTTGTCTTACTCAAAGTAAGAACCTTTACGATAAAGCATTGTGAAAAACGTAATACATCATCTCCATTGTTGTTTATTTACTAATTGTAAGTTAATATTACAACAATAAAAAATACTTACTCTGCGTTATCTATTGCAGCCTGGTAATTCCGTACGATAGAAAACAACTTCCTTAGGAAGGTGAATTGGTTCAAACCAATTAACTGCCAATACACTTTCACTGTTCCTTCTTCTACGTTGTATGATGCACTTGTCACAGACATTTTAATATATACAAACCTCATATGACACCGTATCCTGAGGCCAGCTAGAAATACAGGATAGTGTGCTCCACTGGAAGTTTATATGTACAAATAAATTAGAAAATAATTCAGTTTTCATCAATGGCTCAAGGTAATTTAAGGAATTGTCAATTTTTTAAACAACTCAGCAATAATCTCAGTGATCCTAACACAGCAATAATCTCAATAATCTCACTAATCCTAACACAACAATAATCTCACTAATCCTAACACAGCAATAATCTCACTAATCCTAACACAGCAATAATCTCACTAATCCTAACACAGCAATAATCTCACTAATCCTAACACAGCAATAATCTCAATAATCCTAACACAACAATAATCTCAATAATCCTAACACAGCAATAATCTCACTAATCCTAACACAGCAATAATCTCATAATCTCACTAATCCTAACACAGCAATAATCTCACTAATCCTAACACAACAATAATCTCACTAATCCTAACACAACAATAATCTCACTAATCCTAACACAACAATAATCTCACTAATCCAATAATCTCACTAATCCTAACACAACACACAATCCTAACACAACAATAATCTCACTAATCCTAACACAACAATAATCTCACTAATCCTAACACAACAATAATCTCACTAATCCTAACACAACAATAATCTCACTAATCCTAACACAGCAATAATCTCACTAATCCTAACACAACAATAATCTCACTAATCCTAACACAACAATAATCTCAATAATCTCACTAATCCTAACACAGCAATAATCTCAATAATCTCACTAATCCTAACACAGCAATAATCTCACTAATCCTAACACAGCAATAATCTCACTAATCCTAACACAGCAATAATCTCAATAATCTCACTAATCCTAACACAGCAATAATCTCACTAATCCTAACACAGCAATAATCTCACTAATCCTAACACAGCAATAATCTCACTAATCCTAACACAGCAATAATCTCACTAATCCTAACACAACAATAATCTCACTAATCCTAATATACAACAATAATCTCACTAATCCTAACACACAATAATCTCACTAATCCTAACACAACAATAATCTCACTAATCCTAACACAACAATAATCTCACTAATCCTAATATACAACAATAATCTCACTAATCCTAACACAACAATAATCTCACTAATCCTAACACAACAATAATCTCACTAATCCTAACACAACAATAATCTCACTAATCCTAACACAACAATAATCTCACTAATCCTAACACAACAATAATCTCACTAATCCTAACACAACAATAATCTCACTAATCCTAATATACAACAATAATCTCACTAATCCTAACACAGCAATAATCTCACTAATCCTAACACAGCAATAATCTCACTAATCCTAACACAGCAATAATCTCACTAATCCTAACACAGCAATAATCTCACTAATCCTAACACAACAATAATCTCACTATTCCTAACACAGCAATAATCTCACTAATCCTAACACAGCAATACTCTCACTGATTCTAGTTGTATAATACACCAATACTCTATTGTACTGATTCTTACACAGCATCAGTTTTTTTCTATCTGATATTTTCTTACACTTAAGTTGGTGATAACCTACCGATAAACTTTTTCTTTTCCAAAAAAGTTGTTAATGAAGACCATGTTCTGAATATCATAATCTTCCATTCTGTATTTTTCTTTAAAGAATACTGGGACCTGAAATGAAAAACAAATAAATAAATTACACACACTTGTAAAAACAATACTGATCATTTTTTAACACGATCTTGTTAACAAGAGGCCCACATACCCTGTACTGTTCATCTTGATATTTCAACTTTCACATCAACACAATTTCCCAACAGATGAGGAATCTCATGCTTCATGATAAATTTGGTCAATATCCATGCATCAAAACAAAAAAATGGTCATATTCAACATTAACCTTCATTTGCCATATTGGACCCCGCCCCATCTGCCTTCTAAGGGGTCAAACCTTAAATTATCACAAAATTGAGTCAAATTCACCCCAAAGTATTCTTGTAAAATTCCATCAAATCCTTTCATTTATACGAAGTACAAATTTTATGAATTGGTTGATTTTTTTCAGTTAAGACCTGTCCCTTATAGACCAAGGAAGGTCCAGACCTACTATTTCTGATAAAAATTTGTTTCCCCTTCCCCCTCTCCCAAAGTTTCTGACCAAATCAAAATTTGGTCAAAGTACCTTTTGAACACATTCCTTCAAAAGAATAAGTATTTAAAGAATCTGCTTAATTGTCCCTATGTTTCCCCTTCTCCTAAGTCAGTTGTTTACGATTTGTAACAATTTATGCAAAACGTTGATTGGTGAATATATGCTGCACCATGCCCATTAGCACAGTTGGCCTTATGGGTCAGATGATTTAAAATTATATGATCTTTTGTTTGGCATGCGACTGAGTCCTGGAGAGTGGACATATATAGTACCCTGCATGAGTAATTATTGTTTATAAAATGTACCTGTTCTACTATATTTTCCTGGATAATGCCAAGTTGATGTGCAGTTGGGAGGTCCATAGAGGTTCCACTCTTATCTTCACCAGTTTTTGAAGAACAACACAGTATATCCATTTCCGAATCTTGCTTACATTTTTTCAAACTTCTGTTTTCTCCTCCTTGTTTGATACACTGATCAGCTTTCACTGGTTCTGTTGCCATATAACCGTTAAAAGAGGTCATGGGCTCATGAAATGGAGCTGGCATGGATAAGTCTTTAAATCTTTGAGCGGACGTGAAGAATTGAGACGTAGATGAATGTGTTAAAGGCAGCGCCATATGAGGTTCAGATACACACCTGACCTTATTTTTTGTCATTTTACGTCCATGATTTTTCTTTTTAGCCACAGTACTATACCAAATATCATTAATAGTGTCATTCTTGAAATGCAATTTAAGTTTGTCTTCTGTTGTTTCTGGTAACAAAAGTAATGTGTCCTTTCCAAAATCCTGGAATCCTTTGGCTTGAAATGGTTTCTGAAGGTTTCTTCTCTGCTGAAGAACAACTGTGTCCCGATTTTCCATAATGATGGCTTCCTGAGGTGACATCTGTAAGATCAATAGACTACATGTTCAGTTTACATAATAATTGTGTTTTTATGTGAAGTTTATATATTGTTTATGTGTAGAACTTCTTTAAATTCCTTGTATCACACTTGTATAATAGATGTTACATCAGAAGTATTTAGTTCCTTTATTATGGTAGCTTTAATAAGTACATCTCTGATCAACATAATTATAAACTATACTGTATATGACTATATTTCTAAAACCAGATACACTTTTACAATACATCATTTAGGCATAGCAAATATTGGTGTGCAAGTTCTATAAAATTGAGAAGGGCAAAGGACTATTATTGGGAAAATATACTGTGTCAAACACACAAACCAGATAAAAAATAGTGAAAATCACAAATCACAAGATTGGTTTTGAGTAATACTGACACCTCCAAAAAACCATGCACCACCAACTAAAACTAACAGCCTGGCACTGCCTGGTATAGCACATTTAGACAGTACCAGGCTGGTTTTGGTGATAGTGGACCGCAACGTGCATTGCCATACAATGAGAAGAGTCTATAAAAATATAACTATGAACACCGGCATTATAGATGTGAAAATTGACAATGGTCTACGACTAGTATAACTTGTAATGGCAACACGATTGAATTTACAAGTCGAATTGGTGAGAGGAAAAACACATTGGAATTACTTAAATGGTTTCTATGAACACCTCCATTCTGTCGCTAAAATAAGAAGAGTCTATAAAAATATAACTATGAACAACGGCATTATAGATGTGAAAATTAACAATGAATTATCATTTTAGAGATAGAATTTTCTGGTCTACGACTGAAACCTACCCAACAACTTATGAAAGCATCCAATTAAATCAAAATTTGTGTACTCCTCTAGGCTAATCCTGGCAACTATTTACTCCTATCCAAGGTTTTCTAGTATTATACAGATCTAACTTGTTACAGAAGATTTGTAAACAACTAATCGGACGGACTTTGGAAACTTTACAGTGGTTGTTTTTGCATTGTTACGAATGAATGTTCTAGGATCTATATCAGTTCCTTCAATGTGCTCTTTATAATGGACTTGAAAGCATGCATTAGCTACGACAAGAAGAATAGGCAGTGCGCTTCAAAACACGTGTTTACTATAAACACCACACCCGCTCCCTCCCTTTCCCTTCGATCAAGCCGACCGACTTACATCAGTTCTGCATAACATGTCATTATGATGTAGCAAAGTCAATGGAAAGTATCTCATTTTCTTTAAATGTCCCGTGTGTTGATGTCGACAACACAATTTCAGGTAGTTTAGTGCCATCGTGTGCACGTCCTTCTCGTCCTTCAGAAACCTAAGAAAGATTCAACTTTGACGCAAAATTTGAGGCGCATTTGGTTAGCAAAATAAAAAACAACCGGCATAGAAGGGAGCTAACTCTAGATATTATTGACGACATACTTACTTGACGATACGCAATAGATTTTTTGGATCATTCCTTAATTTACTATATTCCAGACTCCCCTGTATTTACAAAAAATATTGATGTACCGCCACTCCCAATGGTTGTTTAAAATTATCATACAAGGCGTTCTGATTTGCCCAATATTTCATGAAACGCGTCTTTTTATTTCACAGGTACATTTGTCGACATGTGTCGTTTTCCTTTCCGTCCGTCCCTGTGTCTTTGGCAAAGTTAATCAGCGCTCTAACAGCTTCACTCCTTGATGATTATCATCTAAACTTCACACACTTAAAAAGCCCCGAAATGACTTAGTTTCAGAGTAGTTGTGCTGAGGGCAAGGTGGTCACTGTTATTATTAATGACAAACATGGTCACCGCTGTAGCGACTTCTTCCTCGAGTTATTCTAATCAAACATGGAAGATTTGTAAAAGTTCAAAATTTCTCGTAAGAGTGAGTTTGGCCAGGGACGTATATATAAGGGGTGGGGGTGTGTCAAGGTCATTATGACTATTTTTAGATAAATCTTCGGTGATCTAGTGGCTTTATTTCTTGATTGGATTTTACTAAACCTCACACACGTACAAATGACCATAACACATTCAGATTATCATACTTATCTATTATACTGTTACATCACCTCTGAAATCAGTTCAAGCAAATTGTATATTTTCTTTTTACCAAATTAACACCAAACAGGATCATCTTTATAAATCATTTGGCAGGGGACATGTAATGCTTTAGCAATACTCAGTATGCTTAATTGTTTTTTTTATTTAATGCGGTAGTTAATGGAGAATAGACTACTTTATAATGCCCACATGGTTTATTTTAATCGGACTACGGATGTCTAGATAAAACGCGAGTGTGTTACCACCAGATAAAGTGGAATACATTTGAGAGTTCACCCAGAAAACAAATAACATAATAACTTTAAGTTAAAAGCCGCTTGTGTATCAGTTAAATGCTCTCAGATTTCCAGCATTATCTAGCAGTTCAGTTGTCAACATGTCTATATTGAATTCCACCACCACAGCAGTATTCATATCGGATTACCAGGAATAATGCTGGTTTTGGAGGTTATATGATTTAGTTGCCAGTTCCCAATATCTGTCGTTATCAAAATACCCACATGATGTAAACCTAATGGTGATATAGTGTACACTAACAAATCTTACGTATATTTCGTTGATTCTTCAAGCGAAAATATTTTGATATATACAGTGTATGCATTAATTGATTGGAATGGTACTTTCATGGAATATCGTATATATTTGAATGGAATTTAGCGACCAAGTATTCGAAAATTTCTAAAACCACCAGACTATATTACTTCCGTAATTCGATAGGTTTCTTAATTTGTCAAAATAAACTTAAATTTTACTGTGACAGAAAAAAGTTATCGCAATCACTCTGATGGAATTAAACCATACCGTGTTTTACCAAAACCACCCGACCATTTTTGATTTGACGCAACACTATGAGAATTCATTATACAATGCCAATTTTTATAATATATTATATCGTTTTACACTGTACTGGTTTATTTAAAATGACATTATTTCGACAGTTTAAAACTTTGCTTTTAAATGTCATATGCTTCATATGGATTAATTAGCACAGCACTCCCCTAAATCATTAGCATATGTAGGCGCTTGATCTCTACTAAACTTAATGTAGGAATAAAGACAAACACAACACACTGTAAACATTCATGATTAAAATGTTTAATTAATAACATCTTTACTCGGTACAAAAGAGTAGTGCCAAATAACTAAACACTATATGCAGATAGAGTCGATCTGGTAGGATCTTTTCAACTAGGGTCATTTTAGCAGTTAGGCAATACTCGTCATTCTAAAACACCACGATCACAAAATTCTCTAGGCCTTGACACACCAATTATTATTTTTTGAATACAACTTAATAGTTTTTCTCTGGTTTATTACACATCTAGTTCAACTTATAGACGGATATATAGAAACAATCTGAAGTTAACAAATGCAAAAAACACATACATATATATATTATATATTTATGATATATCCATTGTATACACTACCGGATATAGTAATAGGTACATAATCATGGCTGAAAGGGATAAAACACGGGGGAAAAGAACTAAAGACGTGATCAAATCACTCTAAGTATACTCAGACGACTACACCGCATTTAGGAACGACACATGAACACTAGGAGGAGGCGTATGTGTACTGGTCTAAAATAATATTTTAGCAACTTAACAAGGGAATATGTGACCAAAGGTGACACGGAACGGTTGGAAATCAAACGCCAAAGACCTACTACACGGTGCATTCTGGAACATCAAAGACATGGAGAAACTAATAAAAATTATAAAACTTATCGTGGAATAAGACAATAGTAACATCATACTAGCCGGTGACTTCAACTGCCCAAACAAAGATTAGAGGCAAACAATCCACACGTCAAAATTACGGAAGACGTAGCCAAAGTATAAAGAAATATAAACCCCACAAAAGTATCACGACAAGTTAACATCCCATATAGAGCACTCAAACAGTGTGCCGACCATCTAGCACCGGTTCTTACAGTCGTATTCCAACACTCATTAGACGAGAGTGACCTAAGAGATGATTGGTTGAGAGTAAATGTATCGTACATATTCACGAAAAGAGACAGACATGCATCAGAAAAGTACCGTGCAAGCTGCTGAAACACATAATATGAAGTCAATTGATAAAACATATCATAAACAAAAAATTCTTTACAACATTAAACCATGGTTTCAGATTTGGGTACTCTTGTGAAACACAATTAGTAATCTGCATCAATCGTTTGATCAAGGTAAACAAACTGATACAGCAATACTGGTTTCTCAAAAGCATTTGACACTGTCCCCACTACAAACTACTCTACAAAATAGAACAATACTGGATCAGGGGACAAACCCATGTATGACTAACACCATTCCTGAAAAAAAACGGGAAATGCGGGTGGCGCTAGAAGGGGAGTTCCAGAATCCCACAACGTACAGTACTATACCCCATCCTCTTTCTATGACACATAACTGACTTGCCGGAAGCGGTTTTAAAGTCCTCAGTAAGACTATTTGCGGACGATTGCTTATCATAAAGTCAGATAAACAACAACCAACATCATACAGAAGTCCAAAATGTTTTCAAGGGTTTAGAGACGCGGTCAAGCTACTGGGGTATGTGATACAAAGTAAAAAAGTAATAATAATAATAATAATGCGACATCCTAATAAGTATAATGTTTCTACAGGCGAAACGACCTCATCATGGACTGAGTGCCATCCAGTCGATACCTAGGTATCCAAATCGTGGAAACTTATCTAAAATAGAAAGAGCACATTAGAAAGCATACAAAGAAAAGACTACAAACCTGGAAAGGAGGGAAGCACTGACTAAGATTTTACAAAAACTAGACCTCACTACACTTCAAACAAGAAGAATATTCACCAACTTGTAATATTTTTCTATAAGATAGTAGACGGGCAGGTACCAGCAATACTGCCTGTACAGATAATTACACTAGAGAAAAGCAGAGACGTATATATCACGTGTGATATATACGTCTCTGAGAAAAGGTAGAATTAAGGCCAAAACATTTGTGGACTGTGAAACATCCAACATTGTGACATCATCGGTAAACCAATTGTAAACCAGTAATCACTCTATTAGGCCAAACTGAACATACAGAAATGCCTTTTTTTGTGTACAGCCATTGAAACCTGGAAGACAGTACTGTCTCAAACACAGGGGTAGAGTCCTTCAAACTTGCTATGGTGTGGTATCACGCCTAGAGCGTCCTCACTCCGTCACATTACATCCCAACTGGGAGTATATGACATACAGATATGACAAATACGATATGACATAGTTTAGAGTCATTTCGGCCATGATGGGCCCGAGGCGTCCTTTATTGTCTGGCAGTTCACTGTCTTCGTGTAATAACCTTCTTCTCCCTGTGTACCTCGTAAAACTATCCCTACATGTAATACGATAGCAATATTAACATGTTTTTTTAATGTTACGTAAGGAGTACACAAAATAAATGTGTGTGAGTCCTTAAGACAAAAAAACCTTTCATAGAACGCGCCTCAAAAAAACCTCTCGCGAGAGTTTACAAATGACAACATGGCAGTCCCTATTCACACTGATGCCAAACGTCAACAATATCCACGATAGTTTGGCTGTTTGAAAACCACGTAAAGCACGTACGAAAGGGAATACTACCATCATGGGGACTCAAAAAATTGTCATAATATCGATGGTAGTTATTTTGATCATATTTATTGTGGAAGATTCGGTCGTATCGGGAATGTCATCATCAGAAAAAGGAGAATTAAGGTGGGTTTAAATCGAACGCCGATTTCGACGATAATCTCCGTAATCTGTATACTTTCGACGTGGACAAAAGCTCCGATATTTATAATAACATGTGGTTGGTTAAAGTATTTTACACAGAGTAATTATACTTTGAGTCGAAAAAAAATGCAATGGAACTCCTTTTATCTATGAGAATAACAGTTTAACGGTCCTTCAAACTCATGACACATTGATACTTTTGTCATTTAAAGGAAGCAAACGTTCCATATGTGAAATATAGTTATATACTATTAAAAAAAGTAAGTCAGACGGGCTATTCATATATATATAATATATATATGTGGGTGTGTGTGTGTGTGTGTGTTAGATAGTTATATGTTTATATGTTTTGATGAATGAATTAGTGATTTATATGGTAATGATAATGTTGTCATTCATTGACATAAAGGTTCTCTACCATGGACTTATGCAGCTTTTGTTGTTTACAGGGACAAAGTTGTGGAAATGTTTCGACATGCATATGATTCTTACATGGTAAGCTCTAAAATATTTAACTAATCAATGTTTGTGCTACTTTATTAGGATTTATTAGGTGATTTTAATGGATGCAGGTAGAAAGCCTCTCCATCCATATCAACAATATATATACAGTGTGTAAATTTACATCCTCCGGTACTAAAGCTATGAAGCCAACTGTTCAATTAGAACTTAAACATCCCAATGACTACTTTTTCCCATGTTAATCAAGCAATACTTGGAAATGGTAACCATTATTTGTATTGATGATATGTTGCAGAAAATTGTACCATTTATCTACTGTTCTGTGACAAAAGAATTTCCTTCTTGTATCCATGTTACAATGTTTTTAAAAAATCCTCTCTGAATGACCGCTTGTTCGACTTTCGGTGTCCATTTGATAAAAGTTTTCTGTCACTCTATAATCATAGATATGTTTGATTATTTTAAAAAACATTTATGATATCCCCTCTGATTCTGTGATGTTGAAACATTGGGAGATTTAATCTCTCAAGGGGTTCCTTGTACGATAAGTTCTGAAGTCCAGGGATTAGCTTTGTAGCCCTCCTCTAAACTTTCTCGATCATTATGATATCTGTAACTATAGAGTGAATCCATACGTTTACTACATATTCTAGGTGTGGTCTAACAAGTGTTTTAAACAATAATCTGAACATTGACTCATCAAGATAAACAAACAATTAATTAGTCCAACTATACTATTTGCATTAACAATATTATGTAGATGTATTTTGAAACTGAATTCCTCATCAATAGTTATACTAATATCCTTTTCGTGTGTTACATTTTCCAACTGGATCTTATCCCCTCATTTTCCTGACATGTAGTATTTCCTTTTTTCCAATGCTTTTATTTATATAACCTTACATTTGTCTGGATGAAATTTTAATAGTCATTTATTTGACCAAATTTAAAGTTTATCCAAGTTTTCTTGGAGAGCTTTTATATCTTCATCGCTTTTTATCAGCCTGTATAATTTCGTATCATCAGCAAATAGTGGCAGTGAAGAAGTTGGTATTTCTAGGAGGTGATTGATATGTGTTACAAAAAAATTGGTCGAAGCACACATCCCTGTGGTATACCACTGATTATGGGATATGTTTTTGATGATTCTCTGTTTACAATAACACGCTTGCATCTTTTTACAACTTTCTTACTTTACTTCGATTTAAAAAAAAAACCCACTATGTTATGTTAAAATTTCTTCTAAAGAGATTGTTTCATATAATCATATTTTGTAGATGGAAATATTTAAACACAACCAATTACAATGTACAATATTAAATGTAGGTGTATGGATAATATCAGTTGATTCAGTTTGGATGTCTTTGAATGTCCTGTAATAAGCCAATTCCTTGAAGTAATACATTTCCCCCTTATGTCTAAGCTCTTCTACTCTGATGTCACCATGCACACACATCTCACTTGTTGTCTGAAGTAACTAAATCCTCTCCTCTGATGTCTGAGATAATGTTGTCGCCTCCCATTCTTCTCCTATGATGTCTGAGATAATGTGTTGCCTCCCATTCTTCTCCTCTGATGTGTGAGATAATGTTGTCGCCTCCCATTCTTCTCCTATGATGTGTAAGATAATGTGTCGCCTCCCATTCTTCTCCTATGATGTGTGAGATAATGTTGTCGCCTCCCATTCTTCTCCTATGATGTGTGAGATAATGTTGTCGCCTCCCATTCTTCTCCTATGATGTGTGAGATAATGTTGTCGCCTCCCATTCTTCTCCTCTGATGTGTGAGATAATGTTGTCGCCTCCCATTCTTCTCCTCTGATGTGTGAGATAATGTTGTCGCCTCCCATTCTTCTCCTCTGATGTGTGAGATAATGTTGTCGCCTCCCATTCTTCTCCTCTGATATCTAAGATAATGTGCCTCCCCCTCCACCTCTTCGCTTATGTCAGTGGAAGTGTGTTGCCCCTCTCTCACTTCCTCTGATGTTGGAGGTGATGTGTTTCCTCTCACCCACTCCTCTATCTGGGTGTTGGAGGTTATGTAGTGCCACCACTCCTTTCCTTTTTGTTTGAGGTGATGTGTTACCCCTTCTCTTTTCCTTCATTGTCAGAGGTAATGTGTTGATCCCCTTTCTCCTTTTGTACCGGTGTCAGAGGTAATGTGTTGATCCCCTTTCTCCTTTCGTACCGGTGTCAGAGGTAATGTGTTGATCCCCTTTCTCCTTTTGTACTGGTGTCGGAGGTAATGTGTTGCCACCCTCCTTTCCCATTTGAATTCTCTTTCCTGGATTTCAGAGATAATTTATTCTCCCCAACTCTCTTCTCTCTGTTGGAAGTAATGTGCTTCCTTTGGTGTCGAAGGTACTGTGTTGCCCCCCTCTTCTGCCCGATGTCAGTGGTCCCGCCGAGTCTGATATAATTTGTTGCCCTTTCCCAACCTCTTTCCTCTCCCCTATGCCTGTGTTGGCCCTTCCCTCTTAATTTTCTCCCTTGGTATCAGATATTATTTGTTATTACATGGCAGATATAGTATAAGTACCATAAATGATTGTGAGAACAAACTACATGGCAATGTTATGTTTGTTAAATGTTTGTTTTAGAATCATGCTTTTCCTGCTGACGAGCTGATGCCCTTAAGCTGTAAAGGTAGATACAGAGGCACCATGCCAAACCGTGGTGACATTGATGACAGCCTTGGAAAGTGAGTAATGTACATGAGATGGATATTGTGTACCCTTTGGAGAAAATAGAGTTTGATATTAGTATAGGTTAATGTCATCTATTTGGTATTTTGATGATTGTAATATTTCTGATTGGTGTTGAAACTTGGAAACCAAAATAATAAGTTTTTTCTTAATAATTAAGGAGCACAAAAATCAGTTGAAAAGTTGGAAAAGTAATTCCAGTTGATGTGTTTCATTTAAGATTAAAACTGGCTAGATGTGACAAATTTTCTTTCATTCTTTTCAGTTTCACATTGACATTGATTGACACCTTGGACACATTAGTGGTAGGTATTTAAACAAATACTTTGTCATTCTTTATATCTGAATATTTGTACTTGCTTTACTCCTTTTTTTAGGACCATTTGAATAGGTTATTGAATGTAATGAAAGTAATCAATCTTAATGGTTTATCACCTAGTTTTGGATAAAGTTTTCAAACCAGTACAATATACATGTATAAGGAATGGTAATACTTGTTTCTTGGTTAATATATAGGAAATGAAATATAATGTACATGCATATAGATGAAAAAACTGATACTGTTATTGTGGCTTTCAGTTGACATTGTTTCATTAATGTTTATTACACAAGTCAAAGAATGTAAAATGATTGATTTACTTTGAGGTATGAATGCATTGCTATAGTACATATGATTCTGAAGTTTAAGCAGGGAATGGTGAATGCATATCATCATATTGAAAATTAAAAAAAAGATTTAAGCCAGAAAACCCTAGAAGTTTCTTGAACATAACTTTGTGGCATCCTTCTCTCCTTGATAATAATATTCATGTTTTTTTTGTTAAAGAAATTACTTCCATTTTTTTCAGGTCCTGGGTGAAATTGAAGAATTTGAAAAGGCTGTTCATTTAGTTATAGAACATGCTAAATTTGATAGTGATATAATAGTTTCTGTCTTTGAAACTAATATACGTGTGCTTGGGTAAGTAAATAACAGTGTCTTGTTGATTTCACTTTTATTGTGTATTCGTTTCTGTCTGTATAAATACATTTTTTTTGTCTGAATAGATGCTTTCATCTTAAAGCATATAGCATTAATTTGTTGTGTTTTCTTCATAATACAATGCATAATACATAAACAATAATAAGGATGTTTCATATTGAAAATAGATAAAGACACAAAAGGAGTTTGAGCTGTCTCCTGTTTCATGAATCTTCCTTAGATTTAGGAAATCTTTGCTCCCATAGAAAAGCATTGCATAAGCTAAGGAAACTTTTCAGATTTAAGACAGATTCCTAAACGTATGTAATGTGTTGCTATGGGCATTTTCACGTAATTGGATATTCCTTAAGTAAGGAAGATGAAACTGTTCTATTCTGTAAGATGAAATTTGGCTTCTTAGACTGTTAAAATAATGTATATTTAATATATGTCTGTATTAACAGGGGGTTGTTAGGGGGACATGTAGTAGCTACATTTTTGAAGAAAAAGAAGAAATCCATGGATTGGTATAACGATGAACTTTTATCAATGGCCAAAGAGGTTGGCTACAGACTTCTTCCAGCATTCAATACATCTACGGGTATACCATATGCTAGGGTGAGTTTGGCTGATTCAGATCCATTTATGAGTAACTGTATTTTGTTAATTGTAAAATACACCATGTTTAAATCTTGCATCAGAATCTATATTAAAGATCTTCCTGCAGTTTATCCTTTCTTGGAATTAGGAAGATTGTGTAAATGTATATATTGTCTTCATTACATATAGATATTTTATTCTGTTTTCCTTGTTTTCAAACTCTTTTGTGGCATAAAACATACCCATATTTATTCTGCAATAAGCTTTTGATGGCCAACACCTAACCTCTTATTCAATGTAAGGGGTTGGGGCTTATTACAAGACAATTAGAAAGCATTTATGATCATCTTTACAGAAACTGCAGTACATTTAGGTGGGCTTATTACCAGACATAAGATTACTGCTGATTTCATTATCTTTGTTCATTTAAGGTAAATTTAAAACATGGCATTACCAAAGAACTTACAAGTCGTTGTAAGGACACTTGTACTGCCTGTGCAGGGACCATGGTGCTGGAATTTGCAGCTCTTAGTCGCCTCTCAGGAGAGCCAGTATTTGAGGTAAACTTTATGTTGACAGTGAGACCTCCCACAGGGATCATTACGATATTCTTAGTTACTGAATACCCTGAATGGGAAACCTTTAATAATAATAAAAGTCCCCTTAGTCCATAGCTGTGCTTGATCAATTTCAGTTTGAACAGAAGAACAAGATGACTGCTATTTGGATTTTAGATAGGGCAAATAACAAATTTATGATAATGAAAGTTAAGATCCCCCATTAACTTCCTATTAAATTGCTATTAACGATATGTGTGAGTACTAACCCCGAGGGTAGATAGAATCCTGCTGAAGGGTGATTACTGTTAAGTCACAATACTGGAGTAAACTCGTTGCTGACTTACAAAATAGTTTTGGACAGTTAAAATAGAAATTTACAAAGGGTTTCATTATCTTTTCCATTTTATAATTTTGGTTTTTGGTTTGAAGGAGAAGGCTCACAAAGCCATGGACTACTTATGGCAGCAGCGACATAGAACTAGTGATTTGGTGGGCACAGTCATCAACATCCACAGTGGTGACTGGATTCGCAGAGGTATACTCCTTTAAGCAACATACCTGTCACACATTCTCTATGTTAGATGTATGTAAATGTTAGAAAAACCTTATTTGGAAGTTGAATGGATAAAATTTTAATGTGATGATAAAACACAGATTGTAACTGTTCTTAATTTTGTATGTACCTATGTAACCTTAATATACTAATACTAGCTGTAAAGAGAAATTTTTGTCGCTTTAAGAGAAGATGTATACCAAGAGATACATGTAGAGAAGAATTTATGATATTCAGAAAATAAGAAATGGATGTCCCAAAGTTGTCTTACTGAATTTACAATAAATCAGGCTCAGATGGAAGGTAAATGAAATCTGTTTCTTGATGGAATAAAACTGAGTTGGATTTCACCTATGATGGCATTGGCATATAAAATAGCCCTGTTACCCAAAAATTTACAGAAAGTGGTGTTGGGGCAGGGATTGACTCTTACTATGAGTATGTACTGAAGGCTTACATCCTGCTAGGGGACGACACCTACCTCCAGCGTTTCAACAAGGTTTGTTTAATATTAAAATGCTTCATTAAATGCTCTCTGGAAGATTTGTGTTGCTTTATAAGGTTTGTGAGAACTCTCTCAGTCTGTTTTGTAGGTCTATTGATCAATTTTATGTTATTATCTAAAACAATGTTTCTCCCAACATACACATGCACCTGTACTACCAGAAAGTTAGTGTTTATATGATGTAATAAAAAGAGATATGTTGAAACAGTATAATTTTCCTAGCATTACGAGTTTTGCATGGTCAAGAACTACCTAATTGTCTAATGTCTTTGTTTTCACACTATGATTCTGTCATGCCGTACATTTACTTGTCTAATTTCTATGTTGTAGCACTATGATGCTATAATGAAGTACATTAGTCAGGGACCAATGTTTGTTGATGTGCACATGCACAAACCTCAGTCTATATCAAGGCACTTTATGGACTCACTGCTGGCTTTCTGGCCAGGCTTACAGGTAATATTTTAATATATATTTGTCTTGATTACATAATATGTAACCAGTATAGATACACTGCTGGATTAATCCCAGAAACCACTGTATATTTTAACTTGGATTATGCACTGTAGTCTCAGATCTTAGCAGCTTCTGGTAAATCCCTTCTCCCCAAATATTTTTTTTTGTGATAAAAGATGTTCTCATTTATAACTTTGTCAATGTTTGGCAGGGATCTGTTGGATTTCTAACTTTTCCGGTCAAGACTTCTATCTTATTGAGATCATTTTACTATTTGTGATTGCAAAGCTTACAAGAATCCTACCTCAAATTAGAGACTTTGATGTAATCTAAAGGGGTTCAGCTGAATCAGTCCGACACCAGGTGCTATCAGATTTTTTATTGAGGCCAGTAAAAGCTCAGCCATTAAATGAAAAATTGTAGACTAGATAGGACTTATAGAATCTGAAAACGTATGATAGAACTTTGGATTTAGAAATGTACACTTCTCACAGAGATCTGTTTGATGATAGAGTAATGTATCAAGATTTTCATGGTAAAGTCAGTTTTTTGTAATTTGCATCAGTCTACTTTTTGCACCTGTCAAAATTCTGATGGGAGGTATTATGATATGGTGTTATTTGTCTGTCAATCATTTGTTTCTACTGTTTTTGGTGTTGAATTTGTTTTTAGGTTCTAAAAGGAGACATAAAACCTGCAATGGAGACACATGAGATGTTGTATCAGATCATGCAGAGACATAATTTCCTACCAGAGGTAAGGGTTACTGGTACAAAATATATAGAGAGGTTGGCCTCACATTAATTGTAGTAATAAAACAATGTATTTACTGTCAGATTTTCATGTATAACAGTAATCAAGGTGTCTATTCTTCTGTCTGACCATACCTTTGTAAAGATCTTCTCATAAAAGAGAATCATAATATAAAGTAAATTATTGAAATTAAATGATGTTAATTGGCAATGTTCTTCCATACATTTATAAGGCTTCTAATGGTTCTCTGGTCATAGCCATGATGTCTAGAAACAGAATAGAACATAATTATTAATGTAAAGTACAGTGATATGTAACTCCTAGTATCAATGGTTAAGCTGTGTAGAAAGAAGTCTTTTATTTCATAGAAACGTCATGATTTCTGCTTTAGTCATCCTAGCCAGATAATTGCTAGTAAAAACCTTTTAGTCTGTAGAAACTTCATGATTTCTGCTCCAGTTAACATAGCTGGATCAAATACTGGTAGGAAACATTTGGTCTTCAGAAATCTCACGATTTCTGCTCTTGTAATGCACACAAAGGGACCCTAATTTGCAGGAGCTCTTTAGTCTATAGTAAAACATTATGTCAAAATTAATGAAGAATATTGTGAAAGGTTTTGTGATTTTAAGCATATTTGTGTACTTTATGGTTACAGGCCTTTACTACAGATTTCCGTGTCCACTGGGGACACCATCCATTGAGGCCTGAGTTTGTTGAATCCACTTACTTCTTACATAAGGTAAATCATTTGACACTTATGCTTGTTTACTTACCACAAGTGATTAGTCTACCAGGTAGTTTCAGGGGTTCTTCTTTATTAAACTTTTTAATTTGGTTATTAATGATAACTTCTATCATATTTAATCAAACAAGTTTATAGCTTAACTCTGGGGACCAAGATAATTGGTTTGTTAAATACATACATTAATAAAGAATTTAGGATAAAATATTGGGTGATTCTTCATAAGAAAACAAAGAAATACAATAAGACAAAATATTTCATTTGTTCAAATAACAACAACACTGTCCCCACATATGGAACCATATACAACATTGTCTCATTTGAAAATGTTCCAATCAGCCAGTGTTAGGTTTAAAGTCATTGTCTCCAAGTTGTTTTGTGAATTTGTCAGATTTTGCTTATAAAATAGGCCCAGATAACAGATTATTTTGATTTCATTTTTTCCATCTGCTGAAGTGTCGGGATGACCTATAGTCATTGTGTTTCGCACTGTCTGCCGCGCATAAAATTTCCATTGACTTCTTCTCAATAACTAAATGGCCCAAAGTGCCGATATTAGGTCTGTAGCATGCTGGGATGAAGGACTACAAAGTTTGTTAATATGAATGACTAAGAATTACTTTCAAGGTCACAGTAACTTACAGTATATGTGAACAGGCTACGGGAGATCCTCACTACCTCAACATAGATACTATTTACTTGATCAGTAACTTACAGTATATGTGATATTTTACAGGCTACGGGAGATCCTCATTACCTCAACGTAGGGAAGGAGGTGATCAACAATCTCAACACCTATGCCCGTGTTGACTGTGGCTTTGCTGCTATCAAAGATGTAACGACTGGAGTACATGAGGACCAGTGAGTTACCACTTATCTCTGCTTTGCGTTTAGCCATTTGAAAGAAATGTTCGGTATATCAAGTTCAAGGTTCTTGTGTTTCACTTGAACTTTCTTGCATTTTATGCAATACTTGTATACTCAAAAATGTGTGTTTTTTTCTGTTCCTAATTTTCACTATGAGGTTGCATTGTGAATTTGGAAGTGATGAATTTTTAAGGGGCAAATTTTGATTTAGTAAGATTTACATCTTATGTTTATGAATACATCCTCTTCAAAGATGAAACTACGGTAAAGCTAGTTTAGATGACCAGATTTTGACATCATATGCAGAAATTTGCATGTGACAAAGTAAAACCTGTTATTCAGTGGTTTTTTTACATGTATGTACATTGTATAGCCTTAGTCTGTACTTGTTTAAATTGAATAACAAAAGTGTTTAGAACTGTTTCAGATGTCCTTACAGTATTTGAATTATAATCATCATCAATGGTAATCCCTTTATGAAACTAGAAATTTATTGCCTAGGAGATGAAGATGTTAATGCAACCAGGTTTCATTGTATATGATTTAAAGTGAATGAATTAGCTTTTTACAGAACAAAGAAATAACATTCATTATAATTTCTGTGATACAAATGCATGACTTATTCCTGTGATTGGAACAGTACAGTAATATTTGTGTACTTACAGGATGGACTCGTATGTACTGGCAGAGACATTTAAGTACTTATACTTGATGTTCAGTGATAAGTCAGAACGTGTATTAGATATTGATGACTACATATTTACCACAGAAGCTCATCTCCTACCTCTCGCATTATCTGTGACCAACATGACCTCAAGACTACCAAAGGTGAATCATGATGTTAAAACTTCATAAAGACCTGTCATTTAACTCATTAACATTAATTGTTTATACAGCACTACATTATGCATTGCAGTTGTAAAATTACGAGGAACTTTGTAGCCTGGCCACCTCCTACTTTATACTTCAGGTTTTAAATTGCCCGTATTATCCTGCAAGAAGTCCAGGAGGCCAACACATAATGCTTTACACAAAGTCAATAATGAGCTTAATACAGGAAATTAAGTAACAATTATGGATAAGTAAACTGAATATCAATAGATATTGGTGGGCTTATTACCGGACATTACTTAATGCTAGATAAACATGTATAACAGGTGAGGAGTGAGGTTTACCAGGACCTGGGAGACTTTAGTGACAGTTTTGAGAGTATGTCCCACCCATCAGACGATGAGTATCAAGAGGACAATAAGTATCACACCTGTCCAAATCTTCAACACCTGTACCAGGGCACTCAGAATTACGCTTTCAATCTCCGCTCCAAGGTCCAGAATATGGTGGACAAATATACTACTAATACGAAAAAGTCAGTATATAAAATTCAGTCAGAATTATTATGATATATATTATAATGGAAAAAGATTTACAGTAATATTATGATAAATTCAGTAAGGAATTCATTCATTTAAGATCCATATTATTTCTCTTCAATAAGTAACTTTTCTATAAGTTTCCAAATAGTGCTATTTAATGATTTTCTACTTCTTAAATATTCATACACTAGTATTCAAGTGAACAACCTTCTGTGACATGGTGTTTGTTAAGCAGCATTTTGTCAGCTACTTTAGAATAAATTGATGTACCTGTCTTGCAGGGATGGCCGTAAGCCCCGTCTGAGAGCAGCTGATTTTATAGCTGGTAACAAGGCTCAACTTGATCTTTTGATGTTGATGGGAATAAAAATAGCCACTATGGCTGATGGAAGAGTGCAGCTGCTCCACACTGCAGGGGAGGTAAGTCATTTTAAAGCTTCACTGATGATTGACACTATTTACCCTCTTCATCCCAGACAGTTATTTCTAATGCTTCTATGAAAACAAATCTTAATCAATGTTGTAAAAAAAGTCCTCAAAGAAAGGAGTCCAGTAACAGATGAACTGATTGTGTGTTGCAGATACATAGTGATTACGACACCTGTAAATGAGAGGTATTTGGGGACTGTATGAAAGAGACCTGGAAATAATTATATCTAAGAGTTATAAAGAAGTATGGCATGCTAAATTACATAATAATACAGGGAAAAAAGAAGGTTATATCAATAGCAAAGAATGCTTCCATTGAGGTGTCTGTAGACAGCATATAGTGCTACCTCCCAAACCAAAATGTGCAGAGTAGTAAAATTCAATAGATAATTATAGACACCTCAGATCAGATCTTGTATATAAACAGGCTGCCAGTCCTGAAGACGCTGAGGATGGGATGAAGTTTATGCAGGAGATGATTGAGCTTTCTCGTCACCAGCAGCAGGAATGTAAGACAGCTTCACTATTCTGTTTGTGAAATTTGAAAACAAAAGTGTTGCAAAAAGCATTAAAATTATAATCTTGAACTCTTGAAGTGCTATTTAAAGTTACTACAATAGAGTAAAACAATGGAATACAATGTTGGTGTAAATATGTAAGTAGAAGAGTTGAGAAGGACTTGTCAGTGTAAGAGTAGCTTGTTAGAGATAGTATCGATTGCACTGGTATTAAAATAATCTATCAATGTTTTTATTTTTCTGGCCATTTCAAAAGTTTAGTCAAGTAAATAATTCTACCTTTGTCATATGCACCTATTTGTGATGTTCCTGTTTCTCATTTCAGCTCAACACGACCCAATGATAGTTCAAGTGCTTTCAGACCCTTATTTTGGATCACTGTCTTTCAAAGCTGGGCCTGCTCAATTTGGCTACAGTCTAAAAACCAATCCTCCTGTGAGTGTGTAACGGGTTGATCACTGATGAAACAGAACTTATTAATCATTTGGCTGTTAGTCATATCTTCTCAAGAAAGGGCATTGTTACTATCATGTGAATGACTTGAAAATAGTGATGATTGGGGCTAGTTATACATATTACATCATTCTTCAGTGAAGATTGGGGCTGGTAATATATATTAAGTCATTCTTCAGTGAAGATTAGGGCTGGTAATATATATAAAGTCATTCATCAGTGAAGATTGGGGCTGGTAATATATATAATGTCATTCATCAGTGAAGATTAGGGCTGGTAATATATATAATGTCATTCATCAGTGAAGATTGGGGCTGGTAATATAAAGTCATTCATCAGTGAAGATTGGGGCTGGTAATATATGTATAGTCATTCTTCAGTGAAGATTGGGGCTGGTAATATATATAATGTCATTCATCAGTGAAGATTAGGGCTGGTAATATATATAATGTCATTCTTAGTGAAGATTAGGGCTGGTAATATATATAATGTCATTCTTCAGTGAAGATTGGGGCTGGTAATATATATAATGTCATTCATCAGTGAAGATTGGGGCTGGTAATATATATAAAGTCATTCTTCAGTGAAGATTGGGGCTGGTAATATATATAATGTCATTCTTCAGTGAAGATTGGGGCTGGTAATATATATAATGTCATTCATCAGTGAAGATTGGGGCTGGTAATATATATAATGTCATTCATCAGTGAAGATTGGGGCTGGTAATATATATAATGTCATTCTTCAGTGAAGATTGGGGCTGGTAATATATATAATGTCATTCATCAGTGAAGATTGGGGCTGGTAATATATATAATGTCATTCATCAGTGAAGATTGGGGCTGGTAATATATATAAAGTCATTCATCAGTGAAGATTGGGGCTGGTAATATAAAGTCATTCATCAGTGAAGATTAGGGCTGGTAATATATATAATGTCATTCTTCAGTGAAGATTAGGGCTGGTAATATATATAATGTCATTCTTCAGTGAAGATTAGGGCTGGTAATATATATAATGTCATTCATCAGTGAAGATTAGGGCTGGTAATATATATAATGTCATTCATCAGTGAAGATTAGGGCTGGTAATATATATAATGTCATTCATCAGTGAAGATTAGGGCTGGTAATATATATAAAGTCATTCTTCAGTAAGATTAGGGCTGGTAATATATATAAAGTCATTCTTCAGTAAGGATTAGGGCTGGTAATACATATAAAGTCATTCTTCAGTGATTATTGTTATTTTCTATTACATGTTTTCTGTTACATTATAGTAGTCTAAGCTGTGTTAACTTACCTTGATATCACATATAACTGTTTATTGTGATATCACCGTTATCACTCTATCTGTAGAAGACGATGATTTCCCACAAAACATTTATTTAAAGAAATATTAATGGAAAAGCCTGCTTTACTAGGAAACTGACTTATTAACACACAATTTGTGAATTTTATTAGATCCAAGGAGTTGTAGCAATAGCTGACCCCTTCAATGCATGTAGTGCTATAACCAACCCGGAGGAGGTGGAAGGCAACATCGCCATCATTGAACGAGGCAGCTGTATGTTTGTAGACAAGGTAACAATGTTTCCTACTCAACATACATTTGATGTGTGATATAATCTTGTTCATTCAAATACATTGGTTCTCAGGAAAATGTCTGGATTAATATATGACTAAAGTCGCTTTTGTTAAACTGATTTGAGCAAATGTAAATCTTAATGCGTTTGATTCGAAATTGTTCTTAACATATGAAAAAATCCCAAAAAAGATAAATCTCACCTTTGAAAATATATATTTTCAGGCAAGAAATCTTCAAAAAGCTGGTGCCAAAGGCAGTGTTGTAATAGGTATGTACTATGATTTCCTTGTGTTTTTACTGCATATGAAATGTACTTGGTATAGCATGTCCCTTGCTCTACAGGATTTATAAATATATTTATTATATTAGTAAGCATGGTTATGTGTTGTAGTGGAAGGGGCTGTGATAGCTCAGTCAGTAAAATCTTAGCCTACACAACCTCTGGTTAGGATCTGATGTATATAGTCATCAAATGATTACATCCTTGTTGACAAGCGAGATTTTCCAACAGACTATTGGTATACTTTGGGAACAAACTGTCCCCCTCACTTGTCTGACTGGTTTTGTTTTTCATGAGGATAGATTTATAAAAAGTATTTATCAAAACAGGTCACAAAGACCTTGCAAAGGCCTTTGATTTTACTTTTGAAGATGTTGATGACAAATTGTCTTCAAATGACAAGAGAATTGTTGACCATGTCCATCATATATGGCCATCAGAATTGGAAATCAAAGACATGACAGAAGTTCTAAATTAGCAGCTTACCCTGATTGTTTCCTACAACAAACCAACAGGGATTGCTATCCATCAAGCTGTATGACAAGCTTGATGATTTCAATCTCCCAAATGTGAATTTTCCATTTATGGATAGCGACATTCCTGCATCCCCAACCTATGATGTGTATTGTACATGCCGCAATTGATTCAATATATTAGGGCTTGTAACATGTTTTTTGTGCAAGATGTTGGGCTTTGAGAGATACAGGTTGATGAAGATTATTGGGAAAATTTACAGTCAAAATGATCTCAACTTTGTACGTTATGAAGCAGAACATGCTTGATGCTAGTTAGTTAACCTTGTGGTTCCATTGTTGTTTAACTTGATCTCATTTGGGAATGCAACACTACTAACTTTAATTCACCAAGATTTATATGGCGAGTGCCATCAATGAAGCCAAACATGGTTATCCTTCAAAACTCTGGTCTTATTCTCCTTGGCTGTGCACATGGGAGATAAGCTCAGCAAAGATACAAGAACAAAACAGTGTAGTAGGATACAGTTTCACTGTATATCAGTTGACTTTTTTATAATTTGTACAATTTCTTTCTTCTCTTTGTTGTTTTACTACTGTCTGTAAACTGTCCGAAAACTCTTTGTTGATTGATAGCTATTTATCTTTTTAGACAACACTGAGGGCAGTTCTAGTGAAAGCCATGCTCTGTTTGCCATGTCAGGGGATGGTCAGCAGGATGTTGATATCCCACTTGTCTTTTTGTTCCACAAAGAGGGACAGACTATCTTAAAACTGCTTCAAGAGTTCCCTAAACTTGAAATACTTCTAGGAGAGCGAGAAATGAATGCAGGTGAGCAGCTAGTGATGTTCATATTGGTCAATTATTGATAGCATATCTAGTTTTCATGTTTAGTTATCTAATCATTTTATTTACAACTGCATTACTTAATCAAAACAAGATGAAGGAACTTTGAGGATGGGCTACATGAATTAAATACTCCAAATTTGCTGTATTTGTTGTTTTCAAGAAATTATAGATTGACCCTGACATAAACCAAAAATGTAGGAGATTTTCTTTTACTTTGTCAGAGGTTTATCAAAGCATTCCAGTGTAAATCTTGTAGATTAAATGATTTGATATATTATGCATTATTGTCATTGAATGAAAATCATGATTTTACAGAGATCTTTTTATACTGTCAGATTAAAAGATGAATTAATTTATTGATGCGTATCATAGCAGAAAAATATAGACAAATGTAATAGGCAATCATCTTTTTCTGCCAGTATAAAGCAAGAAATGTGTTTTCATGACCAATGCATTGAATTATTTTATACGAAAACTCTTGAGGAAAATGGTTCCATGTAGGGACAGAAACAGTCTACCTTGTAATTGTTAGTTATTTGTGCAAAATATAAGTTAGGTGCTATATTTGTACTCTGTGTTACAGAAGCATTCCTTCCTAAAGAGCCACCATCTCTAATAGAACAGGAGCTGGAAGCTAACGGCCCTACAATTGGAGGGAGCAAGGGCATGAAAGATACCAATACTGAGGACACTGGCGAACCAGATACTGTACAAACACCACAGGCTGAGGACTCCAAGAAACCTGACAAATATCGTGTCCACATACGGGAAACAAGGGAAGGTAACACATACAGACTTCCGACGAGTAGTGGCCATGTCCAGCTTGTGGTTGATGTAGGACGGACTATCAACAAGCCACATTATCCAAAAATTGTTGATAGGGACGTCATACAAATGAAACATTTGCCTGATGGTACTAAACAGATTGTTTTTAAACTTGATGACTTGACATCATCTAAAGTACCAACAACGAAACCAGAACTCAACCAAATATATGTTAGTGTTGTTCAGGTGCTGCAACAAAGGACTAACTTCGAGACTTTGAGCAATCAAGCAGATTATCTTATATCAATAGCCAGGTTATTAGAGGCAGCTTATTTTGGTTTTCAAGTACAAGATGCTAATGATAATTCTCAGGAACTGTTTGATAAACTAGCTGGATTGCTGGTGATAAAGCCTTTAAAATCACATGATAAATCCAGTGATGAAAATGTACGGGAAAAACTCACCATTTCACATGAATTCAATCATTATGCATCAGAAGAAGATTTTGCTGAAGACAAAACTGCTAAAAAGGAGGTAAAACCTGGCAAATCTACTAAAATACATGCCAAAATAAATACGTTAGAAGAGATCATAACAATTACAGAGGAAGAAGAGGAGCAAATTGACTCATCCGAGCCAGTCAGACAAGCTACAGATACAACATTCCAAGATGATATAATGGTAGGGAGTGACACTGATGGAAAATATGAATTGCCTCAAAGTGACATTGTAACAGATGATGAATCATCTCAAAGTAATATTCATATAGGAAAAAATACTCCTGAACCAAACATTCCTGATACTGATTCAAGTTCAGAACCATTTAGGATTTATGCAACAGTAACATCAAGGCGTGATAAGGAATCCGAAGATGAAACAGAAGAGACTGAGAGCATCCCAGATCGTGACGAGTTATAACAATATTTGTTAAGGTTCTAGATTTCTAAGGTCCCTTTAACTCTTAATGTCTTTAATCAAATATGTCCCAAAATTATATAATGTTAATATTACAGAGTAAATATTTTTACAGTCTTTTATAGGAAATGATAATTTTTTTTTCAGGTAAGGCAGGTTTTACAATTTAATGAATTATGTCCTAAAATCGATTTCCAGGAGGGATATTTGTAAATGATTTCAAATACTTTTCTTATCTGCCATAAAGTTGGAATTGTTCATGTGGTAACTAATCAACAAGAATGTAAACAGATTTATACATAACAATTGTATGCCATATATTATGAGTTCTTCCACATTACCTGAAAAACAGGTTCATCTTATTTGCTCTCTTAAAGAGATGGATAGAAACACTTGAGTAAAAATAGCCATTCTGTCTGCTGTATCTAAAATCTACTGGTTCTTTATTGATTATTGATAAATGCTGATATTGAAACATCTCTGTCGGAGATAACCAGTTTTTAGGTCATCTGACCCAAAGGGTCTGATGACCTATTGCGATCGCCTTTTGTCAGGCGTTGTCCGTCATAAACATTTTCAACTTCTTCTCAAGTTCTACTTGTGACATTGAGCTGAAACTTACCTGTATTGACCGTGACATGATCCTGACCAAAGTTTGTTAATTTTGGGTTGGTCCGAAATCCAACATGGCCGCCATCTTGAAAACACATTTTCAGCTTCTTCTCAAGTTTCACCAGTGTGATTGAGCCAAAACTTGCATGAAATGATCATGACAAGGCACTGACCAAAGTTTGTTAATTTCGGGTCAGTCCAAAATCCAACATGGCCGCCATTTTGAAAATATATTGAAAACACATTTTCAACTTCTTCTCAAGTTCTAACTGTGACATTGAGCTGAAACTTATCTGAAATGATCGTGACATGGTCCTGACCAAAGTTTGTTAATTTTGGGTTGGTCCGAAATCAAAGATGGCCGTCATGGCCGCCATCTTGAAAACAAATTTTCGACTTCTTCTCAAATTCCACCAGTGGGACTGAGCAAAATCTTGCATGAAATGATCATGACATGGCACTGACCAAAGTTTGTTACTTCAAACATCCTCTGAATAACCAGAACACCCAGGGTGATGATATTTGGCCTGTAGCATGCTGGGATGAAGGTTTACGAAGTTCGTTATAATGACTTTTACCCACTTTCAAGGTGGTGGCTGAGTGCCCTTGATTCTTAAATCCTGGTGAAATAAGTTCAAAATTTGAAATCTTGTATTTTATGTCAGATGACCGTTAAGGCCCATGGGCCTCTTGTTTTTTTATTATAGGTTATAAAGTCATTATCTAGTGAAGTATATTTTCCCCTCACACCAAGATATTTTATGTACTGAAAGATGGAAGTCTCTATTGAATAAATTTATGATAGTTTTTGGTACTATGTTTATAGTACATGTTATCTCAAGGCTGATATTTGAAATGTAGTTTTGTGTGAATCAAATTTAAAGGTAAGTTTCTGCTGATTTTCTGAAATATTTCATTATTGCATAGATGCTAAAAATACTTTGGCTTGTTTTTACTGTTACAGTATCAAAAATGATTTCAAAACACTGGTAGCAAAGTGAAATGTTGAAATAAAAAATTAGTTTTACCGTTGAAGTGAACTTATTATAGATAGATAACTGTATTTGATTTATCAGGTGACTCGGGTAAAACCTGGATTACCTCAAGTTCAAAAGTACACTTGTTGTGTATCCATAGGTAGAAATTTCACTGATCTGCTTGTTAACAACATCAAAACGGATCTCATAGGGTACCATTTACAACATATCAATGTTTATCTTAATCTGTGTTATTTAATTAGCCAATTTTGATCAATAACAAGAGAATTTAAAACATGAAAATCAGCAAAAACCTGTCTTTAATAGGATGTTTTGTTCTAATTGTGTTTGGCTGAGTGAATATATATGTTCTTATGATCTGTGAATAAGTATGTGCTGTGTCTTATGAACATTTATGACTTTGAATATTATAAATATACATGATTTTGAATATTCATCAAGTCATGAATACTTCAGAATCTTTTATTTTATTTCTTCATAATTTATTGGTCAAAATGTAGTGCTATAATAAGTTCAATTTGGTGCAGATATAAAAACAAGTTTTGATAATTGCATACGTTTTGGCCGACTCCTTGTTCAGTTGTACTGACCAAGGGATATGTATACATTTACGTATTGGTAAGAAAGTTATAGACATAATACTATATTGCTCCTGGACTATCAAGGTTTCCTAGAATCTTTTTTTTCCTTGTTTGTGTTATAAGATGTAATGGTTTATGAATGTTGTGAACATACACAACAACTGAAGCCTAACTGTGATCAAAATAGTGTACCAGTGATTGTGGCCGGGCATTTCATAGCAAACTTTACAGATTGGTATCTGTGTGTATTTTGTTGAACACGTTTGAAGACAATTATTCTTTGATTAAAATACCAACATGTACTCTAAATACATTGTACACACATATATATATGTAGATATACTGGATAGCTTGTGTATGTATCAGAATAGGTGTTCAATTGATGTATTGAAATGGTACAGGTGAACTAGTGTGTTGTTCAATTGCATGTCAAATCTACAATTACACCTGATGTTATTATTTAACTAACATACATATGATATGAATCTGATATGACATGATCCAGTTTCATATATGCTATCTTCTAAACTTCACAATCACAGAATTGCTAACCAATGAATTATTTTTCATGTACAGAAGATTTTTTTTAACTGGAAAGATATTTCTAAATGTTAGTAGAATGTTGTGAATTTGAAGGGATTTAGATTAAACTTTGACTCATAATCCTGGTAAGATTTGTTGAGTATCACCGGTGATGTAGGCTGTCTTACCCACTCATAATCCTGGTAAGATATGCTAAATATCACCAGTGATGTAGGCTGTCTTACCCACTCATTACTTTAATTATTTCCTATAAATGATACAGGCAAGATAACAAATTGATCACCATTTCATTAATGTTAGATAATAGATCCACGTGTTACTACATGTTTGTATATTAACCAAAATAATGGCATACACAAGATATCCTCAAAGATATGGTGTCAAAATATTTATATCCAACAACTCCAATTGTTTAAATTTATTTCAGTCACACAATATATACCATAATTAAGAATACTGACGGTGTGTATAATTTATCAGTAGACTTCTTCCTTTACTTGCTGTACAAACTCTTTGTGATGATCAGGGTTACATTCGGCGATTCCTTTAAACAAGGATATGATAGGCATGATAAACATTTATATGGCAGGCATAAAGGATTTTCTATGGATGTATTGGTGCCTTTTACCACATATCAAGTTAGGTTCATAGATTACATGTCTGTAATCTGTTTTATTTATACTTTGGAAACTTGATGGAAGAAGTTTTTCATCAAAGTCATGATAAACTGATTTCTTGTGTGATAGTTTCCAAGACATACCTCCTTGTACAGTATGATTGTTAGTGGTTGCTTTTGATTGCTTAAACATTGATATTATTTCCTTATTATATAATAAGTAGTTTTATGCCTTAAAATTCACTGCGTTGTTAATATGTTTATTCCCATATAAAATACTTTTGCTAGAAACAGCTTGTAAAGTCTTGTCCCAGCTTTCTTAACTTTGTGTTGATATTTTTATATTTGTGGTTTATGAGTATCTATTAACAAAAGTTGTGGAAATGTTGGGTGTTGAAAAGTCCTATAAGTGTATAAAGTACTTAACTTCATGTAAATTTTCTAGTCATGAAGTGTTAAGTCAAAGCAAAACATGCTAGTCTATTGTGATGTTCACGTAAAATAAAATTTCTATAACACAGTTCAAAAGAAAGAGGAGAAAATGCCAGAAGAAAATAATGCCAAAAATTGAAAATACTACTGTAACCAAACCATCAGTGCATAGCTTCCAGTAGGGGATAGGGGTAGTGCCATTATTCATAAGCTTCGGGTGTTTTGTGCTTCCATGAATACAATTATTGTAGTACTTGTGTATTGCACATGTGTCATCTGAAACAAAACTTACAACGAAAATTGAAATTTTGATCTTCTCTTGCTTTTGATAAGCCAGATATATTGTGTTCACATTTACAGAAGGGTGAGTTTTGTTCTCATAACTGTGTTCAAATAGTTGTTTTATAATATTATGTTTTATTTGTTGGACAATAACTTGAAACATTAGTCTGACAGTCATGCTGAGTAATTAAGCATATATATTGTTTTACGAGTGCTCAGATTTATTCCTTTATGTTCACAAATACAAAATTTGTATGTCTAGAGGCAGTGTTGGTAGCTGGCTGTTCTAACTGCATATACTTACATTACCTTCTGTTTAAAATCATTATCATCTTGTACAAAATTCTGTCCTTTGAAATATATACCATTAATGTTATTAAGTAGTCAAACAGCCACCTCAGGGAACTGAAAAGCATTTCTTTTATGTATGAGGTAGTCTTTGTATAATGTTCAGTCAAATGAACTACGAAGAATAAGTACTTTATCACATACTACCTTGTTATCAGTGTAGTAACCCCCTGTTACATGATTTTGTGTTTTCAGACATGTTAATAACACCCGACAGAGCTGCGATTGGCTGAAGGTTGTCATTGTCATAGCTTCATGAGATCATATGCATTATAAGGTTACAATGTTATAAGAAAGGTTATATGCTGTGAGAATATCGCCAGTTTTGATTTTGTATTAGTTTAAAAAAAATACTGTTTTCACCACTGTTTACAAAAGTATCATGTGATAAGCAAAATCAAGACACATTTTAGTCTTTGCATTGTAAATTTTATACAACTCAAGTACAATGTATATTTTTTGAACAATCATTTGAATTGCAAAGAAAGTAACACAGCAATCCCAATTTTAAACACTTTCATCCAGTTAGGTTTCTAACCTCCAAAAAGCAATCTCCAAGTATTGTACTTAAGATGATCAAATTAACACAGTTATGAATGATGCTGCCTGTTTAGCTAGTGTTAACATTTTAAAGAAGATGAATATATTTTGACTTGTTAATTTATTTTTTTGTTGTTTGTGAACCACTGTTGTTAGCCAAACATTAGATTAAATTACTGTAAGACGGAAAGTCTTCTGACCTATATATTTGGTTCATATCATTTGAATCATTTATGATAAATAACTCCTAAGTGATTTATTTACATGTATCGAATCATATATCTGATGATGGTAGAAGACTTATACAACTTGTTATGAATATTTCACATCTTACAGGACAATCTTTTGTTTTCCTCTCTTTTTTTTTAAATTTTTTTTGGGCAAAGCCTTCCCTCAGTTAGTAGTTCAATTTTACATATATGCCATATGTTGATGCTAACCTTGTACTTTGTAGAATAGAAGTCATGATGTATGAATAACTGGAATTGTGTTGAATGAATGTGAGGTTGATTGTACATGTATTTCTTGAATGTATGGTTATTGCTCAACCAATCAAATTTTGAGAACTACTTGAATTGGTCAGCATAGGAACATGGCCATGATGTCCTTTTCCAGGAGTTTGGCTAGCAAAAGCCATGAATATAGACAATAGATTGACCTACAACAGGGTACATGCTATTGGTACCATTAGAAGTACAATATATATAATCTTGAGTTGCTTGTGCCCCAATGGATGCGAGTGTGACTTGTCTGAAATATAAAAACTATTGAACTCACTATCGTGAAATCATGCAAAAATAAAAAGAATTCAACAGAAAATTTATTTTATTTTATCTTTGAGATGATAATGGAAAACATCTTTATCATGTAGACTCGTAAAGAGGCCAAGGAGGTCCAAGAAAAGTCTGCAGTTCTTGCCATGTAAAATTTTCACACAAGTGACATGTATTTGATGTTGAAGTTTTCTCTGATGGTGCCACAATGTTTTGAAGCATAGAGTCTAGGAGTTGAACAACTCTACTTATACATGTCCTTTCCTCTTACAAAGCATTAACTATTACTCTGTTTTGTGTAGGAAACTGTAGGTCCAGTTGTCTGAACTGATAAGCACATTTATTTCGCTCCGACGTGTAACCCAGTTCATTATATAGTCTTGCTAAGTAATATGTAGCATCCTTCACTCTTAAGGAAGCATCAATTTTCTTGAACTTCTCTATCACGTTCGCAATCATGTTGATGGCAAGTAACAATGCTGTAAAAAAAAAAAAATAAGACCACAAAATAAATGATATCAAAATCTGTTGGCAGGTTTCTGCAGGTGCAAATGGCCAAATAAATTTCGCTGAAAAGTAGAAAAGTTTAAACAACGTCCATCAGAGACGGGTCAGGCTCCCCAAATGGGACAAAATTCAAGAATGAAAAATAACAAGGGACAATTATTCCTAAATAATGCAAAGAGAGTTATGGTTCTTGTACAATGCACTTCTCATCAATATCTATCTATGTTGATACCACTTATGGATTTTGTGCTATGCTTCGGACAAAATTGATAGATAGACTGATGAACAGATGGATGAACAAAGTAGCAACTATATGCTCTCCCTTCAGGGAACATAAAAATTAACCTGGTAATAGACTGTTTCCCCAGAATAATGAAATTCACATCCAATGAATGAAATACTGAAGTAATTCTCTGGGTTTTTTTGGTTATTTTATCCCCTGATTTTTTATCCTAATGCATATTGCATCCCCAGGAACACACATTATTTCTCTACTTTATAAAAAGTCTGTACAAACCTACTGTAATTAGTGTCGGTCAGAGTGACACACATTTATTTCTAATTGAGAGATATTATAAAGCAATAACTGCAGCAACAATTTATGATATCATAATAGTAACATGGATTCTGGAGTCCAATGAAATTGTACAGCACTCACGATAATGAAGATTCTCAATCTGGTGAACAAGGAAATCATAGCTAGAATTTAACATACCTGTCTTGCGTTCTTTTTGGGGACTGTCTGCATTAGCAGCCACCTGGCAGCGAGCATAGCAGTACATAGTGCGAGCCTGATCATACATACTTCCATGAGAGAATATCTGAACCATCTGAGTGTGTAAAAGTTTGAGAGCCTGCTCTGGCAACTTCATCTGGAACTGGGAAGGAAAAAAAAAGCATTTACGTAATTCAGTTTACAATCTAATGATGCCAATGTTTCAGGTCCAAAATGTTGAAGCTGTGATCTGATTGGGTATTGACTTTTGGAAACATTGGAAAGGCAACATGATGATGTTAGAGTGTTTTGTAAATATCATGGTGATAAATATACCTTTGAAAAATTAATTTAATATTCTTCCTTTAAAATAGCCTTATTAAAAAAAGTAATTACTTTTGACTAAATTTTTGGGTGCTCTGATGTTTTAATGATGACTGTGCACTTTGAATAATACAAAGGCAGTTCAGATTTCATGTAAGTAAATAGCCACAACTTGATAAATTAACAAGAGGCCCATGGGCCTTAACGGTCAATCAACTACAAAAATTTTCAGCAAGGAAAAGGCTTATATTTTTTACTTTTACAATGTATTCTTACCTCGAAGCTAGTTTTGGTGAGGATTAGGTAACTGGAACAAGTGTTACCTATTTTTAGACAGTAAAGTTGCAGCTCAATCCAACTGGTAAAACTTGAGAAGAAGTTTCAAAAATAGGTGTTGCACAGGAAAACCATGATTGTGCAATCATTTTAGAAATTGGCCACCCTGGCTGTCATATGGAAGTTCTGACAAGGTAAAAAAATACTAACACTTTGTTAGCTACCTTTCCTTAACATTTCTAGCTCAATGGCACCAGAGAAACTGGAGGAGAAGTTTAAAATATGTTTTTCAAGATGGTGGCCATCTTGGATTTCAGACATATCCAGAAAAAAAACAACAGTTGGTCAGGACCATCTCAGGATCATTTTATGCAAGTTTGAGCTCAATTCCATCAGTGAACATGAGAAGAAGATTGAACTGTCAAACGTTTACACACCAAGGATAGCACACAATAGACGATGACAGACGAAGTACAATGGCTATAGATCATCATGACCCTTCAGAACAAGTCCATTGGTGAATTTGATCTCCTGTTTTCGTTGGATAAAACAAAGTAAGGACATACAGGAATATTCATCAGACCAAATGGTTCAACCTAATTGCCTTACAGAAAAGTCTTTAGTATGTGAAAGTTGCCATGGAGTGTTAAACTGATCCATGTAGGATGTATTTTGCCTACCTGGATGAAAGCAAGATGTACAGTAGCTATAGCAATAGTGTACTGGAGGTGGTGCTCTTTAGCATGAGTGAGACAATCGAGGACATGAGATAAAGCCGACGTGTGGTTTCCTGTCTGTATGTACAGCTCAGCCAATGTCAGCAGCACTCTGCAATATAACACAACTATGTGTACCTAAACAAAACATAGAAAACAGCTCAACATACCAGAAATTAATACAATGAAATATGCAAAATGTTCCAGAATACAACACCCCAGAAAGTAACACATGGAAGTACAGCTTCACACCCCAGAAAGTAACACATGGAAGTAGAGCTCCACACCCCAGAAAGTAACACATGGAAGTACAGCTTCACACCCCAGAAAGTAACACATGGAAGTACAGCTTCACACCCCAGAAAGTAACACATGGAAGTAGAGCTCCACACCCCAGAAAGTAACACATGGAAGTACAGCATCACACCCCAGAAAGTAACACATGGAAGTACAGCTTCACACCCCAGAAAGTAACACATGGAAGTACAGCTTCACACCCCAGAAAGTAACACATGGAAGTACAGCTTCACACCCCAGAAACTAACACATGGAAGTACAGCTTCACACCCCAGAAAGTAACACATGGAAGTAGAGCTCCACATCCCAGAAAGTAACACATGGAAGTACAGCTTCACACCCCAGAAAGTAACACATGGAAGTAGAGCTCCACATCCCAGAAAGTAACACATGGAAGTACAGCTTCACACCCCAGAAAGTAACACATGGAAGTAGAGCTCCACATCCCAGAAAGTAACACATGGAAGTACAGCTTCACACCCCAGAAAGTAACACATGGAAGTAGAGCTCCACACCCCAGAAAGTAACACATGGAAGTACAACTCAATATATCATGAATTAATACAATGAAATACAGTTCAACATTCTTGAATGTTTGAATCCTGTCATTAAGTCATTTAAAGATTTTAACATATTTGATCCCTGTGGCCTTGAAAGTAAGTCAAGGACATTCATTTGAACAAACTATGCAGCTCTTCATCCCAGCATGCTAATGCCTTTAATCAACATTCTGGGTCTTTCAGTTCTTGAACTTGAGAAGAAGTCATTTCAAAATTTTCACACATTTAACCCCTAAGACCTTCAAAAAAGCTCAAGGTCATTCATTTAAACAAAATTAGTGGCCCTTCATCTCAACATGCTACAGCTCAATATCAGCACCGTGGCCCTTTTGGTTTTTGAGAAGAAATTGTTTAAAGATTTAAACACATTTGATCCCTGTTACCTTGAAAGTGGGTCAAAGTCATTCATTTAAAATTGGTAGCCTTTCCCACAAATGACCTGATAAAAGACAGCTCATCATACTGGAATATAACACACTGAAACACAACTCAACATACAAAAAAAAAGCACTGATACCAGAATTTTATACAATGAAATATATGCTTAATGTACAAGAATACATCACACTAAAATACAGCTGAATGTATCACACCATCACTCTTCAGCATACAGTACCTGCAGGGATAGTCTGGAGTGTATTTAGACTGGTTTTGTCGATATTTCTCCATCAGGCTGTGAAGGGAGTTGAGGGCAGTGGGTATGTCTCCTTTCTCTTTGTTGAGCATGGCACTCCTGGGATAAGCAAAAATGCATATCAATAGTTCAATATTAATCTTACTATAGAAATTGTTGAATAGGTTTGGCAATGATAAAACGAATGGTATATTTTAATTCAACACTTAACACAACTAAAAACTTGTGAATCTTACTTAAGGTAAGAAACTTTCCTAAGATTAGTGACCCCTACACAAAACATGTACCCAAACAAAGACTGGTGACTCCTACACAACACTTATGACCTCTATAACAAAGATTTTACCTTACATGTTTGTTCCCTATAAGAGAGATATGAACTCTAAGACATGTACTATACAAAGAACTGGTCACCTCCCTAAGGACAACATGAACTTAACCTGAGACTTGAGGCACTACATTGGAGACATGAACCCTATCAAAAGTCCATCCCCACCGGAGACATGGACTAAGTTCACTCCTGTTGGAGACATGTCATGGACTTCCCTGTGACAACCCCAACTAGACAAAGAAACCTTACCTAAGACAGGCCTCGTCCTCATCCAGTCCCCGAAGGTTGTTGACAGCCTGCTCAGTTGCCGTCCAGTTTCTATTGAGAAGCGTTTTATCAAATTGGATCTCCTGTTCACATGACATCCATATGTGTGCATGTTGTGTGTGAGAAGGGAACCTCTGTTTTGCCGTGTTAATGATATCTAGGGCGGAAGAGTAATGACCCTATTGATAAAAGATAAATGTAAAATCATTAATGTCATTATCATATATAACACCATGTTTGTCCTTTAATAAGCACATGGGGCAAAAACATAATCTCTGAGTCAAGATGGGGATATATATATTACAGGGCAGTGAAACAGCATTAATGACATTCCTACAAAACTATAATAGGTAAGCTTAATACATTGGATTACTTCAATACTGACAGGTATTTTGTAATGAGAGACAACCTACCTGATCAGAAAAGTGTCTGGCCATGTCACATAGTGAGATACACACAGACTCCCCATTGTGGTAAATACCACTGTCTGATGTGTCTAGGTTCAGAACCAGCTGGCTAGACATGGAGGAGTTCTCTCTAGAAATATAATAATAGTGTTATAGACAGACATTTAATGATAAGTGGTGCTACAGACAGATAGACATATAATGATAAGTATTACAGACATACAGACAGACAGACATATAATGATAAGTGGTGCTAGACAGGTAGACATATAATAAAAGGTGCTACAGACAGATGAACAGATGGATGGACAGATAGAAATATAATGATAAATGGTGCTATAGACAGATAGACATATATAAGTAGTACAGACAGATGGATGGACGGATGGACAGACAGACATATAACGAGAAGTGGTGCTATAGACAGATAAACATATAATGATGTAAGTGTAAGAGATGAACATATCAAGCTATCTGTAAATATAACCAATGAATCAAGAAACTCTAGCATCATTCGGTCAGAAAAATTAACGACATACTGTCAACACACATATCTTAATGTTAATCTTTTTTTATTACTGTTTGTGCTGAGTGCAATGTGTTCAATTATGATTGTGCTAATTACTGTTTCTTTACACTGTTTTCTATTGCAATTTTTGTAGATATACTTATTCATCACTGAGTTAATCTGTGTACATTCATATTTAGTTATGCAATAAAATCTGAGTGTGTCAATATAAGTAGGTATACAGCAGATATTATTGATGAAACAAGTCAAAATAAAAGGAAAAAAATGCAATGAGTTTCATAAATCTCATATCAAATTATTACATCACTTGAATACATTTGTAAAAATTTTTGAAAACAGCATTTATAAGATTAACACAAATCTCAAATCAGCAGTATTTTTGGTAATGCCATTTAGCATAAGACACCATAAGGGGATTAAAAATACAATATATATATTGATACAACATCAGAATTAGGGGATTTAAAATACAATATATATATTGACACTTCTCAGAATTAGGGGATTTAAAATACAATATATATATTGATACAACATAGAATTAGGGGATTTAAAATACAATATGTATATTGACACATCACCAAATTAGGGGATTTAAAATACAATATGTATATTGATACAACATAGAATTAGGGGATTTAAAATACAATATGCATATTGACACATCACCAAATTAGGGGATTTAAAATACAATATATATATTGATACAACATAGAATAAGGGGATTTAAAATACAATATGTATATTAATACAAAATAGAATTAGGGGTTTCGGGATAAACTGTCTTCAGGTGTTTCATTTGTTCATCTAGACTTCAAAAGCACCCTTACTACTTAGTATACTTTCTGACACAAATTAGTTTTTTTAGTATAACTATGACATAGTATCAGCCCATATTAGTATAGTATGCATAAAGAGTCCAGAATATGTAACCCTGTTCGTAAGCATTACCTTTTGCCGTACATGTTCCACAGTGCACCTTTCTGGGCATAACTCACACACATAAAGTGGGACTGTGAGTGTTGGCAGTTCAATATGTCACTCTTCAGGAGGAAGTCAAACACACTGCACCAGAAACAATTATTATCAGAAAAAAATGTACTCATTGTCAGACAGATACAGACTGTTAACGTACGATCTCACTTTTCTATCACACGTCTTTCTACATCATCAAAGATAACATTTAACATTTCATATCATTTAAAATTCTACTTAACCTCTGTGAATCAAAATTAATATCTGTGGACTATGGACATTACAGATGCTACACTAATGTTTTACTAGAAAATCTCAACTCAGAGATCTATCATACTTTGCCTGTACTATTTTAAGCTTGTTCAGACTAATGCCTCTGACAAAGGTACGATCAGAACATTTTAAAATTATATACATGTCTCCAGGATAGACATTCTCCTCTTTAGCCTAATATATGTGATTATCTATATATAATCCAATATCTAATTTCAAAGGAATGATTTCCAGCTGTTTAGCTGATGTTTATTATATTTAAAAGGTAGAATAGATCAGTAGGCTTTTAATTATTATTTTGTTTTATTACACAAAATACTTTCTTATCATTAATCTATGGATCAGTTACTTATTTACATCCGACAAAAACTTTTGACAAAGGCCCTGAAGTCAATATACATTACACATCCAAACAGATCAAAACTTCAATGATCGTTTTTCACTCACAGAATTTTTTGGAGCCAATTCTGCTTGTGACAGGTAATGGCAGTAATGTAATGCCATGATTAGTATCACATTACCCCGATATTTTCTGACAGGCAGAGTTATCTACCTTTGTCCGGCAGATAAAACAACATAATCCTTGGTCGACTAAATAATTTGTACTTTACCTTGCAGGCTTGGCGGTAGCAAAAGCATTATGACGAGCAAGTGCTTGAATTCCAAGAGATGTGATATTCTGAAAATTGAACATCAAATCTAGAGATACAGAATACCACACAATAATATTGTTTCCAAGAAAAACATTTTAGTACCCATATCTACCCATAAAGTCTCCTCAAGTATAGCAATTATCATACATCTGAATACAATCTGGTCCTTCCATTGGTTCACTGTTTCTATAAACTCCAGGGTGTTAAGAAAGTTTAATTTATATATCATAATAAATAGAGAGTTTCAAGGAAGTAGCAAAAATTTCACAAAGACCTAATAAATAAATAAATTATCTTTTAATTATTTACTCATGTGTATTTCAATCTGATAACAACAAGAATAAGTTATGAGTGGAAAACTCCTTTAGTTTTGTGGCACCTTGTCACTGTAGCTACATCTCTATACACATCACTCCCACTGTAACTTGGAACAAAATAAAATTCTTGAAAGAGTGAGCGTTACAAAGCTAGATCTCATCTAGTAGCATTAACTGCATTTGTTGACAATAATGGCTTCCAAATCACCACAATCCTGTTTACATCTTGGTCTAAAATTTCCCAAACAGAAAAACAAAGCACTTACACTTGTTGTTCTGGTCAGCCCTGGAGACAAAACCTTCCTAACAGATAGAGATAAAAATATAGACTGCAGGCCAACCTAGAATTCTCTATCTTGATTGGGGGTTATATCTCACAACAGGGAGACAGATATTGACATACTTATAAACTATGACATCAGACAAGCTGTCCTAGTGACCACTACTCTGTAACTTACTTGGAGAGAGAGATCAAGACTTTTGCCGATTAACTGTGCCATCAAACTTGCTGTTCTAGCAACCTCGACTCCTCTCAAACTTACTGGGAGAGAGATCAAGACTTTTCCTATAGACTGTGCATCAAACTTGCTGTTCTAGCAACCCCGACTCCTCTATAACTTACTGGGAGAGAGAGATCAAGACTTTTGCCTATAGACTGTGCATCAAACTTGCTGTTCTAGCTGACCCTGGCTCCTCTATAACTTACTGGGAGAGAGAGATCAAGACTTTTGCCTATAGACTGTGCCATCAAACTTGCTGTTCTAGCTGACCCTGGCTCCTCTATAACTTACTGGGAGAGAGAGATCAAGACTTTTGCCTATAGACTGTGCCATCAAACTTGCTGTTCTAGCTGACCCTGGCTCCTCTATAACTTACTGGGAGAGAGAGATCAAGACTTTTGCCTATAGCTCCTCTATAACTTACTGACTTTTGCCTATAGACTGTGCCATCAAACTTGCTGTTCTAGCTATCCTGGCTCCTCTATAACTTACTGGGAGAGAGAGATGACTTTTGCCTATAGACTGTGCCATCAAACTCCTTTTGCCTATAGACTGTGCATAACTTAACTTAATGGGAGAGAGAGATCAAGACTTTTGCCTATAGACTGTGCCATCAAATTGCTGTTCTAGCTGATCCTGGCTCCTCTATAACTTACTGGGAGAGAGAGATCAAGACTTTTGCCTATAGACTGTGCCATCAAACTTGCTGTTCTAGCTGATCCTGGCTCCTCTATCCTGTGCTGCCAACTCTGCAATAAAAGAAACAGTCTCAATCACAGGAAAATACCCTGGTATACAAAAATAGCACCTGTTGATTACTCAGTTTACCTGGTGTCACAATAATCTTACATACTATATAATTTCATGACAGGTCTAATTTACACAGGAGCTCCTACCAATGCATGCTGTAGACAAACATGGTCGTTGGTTTCCTGGGCCATACTGATAGCTTCTCGAAGTGCCGCCAGAGATTCATCTCTACAAATAAAAAAAAACACAAGGGTCATATTTATACCACATCAGGAAAAATTGTGTGCATAAAATGAAATGTTGTAAAAAGCATATACGAATAATATGCCCTGCTTCTGCTTGTTCTTAGGCTGCATTTGCATAACTCGGTTGAAACAGGTGCTCTGGAGTTATTCAACCATACACAAACGCACTTGTACCAAGTTTTACCGGTTGATGGCTCTAATGACCTTTTATGTGTTGATGGGCCGTTAAGAATGTCATAATCATAATAATAAGTTGTACCGAAAGTTGGATCTGATATACGTAAATTTAAAAATGCACAGTTAAGGAATTTCCTGTCAAGCATAAATCAATTAACTAAAATTAAGATTCCACCCCTTTCACTCCTACTTTATAGAACAATGCTCCCAGAAGTATGTGAGTGCACCGACCTTAATTTTTATGCTGAAATTCTGAAAACTAATAATATTCAGCAAATTCATTTCGGACAGGTAAGGCTGGACCCCTCAAACCGTATGTGTGAAATATTCTGCACTCCAGCCTCAGTCCCAGCCTGTACCTGGCATTTTCTTGCAAGTTCAAATGTTCGAACCGTTCCAACTGTTTACATGAAACGCCCCAGTACTGTATAAGGTGAAATAACCATTGTTATGAAACTATCTTTTTTTATTGCCCATACTGGGTCCTACTTCAGATCAAATTGGGACAGAAGCTATGCATCCTTACAGAAGAAGAAGGGTTTTGAAGAATTTACCCTATTTCTCTATTTCCCATACTGGACCCTGCCCCTCCTTCCCCCGGGAACCAAGTCCCACTGTTTATAAAAAATTGATTCTCCTTCACCCCAGAATGCTTCAGACCAAATCTGGACAGAATCCTGACATTTGTACAGAAGAAGAAAGATCTTGAAGAATATGCCCTATTACTCCAATTGGTCAATTATGACTGCTCTTCACCAAATGATTTTTCATACCAAACTGGGAAAGAATCCTGACATTCTTACAGAAAAATAAGGAGTTTAGATTTGCTTCATTTCACCTACTGGACCCCACCTCTCCTGCTCCAGGGGGCTGAGACCCACCATTCATAAAAAAAATGTTTCCCATTCACTTAAGAAGGCTTCAGATCAAATTTGGTCAAAATCTGCTCAGTTGTTCATCACTTTTCAGATGTACTTTATTTCCCTTCCAAGATCACTTTTTTGTTACCTGTGTCCAAATCGAAAGTGTAGAGCTGCAAGATTGAGGGCTGCATATCTCCTGCTGATGTTGTCCTCTTCACGGTTCTTACTATTTATCTGCATGGCATTGCCCCCAGACAGTGTATTGTTACGATCAAAGTAGTGGTACAAATTATGTACAGCTGTGCAGTACTCGCGCACTCGTAAATTGTTCAGATAACTCAGGAAGTGCTGTTCAATATCAAATATCAAATTTTATTAACTTCTGTAAAAAAAAATTCTAACACACATTTTCATAACAGGGTGTACCATTAGTGATCACTGGAAAGCATAAATCCAATATGTTCTAATGCTTTTCAGAGAATATTGTTGAGAGATTACGGTACAGTAATATCTATAAATGTATAATATAATCTATTACAAATACGTATCAATACAGTGCCAAAAACAGCATATTGAAAACAAACTGATAATCATAGATTCATAAAATTATAAAGAGAGTGTTAAAACACTATACAAGACATACATGCATTGATCTCTTTACCAATATGAAGAAGGCTTTTTAAGGGTTTTCTCTATTTCCCCTATTTGGCCCCACCCCTCTGGACCAATCGTTTGTATAAAATGAGTCCCCTTTCTCTACAGATGCATCTCACCACATTTGGTTTGTCATACATTACATATGAAAAAGACCTACCGCCTCTGTTGATTTCTTGGTTAGATGTGTAGAAGACCCACTGTCTCTATGATGATTAGATTTTAACATGTCTGTTATATACTACATGTGTAGAAGACCTACTGCTTCTATGTCTGGAGTATATTTTAACAAGACTGTTATATACTACATGTGTAGAAGACCCATCGCCTCTGTGATGTCTGGGTTATATTTTAACATGTCTGTTACCCACCGCCTCTGTGATGTCTGGGTTATATTTTAACATGTCTGTTACCCACCACCTCTGTGATGTCTGGGTTTTATTTTAAGATGTCTGTTACCCACAGCCTCTGTGATGTCTGGGTTTGATTTTAACAAGTCTGTTATACACTATATATTAAGAAGACCTACTGTTTCTGTGATATCTGGATTAGATTTAATATATCTGTTATACATTATATATTAAGAAGACCTACTGTTTCTGTGATATCTGGGTTAGATTTAATATATCTGTTATACATTATATATAAAGAAGACCTACTGTTTCTGTGATATCTGGGTTAGATTTAACATGAATGTTATATATTATATATGAAGAAGACTCACTGCCTCTGTGATGTCTGGGTTAGATGTGTTAAAGACCTACCGCCTCTGTGATATCTGGTTTACATTTAACAAAAATGTTATACTCTATATGAAAAATACCTACCGCCTCTGCAATATCTGGGTTAGATTTTAACATATCTGTTATTTTCTCCTGCAGTTTAGTGGGAGGTAAAGCCTCACTCTCATTGTGTTGTAGTAGAAACCCCTGAAAAAGGACAGAAGTCTATCAGTAAACAGGTGACAGAAGTCTATCAGTAAACAAGGAACATAATACTATCAGCAAACAAGGGACAGAATCCTATCAGTAAAAAGGGACAGTAGTCTGTCAGTGAACAGGGCACAGAAGTATATCAGTAAATCATGGACAGAAGTCTATCTGTAAACAATGATAAACTGGGCCCCTTTGCACTAAAAAGATATCATGTGAGGTAAAGAATTTAAACTCCATTGGTCCTTAGAGTATGAGATAATTGTGATCATTTTAAATCTGAACATTGATTTCAAATTCATAGATGTTTTGGCTGTTTCAAAAATCAAAAGTTGAATTAACTGAAGAAAGTAGTTGCAATAAATTTAGTCAGGTGGGCTAATATTGGTTGTATTTGCTATCATATTTTACCTGTCTGGATATGAAGTATTCAGCCTGTTTGTGAGAGTAAAATCCACCTTCAAATTCTCCAAACTTTCTAAAAATAAATATTGTAATACTGTTATCATATTTTCTTTTTCCCTACAAATCATTTAATGCATTTAAGTACTGCATTTCACATACAACTTGTTGTACATCTGTGTTGATCATCAAGGTGGTATGTTCATGAATCTGATTACAGTAAACAAACTTCAACTCCTGGCTTCTTAATTTCGTAAATACGGCTTACAACAAGTTCAAGGCAATTAGACTTTGCAAAATATACTATAGCATATCACCTGGCTTTAATATATCACAAAACATTCTTTCCATCAATGACGGTTTTAACGTAGGTCTGCCTTTAATTTTGCAACTTACCCTTCACCAAGGTTACTGGGGTCATATGACTTGGCCAGTCCACTCCTTGTGAGCTTGCCACACTGACTAGTGATAGAATCAATGAGCGAGCCCCCAAAGTTATCACTTTCCTCTGCAGCTAGCGGGGCATTAAAGGCTTCGTAGTATTCCTTGTATCGTGTATACAACTTTGTCACCTGGCTGAAGGATAACTTGTCAAATGCATGTATCATCCGTCGAAGAAATAAACCTACAAACATAAATAAGGTCTAAAATATAACATTTTCATTTTTTTAATTTTAATTATGTGCTTACTTTTCTATAATTTTTAAATTGTTTTCAATCACTGTTATCGTACTTACTAACTCACTATTCTATATTTGATAAACATGTACTTTCATGGTACTCTAGCCACTCTGTACAATAGCCTATTATGATACTTTGGGCCCTCTGTCTACACACCTTGCACAATAGCCGAGAATGTGATACTCCAAGCCCTCTGTCTACACACCTTGCACAATAGCCGAGAATATGATACTCCAGGCCCTCTGTCTATACACCTTGCACTGCAGCCTAGTATGATGCTCAAGACCCTCTGTACAATAGACTTTTATAACACTCTATGTCCTCTGTCTACACACCTTGCACAATAGCCGAGAATATGATACTCCAGGCCCTCTGTCTATACACCTTTCACTGCAGCCTAGTATGATGCTCAAGACCCTCTGTACAATAGACTTTTATAACTCTATGTCCTCTGTCTATACGCCTTACACAATAGCCTAGTATATGATAAACTGGTCCTCTGTCTACATACCCAGTACAATAGTCTAGTATATGATTATTTAGTCTCTCTGTCTACACTACTTGCACAATAGCCTAGTATATGATACTCCAGGCCATCTGTCTGCATACCCAGTACAATAGCCTAGTATATGATACTCCAGGCCATCTGTCTACATACCCAGTACAATAGCCTAGTATATGATACTCCAGGCCAGCTGTCTACATACCCAGTACAATAGCCTAGTATATGATACTCCAGGCCAGCTGTCTACATACCCAGTACAATAGCCTAGTATATGATACTCCAGGTCCCTTATCTACATACCCAGTACAATAGCCTAGTATATGATAAAATGGTCCCTCAGTCTAAATACCTTGCATGATAGCCTAGTATGATACTGTAGGCTTTCTGTCTACATACCCAGTACACTACTGCCAACAATCACAGGATCAGGAATTGTCTCATTGGGTTGTAAAATTCTTTGTAGCTCTTGAAAAAAGTCCATAAATGGCAGTACACCTTCCATGTAGAATTCTCTCAACCTAAAATGAAAGTTAAAAAAACATTGTACTGAACATGTATAGTTAACTTATCAACAAGATGTATACTATTAGTTACTACCACAACAGTGTAAGCTCCAGAGAAGGACAATATGCCTTTCACTACATAGATAGCCTGGAGTGTCTTGGTGTTTCTTAAGTATATGTATTGGCCTTTACAACACTGGCTAACCTACATCTCCCAATCTCATCACTGATGGAAGAGTTCAAGGTGGCAAAGTCAAGACTGGTAATGATTGTGAGGGAGAGATCTGTAATGCTGGCATAGAAATGAAATGAGTTGAAAATGATCAAAGAGTAACATGCAGTAAATCAAGCAAAAAGCTGACACAACTGGAATGAGGAAGGATGTTCAACACATCATCAGAGAAGTGGATGAAATGATCAGAAAGGCAAAATTGATGGAGATGAGGCTAAGGGGTAATGTGCAGGGTAAAATCTACAGATAGACTAACATGGTCTGATATCTGCCAAGTTGAACCGTGCTAAATTCACTTTGTACTGAGATTAAGTATACAACCTGCTTTCAACACCAACCTTTGCAAATGGAAGATACATCTATGTGGCAGACAAGGTATCCTCAGACACATTCTGTGTGCTTATAATGTTGCTCTCTGTTAGATATGATATAGGTGAAGAAATGACAAAGTCCTGAGGAACTTTGCTGATGCCTTATAAAAGGAAAGGACAACGAGAAGAAAGAAGGCACCTAGTAGTCAACCATTTACCAACTCTGTACATTCAGGAGAGGTAGGGAAGGCAATAGCAACTCACCAAACTGGAATCCTGGAGCAGAACTGGGATATCAGGGGGGACCAGGACAGAAAAATGGTGTTCCAAGCCCTCATACACGAAACCTTCACCCAGAGTGATCATGGTGGAGCTGACATTGCTAAAGGAGGAATGATGTGTGGATGCATTCAAAGAGAAGAAGGCGAAGTATGATAGACTGTGAGAAGGGTATGAGCAGCAGGATCGAAAGTTTGATGTTTTCCAGAAGAGATAAGAGGCAGGGGATTTTCATCAACAATTCCGAATGTTCTAGGCATATGGAGTCAAGGTTAAAGACAGGAAAGTTGCTGTGGAGTAACTCTCAAAGGTGGCAAAGAAAATATCCTGCTATCGCTGTTGAAGAAGAGAAGACAGAAGCTGGAGGTCATCCATACACAGGCAGTGATTTGGTCAACTAGGATGTTCTGGGAGGAGTCAAACCAAAAGATAGACCAGCTGCCTGATGATGTCTGGATAGCATTCTAGTGAATGTATTAGGTAAAGTTTATATTAACTACAAAAATAATTTGCCTGCATTTAACATTAGTGTGCATGAAGTAAAGTCTTATGTCATAGTATAAAGAAAATGATACAACAGTTCTCACTTTAAATCTTGATATCAATTATCAACTTAATTAAGATCTAATGTCTGTCACTGACTTGTCTGTAAAGTTATCCAGTAGAGTAGGCTGTAAGATGGACTGTACTTGTTCTAGTAGTTCTTTTAAGGATAAATCTGGGCTCTGCACAAAAGAAACAAGACCATATTATACATTTACATCACGGTTTCAAAACAATAACCTTCTTGATGTATTATAAAATCCTAATTGTCATCTGAAATGATTAATATATCTATAGATATAACAAAATAATACGACTTTGAATTTATTTCAAGAAAATATCATACATATATATATAATATGTACATATTTAGATACATTGTAACTTGCTGAAAATAAATAATAGATTATTAATGAATTAATGATATAAACATCACTAAATAGCCTATTTAATCATATGTATTATTTATACCTGTAATAATTTCAATATTGTGGTCATGAAATCACGTTTTTCAGTTTCTGTGAATTTCTGGAACATGTATCCATGTAACTGATGACCAATCCCAACCATTTGTTCTGTTGTGTCTCTTTTCTTCATTTCACAGTACTCGTATATTAGTGCCAGCAGGGCCACCTTGTGAGGGGTAACATGTTCATGTAATGGCTTCTGACCATGGGCACCAAACACAAACAAATCTGTTTTACTAGAAGTTGCCATTGTTGTCAGTTTTCCTCTAATTCACCTGTGAACCACTGATTTCTTCATATCCTGAGATGATGTACCTGCATATCACACAAAACAGATTTACTGCAAATTATTGAGGGGAAAGAAGGAGTTGGTCAGGACCACCATTTTACCATCAGAGAATCAGGTTTAGCCAAAGCATATAATATATGTACTACTCATGATGCATCCATATTAAGTAAATAGGTTAAAGCAAGTTTTATGATGTAGATATGGGATTGCCTCCCTTTGCCTCTATGATGAAATTTTTTTACATGTTTAAGTTTGACCTCTGGGTGTAGCTATATCCATGGACCCAGGGGTCCAACTTTAACAATTTATGATCTACATCCCTAAGATATGCTAAAAAGGCAATCTGAAAGCTGTGACTTTTCTCAGTCTGAAGGAAATCTTTTATTGCACAATCCCCATTACAGGCTATGCTGACCTTTGACACCTAGACAGGGTCACATTTATGTTGACCTTTGACCCCTGAGCATCAACAAATCTGTTGACCCAGGAACCTTATTTGAACAATTTAAAATCTTTACCCATACAGTATGCTGAAAATGAAATATCATAAGACATAGTATTTTTTTTGTAGTTTAACACCCATTATAGGCACTGTGCTGACCTGTAATCCCTGGGTGTGGCCACATTAATATTGATGAACCAAAGATATGTGTTCATAAGACACATGTATCACATAGTCATGTTACAGTTCTGAATGCTAACTGCATCAGGCTATGTATATACAGGCGAGTGTATTTAATCATATACTAGGTAAGATTTCTGCAGGCAATACCATGTATACATAATAATTTCACATCCATTATTACACTGCATGTATACACAAGCTTGCGACTGTCTTTTCAATATTATGAATTCAGTATATACACACATACAGGTATTGAACATGTCACACATCTTATCTTATCTTAGGTCAGGAAGACGATCACTAAAACTGTAAATCAAGCCAGTTTACTGTACTAACATCTCAATCTATACTGGTACTACTACGTATGACTATCATAATTACATGTACTGAAATTGACCGAAATTGCTATGTGTTTACTTCCACTGTATGATGATCCCTACTGAATTGATAAGGTAAGACATTCGTGTAAGCTCAAACATTTTAAAGATAGCACTTTTCTCTACTTTTTTTTTAACTGGTACATAATTAATTTCTTTCAAATTGTTGGATTTAATTTTCAATAGTTTGTAGTTCTCAATACCTAATATTGTAACCTAGCTTAATGAATGCTGTAGCATGAGGCATTTCTTCACAGTGACAGCACAACACCTTTGAAATGGGATAAACTATAGGACAACAGTCCATTTCATTCATGTTCAATCACATAAATAAACAAGAGTTTAGTGAGGTAGTACATAGGCTGAATGAGCATTTTGCACCAAAAAGGGAAAGAAAGTGATGTTCAATGTCTGATCAACATATTAAGGTTGTTTACAAACAGTATCAGTTGTGTAATGGTGGAGGAAACCAGCACCAATAGCAATAACACTCTGAGATGAGCCGTGAATAAGACTTAACTTACTGTTCCATTAATATTACAAAGGGCGTTACTCAATAAATGACTAACAAATTATTTTGGTTATCACAATTGTCTGAGCTATGGTGATAATGAACCTCCCTATGAAGTTTTAAGTGTGTCTGTATGACAGTTTTGCAGATATTGATCAGACACTGTTAAAGTAATTGAAATAAGGGGCCATAACTCAGTGAATTACAGGCCAAAAGTTGTCACTCTGAACCTACCTATAAAATTTGAAGTTGGTCTGTTGAAAAATTATTGTGATATCGAGCAGTCACTGTTTTGATAATTGAATAAAGGGCCATAACTCGGTATATTAGACGGAAAAATATGGTCATTGATTTTGTCCAAGTGACCACTTTCATGAACCTTCTTATAAAGGTTGAAGTAGATCTTTTCAGAGCTAATGGAGATATTGAACTGACACTTTTCCATTATTTAATAAAAGGCAATAACTCCAGAAATTTTCGTCAAAAATTTGTGGTCATCCAACTCATCTGAGCTATCATGGTAATGAACATCCCTACGAAATTGATCCGTTGAAAACTATTAAGGATATGAAGTGTGTTCCCACCCAACTGCCAAACCACCCTCCTGCCCAACCACCCTCCTGCTCATCTAATATATTAGTCTTAAGTCTGTATTGCTAATCATGACATTTAAAGATTGTAACATCCTTCAAAATAACTTCCAATATTTGAAAGAATGAGCAAATAAATGGTAGGAAAAAAGATGTTAAAATATAACACCCTGCGGACAGAGTATTGTACAAATACAAATATTGAAATGAAACATTAATTTCTTTTTCAAAATACCACTACTACTGAGACAGTACAATGCAATTTCATTATAACAAAGCCTATGATGTTTGAAAGAAACTGGGTGAAAACTGGAGAGACCTTCTTTAGACATGTTCAAAAAGTTAAAAAAAAAAAAAAACATAACGACTTGAGTCAAAATACCATAGGTGATGACAGTATGTCTTGATGATAAAGCACACAAAGTTTGAAGAGATCAGTCAAATATTGACAGAAGAAAGCTCTGAACAAGATTAAAATGCTGAGAAAACCAAAGGGTAATTATTCTCCCAACAAAAGAAACATTATTTGAACTATGGTAACTTTCATGTTCATTCCCAACATCATCTTAATTTTTTTTTGCATTAATTGCAGGTGAACTAATGAAGATCAGGGGCTCCTGGCCACTGTTAACACATTGACCTATGTGACTTTAAAAACAGAACAAGGTCACAATGATAATTCTACATGCAAGTCCAAAATCCTGTACTCATAGAATTTTGATGGTACTTGTAGCATTTCTGGAAAAGTTTTACATTGTAGGACATTGTAGATTGATCACTGAAGTCATTTATTTGAACAAAGACTTTCATCTCTGCATGATGAAGTCATTTGAAGATTTGAACATATTTTACCCCTCTGTCCTTGAAAGTTAATAGTGTGGTGATTTATAGGTTTGTGATATTTGAATCCAATTCCTTAAAAAAATTAAACCTCTAGATCACTGTAAAGAATTTCCTAAAAATAGTGTGATAGAGTGACCTTTACCCTACATTTACAACCCTGTGATGTGAATATTTTGAATATACAGTAAAACTCCACTTTGTGGAACATGAGGTAACCACACCAAAAGCTAAAGGAATAAGGGGATCTTAAAGTAATAAGTTCTAGACCATCAGGTATTGATTTCCCATGAAATTTTTACATTGTGCTACTGATACAAGGGAAAGCAAAGATAAATTGTGGGATAAGAATATCAAGTAAATAAATACCACGTACTATACTACTTATGGTTGCGGTCAATGATCATGAAATTGAATCTAGTTCTATCACCATATTTTTCAATTAACTAAAGCAGAAACCTTATACACTGTAGACAGCTCTCTGCCAAAAAAAGAATTATATGATGTCCAAATTCTCATTCTGTATTTTCTAGACATCAGTTTTGATTCATTGTGTGTTTCAGAGCAGCATTTCCAAGAAGCCAAATCACATGAATAATTGATAAAAATAAGAAGTTCAGTATATCAGGTGTATCCTAAATACAGTCCATTGTCTATATCTTATAGTTAGACATCTGTATCAGCAATATGCAAAAGCAATTAAACATGATTCATTCACACTATTACTCACTGAAATAATATGTATCATCTGAACATTGGTTCCAGACCATTATGTACTTTGAAACGTCCATTTTGTTGAGCTGTATCACATGAACTATTGACCTTTGTGACCATACACTCAGATAATTTTGGTTGTTGTAACATCTTACGCTACCAGAAAGAATAAAAATTTGTAATCTAAACCATTTGTCATAAAATATTATATTATATATTTTATTAGCAAATTTGTGTATTCTTTTCTTAATACACTTTTTACCTGTCAAACGTCCTTCTAGATATGATAATATAACCTATAAATTCATCCTCTGATAGCTGTGTTTCGTTATCCTCATTTATGTGAATAAATATTGACCATGAATAATAGGCCACACCTTCTCACAAATTCTTGGCTCCAGAAACCAAACTTACATATCTTATATTGAAAAAATGATAATTTATAAATTATCACTTTTGACGATTCTATTCGGATTTATTTTAATAGCGAGTTGTATACTGAGAGATGAAAAATCAATGTTATATTTGAGAAAAAAAAGTCAAACAATCAAAACTTGAATCTAACCCATTAGAAAAGGTGTACACATAAACACAGATATCTACCATTTTCACATCATAAATGTTTTTTTATTTTTATTTTCATCAAAATGTCATTTCTGTTCAAATGATGATTTTATGGAATACATTATTATATACTTGTGGGTCACACCAAGCTAACTCAAGTGTCCGTGATTTAGTGATGTCATTAGAAATGGAAGTGCATTCACATGTCCGATACACATGTCAAAAATTAATGTATTTGTTTAGTAGGACTTTATCGACAGGGTAGCTAGCAAAAAATAGAAACTATTGCGCCAATGACATAGACTTCGTTTGTTTTACGTGTATTAATGCATGTTCATGTTGCTTTTCGGATTCTGTGAGTATATCTTCTTTTCTTATCTGTCCCTATGTACAAAACTAGAGATATGTAGTCATTTGGGTTGGAAACTGATGCATTAAGGTCGGTTCGAAACTGATGCCCTAAGAATCAAACTGAACTTAGATTTAATACAATAAATAATGGACGCAGGCTGTAAGTCTCTATGTCCATATCAGATGATATTACAATATTTTACAATTCGATATACTTCTGGTGTACAATTAACAAGTCCACATATATAAAGTTATTCTTTAGTATTTTCCCAGTGGTTATCTAGTAGTATTTCGAAATTCTCTACATCCTCTGCATCTATAACATACTGCGGCAGATTGTTCCATGCATCTACTATGCGAACGCTGAAAAAGTTTTTCCTTATATCCAAGTTAAACTGGTTTTTATATATTTATAATGAGTTTCCCCTTGTTTTACTTTCAGTGTCCAGTTGAAAATGAAATATACCGGTTGTAACGCGTACTAATCATAATTAGCTCACTGACGAAAAAGGTATACAGTAATTCAATCGGATGACAAATAGAAGTAGTTATAGAACCTATATGTGCATATCTTAGATAAACAATTACCTACAGTTAACCATTAAGGCGTACATGACATATACTACCTGTAACTCCACAAATTTCATCTTTAGCGCCATATTGTTTAAAAACTCGGAAACCCTCTTAGAGGTGCTCCGAAAAATAATGAAAGAAAAATGTTTTTTTGTTGGAGCTGTAATCTCTGGTCTAGGTGAAGCATAATAAAGAATTCGTTTCAATTGTACTTCCCTGTCGTTGATAATATAGCTTTACTTTATGAAGAAGTCCATAAAATAGCATTCTATGCTGAGCTGTAACTTCCGTCTGCGTGTCAAAGGCGCACGCATCCATGGCTGGAAAATGGCAGACAGTGCGAAACGAGAGAAAATAGCCGCAGCTCGAAAAAAGGTTTGATTGTATTGACCGTCAAAATCGGTGACTTTTAAGTGCCTATATAACTACTTTAACTAGTAATATCACAAAGTAGCTGATTTGACTGTCAAAAGTATATAGTATTAGAGCATTCCTAAAATATGGACAATGTTGACACTGACTGACAGATGAGAAAAACCGGTGCATTGGCCGATTAGTAAGGCTGAAATGGCAAATAGAGTGTTTTCCACCAGCAGAAAAAATGTACACTCAACCGTCATATACATTGTTTTTTTCAAGCGATCCTTGTTTCGGATGGTGAAATTGTTACAACTGTAGTTAAATTCCCATATCCCATTGACCAAGTTGTTAAGACGATGAAGAATTTATTTGACGAAATAATATATTTTTATAGACATAGACGAAGGTGACGGTACCAGAATGGGATCACAGAAACTTTTTTTATACGTTTCTTGCAACTGACCTTGCACCAAGCATACTCTTTTATAAATAAATATGCCGAGATAAACTTCATTCCTCACTGTTTACGAAAAAAATCAGCATTAAAGGAATATGTCTGTGTCACATCTTGCCTAATTCATGTGATAATTCAACACATAGATATATACTTGCATTAATGTTACATGAAATTTGAAATGACATATAAGAATACTTATTTAAGTAGCTTAAGTAGCCCCATGTTAGAAACAATAAATTTCAGCTCTGTTGATATGTAGCATTATCTTAAAATATCACTATATTTGTATCATTGCAGGAAGTTACCATAATAAACATTAGGATCTTTTACAACTGCTAATCATGCATATGAAACAGTGGAGCTTTTGATATACAGAAGCTATCAAAGATGCAGTAATTAAGTTGATTGTGTTAAAGTAGTTGCTTTTGCTAGAAATTGAAAATGTTTCAATAGAGGACTTGAAATCAGAATGCTTGTCTGAAACAGAAAAAAAACTAATACACTACAAAAATTTAGCATAAATACTTATTACAATAGCAAATTGATAAAACAAAATAACCAGAGAGTATTTGATTGAATAAAATGAAAAAGGCAAGGCAAAAGTGAACAAAGATTTAAGCACAACATAATAACAATATTCCTAAGATGTTACATTGAGATTTTTTGCGGTAGAAGTAATCCAAGATCCTGACGATTTATATCTTCCATGGTAATTAGGTGTAAAATTGATCGGAATTGTTTTTCCTTGTGTGCTTCTTTGGATCCTAATGGCCAACGTAAACCTACATATATCTATTTATATTATATATATATGCTTTGCTTATGAGATATTTGATCAACTAGAATACTGAATTCTGAATATGTATTACCCATTATTTCCAGAGTTTAAATACATTACCATACCAAGGCCTTACGTAGCTATTATTATGTAGATGTATCAGATGGTTATGTTATACACTATTAGTGGAAAGAAATATATTGTTTATTCTGTGTCAAATCGGTTTTATTTTCTTAAATTTTTGTCTGTTTTATTTCTAGTTAAAACAGTTCAAGCAAAAAACAGGAAGAAACTCCCCTGCTAACTCCAAGAGTTCAACCAAGCAGTCCACAGATAAGAAATCAAAATATCTTATTGAAACCGACTCAGCACAGGAAAATAGTGAACCTATCAGCATTGTTAACAATAACACCGACCAGGTGAGTTCTCTATTTTAGTCAGGTTGAACAAGTTCAAATTAGTGTTAAGAAGCAAATGTCACTGCATAGTCGATAATCAGATAACTTGTTAAAGTACATGTAGTTTGATAAATCATCAATAGGTAATCTCTCATGCACAGCCAGCTAATTCTCAAACGGTATACAATTACAGTTTTGAAGGAAAATGGTTGGCATGCCCACCTGAAAATTATCAGCTTATACATTTTTGACTGAATTACTTCATGAAATGCCATTTTGTTAATTTCATTTGGATTGTAGACAGAAACTCATAGAAAAAATATGTAATTAGTTTCACATAAATGATTTTAAAATGCTGTAAACTGTCATATGGAATCTGTTGTGTTTAAGATCAATAACCAGGTAATAATGTGGACTACAGCTGATTAAATCATTGGGACAACACTGGTTCAAATAAACTTGAATTAGTCTCTTGCTGGGGCAATGCATGCATGATCATTTTAAACTCCTGTATTTGTTGTTTGCCTGGCTATATCTTCTAACAACTTCTTACCATTAACTGAAAGAGTATTACATTAAAATTGAAGCCTTTATACTATACTATCTATCGAAGTCAATGTTCATGCTTTCACATTTGCAATTCACCCAGAGTCAGCATCTTAATGCTATGCTGACAGTGTCAATTTACAAAATCATTACAGTATTACTTGTTCAAATGAATGACCTTGTAGACCCTTCATTCAAGGTATTCCTAGTCAAATGGGTTGAAAACATATATCAAATCTTATTCTGAATAACCAGAAAACCTTAGCTATTGAAATTTCACCAATATCATGCTGATCTGATGGCTTCCAGGTTTGTTCAACTACACAACCTTGTTAAACTTTCATCATTATGAGGTAGACTGTTATGAATTCTTAATAGGTTGTTGAAATGTGTCCAGTCACCTTTTAATGTTACACAACTTAATGCCATTTAACAAACAGGTGAGCAATGCAGACCCTCCTTTTTTTTCTTTTTTTTTTTTGGTTAAAAAAATTCAGGCAGCAGTGAATTTTAGTGAAAAAATTCCACACCATTTGCAAGGTATACTATAGACTGAGTTGTTTTTGCAGGGTTTTGAGGATTCCAGTGAACAGCTGACTGCTGATACACCAGAGACTGCTGATCAAAGGTAGGCTAATGTATCTACTATCCTGCATCACTAATTGTGTATATAGCAACTACAATATCAGAAAAGAATCATGATCTCTTCTGATATTTATCACTGTTTGTTAGTACAGAGTACAGTGTATGAAATTATTCTATATTTTGTTTTACTTTAGTTAGTCTGTCTTAATATGTGACTTCACTATGTTCTCTTTAATTCATACGTGTAGCTGTTGCTCTTATTGGTTATTACATCTTCATTTTTTTTCTCAGTAAAATGAAAGATGAATAGAATAATAGAATAGAAATAGGAAATAATCAAATTTGACAAAAGATTACTTTACAAAACATATTATTCTATAAGCCACCAATTCATCAAATCAAGTTTTATCAAACATTCTTGACAAATTTTTGGTACAGATAATGATAAAAAGAACTGATGATAAGAGATGAGGTGGAATTAAATGATGGATGAGGAAACTGGTTGTGAAAAATATAAATATGTGTTTGCTGGTATTTGTTGATATAGGAAATTAAGAAAGTTAGGGAATAATCAGCCAACAGAACACAGTGGTTTACTCTCACCGCTATTTGGTGTGGAAAGGTATAATACTAACAATGATTTATGCTCTGTTCTATTTATTCAAATTTCAAGCACCTTTTGTATTAATTTACTGTCTTGAAAAATTTGCATGTACTCTCAGAATTCTTTTACTGATAAGGGAAATATTTTGCCATGTTTAGACCATTGTAGATAAAATAGAAAGTTCTACTGTAAAGAAATTTAATATCTCTGTAGATCAAGTATGCCCTTTAAGTGTTTCTGTCCTTTTAATGAAGGGAGACATTTGTATTTATTTATTAGTTCCATAAACTGACTTTTCCTTGTCTACTAGAATTAACATTTTGTTGCCAAGTTTTATTAACATTTTTGTTGTAAAGATGTGTGACTGTAATTACTTATGATAAATTTGAAGAACTTTTAAGGATAAATCTGAAAACTGTCTGATCCACACAAGTAAATTCTGTACTATCAAAGATATTAAGGTGGGATATCTTCATTTCACACTGGTTTCTCTACTAATAATTTGATGTGAGACAGTCAATCTGGATCTGTTTATCTTCCTTATTTCCTGATTTGAAGCCAGCCTATCATAACCATCATTTTAATTACCTGCTTGTTAGTTCCAATTTACAAGATTGAAATAGGAAGCATGCTAGATGGCTTGTTCCTTGATACCTGAAAGAATTCTATTAGAATGCATTAAGTATAACAGCATAAACAGCATACAGTATATTGTTCATAAAATGTGACTTTAATCATGACCCTTAGCTGCTAAACAATGAGAAATTCATATTTATGTGTCTTTTCCTATGGCTAATAGAAAAATCTAATTAATTTCATATAGCTCTGTTTTACAGCAAATTTGATTTTTGATATACAAAAAAAAGTATTGCATTCAATTGTATATGTAGAAGGATGTACATGTATCATCAGATCTGGTAATGGAGTTGGACTTACTTTTTTTTTGTGATGTTGAAGTCAAAACTTGTATTAACAATTGAGAGTGAAATCCTGAACAATAAACCAGTACATGCAATTATATTGTGAAATGTAATCTAAAGTGATTGTTACTCGACTTCATCATAACTTTTTGTTGATAATGCTTTACATTTCTTCTATACTAAATAATTTGTGATGAGTTTTGTCTGAAACATACCTTATGGTAAATGCCCTGGGTAATAATATTTGTTTCTGTATCTATCATGGCTGTGTTTGCATCATGGTTACATAGTGTCTATTTTGCTTTATGCAGGACATCAGCATCAAGGGAAAGTTTACAACAGCTGTCAAGGCAACTTAACGGCCTTCTAACAGAGGTCAGTACAAAGTGTCGTAGAGAAGACAGTTTTAGGATTCTGTTCATAATTACAACATGTTTTGATGTTAATACTTGTTGTCATAGTGTGAAACAGCATTCTGTAAATTTAAATTGGTTTGTAATTAATACCTGTACGGACATATTTTCTTGAGAATAGCTTTTTAATGAAAATGGTTACCTTTTCCCGGCATTAGATGACAGTTTTAGATTGTGTTATCTCTTTTTATTTTGATATTGCACTTTTGCTTTTTCTTCAGTCTAATTCTTTGATGGACACAACAGATACAGCAGACGATAATGCTAATATAATAGAATTAGAGGTAAGTCAAATGACTACTACTATTTCATGGGGTAGTGAAATCAGAGATATGTACAAGCCTAAGCTGATGTAGGTAGTAGAACTAGAGGAAATGACCAGCCTACTTTTATTAAGGCTAGTAGAATCTTAAGTATGAATAGAGACATTCTGTAAGTACTTTCACTTTCTGACTGAAAAAACTGGTTGTTTATATAACATATGGAATGATTCATGATAACAGTATTGAGACTTGAGTTTTGGACTTGGGACAGTAGCTCCTTAATTAAGATGTACATTAAGTACATATGCATCATGGAAGGTTCCCTTTCAGTTTGTCTTTTAAACATAGCATACTTTAAGCAAGAATAGGTTATTGTGAAATTTGTTCAGTGGGTGGCTTCTTGGTTTGAAAATAATGCAAATTATTAGTGATATACTAGTAGTCTATACACAGTGAAAGAGAATCTTTAACTCTTCAATCACAACAGACATTTTCTTTTATATTTAATACTGAACAACAGAAACCCTGGCTATAAAGCATGTTAAAGTTGGTCTCATACTGAAATAAAATTTTCTGAATTTCATTTCAGAGAAGAAACAGAGAGTTAGCATCCTTGCTGGAGAAACACTCTGAGGCAAATGAACAATTGAATATCCAAGTACAGCAGACAGTAAGTACAATACAAGACTTACATTCATCTGCATGAATGCTACTTTCTGCATGTGATGATTGTAAGATTTATTTTCTGCAAGATAATATTTCATGTTATCCTCTTATTTTATATTTTGATAGTCTCTGTTTTTCAATTTATGCAAATTTATATGGTTATATTTTGTGTTGATCACTAACTTTGTGGTTGTGTTTCAGAGGGAGCATGCAAAATCTCTACAGGATCAAATTGAACGAGATCGGGGTGCATATGAAGATAAACAGCGCCAAGAAATAGGACCACTCAAAGAACAATTACAAGTAGGATTGGAAGAGAATTTCAGTCATTGCATAGACTTTGTTAAATTTGTTTCATTCATCTATTTAAAATCTGGTTGACTCTTGCTTTAAAAAACATGAATTGATTATACTACCAAGATAAAATTATTGAGTTATATAACACAATGTATGATATGAATTTAAAGATACAGAAACGTTGAATGTAGTTTATTACTAAAAATATTTCTATTACTTATCAATAACTTTGTGAAAGGGTTCTTTTTATTTTGATGTTATTGTTTTTGTTTTTAGGTACACATACAAACCATTGGTATTTTAGTGGCTGAGAAAACAGAACTTCTGTCTCAGCTAAATCAATCTCAGAAGATAGCAGAACAGAGGTTTAGTATGTATAGTTTTCTTATTTCATGTAATGACAGTAAAATGGCTAAAAGAAAATAAACTAGATGGAATTTTTTAGGTATTTATATGGATACAGTGTGCAAATTACAATGTAATTAAAGAAGAATTTTTCAAATACTGATACCCAACAATGAGAGGGTATAGTGGAATCAGTGTGCCCGTCGGCCATTCTGTCTGTGGAATAATTTGGTATAATTAGGTGATTGTAGATATTTGATAGGAATAGTCCTGATTAAGTCCAATGTTTGGGCATTATAAATTGACCACAATTTATAATAGAAGAGGAAAATCGGCTCCTAATTTGTCACTATTGATTCTTTCTCATACAAACATGATTTATATATTTCAGATGAAATCGAGGAATACAGTGGTAGATTAAAAGCTTCACGACAACGAGTGGCAGACCTAGAGAGAAATTTATCTATGTCAAATAATTCTAGTCAAAAATTTGAACAGGTATTGTATTTGATGGTAATAGACTGATTCTGAGAAATATATTACTAGTATTATAATCTTGTCCAACAGTTATATTGCAACCTTTTGTACCACCATACTTGGTATACCACCATCAATTTCATTAGAACAGATTTACCTTAGGATTTGTTCTGTGATTGGAAACTATTAGATTGCTTCAGATAATTAAATTAAAGAAGTTAAAAAAGCTAATGAAACTGTGATATACTCAATACCTTATTTGCCGTATATGTGAGTTCTACAGGAACATTTTTTCAGTTGTAAAAATTGATTATAAAGAAATAAATGTGAAATTGATTGTTTTTGTTTTTTTCAGAATAGCAAAGATTTTTCAAAAGACATTGACCGCTTAAAACTAGAATTGTACAAGTCAAAGTAAGTCAACATTAATTTTCTTTCAAAGAACAATTACGTTCAGTTTTTTGTTTGAAATGTGAATTAACCTGGATACAAAAAACTGAGTATTAGTTCAAATGACCAAAAGCAAACTATTTCATTCTCAAGTCAATATATTGCTGAAATGAGATACATAACTTTTTTTCCCTTTAATCTGTGTACGTTAATGTTATTATTTTTGTTTTTATTTTCAGTAAAGCACAAGAAGATCTTAAGCAACAATGTTCTGAATTAGCAGAAAAATTACAAGCTAAGGTTGGTCAATGTTATTAACTGATAAGAGACATGATAAGCCTGTGATATGTTGTTCATGAATAATACTCTTTACAGATTACATTATAGATACAGATATTTTAGTAAGAAAATGAATATCTAATTTATAACAAAACAAGAAAAGGATGTCAGCAAGAAATCTTATTGATATCATAATTAATAGTTTTCCATTCTTGAGTTAGTTAAGCCATGAAATCAATTTTGTGCGTTTTGTGATAGACAGCTAAAAAATGCTTCATTATCCATGGTAAAATACATAATCTCTTTCTTCATAGACATCCGAATCAATGGAATTGGAACGAAATGCAGAAGATCTGACAAAGCGTCTTGAAATGGCAGAATTATATACACAGCAGTTATCAAGTCAAGGAAACAGTAGCCAGGAGTCTCTCGAGATTGTTGGTCAGCTGCATCGAGACAAGGAACTTCTGACCGCTCAAGTTCAGGAGGTGGATGTTGTTCACTGCAAACTGGATTATACTGTTACCTGTATATTACCATAAAAGACTAGTTCTATACATTATTAATAATCATTAAAAATGACCAGGGTTTTAGATTTGTCAGCCACTTCTCTTGTTTTACAGCATGATACTAATTTTAAAAACTCCAGTGTAGCACACAAGCAGTATGTTTTGAAGTTATCTCAAATGAGGTAGTGGTGGTTAAAATTCGTTGATAAAACTAAGAGTTGCAGAATCAATTGGCTTGCTTTTTGTGTCCACAAAACTAGAGCTATATCAGGATAATTTGTGAACTTTTAAAAATTGTAAACTATTGAGTCACAGCTTTAGCCAAGAGCTTTCATCTGAATTGGAAACTTGTTTTTGACCTCAAAAAACATTTTTTTTTTATCAAAAACTTAACTAATTTGAAAATCATTCCAACAGTACTCTGAAGCATTCCAGAAGGCTTGTGGTGAGCGAGACCAGGTGGCAGATCAGTACAAGTCCTATATAGATCAGCTACAACAACACAGTCAACAACTCACTGAACAGGTAGGAACAAATTACCATTTTCCTTTGAATATATATATATACTTCTACGTAAGTTTGGGCATAAAACAACGTTTTGGTGACAGTTAAAATTCACAAATGGAAGAATAATCCAAATGAATTTTTGGTATGCTCTTTATAAGGCATTGACCCCTACCAAATTAACATATAAACTGATCGTGAAATGATGTTGATGTACCCTGTACAATGGCCAGTTGTATTGAGCATTCTACTGGTATACTACAAGGTCATGGTTTTTATGTACAGGTGACAAGTTTGACAGAAGAACGGGAAGTAATGGTAACACAGCAGCATCAAAAAGAGACCAGCATTCTACAACTACAGCAACAATTAGGTACTTATAGAAGTGTGTTAGGAACTTAACACTGTTGTATTAGGTTCCTAGTTCAAGTTGAGTGCTATTGGGTCTTTTATCATCAAAGAAATTTATTGAAAAGTTGTGAATTATTGATATATACAGTGGAACTTCTCCAAACTGACCATGCATAGGACATGAATATTTGGCATTTTTAAGGAGGGTTTGGCTTGTAGAAGTGAAGCAAATTGACTTGTCTCGACATGGATATAATTGAACTGATTCCTTTCTGTACATTACATTACCCATTCACTGTTAGCATTTACACTACACATGTTCAAATGAATACAGAGAAAATAAAAGTTTTCTAGAGTAAAAATACATTGCTAAAATGAAAAACAGTGATGCTTGTATTCTGCATGTGGCTTTGGTCTAAAAGAAAACCAGCAATTTTGGAAGTAATGTAACGTTACATATGGCCCGACATAGCCGTGGTCGGATGATGGGCTTGCCAGGAAGTGTTACCAACCAATATATTTGATGAATATGTGTTTTTGTTGACCAGTATAAAATATCTTTTAAAACAACATTTGATTAATATTTCCATCTTGTATGTGTTGAGGAAACACGATTTAAACCCTCATGATTTAGATGCAAAACTGCAGCGCTCTAACTCTGTATCAGTTCTTAATTTCATTTTATCTGTAGCTGTTTCTGGCTTCGGTGAAATGATGGACTCATTCGATATGGTTTCAATCTGTCATTGGAGATAACTGTACATTATATATTATTATTATCCTCCTGATCAGGATAGGTTTGGTGTACAAAGCCTACCTGTGAGATGCGTACTCGCCAGGGGCGCAAAGCTTACACTTGTCATCACAGGTGTTGTTTTCACTGTCCGCTTGTCACAACTCGGGTAAGGCAGGTTTTCAGAAGTGATTTTCAGAAGGTTTCAATCATTTCAGACAAAAAATTGGTTTGGTATTCGCAATAGAGAAGGATCGATATTGGGAAGGTTTTTATTAAATTTCTGTAATGAAGAGAATGTAATTCTGTACATTGCCTTTTTCGTTCTATTTCAAGTGGTATTCAGTTTTGAGAAGGATCAAATTGGGGAAGTTGCACTGTATGTCCTATTAATAAAAGACCTCTTTGAAAACTAACTTTTACTCCCTACTTAATGAATCAAATGTAGCTTTTAACAGGATTCTCTCTATCCCTCTAACCACCTGCCTAGGTATGGAAGGATTGTGCAGTCTATATAACAAATGCAAAATGAATAATACTTGTACAAGTGGTTCAACAAGTGTGCAGCAAAATGCATGTTTTTAAATGCTGAATTTGCTTTACATTTCGTACTCCAGTAAGTAAATGTAAAATTTGTCCATATCTGTGAGGACTATATGAATAACTCTTGTGATTTGTTAAAACTAGGGCTGCTCTACAGGCACTATTGCATATATTTTTGTCTTGTAGAGGATGTTAATGCTGAACAACACCACCAACAACAGGCCAGTGAAGAGGTACTGGAGAAGGAAAAACAGATGGAGTCATTACAAAAACAGCATGAGAATCTACAGCAACAGCATGACTCATTGATCAGAGATAACTCACAGCTCAGCCGGTAAATGTCTCTACCGTAGGGGTTAGACAGGCAGCTCAGCCAGTTTAACTGTCTGTACTGTAGGTGTTAGACTGATAACTCAGCCAGTAACTGTCTCTACCGTAGGGGTTAGACAGGCAGATCAGCCAGTAACTGTTTGTACTGTAGGTGTTAGACTGACAGCTCAGCCAGTAACTGTCTCTACCGTAGGGGTTAGACAGGCAGCTCAGCCAGTAACTGTCTCTACCATAGGTGTTAGACTGACAGCTCAGCCAGTAATGGTCTATACTGTAGGGGTGAGACAGGCAGATCAGCCAGAAACTGTCTGTACTGTAGGGTTTAGACAGACAACTCAGCCAGTAACTGTCTATACTGTAGATGTTAGACTGACAGCTCAGTCAGTAACTGTCTATACTGTAGATGTTAGACAGACAGCTCAGCCAATAACTATCTCCCCTGTAGGAGTTGTCTCTGCTTTAGAGGTTAGTGAAGCGGCGTAGGGGCTAGTCTGACAGCTCAAGTGGTGACTGTCTCTGCTTTAGAGGTTAGTGAAGCAGCATAGGGTCTAGTCTGACAGCTCAAGCTGTGACTGTCTTTGCTTTAGAGGTTAGTGAAGCAGCGTAGCTGAACTTGTTCCTGCTGTACAGATTAGAGAGACAGCTCAGGTGCACCTGCCCCTATTGTATAGGTTATTCAGGCCATTCCATTGTACCTGTCTCTACTGTGTGGGTTAGTCAGGCAGCTCAGCTGTCTACCGTAGTGTTTTGTCAGGCAAAGTAAGAAAAGTTACTGCTAGTAAAGATAGAATAAAGATGTCCTTGTTTTTTGCAATTTTATTTTCTTAAAAGAAATGTCATTTTGTTTCAATCTCATCTCTTGAACGAAATGATGATTATATTCTTGTACTCTTGTTCCATATACATAGTGTTACCTGATCCAAGGCCACACCAAGACTGATTCTATCCTTATGAGATACAGTTAACAGGCCTGGCCACAGCCACACAGGACACATGAAACACTGCACCAGACAGCTACTACATTGAGTAACCATTTTACTGCTGACCGCAGTGGGTTAAATTACACTAAATATATTTAAGAACCTGGGTGGTTAAATTCCCTTATTAGTGCAAGTATTCTGTCACCACTACATTTATCTTCCTAGTCATTGTTGCAATATTACCTATATATATCCACCTTCTCAAACAAAACAAAACTAGACATAATTCCCATTGTCATCATTGTTCATACTTCATTTCTTATCTATTTTGTTTTAGAAAGCTTTGCATTCATTTTTTGTTTTTAGGTTTTTAGAAGAAAGAGAAGCACGAATATTAACTCTTGAGAATGAGATGTCAGATATGGGGATGGAGGCCAGTGATAAAGCCCAACTGTTGGAAAATATACAGAGTAACAAGACAGCCCTCAGTCGTGCTCTCACACAAAACAAAGACCTCAAAAACCAGCTTGCTGAATTACAAAATGGATTTGTGAAGTTGGTCAGTGTTACTTGAAGCGATGGTTGTTATTGTCAAAGTATTAATGGCAATTTATTTTTGTTAGTAAGTGATAGATTGTGGGAAGATCTATTCAGAACAAAAATTGTCTTTATTGGCTGCTTTTTAGTTACTTTAGGGTCAGTTTTTATGTAATTTCATGTAATTTAGTGGTAAACTTATCTTAGTAACTGAAACATTCATGCTAAATCATGATTATTTCTATTGATTTTTTTTGTATATTATACATTATAGTGCATGATTCCAGCAAGCAGATTGACTTCATAGTTATCTGAATGTTATTGTACTTTTGTTAAACAGCTTTTGTTTAAATAGCAGAACCTCTCATATAAATCAGCTAAACCTCATTCTGCTGTGATTTTTCCTAACCCTATTGAACATTTTTCTTTGAATGCTGCCACAGAGTAATGATAATATGGAGCTGATGACAAAGGTCCAGTCAGAACAACACTCATCACAGGAACACTTATGTCGCCTCAGCCAGCAGGAAGAGGAACTCAAGAGTTTAAGAGAGGCTGTAAGTATTAAGATATTTCATTTACTGTAGAAACTAAAATGAATGGCATTCTTAATCTGTTGTGCTTTTGGACTATGAGAGAAATAGAAAGTATCAGAAGTAAATCAAACATTAACATGTTAGTTGTTCTCATTTGATTTCAATGTTGATTTTGAGTTATGCACTGTGAATATTTTCTTACTTTTCATTGTAAGTGGAAATGTGTTAAAAACAAAATTAATGATCATCTGAGCTGCTGGTGTTCAGTGAGAAAATTGAAAATTGAGGATAATTTGGGATTGAATTTGAATTCTATTTGAACAGTTGTCAGAAAAAGACTTGAAGCTGTCGGAGTTGAAACAGACATCACATGAGGTAACCAAAGAGCAGTACCAGCAGGAGCAGATAAATGACAGGATGAGACACTACGAGGCACAGGCCCAGCTGGTAGAAACTCTCCAACGGGAGCTGCAGAACTCCCAGGTGAATAACACCCCCAAATATGACCTTAATCATTTTGACAACCGATAAAGACAGTTTAATACTAAATAAAATTGAACGAGAAAAAATTTAGCTGCACAATAAGGGATGCGCAATGTTTAACAGAAGCTTTTTAGTTGTGATTATTTACTCCAATCATCATATTATATTTATAGAGTCAAATGATTAGTCTCCTCTCTTTCCCTTAGTCTATTTAGTCATTATTAACCACTTTTGTGACATGTTTCATCAACATAAAAACTCAATATATATTCCCACATTTACTGGTCATGAACAAGCTCAAAAGTTTGAATGTTTTGGACCTAGCTCTAATCCAGCTTGAAATGATTTAATAGATATATATTCACAAACCTGTAAATCTTTAGGACATGACTGATGCCCTGAAAACCCAGAACAGTGAACTTCGGACAATGCTGATTAAGGCTTCAGACAATCACGATAACCCAGGTCTGGATCCAGAGGAGGAGAAGAAAAGAGATGATGTGGTAGGTACACAGAGATCTGAGCTGTATAATTGTATTTAGTTTATCACGATGACCATATGGTATTACTTGACCAGTTGTGGTTCTTTTCTGACAAAAATGTGATTGTAGTAAATTGTAATATGATATATTGCTCTGTTTGATGTATTATTAGCAACATTTGAACAGTTTTCACAGCTATTGAATATATAACTTCATAATATATATCGCTTAGAATAAATATATGCATTTATTCTATCCATTTGTAGTGTAGTCATGATCATATTTAATATATGATTTGTGCAGAAATTGATTTTTAGATAAACAGTGGAGTTTTTCAATTTACTTGTTTGAAATATTTGAAACATTCTTATGAAAATTTCAGTACAGAATTATCAGTGACATGTCAAGTGTTTATTCCTGGAGCTTTCTGTCTTTCTGTATGCAGATTGACTCACTGACTGCAGCCATCAAACAACTGGAGTCTGAGAGATCCCAATTGATGCAAAATCTGCGAGAACAGCGGGAGCTTTCAGATAGTCTAACAGTCAAAGTGACTGACCTGGAGGAGGCAATCTTACAAAAAAGTATGTTACACCGTCTTCAATTGTCCTGGATTATTCATAATTTTCATGTTCATGTAGAATCACTTTCTAAATCTGATGTAGTGTTAATTTTTAAAGTGTATGAAACAAAGAGCAGCAGGAAATTTATGAGTTTTTATCTAAGTTAGAAAGTGAATCACCACATACTTATGCTACAGGTACATTCCATGTGGATAACGACAAAGTGAGCCGAGAGGAGTTCGAAGCAATGAGGAGGACAATGCAGATGATAGAGGACAAATACACAAGTGTGATGAGAGACAAAGCTGAGCTCTCCGACAAGGCTGAACAGCTGGAACATATAGTTCTACAGTTAGAAGGGGAGGCTGATACTATAGGTAGGAACTCATAGTCCTATTGTTAGAACGGGAGAGTGATACCATAGGTAGGAACACAGTCCTACAGTTAGGAAAGGGAGGCTGATACTATAGGTAGGAACTCATAGTCCTATTGTTAGAATGGGAGAGTGATACCATAGGTAGGAACACAGTCCTACAGTTAGGAAGGGGAGGGTGATACTTTAGTTAGGAACACATAGTCCTACAGTAAGAAAGGATGACTGATAGTATAGATCAATGCACTTATGCCTTCAATAAGAAGTGGAGGCTGATATCATAAGTAGCCATATAGATTCACTGCCATATTAATCAACAAAATACAGTTTCTATCAGTTTTGTATTGATGGGGTTCTTTGGTTGGATTTAAGTTATAACTTTGCAGTTAGGGTGAAACAAGATAATATGACATAGTTTGGTTTATTCAAATTAATTTTAGATACAGAATATTCTTTTGATTGTTTTACATATTTTCACTTGTAAAACAAGCGGTCAATCTTCGCGTATTGTTGTGTGACTCATATGTTAAATACAAAATTGATACTATGCACACAAGTTGAAATTTATCTTAAAGCAGTTCAATAAAAAGGGACAAGCATGTTATTTTAAAAACAGAATTAGTCATCATTGGTATTACAAACAATATTGCAACAGTCTGTTTATTTTTGACGTCACAACTAAGTTCACATGGGTTATTTCTTTCTATTATTGTAGTGTTCCATTAGTATGAAATATCCAGGTAACACAGAATGGAACCTCACAGTATTTCATGGTCTCTATATATGCCTCCTTTTGTTTTACAGGGGAGTACATATCATTATATCACCACCAACGTGCTTTATTACAACAACGAGAATCTCAGAAAAATGATTACATTGCCCACCTTGCCAAAGACAGAGAACAATTACAGGTAAATATTTCTCATATTTGGAGAAGGTGCATTCATTGTTATTCCCTGTGTTTTACTTTCCTTTCCATATAAGTCTTGCCTCTCCATTGTAATTGACTCTCTTTCTATAAAAGATTTTATACTAAATGTTTTAGACACTCTTTCACAGATTCAGTACTCCTATTACCATTTATTTTGTGTGTGTGTCAATTTGATGATTTGCCTTCTCTGAAGGTTTTAGAAAGAAATAAAAAAGGACAACAATTAAAGAAAATTAAAGACATTCCTCTTGTTTTTTGTCATTGAGATATAGTGATTGCTCTTTGATAAGATGGCAAAGAAGATTATGTGAATTAGTGATTTCCATGAAATTTTCAAATGAAAAAAAAAAAAAAAATGAGTCTGCATGAAAATAATTTTCCAATATAGGAGAAACTTGGGGAACTACAGCAGTTAGTGATGCAGTTACTAGGAGAGAAGAATATGCTTTCTAACTACCATGAAGAGTCACACACTTCCACACATTCCAATGAGCCTAGAATACAACCACACCTGCAGAACTCACTCCAGCCTCTAGTGAATGGGATGGATAGCAATGAAGGTAAACAACACTCCTTTGATTTCATATTTTCTATCTAACATGATGTGTCTAGAGTGTAGATAATGTGTACTTACTATTGGTTGACAGACTGATTGACTGGGTGCCTTTTCATATATTTGATCATGAGATATGATTTACTTATCTTATAGGGACTTCAATATTATTGTTCAGATAGGACACATTTCACCTAAATTCTAGAATAAACATATTTCAATCAATCTATCATTTATATTAATGAAAATGTTTTGAGTATGCTGTTCCATTGACTTTTACTTAATGTTGTGCTTGAGACTTTTGCATAGACTATTTTGATACTTCTTCGTAATTCTATCATCTTTATTTGTTTTATGTTATAGAGTCACATTTAACCCTGATAAAGTTGCACAAGAGATGAAAAGATAATTGATGAAAAGTGTTAGCATTTTGTAATAACTGAAATGTTTCCCTCTGCTGTGAATTAGTATGAGTGTACCAGTTTTTGTTATCTTTTTGTTGTTGACGTAATCTTGATACAGATGTAGAAGATATTTAATGATGCTTGATAGAAAAGTATGACTGAGAAATGTACATGTAATTAAACTAATTTTAACTGCAGTGGACTGGCCTGACTACACCAGTTCAGAATCGGACTCGGAGAGTGAGGTAGAAGCCATTGTGGGTGGTCAGGACAACTTAGGGAACAAGGAAGTGTCAGACATCATGGATCAACCAACTGACCACCAAACTTCACACCATGATCACCCTCACCCTCACCACCACCACCAACACCACCATCATCATCACCATGGACAACCTGCTAATGATGAGGGCCATGTGCACAATAAGGCAGTACCTCAGGAGGGCCAAACTGCACATAAAATTCTGAACCTCCTAACAGAGATTGGACACTCTACTCTTGTGGATAGACAAAGTGATGTAGACCATAACTTCTTACCTTGTAAATACTGTAAAGGACAGGTACAGATTATATGAGGGCAGAAATGAAATACCATGTGAACACCTAAAGGATATATTGCCAAAGTTGAGTTTGGCCAATTCTTAGAAATGTGCACGAAAATGCATCTGTGCAATAAGTTAGCCAAAATTGACATTCAGAGTGAAAAGTGAAGCTTTTGAAAATGTATGTGTTCATACACTCATGAACCTCTCCCAGGGGCTAGGAGATCTTGGACTAAGACATTGAAACCTCTCCTTTGAGATGAATTACTGATACTTAATGAGGAAGTAAACAAACTCTTCCATTGTTGTGTGTTGCCATATGTATAGCAAGTATACACATCTGTTGTTAATCTTATATCAGGAGTGTATACCACAAGGCATGTTAATCACAATAAACCTTCAATTAAAGGTTATATGCATGTACCTCTGGAATTCTATGAGGAGATGTATGGGAAGCAGTAACATTTACCCAAGTCTTGTACAATAGTGGTTAAGTCTGTTATGTACAGGATTATATACCTCACATCAACCTCCTTACATATATAGCTTCAACAATGAAGGCTGTTTAAGCTTCAACTGTTCTTTACATAAAAGACTTGGACCACAAGGCAGTTGTTTAGAACTTAATATAATGTAATACATTTATTGATGTCATTGTTTATCAAAGCTGTTATACACAAGTGGTATGATAAAAGATTTCGTTTTTATGTTATTTAATAATTTCAAAAGCCAGACTTTTGCAAAAAAAGTCATTACAGATGGTGAATTTTGCAATCTTGCCTTTAAATTCCCATTTCATTAACAGTTTGCTAAGCAGCATATTTTGTCCTCTGTCAGTAAATTCATCCCTATAAAACAAAACTCCTCCTTATCTCCTGAGTGGATTTCAACCCAGTTTCACTTGAAACCTCACTCAAGGAGGGCAATAAGTTTTTAGAGAATTGATTTCGTTGTCAGATGACCATTAAAGCCAATTGGTCGCTTGTTGTTTTTTTACCAGTAACAAATTAGAATTAAAAGGTCTTAAGAAATTATATGATAGTTTTGTAAAAGTAGTTTAGTTCACTTTGTTTGACTGGTTAAATACAAAATCAACTAAATGTATGCTAGATGGGTGTAAGGTTTCGCCTGAGAAAAACATACACCAAGCCTGTATATTATTTTGGTACCAAGTTTGTGGCCTGTCTACCAAAATGCCTTTCTGTGATAATCTGTGTTGTGATCAGGGTACCAGATTCATTGTCTTGATATCATTCAGCAAGGATAACATTGTGTATACATGTGCATGTTATAGAGAGATGATTGAGACAAAACACACTGTTTTTTCTGTGCTGCTTTTCGTTGCCTAATTTGGTGCTAACTGTCACTATATTGATGAAAAGCTAAAAGTCCATGTACTGCCTTGTAAGAAACCTTCTTAAATGTCAAGTTGATATTTGGGTTTTTTCATAGTAATCTGTAGAATCCGCCTATAAAGTTAGAGAAAAAAAATCTGGCATTGTCAGAATTTTGGGAGTTAATGACCATACATATGGGGCCACTTATAATATACACAATGGGCTGTTGATGTATGCTTGTCCTTTCATTTTTGTCTAAGGTTGCTTTCAGGCCTACATGCCTGTACCTATTATATGTTTGTGCATGGACAAATTAGGAGACATTGAACTGATTTCATGACCCTACATAACAACGGTTAAATCAGTGCTTAGTAACCCTTATTAACCCTTCTTACAAAATTACTTCTGTTTTCAAAATTCAGGAGAAGCTGTATACCAGGAAATTTTCACTTTATTTCATATTGCATTTCATTGTAGATCTTAATTCCCAGGTGTCATTTTCACCTTTCATATCAGTTAAGACTATCTGATGCTATGTATTGGTATACTACTATGTCAGTATCAATTTCACCATCATTAAATCATGTTATCAAGTAAAGACCATCATAGTTTCTGACAAGATCAGTTTAGAACAATGTAAATCATTTATGAAAATAATTTCTACATTTGGTTATTGTTCCTTGCGCAAATTCAAATGTTTGCAAATGTGTTATTGAAGGAGTAAATATTAAGCTGAAGTATTCATTATGATGATGGTGTGTGCAAAATGACAGGCCCTTAGTTCTTATGTTTTAGATAGAGTGCACCCACTTGGCCTGACATCTTTGTAAAGCTTTGAGGGCTTCTGACCAGAAAGAGAATGTCATGATTTCACTTCATTCTGTTCATGGCAAATAGTAATGGTAGGTTAGATATTCTGTGTTGGCTGAGTTAAGCATTGCAGTTTTCAGAGTAAACTTTACTAAGTGGAGGTATTTCACAAATTATTGGCTATTATAAAACTTGTATATCCCCAGTACACATCTTATCAGGAAGGTGATGCAAACAAGTCCAATTCAAAGTAAATGTAACTTTGCTTATGATATATCTTTAATATATCTGAATGGGACAAATAAATTAAACTTAATACATTCCACTTAACCAAAAATTTCAAATTCAAAATGTGCCATGATAGTGAGATGTTAGGCAGGGGTTTCTAATGGGTACAATAATATTTTATAGACAATTCCTTATTTGGTGGTGAAAGGGTCCAGCAACTCTGAAATGAGAACTTCTGGCATGTAGACCCACCAATGTAAGATATGATCTATAGTACCCTGTTATGTAATAGTAACTTAGATGTTTATCAAAATGAGTATATATGTCACAGTAGTGTTCTATTTTGAAAAAAAAAGCGAAAGTGCAATAAAAAAGTTGATCATGTGTAAAAAGAATTCTCAAAAGTGAAAACTGCAGTTTTTAATCTGTTTTCAAAGTGTGAGAAACAACTTTGACTTGCTGTGGTTCTGTTTTAAAGATGTTTGTAAATAAAGAACACTGAATACAAGTTATTTTGTTTTTATCAGTTAGCCCTTCAATAAAGATCGCAAACTTATTTCACACATATATAGATTAATAAGATCAGCTTCTCTAGTCATTTGTTTCTGTGTAGCACGCTAATGAATCCCAAGTCCTCATTATTTGTCATAATAGCATGGTAAGGGATTATTATAAAATTAAACCTGATACAGTAATTATCCATCACCATCATAAATCAAACTGTTGTCTTTTGCCACTTGTATGAGCAGAAAAACACCATTTTCATTTTTACATATTTGAATGGATTTTTTTATTCACAAATAGAAAGAAACTATTTCTGTTTATTTTCAATGAATTTATTTTGGAAACACCATATACCGCTGTATTGAATTTGATTTGTACTTACAGACAAAATATCTTCTTTTCTTGACATCTCTTCTGTCAAGTCTGATGGCTACAACTTGAAGGAAACTTTGCATTGGCCTTGCCAGGCAGAGTGTATACTTGTAGCTTTTGCTTTGTACAATTATTATAGTACAATGTAAGTAATACGTAAATTTGGGAACTGATGTATTTTTCACCCAAGAAGGAGTTTTATTGTTATGTTTCAACATAAGGCAAGGCAATAGTTTAGTACTACCTGTACACATCTTGCTTACTTTTTCACTGCTGAGGAATATCTGCCTGCATGTAAAGAAAATTTATTTTTATTCCTGGTATCATGATGTTGTTTCCTATAGCATAATTTTGAGTTCCTTGCATAATGGAACATATTAATTTCAACAATGTATATGTGTAAGAGAGTATGTAAGCGATCTTGCCCTACAGAGAGACCGAGCAAGTGTTTATGATTAATCTGTCCTTTACATGGAGGTATGCGGTAAATTGTTCATGAAATGATAGATATTCAATATGTATGTACAAATATGTTTCAGATACTTCCATCATAAGGTTACTTGATGAATTGTGATACTGTTATATTACAGATATCTGGCCACATGATACCATGACATGATAAAGTACATGTGTCAAGAGTATTTGTGGTTGTACTGAGTACTTACACTGTTTATGCTATTAATATTCATTGTACAATGTAAATATTGCCATAGCACAGTGTACATACAGAGGATAATGTATATTTGGTTGTGTACATAACCCAAATCTGTAAATTATTTATAATATAAGATTGGAGATTTTTCTTTGTAATATAAAATCCTGTATATATTACTGTACATTTACACAGTCATGATTTTTATTAAACTATGCATTTGACCATGTAATAAATCCTTGGGAAATATCAAGAAATTACAAGCTGCATTTCATTTTGCATGTTACTTCCTTATGGTGGGAGACAGCCACTCGATTTTGTTGGCTGTGAAGTGAATGGGACAGTCATGTTATACTGTTATAGTTTTCGTATGCACGAACTGCTTTTCTCAGTAACTTTTGAAATATTTTACATTGGACAGTATTAATTATCTTCCTTTGTTTTGTTGGATTCACTGCCCCATGAAAAGTCATGGTCATTTCAAGGTGGAGTGTCCTTGTAGTTGCTGGTTGTTATCTCAATGAATTGCACACTGGGTCCAATTGTATGCCATCTAGAGTAACAAGGGTAAAATGTCTACCCAAGGACACAACCATAACATGACAGATTGATCCATTTCTTGGCGTCCTGTGACAAAAAAACTGTTATGGATAGGGAGGGTTGAATTGCGCAACTCAGATCTTTACACAGGGTTACGAAATCTACACCCTAGGTTTACATAGGCATACACTAAGCAATTATTGCATTTCACCTTAGAATTTTCATTTTTGATGACACCAATTAACAATCTTTATTAGCAACACATTAAGTGGTTTCTGCAAGTTTATTCTTTTATCAAGAAACTTCTTACTCATAGCATCTATATTGCAAAGTTTGTCAAGATCTGATTCAAATGATCTCCAGAAACTATTAGAATTATTATTTTATGAACAAAGGCTCTGTCTCCTCCCTTGTGGAGCCAGTGGGGTGAGGCTCAATATGAAGACACAAGTAAATCTTCCTGTTCTAAACAATTTACAGGATATAGTTCTGATTTTGTCTGCAGCATCCTTATGTATTGTATTAATTGGGTGCAAGCCCATTGGGCCCAATAAGGGAAATACAATTTTTTGCAAATTTTGCACCATAGTATCCATTGGTAATGTTTATCTTGGTGCTAACAGGTCATAAGGTATAGATCCCAATTTGGGAAATGGATCACATTCTTTTCTGTATAGTAGAAAAGATTCTGTCCAAATGAGAATTTATATCGTATAAATCGTTTGTCCAAGCCCCTTTGGGAAGTAGAACAGATTCTGTACTAATGAAAAGATTGTAGAAAAAATATGGGTTTAAGAACTGTTTTTGTTCACAACCCAACAAAGAAATAGCAGTATATTAAAATCCTTCTGTGGTACATTTTGGTGGTCATGATCATCAGTCAATGTTATTGGTCAAAGGTTACCTTGACCATAGATTTAGATATTTTATTTTAAATTACAGGGGTGGGGTTATGTATGAGCCCTGTCTCACTTTTCCATGAGAATCATTGTAAAATACAGTTACTGTGGAACCTAAAAATCAGGACTGTTCAGATAAAGAAACTTTGAATCTTTTACAACCTATGTTTTGCAAAGGTTTTGACAAAAAGATTAAGTCAATAGCATTCTTTGTCAAAGTTTGAATTTGTGCCCCTCCCAGGGCTAAAAATGGGAGGATGGAAATAAATCATCTTCTCAGAACAGAAATTTGTTGTGATTGTAACTAAATTGTTAACTGTCCACATGAACATTGAAATGCAAGCTCTATAGGCCTCTTAGTATTTTCTAGGTCATTATCAGAGGCTAGACTGTTCTAATCAGCATGCGTTCATGGTCCATCCGTTAAAAGTCCTTGTTATCACGATTTCCTGAGAATTTATTTATGGATCTTTCTCAAATTTCATATGTAATGTTATGTTCCCCTTGGTCTCTAGTAGTGTCCTTTTACTTTTGAGGCTGGTCAGAAAACAAGATGTCAAACAAGCAGGTTTCTTGGATTTTGACATAACATTTCTTATTGTTATCTCTAAGAGAATTACCATACCCAATAGATTATACTCAAAGTTGATATGAAGGTTCCCATTGATTTCTTGTTCTTTTCTTCTTTTTTTTCCCCAATCATTTTTAACAGCTTTGCCGCTGACAAGTTATGAACTTTTATAGCATCAATAAAGGCCTCGCAACGGTGGACACAATGACCCCTCTGGGATCTCTGGAGTGTTTTCAGTTATCATTAAATATATTATTTCACATCAAATAAATGTAAAGTTGAAACATTAGACAATGCTAAACAAATAAAGAAGAAAACGTGCATTATAAATAATGTTTTATACATAAATGTCAGCAACTTTATAACAACAAAAAAAACCTTCAATAAAGTTCCACCCAGTAAATTGTATTGGATTTCAATGAAATAATTACATTGTTAGTTTCACTGAAGGATGAATTAAGTGTCTGGAGGTTTAACGAATGTGAATTTGTCCATGACTATCTTCGTCAAACCTGCTCCGTAGTAGTCAATGATATAGTCTGATCCATCTGATGGAGTTACGACCTGAGTGGCAATCAGTAAAATATCTACTAGTTGTCCTAGGAAGAAAAATCCCAAAGTAGAAAATTTCAGTAAACCAATAGCTGGATATCCTAGATAGAATCTGTCAATTCCAAACATCCCAAGAAAAATAGATAAGAGCAGGGAGGTTTCAAATGAGTATCCGTTGGTCCATCTGCAAGGCTTTTCTTTCAAGAATCCCACTACAGTGCCATTGTAAGTCATTACTTTTCCATCTAATCCAACACAGCTGATTTCTTCAGCTGGCATACATGGAACCGGTACAGTCCTGTTTTCTCTGCACCCCTTGGCACTTTGTGTTTCTGTATCAATCTCAGGTTCTTGGCATGTGTATTGCCCAAGAAGCAATGATTCACATCGTAGTGTTGTGCTACTTCCTGACATTTGAAGCAAAGACGCCAGGAAGAAAAAAGGAGTAACAATATCCGTCAACTTCATTATCAAATCTTCATAAATTGCTTCCACAGAGCTCGATTCATTCGGAATAGGTATGTCTCGAAGTTCTTCGACAGAAATGTAAGTATCCTTTTGACGTTGTTTTCCCCAAACACAATACAGGAAGTAGTGTCGGAGTTATGTCCCATCATTTTCCATGTTAGTTTATTACTCCGCCGAGTATAGAATTGATTAATTTCCCCTATATATGTTTATGAATTTTATGGAAAACACAACAATTATAATTGAACTATGTGATTTAATTAAATAGAACCGAAGTAATATGTAATAAAATCGATAGAATTTTATAAACTATATTTTCTATCAAGGAAGTAAGTGCGCGGTGTCATTCGGTCTAAACATTGACAGCACAGTTGAAACACGTGTGTTGGCCGTAAATGTTTTGATATTTTGTTTGTGATTAAGAAATGGAGTCGTCCGAGGAATCGTCTGATAGCGAAATTGAAGATCTGGTCGCCAGAGCACTGGACAAAATTAAAAATACAAAGACAAAATCTAAAAGTAACTGTTCCAGAAAAGAATCGAAGAAAGAATCCGTGGAACCTGCTAAGAGCAACAGGTAATGTTATTGTCTGTTTGTACCCATCCCATCATTTACTAATTACAGGTTACGTTGCGAACATCCTTCGAGTTTAGAGAGTGCACTGGAAATACTCACATTTTCAGTGAATGATAAGCACTAAACTCCCGACTCGTTTATTGAAAAAATATATTCGCCCGAAGATGGCCCCAAGGTCTGAAAACGTTACCGAACTGCCGTGTTGATGTTATCTATATAATTATATATATATAAAGATATAATAGGAAAAACAGTTGCCGGTATACTTGAAATTTTTGACAGCTGTATATGACATGCATACCACAAAGTATTTTTTGTCTCTTATAATTCAATTCATCATTCGGTACACTACATGATATTAATATCAAGCCAATATTCCACACCATATGCTAAAGTGAAACGAAAAGAAATAACTCTGGGATATCAGGATGAATGTATAATAGAAATGGACAGTTGCTGTAAAATCATGTACATATAAATCTTCTTCCAAACGTTGGTGAACCTTTTTGGAATATGTTCTACTGTATTTTTCCTATCCCATAATGTATGGTATTGTAGTCAATGGCAAGATTCACAGGTGGTGAGGCTAATTATATCATTTTGTGTAAAAATCGTTTTTTCATTTTGTATTGTTTGTTTGCAAATTAAGCTAATGGTAAATGTCATTGTGCATGGGTATTCTAAAATGTACTTCATTGTTTACCTTTACACCAAAATAATGTTTCAGTGTATACTGTGTTGAGAGGATTTTCTATCCACAGAGTTGATACAGATAAGTGACATATAAAAAAAAAACACTTCTCACTAGAGGCAGTGTTTTTTCAACAATTGTTATCTTTAACTTTGCAGGATCACTTTATCATCAAAAATTCAGAGCAGTGTGAATTTACATGATACTTATTTAAAGGAACCAACACAATCAACTGTCAAACAGACAAAGCAATCAACTATTCAGAATTTATTGAAAGGATCAGACAAAGATGAAGTAAGTGTTTGGACATGAAATAAAGGAGTACTAACATGTGCTATAACCTAGTAAACGTAATTTATGTTCTCTTTGCATACTCAAATCCATGCTAACAGACATGATAGCACAAAGTGTTTTAAAAAAGTTTGAAAAATATATATTATTGAATGATGAGAATTGGCAGAAAGTGAAGAAGGAGAATTCATTGAAGTAATGTCGGTTTCTCTTTTTGGTAATCATCAAGAAAAAGAGCAATATGAAAAATATCCCCAAGATGTCTTAAGCTTGAAGCATTTATAAATCAGATCAGGAAGTAACATGATTTTGTATTTTTAGGTCACCTTTTTGCATTGTCTCCCTTAAACTCAAAACCGATTTTAAAACTTTTTTGCAGAAATCTTTCATGGCCAAAATGGACTCCAAATTGTGAATTATATGGCCCAAGACCCCTAGGAGCCCTGAGATGTAGGGCTAAAAGGGGTCAAATTTACTTTAATTTCATAAATCTTCTCTCAACACCCGGTTATGATTGAATCAAATGCTCTTCATAGATGGAATAGCCTCGTGGTGCTTTACTAAACGTGTGAATTTTATTACTCCAGGTTCTCTCATTTCGACCTCGGGAGGGATAAAATTTATTTTAGTTTATGCACGAAAATTACACTTTTAAGCATACTTTGTTAGAATTTTTGTTGGAAAGATTTCAACCTTTCTTAGAATTTTTACTATAGATGACGACTAGTTGATTTGCATATATTGATCCTGGCTGAACCCCAAGGGTCAACGGGCGGAGCCTAAATGGGTTCACCTTGCTAAAGTTTCAAGCATTTTCTTTTCAACCCCCAGATCTGGTAGAATCAAATGTTCTTTACCTAGACGAAAGGGTCTTTAGGTGCTTTTTCAAAATTGTGTATGTTCCTCTTCATTTTTTTCCTTCATGTTTTATATATTGTTACTTGAATTAAGTCTTACCTGGCACTATTATTGTTATCACAATTTCTGTTTTTAATGACACTTATGTATACCCTAATAATCATTTTATTCAATATTGTTTACCTCAGGTGACGGTGAAGGCTGCAAGGCCTCATTGTTTTTAATGTCAAAATAATCCTTTGCATTTTGAAATGTGTTTTATTATTATTATTTTTTTTTTTAGATAATGAAAAAGAGTGTTCTTCAACCAGATATAGAAAAGAAGTATGCATTACCACCCTATCAGGAAAGTTTACAGAAGCTGAAAAAACAGAGGAAGGTAGGATATTACATGTCAGCAATTACATTATATGAATATTTCAGAACTCGTCAAGTCCAGAACAGAACTTGACAGAACTGTAAAACATAATGCATTGGGATTTTTATGCTGGTAAAAAAAAGTCAAAATAATGAATGATTTATTGCTTCAAGTATTGATTTATTGTTACAATCACCATGGAAACAAATTCAGGTGTCTTACTAGTCTGATGTTTTGTGTTCTTTCACAGAAAGATAAACAGATGACTAAAGGGAAAGGCTGGTTCAATATGAAGGCACCTGAGATGACAGAAGAGACGAAAAATGACCTAACTGTTCTACAGATGAGACGAGCACTGGACCCAAAACGCTTTTACAAGAGTAATGACATTAAGACTCTTCCTAAATTTTTCCAGGTTTGTCATACTTTCAATTTAGCCATTAATTGTGGGAGTTTCCAATTAATCATTATATTGGTATGTGAAATACAACATTTCTTGTGGTCCAACCTTTTGTGTCAAACCACCATCAAATGGATAGTTAAGATCCAAGTCTTGCATCAAGTGAAAAAACTCTACCTTTCCTGAATACGATCTGAATCAGAAGCAGCTCCATTACAATTAGTCAAAACTTTGTACAGTTATTAAGCTAGTAATGTAGTAGTGCCTTTTGCTATGAAGAAGTTCTCCATTTAGATCCTTTTTCTGTTACCATGGAAGCAGAAAGGGTGAATCACAAATTTAAGTTTTTCTGGATCAATGCTCAGAAACCATTCAAGATAATTGCTCAAAACTTTGTACAGTTTTAAAGCTAGTAGTGTAGTGGTACTATTTGCTATGGGGAACTTCTCCATATAAATACTTTTTCTGTAACCATGTAAATAGATAAGCTAAATCACAAAAAATTAAGTTTTTTAGACCAGTTCCCAAAATTACTCAAAACTATGTACAGACATAAAGCTAGTATTCTAGAAAAAGTCCTCCATTTAAGTTCTTTGTATGGAACTATTAAAAATAACAAATAGAGTTTTAAATTATATATATATATATATGATTGTGTTTCTTTCTATTAAACAGCGGGTGTGAGGGATAATGTCATGCTTTGTGTTATCTTGTTTAATATCGAGACAACTATTATGACTCCCTTACTACTGATCAATATGTTGTACACACAATTTCTTGTTGATTACAGTTTGGAAAAGTTATTGAGAGTCCGGTAGATTTCTACCATTCCAGGATTCCAAAGAAACAGAGAAAATCTACCATGGTGGATGAATTATTAGCTGATGCAGAATTCAGAACGTAAGAACAATATTAGTCAATAACTTGTATCTGTATGTCTGTCATTTGTGTTTGTAGTGTAGTGTTTTAGTACAGGTAAACACTGAATACTGATTTTAAAAAGTTGAGCTGCATAGAATATTGACATGGAAATTTTGAAAGCCTTTCAATGTTTAGACTTCATTTATAGAAATTGGTGTGGAATTAGTAATATATCTTTTCAGTATTTGAATGAAACAGCACAGCATTGATAGGAAATATTTTAAAATTCATAAGTTGCAAGGAAATTGAGAAAAAGAAATGTCAGAATCCTTTCAGTGCTGCAACTACGTAGAAATTAGTGTGAAAATAGTGTGAAATTAGTAAAAACTTCATTTTGATATTTAACAACATAATTTTATAAGGAATCTTTCAAAATCCTTTAATTGTTTTCTTGTATTAAAGCTGTCTCCTTTGTTTTGTTCCTATTTTCTTTCTAAAATCATTAAACATTGTTTTGTAAAACTTTTCTTCTGTTGAATCTATTCACTCTCAGGTACAACAAGAGAAAGTATGTCGAGATACAAGAAGCAAAGCGGAAAGGAGCAGGACCATACAAGCACATGAAAAGACTCAAGAACAGAAAACGATGATTTATGTTAGATATTTCATATCATTGATGGAATAAATATATCTTGTTAAAAGGAATTTGCAAAACTTACCATGTACAGTGTAGATTATGTTGTGGCACTTTCAGTAAAAGTGTCAAATAAAAATGATAATTAAAATTTCTGTTAAATGTCAGTCATCATGATTTGTGGATCTGTGTTGATATCACTACACTGTATTTCATTACTGCTATGGACAAGACTATAAATCAAATAAAGGTGTGTTGGGAGACAGCAAGAAAATCAAAGTTAAAAAACAATTAAGAAAATGTCCATCAGAAACTACAAGCAATAGACAGGCTACAATAAAAGATTCGAGGCAAGGACTCTTTAACATAACTATATACTTCTGATAATGTCAAGGTCATGATGTTATCAAAAATCATATTGTCGTTGGGAAAAGTAAGAAGTTATAAGTTATTATTAATATTTTACACACCATTGAGGATATAGAAAGTGAGGTTAATAATTGATGAAGGCAAAACATCTACCAGAGTTGTTATTCCTAATAGTCGCAATGCATTCTGGGAGAGATTGCATTTTAAGTATTTCTTGATTAATCTTTCGTTTGTTCATTTTCCCTGATTCGTGGATTAGGTATGGACTGACAGATCTGTTATTTCGTTTCCATGGACAGTTCCGGCAAACGGCTTGTTTTCTAATGCTACAACCGATGTCTGCTGTCCAGCTGAGTCATAAGAACATAGCAGCCGATCTTTATTGCACACAATCAAGATGCATTTATCTGAATGGTAATATACAGTGTTCTCTACCTCTGAATCGGCTGTGCTCTCGACAATCCATTTTTTCTCTTCTTGTATTGCCCAAGACGTCGGAGCGTATATAGGCTTATGATTCAGTTTCATATCCACTGAACTCACCGCGCTAAGATTGTCAATTCTATAGAGGATTCTCGTCAAATCGTGAAAATGTGTCATTTCGTTATATATCAAAGTTTTAACAGGTATCCTTTCCTTTCTGTCAGTATTATCTTTGTACTTTGCCATTGCACGTTTCATGTAGAGGAAAATTTGTTCTTCTGAAGCCGATGTCTGGATGAGACGATTTAAAACGTTTTCAAAAACCTTTCTTTCCTGTCATTGTCTTCTTTTGCCGCGACCAAATCCCTTAATGCATTTGCATGAATGTGCTCTAACTCTGTTTTGTAGTTCTTAAGGAGAAGTTCCAACCGTTCACATATTTTATCAACAAATGTTTCTACCGTTTTCCCCATTAATGAGCGTTTTAATGCAAGATGTCTAAGGTTTTGGTCAATAGCATGTTCTGTTTGTTGTGGTTCATTTAAAGTTTCTCGTAGCTGGTTGAGACTTTCAGTGTATTCCCGGTTTGTTTTCACACACGTCGATGCATCATGTAGATCAACAACATTTTCACAACTGCGATGATCAACCATATAACACAGTGCACACAATGCTATCTTGTGGTGAACGCAAAATAAGCGGACATGTTCGTCAGGATGCATTGTAAGGTTTCATGTGGATTGATCAGAGATGAGTTCTTTAAAGCTAGACGCAGCGGCACAATTTCATGTCGCTTGGTCATCTTCATGGACCCGTGTACAGCTTTGCAGGACTCACAACTCAGAACACTGCTTACACCAATACGCAGCATTCTGAATACTCGAGTTCACCAAACATACATCACATTTTTTAATTCCTCTCCGTATGTCATCTTGGTCAATACATGACTGGTCAGACGATCCCTGGGATACAAATTTGCCCACTGAGGAATATCATCATGGGTCCATCCAACGGGAGGTTCTGATTGTATGCCACAAACGGGACACTTGAAGGACAGTTTGTTGGAACCTTTTGTAACTTTAGACACGATCCATTTACTCAAGCATATCTCAAAGAAAGTATAAAGGCACGGGAGGTATTTCGGTGTGTTGTAAGTTTGCCGACATAAATGGCACACTATGATGTTTTCTTCTCGTTGTAATTCCATACTGATGATATCTGAAACAAATATTCGTATTAAAATTAATATCACAATTTGGAAAATTACAGATTGTAAATGAATAATTTTCACGATTTAGAGAAAAGTATCCTGGGGATCAAGCAGATTAATTTCATGTTGATAATTCATGATCCAATTTATAAAGGGTCTTAAATAAGTTTTCATTTTCATATGAACTTAAATGATACATGTCTTAAAGGATTTTATTTTTCTTAACCTTGGCGATTCACAGGGTAACACACCGACTAAATTAATATAATAAATATCACACGATTCAGAATATACGAATACATGATTTTTCAAATTTATTTGATATGAAAATTTCCTTCGAAAAATATTGAATTATGAGGTTTTGCACCTCTATGTTTTGACATTGATTGCGCTCGATTTTCCTGACTTGTCCTATAGGTTTCCATAATTTCGACCCCTAGCATCACAACGAGTTGTAGAAGTATGATATTGTTGTATGGTGCAGCTTAATTCATGACATTATCTGGCCCTACTGTATCGAATCTAAAGCCAAAGTTTATACAATGTGTTCACTTATTCCTTGTTTTAATATACCTTTGTTTTCTCTATTTTTATTTTTTCTTGAAATTCGAAGACATATCTTCATGTATGCTGTTATCTGTTTATTTGCTGTATGTTTGTTACACATTAAAAATGACTTCGATGAAAGATTGATATGTTTCCTAATGTAAACGACTCATATATCAGTTGTAGCTTAAATGCTAATCAGTCTGTTTTTTTTCTATATTTAAAACTTAATATCATATTTTCAGTACATTTAATGAAGTGTAGGCTATTATTCTTTGCCATTTATGAAGAAGATATTTGGCGTGGTAATCTTCCACTTCTTTATATCAAACATCCTGGAGTAGTTATACCATGATCAGCATGAATTTTGTATCATATATCCCCTAATACAGTACACGTAGCTATGATTAAAACAAACAACTGAACGGGAACTCGATTCGACAGTGATAGCATACCGAGGTACGCTATAATTTGATTACGCTGAGGTGGACCATATTTCACGGATGCAGTAAATCACAAAAACATTCTTGACACTATCTGGCAAGAATCGATAGTAATCCGAACAGTTTAATGCTTATAAATTTTGAAACCTTGTCTGAAAACTACTCCGATCTACGTTACAAACGTAAAATCAGTCTTCATGTCTTACATTTACTTCATATACTTAATAATGTATGTGCCTCTCCCGTTAACCGCCATCTTGTACCCATGTCTGTCGTGGAGATACTTTTCAGTGTGTTAGTCAAAAAACTATCTAGCATTGTCATCCACAATGGCTTAAACATGCCTTGTGAATAATCTACAGCAGTCACGTTTGACTGATAAAATCTGTTGTTGGCAACTGCCAAAGCAATATCATGTCCTATACTTGATAAAATATACTTCTCTTGTAGTTGCTGACAACGTTTCTGAAGGAATCATTCGACAAAGCATGAGTCAGGTAAACCGATATGACATATTTCAGCTGTAGTCGGTATCTAAAATACATACATGTACAAGATCAATGTTAACACACTCATACAGGTGTGAAAACATGGTCACCGGGGAAAATTTCAAAATATTTCTGAAAATGTTCGAAGAAAAAATAACTGTCAATATAATTTAATCTGTTTACTGACATACATTAAGTGTTGTCTATGTAAATCTGTCACCGATATAGTCAGAATTAATACACATAGCAAAATTAGCATGGGAATGAAACCAATTGGATAATGATTTTGAGTTAGTCCCGTTATGTGCTCTCGATCTCGCGGTATCTTGGCAGAAACTGGTATTTTGTTTGTTCTCAAATTCATTTATTTATTATATAAAAAAATAAATGAAAAGTTACATTTTCATTGGACATGCCTGATAATGCATTGAAAAGTTAATTGTGTAAATTCCATGTTGATACAAATACTTTGGTACTTGGTGGGCGGTTATCACGTCTATCTGATTTACGAGTTGTGTGTGCGTTTAAATTTTTGTCGGATAACATGGCAATGCCAAACGATTCTGGTGATTTAACGGTTTGCTCAATTTGCTTACAGATATTCACTGTACCGAAATATCTACCATGTCTTCATACTTTCTGTGAACAGTGTCTGCAAAGCTGGATAGAATCACAGGTATCAAGGACAGGCAGTAATATACGAAATGTTGTGTTTATGTGTCCAATATGTCGTACCCTGACAAACCTTCCGGGTAGTGCCAACAAGAGAGACAAATGGGCTAGTACTTTCCCCAGTAACCACATCATTGTATCGCTGATCGATAAGTCGATGATTGAAAGGCGAAAGAAATCATGTGATTCGTGTACCGAAATGAAGAAAAGCGTTCCTGCCAACCACTGGTGTGTTCAGTGCTCGGAGGCTTATTGTGACCAGTGCACACATGTACATCAAGCAATGAAAGCTACAAGAAAACATAAAGTGGTTGGTTTACAGGACGTTCTCAGCGATTTAAAGTGTCTTTCGTCTGATGAAATGTGTAATGAGCACGCAGAGGAAGTGATCAAGCTATACTGCGTAGACCATGACCAACCATGTTGTACAATATGCGGTGCGACATCCCATCGGAAGTGCAACAATGTTCTAGAACTATCCGAAGCTTCTAACAATGTTAGAAACAAACAAGAGTTTTCGGACCTGTTGACGAACCTAACAGAGTGTGAAAGGGAGATTAGCAAAACATCGAAATCTCTTCAAGAAAATCTGACACAATTGAACGTTGAAAAACTGAATGTAGAAAGATCTGCAAAAGAATTAGCAGATACTGTAGTTAATCATACGAAGGCTTTGCTCAACCGTTTTCTAAAACAGTTATCTGAGGCACACACAAATGCAATGGATGAATTAAAAAACAATGCCGAAAAATGTGATCTTCAACAGAAAGTGATCAGCAATTCCAGGCAAATCCTGGAGAAATCCAGGGAGCACAGTGCAGACACCGAATTGTTTCTCCTAATGAAACGAACGGAGACAAAACGTAAAGACAGTAAAACGTTTATTGAAGATGAAATGCCGAAGATGACTCTTAAACATGTAAGACATACTTTCTCAGATTCACTTCAAACCTTCAAAAATGCGAAATCCTTTGGTGGAGTTAAATTTTCAAATTCCCGAGGGGTTACTGAGCCTACAGATGGACGGTCGCTACCACGCCGCAAACCAAATGTATTCATTTTTTCATAGAAAAACCTCATTTTGACAATTCGACTGACATACCTCCTTTGACAGGAGCGATAGTGTCGGCATATTTGTGAGTTAACGAGTAAACGGTCTATTTATACATGATCGATTTTTTCTCTCGAGATACGCATGCCTATTTCGACGTGCCTTCCTCTTCCCTGGCATATACTTTCGTCTATACTTACCATAACTACGCTTAAGTTTTAAACAGTGACATTAGTAAATGTAGAATATATCATCCCATTGAATTTATTGTTTTATTACATTTTCTAACATCACATTCCTTGATTATAAATATATATGCACATCATCCTTTGCAATTCCATGTAACAATATTAAACCAACCAGAAACAAATTTTGATAGCACTTAACCAGAGATTTGAAATAAAGATTTCGGCCGACCTTTCGTTTGCTTTTCATGATGTTTGTCTACATGTGCCTATTCTTTTACTTTTAGTATTCCGAACGCTCAGTTTATTACTCATGAACACATTATCTTTGTGTTGGCAGCTTTAATCTTGTACCCCAGTACCTAAAGGTTATATATCTTACAGGACTACACAAATTGTAACACGGCCTCCTTTACCAGTAAAATATTAACTCTCAGTATAAGCCGACTTGACCTATTTTTTGGTGTATTGAAACTATTTAATCATGTTGTATGGTATCTTCGGATTTGTAAAATTTTGTAAAGATTTTCTTCTTTAAGAACACCAAAAAACCAATTTAATCAAATTTGCCTGCCTTATCTTTAGAAATCAGGACCATGTCATGTTCATTATATATACTTGACTAGTGGAATAATCGAACATTCTCGAGGCGATAGACTGAAATGGTCTCTCATTTGAAGGTTTAATATTGATTTATTATGGTGTTGCCATAATTCTTAGTTTTGTCCTTACGGAACCACAATATTAAATGCACCAAACCAGTTTAACTGAAATTGTACATATTTATAAGAAAGAAGATCAATTTCCTCTCGTCTGTTTGGAAAATGAAACATCAAAAGTGTATTACGGGAAGTAGTAGGTAAATGTGATGACAAGATGTATCATGGCATGTTTCAAAACTTGGAATTTAACAGATATAAAAACGATTACCTCTAGATATAAACGAAATAATTATAGTAGAATTAGAAATCAAAAGCATAAATCGTTTCATTATTAGCTTATTAACGATAAATGTAGACATAGGCTCTCTTCCAATACGATGTGCTCAAACAGAGAGGAAGATATTAATTTGATGGTGAAAACGGGCTTAACTGGAAAGAGTTTGCTACTGGTCGATTTCTGTCTGGCCTTAACAAAATGAACTTATTAAAAGGTCAATTCGATAGTAGAATCTAGAGTTCTTCACGTCATGATTATCATTTTCTTATATTCGGTGAGAGTCTTACACAGGAATTCAGCGTGATAATGGCAAGCGATGACATGCCAGTATTATCCAACATTAAGCGCAATTTCGCATTTTGAGCAACAGACTTTAAAGCGGCTATTAACTTAGATTTCAACATCGGGAAATGGAGAATTCGGCTTATGAATAATAAAATATATCCATAATAAAGCGATACACGCGCCTATAACGTCAAATTTGTTGTTTTTGTCCATATTTTCGGCCTCGGAACATTGTTTATCTTGCCTATTGTTTATAAACATGTTCACGCTCGGTTTATTACGAAGAAAGCCGAGTGGGTCACATGGCTTGTTACGTGACGAATTCATTTACATCCGCCACAAAGAAAAAATGGATTACGAGGTAAACAAACGCACATGTCTTATGTATAGTACTTGCTTTTGCCCCTTTCTGCTAATTCTTGTTTGCATTAAATGATTCTATAGTGTTATAATATGTAATTTTTAACAATCAATCTTAGCAATTCGTTTTGATTTGGCTTTGTCATGCGAGACTTATCTATGTCAATCGCAAGGCGTTAAACTAGTATTTCCCCAAAGGGGGTAAATACAATCGGAAAAGAAAAAACTCATTGTGCAGAAATGCACAGGAATTGATACTTTGTCTATACACATTGACAGATATTGCACTGTTTATTATGAAGGCTATGTTTATCATCACGGTTGTTATTCTTACAGTATCATCAGTAACGGCCTTTTTGTACACTTCTTCAACATTTTAAGTATTGTTGCTCATAACACATCAAACACTGAATATTGGAATCAATGACAGGCGGATACGTTATAATTATAGGACTAACGTTAAGCTAAACAGTCAAGCAGCAGATTCGCAAATTCCGAATCCGTATTCAGTCCAAAATCCTCCTTCATCTTTCGCCATCTATCGATCGCCTGTTTAATATAAATTCTTACCTGTCCTCTTTTCTGGTCTGACTCCTTCCTCTTACGCTTTCATGCACTTTCTGTAAAATCTGTTTCACATCAGCCGTGCGTTTTTTTCGTCGTACGATTTCCGCCGCGAACACAATCGCTACCTATTCGCATCCGTCGCACATACTGCAAATTTGTAAAGCGATCTCCGTACGTTGTTCGCACGGTTGACTCACGAACCGTACGGTGTTCGCAGGTTGAACGTACGCAGTTATCGTGAGGCTGCACAAATTCTCAAGGCACCCGAAAGACTGCCGTAAGAATTTGCAAAGTTTCTTACAATCACCGCACGGCAAGCACGAATTTGAAAGACAGTTGTACGGTGTTCGTGTGATCGCCATTTGGAGGAGGAATTATCTCCTCTTATCAAGATTTGGATATATATATATACACAATAGTATGCGACAACAGCCTCATTCTGCAGCAGGCCTTCACGGAATTAACTATGGTTGCGAAACCATCCAATGATCTTTTCCGCTGTGAAGAGAAATAAAAATGAATACATTATACTAAGGATTGTATCTCATTTTGGCTATCATTGTGGGGAAAAATGACACGAAACAAATCGATACATACCTGGTACAACTACTTATTTTACGTAAAGGTCTGTAGATAGATTAGAACATGAAATCAACGTAGACACACAGTTTACACATGGTCGAACTGGTTTTCCGTGAAGCCAAACTTAATATGACAAGATAATATTGATACTTAGGTAAAAGATAGCATAATACACAGTAAATGTAAATTTCAAGCTTACCGGGCTCATTCAGTTGTGCAGCTATGATTTCTAGTCGCTTATAATGCTTGTCGGCGTATTTCCGAGTGTATTCTCTTGCTGTGAAGTAAAGGCATATTTGTCACTCCTTTACAAGCACGTGGCTTCTTCATCTGAATCCTGGGTTGGTGGTATCTCTGTTGACTCGGGTTCAATGGGGAGGGGGTTTAGCTACCGGAACCTTCCCCTTTCCCATCTTTCTTTGTTTTGGAGGCATGACCTTCTCTTCCTGAAATCTCGACAGCGACTGATGACGAACAAGACAGACAAACTTTTAAAAGAGGAGGCTTGACGCTAACTTTTCGCAAGGCATTTGCGGGGCAGCCATGGGAATCTTATACGTTGTTCGTACGTTCCGCAGCAGTCTTTAGACACACTTTCACCAGACGCAAGGCATTCGCAAGTCAGCCGCAAGATGTTCGTACGATCACCGTGCAGCATTCGCAGGACAAACGCAAGTATAAAATCGTACGATTGACGTGCGATGGTCTCAAGGTAGCTGTACGGCTGCCGTGTGGCAACCGTACAGTTGCTGTGCGAACTCCAAAAATCGCAAAGAAATCGCAAAGAAAATGAGCATGTTGAAAAACCAGCTTGCGGCGTTGCGAATTTGTACGGCAGTCTGGCGGAGTCATCACGAAGTCCTGCGATTTGTCAGAAAATATTCCTTTACAGCTGTCGTAAGGCTGATGTGAAACAGGCTTAAGGTAACTTTTATGTCCTCGTCCTTTTTTCGCACTTGCGTCCGCCATATTGCTTCTTTCTAGACATGCGCGACATCAGGGTTACGAGCGGTAAGTTTTGAATTAGATCAAGACCGCACTGTTTACATTCTTTATTTTTTAGATATCAATAAAAATGGTTGCAGTGACTTTTAATTTTAATAATTAACAGAAAGTCTTTGCAACATACTATTGGAAAATAGAACGTTTTGCATCGTTTTCTCACAGTGTTTTTTTAACACTATAGTTGCTTTAATAAGATTTTCACCGTCTTTGTTCTTACAAACTTGAATGACGTCATAAGGTCATCAGAAAATACAAAGCTCCGCACGGAATGCCACACTGAGATAAGAAACGAGACACCACCTGGTCTTATCTTCATTTAATGTATTCGTGGCATTATTTTCTAAGTAAATCAGAAAGATGAACAACTTTCTTGCCGTATGTGTTTTGATGGTCTTTGGGGTAAACTTATGTGACGGACAATGTAGAACGTTTAATTCTGCTCCACGTAAGTATTGGATTGTTAATAAAACACATAGGATCTTCCTGAGGTATACATCCACGTATTCTCTTACGTATCGGAGTAGCTATGTGCAGTGAGAGTTTTATATGTAAAATATCACTTGACTGTCATGCGAGCCCAGGCGAGTTTCTATAAAACCTCATGTGAAATGAAAATAAATTTAAAGTAAAAATATGGAGGACGAAACAGCCATTTTGTTGCGACTTTTCAATCCATGACGTATTGGCATTACCCATATTATGACATCAGAATAGGTTTTTGACTGGATCATTCACTGAAAAAAAAGATACAGAGTATATTACAATACTGAAATGCAAAACTATCACATGAACAATTACACTAGGTAATTGGTGGATTATGTTATAAACACAGTCTGAAAAAAGACCTTTTGTAGACATCACTCTAACCTCTTCTTTCATCAAAGTGTGAGATAGCGTTTTCTTACCCAACAGGATAGATTATGCGAAACTGGAGCAACTAATGGCAATATGAAGTGAAAATATAGAATTCGGTAACTTTGCAGATGAAAATGTAAATGAGAATCATTCGAACCCAGAAGGATCTATGTGGAATGACACTGAATGTAGGACATTTGTCTTTATATATAGTATGAATTGTTCAGTTGTTTCTTTTCTGCAATCAGTTGTCATACAAAACGACGAAATCGCTTGTTGAGTATTCAAAGACAGGACTTTACCTGTTGTATGCCGGGCTATAGGCTTAGCACCAATTTTGCATTTTAATGTACAACAAGCTTGCCTAGAAAAAAGAAGAAAAACTTTTTTTTCATGAATATCATATGAACTGAATTCCATCTAATACTTACCAATTACCCATCCTGGTAATCACCATTTATTTACATTCCGCAAGTATATGGTAGAAGTCCATTTTTGTGCATATTGTCTGACCATACACCTGTTGTATATAGTGTTATTCCTTGCAAGTAAATTCAAACATCGCATCTGTATTGACGACAATACGGATGTTTATTTTATGAAAATGTTAAGCGTTACAAAATATGAGTAAATGAAGCAGAAAAAATTAGTTTTCGGAAATATGGCTTTACAGAGGGAAGATACTTCACCACTCTGTTATTTGGTATTGTGATATGGAGCAAGGGAATATATGAATATATAGACATGCTCTATGAGAAGTCGTGAAAGGCAAGCGTGGTCTAAAGCTAAACTATTCGTCATTTAACAATCACATTACTCCTTCCCCTTTTGACCTTGGAATCCTCTAAAATGGTGACAATGATCGTTACTGTCCAGCGTGTCTCAGGTATGTCGGGCAGGTGATCCACCAAAAACATGGTAGGCCAACCTCTGCGGCGGAGACCTGGTTCGAGTAGCAGGTCCTAAGTCATAGCTCGGAATTCTGAGATCTCCTCCCGTTCTCCCTCTCATATGCAGACCAAAACCAGCTTATTTATTATCCTCTTCTTCGGGCAGTACCTCTGAAGGACTAAGGTTTCTTGATAACAGCATAAGATAGTAGAGCATAACGTAAAGCAGCCTATTAAAAACGACACCGTCTTGTTGCCAAGCGTAACGTCAAAGCGTGCCCTAATATTTCCCAAATGTTTTTGAACATCTCTTTATTTTATGTTTGTATTTCCCCCCCATTGTTTTCTTCATTTTAAAAGAAACGAAAGAAAATTTAATAGTTTTCGGTTAACTGTCATATATATATATATATAGATATTCTGTCATAATCGTGCAATATATATATATGAGGTACTAAACGGGAAACCATTAAAAAATCTCTATGTCTTAGCAATTAATCCACAACTAAGACGATAGTCTGGTTTAATTGATGTAGTCACATGTTTTAACTATATATATATATATATATATATATATATATATATATATATATAGATAAGTCTCGGTATTTAATGTAATAACAAACGTGTCAGTGTGTGGTTTAATGTAGACGAATCGAAGCATTTCAGATTCCTGTTAAAATGAAGACCATGTTGAACCATTATAGTCCCGATATAAAGATGCAATAGTATATGGATACGGTTTTGCATTACAGAAACAAAAAAATTATATTTACTTCACTTTCTTAGCCTAGATACAAACGTTATCCAATGTAGCGTATACAAGGGGTTGGTTTCTTTACTTGAATAAATCTGAGAAAACATCTTTGAAGAAAATGAAAGAAATTACCTTTCTCTGATTGAAATTTGTCTCTATGTCTAATCGTTTTCTCCTTGTACGTTCGCGTGTAAATCTTCACTTTGTTGATGTTTTGACATGTTATACATAGAATTAGAATTTTTTTGAAAACAAATCGGCATTATCTTATTCCAGAGTTGGATGGCGCAACACCACCACTAGGGTGTTATTGGAAAGACGAATTTATCGGCGTCATGTCACATCTTACAAAGAACTGTGAAACATGCTACTGTAGCGAGGGAGGTGTTTTGAGTTGTTGCGTGTAAGTGAGTTCTCCTTAAATTGTCGAGTTGACCTTATCACAGGAATAACTGTTGTGGCACGTCATACGGCCATTTCATAAATAGTGTAAGACATGTATCTAATGAAATGTTTGACAGGATAACGTATGGAGCAGAAATCGAGTATCACTTGAATCACGTACCTGTCAAGTAAAAATGCGTATGAAGTTAATTCATATGGATTTAGTGTTTGATTTCGACACAGATGACTGAAATCAGACAATTTAACGATGTTTTATGAAGTCTGTCAACAGTGTTAGGGCACGATATATAGTGAATCAGATACCAAATTAAAGAAAAAATATCTCTCGATCCAGACCACTTCCAGCGAGATATTTCGAACGGTTTAGTGACAATCACAAATTTCCCGAAGTTCTCATGTAATGGAAGACAAAGTTATAAAACATCAGTTGATGCATTCTACGCAATATGCTTTTCTTAAACTAGTTTAATTAATCTACTTCCACGTGAATACTTTGATATGCTAATGATTTTTACATTTTTACAATTTCTCTTTTTCTTCAGTAATGCTATGCATATCGTACAAGTGCCTGATGATTGTAAAATAGTTCCAGCAGAAGACGGTTGTGGTGACCGGGCTGTGAAACTGGACAATGAAAATGAGGATTGTATGCATGGTGTCGCTGCAGTCAGTCGAAGGGACTTGCAATGATTGTACACCAATAAAATATTCTAACAAGTTATCTATAATTATTGTGATGTTTGTAGAAAGACACTTAACAAACAGAATGATTTTATCTCTGAGATTCAAGAATTATAAGCGACGATAAATGGACACAACTGCTAATCGTACTGATGTGTCTGTTTCCCATCTGAATATCATTTATTATCACGCAGTCGTGTATGGTAATGAAAGATGAACACGAAAGTCATCTTTATGGAAAATATCCTACAGGAGCAGAGATAAAACACCTGTTTGATAAAATTTGATATCATTAAGCTGGCTTAACTAACTTATTTCCGTTGGATGTAAAATAAACACGTTCTTTTATATTAAATAGAAATTCTGACAGACCTACACGTGTTCTAGCTATGATCCCGGTCAGATATGGGTGATGCTATGCTACTGATATCCAGTATTTCCGTGTGATTCCGGTTACATTTATGGTATAATTCACTTTAAGGTTTCATATGTTTCTATGTATTAGATAGGATGACTGTCTGACAAAATTATGTAGAGAAAGCATACTAAAGTATTCATTATGGGACGAAAGTTCTCCGTTTTATTACTTACAACCTAGATTACTCATTATATAATAACACCTGATAACATACATTATCCATGATAATACCGTATACCGTAAAAAGGAAAGAGAACTGAGAAAGGGGTGAAATCAATCTTTATCTTTTGTTTTTCCCCATATATTGCTGCACTACGAGTGTACTGAATGAATGGACAGGTTCATTACCAGTTAATAAAATGCTTTTCTTTTGTTTTTCTTGTACTTTTTGTGCCTTTGATACAAGGAAAAAATATACCACAATTCAGGTGAGAAGTCAGGAAAATCAATACAAGGCTTAGTCAATATAAAGGGAGATGCTCCTATCAAAGTGGTATCTGATGATTTATCCTAAACCTTTGGCACTGTACACAATTGTAGTCGTACATGTAGCATGCAGGAATATGGGACTCCTCGGCGACTAACATCACTTCAACATGCCATCTAGCAAATATTAAAAAAAAATAAAGAGTAAAGATTTTATTCTTCTTGAATATTTATTGGTTGTACTATGGCCACTCGTGATTGTCAATTCTCAACAATCAGTCTACCAAGCCACGTCTTGGATGCGTTTACGTGTCTCAGGTATACTGTAGTGTGTGAGAGAATCACGCACTGGAATCTTATCTATTTATCGTGTGTTGCCTTGAATTTACAGACAGTACGATATCTCGTCTTTACTAGGATGCTGGTAATCGGCAGTGTTATTTCCACTATCCTGATACAAGGTCTGTATTACCTTTTATAGCAGATGTCATGGTGATGATGTGTAAGCAACTATTCTTGAAATGACGTCCCTGTTTTGTTTGCTTGAACCAGATAACATTTGTGAATAACGACTGAGACTATTAATTTTCCTGACGTATCAATTCTATTGTTTTTCTTTTTACTTTTCCTTTAATAAATGTTATATTCTTTGCAAGTAGATAAGCATAATATTATCTTTATATTCTTACTATCATTTTCAGGAAGAAAACTGAGCCGTTTCTGCAACATTTGAAAATGTTTTCACGTTTCACCAAATTCTATTTTGCGGATATTTAACGAGAAATCGACATGCTTTCCTACTTACGATTGGTAGCCAGAAATATTGACTCGATTCCTTACACCATTTTAACCATTTTAACAACAAGGATACCAATAAGCTTTTACATTGTAGGGACGCTTGCAGTTGTGAACCACTGCGGTGTAGGTTGGATTTACCACAACGAAGCATGCTATTTCTTTTCAAACGATACAGACACCTGGGTGGAGGCGTTCGTAAGTTACTAATGATGACATATTTTGTAGACACTTAATTTTCAACGAAGTGAATATTCCATGTTTAGAAAATACTTAACCATATGACAAATGTTTTTCTTGATAATTACACATTTCAATTTTTGCTGTTCACTTATCTAGAAGTGAGCGAGTACGTTATTAGCATTGAAGTATTATTTGTCCTCAATCATTCATAAATATTTATAACACCGTGTGTGTCTTAATGTCGTAAATAGCAATGTCATTTAACTCAACTCGGTTATTCAAGGTTAATGTTTTGTTACTAAATTCATGTTCCTCCTTAAAGTATTACTGCCAAATATATGACAGTCAGCTAGTATCGATTACGGACCAAAACGAAAACAATTTCTTGAAGACAGAACTACGACATCGCCATGCTGCAGGTAAGACAACGTCAACATTCATATTTCAGTGGAAAGAAAAGCAATGTGGTTATACGGTTTCTTATGTATTGGTAACGGTGAAACGTGTCTTTTGTTAATTCATTGTCTACTATCTTATCTCAAAAAGTTAAGTAATCGTGTTATCTTAATAAAAATAAAATCTTTTTCATAGATTCTGATTGGAACATCTGCTATTTTACGTCTGGAACGGATGCACCAGCAGAGGGTCATTGGGAATGGACGCCATCTCGCGATCCATTTACATTTACCGATTGGCGACCCGGGGAGCCAAGTAATGGCGGTGGCTTAGAAAATTGCCTCTGTTTGTACAAAGCACATGACTTTCAATGGAATGATCGAAACTGTCATAACCAAGATCATTTCATTTGCAAAGCACCGTAAGATTTTATACGCTTCTCTGGCCTATGAACAAATCAACCATATGTTTTAATCTAATCTTTATTTATTTTGTATTCTTGTATATATATATATATATATATATATATATAGATATATACTCTAAATACTTTCTGGTATCACTTCATAAAGTTATTATTTTGTATTTGATTTTCTGCAACATTTTAAGATCACCTGACCATAGGTCCAGTGAATACCTTGGAGGAGCAAGATTATATCTAGCTAAGAATGATCTCGTTAAGTAAAACTGCGAAGTATAACACATCTGCTGACTTGTACACTTAGCTCCATAACTGATAAGATAAGAAAGCGAGTAATCTATATAAGCCCCACTTCGTGTAGAGGAGTTGATAAGTTTGCGATATGACCAACTGTAGAAAAAATACCGATATGTCAACACAAACAATCTAATTTCAAACTCAAATGAAACGCCACGAACAAGAACAAATTTACTCGGTCACTTCTGAAAAAAATACAAGGAGAATAGAAAGCAGAGACAGCATTCTTTTGATATTTGAATATGTCTGATGATACTGTCAGTCGCTAATGTCACTGGAAATTTTGGATGATTGATACACACATCTTCAATATCTGTTGTAGGGCGTCTTTCGGTTCTGAAGTAATTGGATGAATGCGACTGATATAGCAGACTTATGACACGAATTGCCTATTATAACGTATGTTCAAGATACAATTAATTAATGTTGTGAAAACATATATTATTTAAGCATATTTGTTTTTAATAAAAATGACACTTTGCAGTTATAATTCAATATATATGAGAATAGGCCGTGTAAAAATGTGAAATAATGTTTTTTAAATGTATTAATCAAAGTTGTTGATGTGTTCATCAATCCAATATTAGCACAATTTTCCACATAATTATAAACGTGTTTCTACAAGTCTTTTCAGGACAACTGCATTTGTTATTATCCCATCTCCGATATCGATCTCTATAAAGTTATGTGATACGCAGATGACCATGGTTGATTGAAGAATAACAGTATCTAAAAACATAATATAACTGAACACGAACAATAAGATGCACATTTTTATTAAAAAATATAAACATGTAAATATAATAATATTCCCATTTTTAAATCTACATAAAATATAACAAATATTTATCTAAAATATCCAACCTCAATATAGAACACCATGACACCATGCATAACCCAACAAAAAATTTTCCACATATATTATAACATCATATAAAGATTTACGTGATTCATGGGTACTAGGTTATGATTAAATTTTCATTCGTTTGCCCAGCAATCGAATGGGATTCCAAATGCTGAATGATAAGTGATTACAATCAAAGAGGCATAAAGCTATACAATAATGCACTATTGCTATAAAGGCAAGTTGCGTATGATGAGAAATTCAAGTACTTGGCACATTATCATTTATAAGAAAAAAAACTCACTTTTCCTATAATATATATATGCACAGCATATCGCTAAATAAATTGTATATATGTTATTTTTTACTTTCCTCGTCACATCATTACATGACATCGTTCTTGTAAAAAGGTAACTCTGTAAATCATATTGATAGCTGCACTTCAGTGCAATGATAATGCAACAGTGACGTGGTCATCAGGCTGCTGAGAAATAACAACAGAAAAGTAATGAGTTCGTGAATTTGCACCAAAGTATCATGTGGTATTTTTGCCTAAATTTTGTGATACCTGTATATTTGTTTTACAATTAATGAAATGTGTAAATGACATAATTCAGATAAATACTTTTTACATGATAAATGTAAATTTGATTTTTTTTCAAAATTGTTGCCTCAAGTTACCAAGAACTGACCAAAATTCATATTAAAGAAAAATCTGTTTCTCCTCACATATTATCTCATTAATCGAAACCAATTGGTACTTTCTAAGACATCTAAAATAACCACTATATAAGCAGGGAATATATAAATGACACCGATGCATATAAACGATCTTTCTTCCCAAGTATTTACAAGACAAGGCCATTCTCATTTATGCAATAACGAATGCAATCGTTACCTGACATGAATTAAGCAACTTGCGTAACCTTATTAATAACAAAAACTCTCCAAGATACAAGGTCTATCTATATTGCTAAAAAGTTTTACAGATCCTTTCTGATGTTAAGCATATGTTTTGTTTAACTATATTAAAAGCGAAAATTTTGTTATGTCTGCTGTAATACTATACTAATATTACGGTTCTAAATTTTCTAATAAGGACTGATTGAAGTCTCAATAACTTAAAACAAATAAGAATATATAGGAATTATCATTTTTTTCGAACTTTAAAATTTCAATGATTATCATTATCCATCAAAAATGTGTAGTTTTCATTTCCTTTTACTTTTAAAAAAATATACTAGATTTAAACTTTATTTTCTGAGGATTACATTACTGATATTTAATTTTTGTATTGTTTTGTCGTTTGATCAATCAATGACCCTGGGCCAAAATCACGTAATGATAATATTGATTTGACCAAAAATTGTTGAACATTTTCGTTTTTATTAATAGGTTAAGAAGATATAATGTAGAGAGGTTGTATATGACTAACAAAACTATGATTAATGCACTCGCTATCTAAAGGTTATTTCAATTATATTAAACAATTATTATGATTGCAATTAACTTGGTAACATTTTCTTGTTAAAACACCCGAAATTCATTGAGAATCTATTTACATTCCTACATAATTGAGTTATCAAAATAAATTTGTGTCAGACTTCATCAAATATCTCTCATTTTCTATGCAAAATTTGTTAACAGTCATACAAAGTTGAAAACAGTTAATGTTAGTGTATTGTATAAATAGCAGTGTCGGAAATAACCTAAAACTTTTATAAAAATATATAGTACATCTGCATAGAAAATTTCATCATCAGTATAAAACTAATTGTAACCTAAGTTCAAAATTTATGTTCTTCGCAGGTATGAATGCATTGTATAAAAAGAAAATGTTAAAAGTATCAAATTCCAGTTTTTACTTTTCAGTTGACATTAAAAAAATGATGAAGTCATTGATAGTATAGGGCATACATGTTAGAATTGTTGCATTTTAATTGCTTTGTATGAAGTGTCGTCGCTGATGGGTGCTAGGTAAGGTTGATGATCATAGATTCATCTCAGAACTAGTCAGCTTATCATTCATTGTCCTAGAAAAAGAAAGTAAAAACAGAAAATAAGGTTACACCAGCCTGAGATAATCATAACACAATTCAGTTTTACAAAATATAAAGAGCAATAATTTGAATGTTTTCTTAACAGAAATTGGTCGTTTCCCTTTGTCCTACTTTTAGCAGATTTGCAGTTTTCTGAATGGTGCATAACAGACATAATGCAACCTTACGAATTGTTGATTACAGAAAATCGACTATACCTGACTACCAGAAAAGTGGTGTCCACTCTCCATAGAAATGTTGAGAAAGAAAAGATTCATGAAAATTATAAAATGTAAATATTATGATTTTCGGACGTAAATATATGATCGAAAAACACAAGTTAGCAATTATAAAGTTATTCAATATTGAAATCACAGTTACATCATTCTTTTTATCGTTTAGATGGTATAGTTATAAGTATCACTATCGAAAACCATCAAAGTGTATATTTTTGTAGATATGAACATTGTTAAAATAAGGATAAAAACAAAAACCAAAATCAAGAAAATACCAACATGGCATTATAATCATAATTCAAACTCAAATTCCATAAAACTAAGGCAAATATGAACAAAAGAAAGATTTACACGGAAACTACTGAAAAAGTATAAGGAGAATACGACCAGGTGTTCTGAAAAAGTAAGCGTCTTCTGCTTCATCGATGATACCCGCCATGTAAACCTTGGTCAATCCAAGGAAGTAATGCCACGTTCTCAAATGAGAACAAGGTTTACAACAACGAAGCCAACAGGCAAACTAACGAGCACCAAATATGTCCAGCCTCATGTCGCACAAATAAATAGAAGTTTTCTCAGTTAGATCACTATGGTGACCATAAAGCTTCCTCATACATTTTATTAACCCTTATTATACGAGTTTGTTAGACAGTTGACGACTTCTTGCACGAAAATCATGATAATGGGAACAGGCCCTTGGATATCGAATCAACTGTGACATGTTAATACCATAGGTTGGAGTGGCAAGGATATTGCTATCGAGAAATGGAAAATTCACAATAGAGAAATAGAATAGATTATGTTTATCATATAACTTGATGGAAATTTATCCATGTTGGTTTTGTTGTAGGAAAAGGTCGGGATAAGCAGCTGGTGTAGAAGAGTCTGTCTTTGATTTCCAGTGTTGTTCGATATATACGTTGGATGTAGTCATTAAACTACTTGTTATTTAAAGACAATTCCTCATCAATATATCTGAAGGTGAAATTAAATGACTTCGCAAGATCTTTGTGACCTTTTTTGAGAAGCTCTTCAATAAATTCAGCCTCGTAGAAAACAACCTGATAATATTAATTATGTGAAATATTGAGCAGTACCTAATATCTGATGCCGATATTAGTTAAATAGGCAAAATTTTATTTACCTCATATATAGGATTTGGACTCCGCAGTTGAGTTGGTCTCGGGATACGGAACTGAAATTAAATAAATGTATAATACTGTCATGGGCTGTAACGTGTAAAATATTTCGATAGTCCTTCAAGTGCAAACCGACAAATAATGTACCGATTCAAGTATGAAATTCAGTAAATTTTTGGTCCCTTTAACGAAGACAATACCAAAACTGAAATGCTGCATTTAAAGATATATGAAACCCAGACGCCCAAAACTTCTAAAATTTGACTTTTATTCTGGTGATGATTTTTTTGACAGGTTTAATAATAGAAAGTATTTTTTAAATCTTGCAGTGCTTATTTTACTGCTACAAGCGTCAAAATATGTTATAGGCAATATGCATTTTTGCTTGTTTATTCTGTTTTAAATTACAGATATTTTATTTCTAGGCGATATTTGTTTCCAGCAAAATTTTTTTTCATCACAATGTGGCTAAATGCAATCTCAACATGTTAATTTTCATTTGATATGACAGCTGCACAAGCAGGGTCAATTTTGGGGAAAAAAGGATTAAAACCCTTACTTGAGAATGTTGAGAAATTAAACTTTTTCAAAGCTTTATGCTTTAATAGAAAAAAAAATAATTTGGGTATTGCTTTGATATCATAAAAGGAAGGAGTCACTGTGCAGATTTTACAAAATATCAATCAATCTTTTAATTTTCATCCAAATGTCTTTTTTTGAAAGCTCAAGAAACAGACTGATGTATTTATAACAAGTCAGCATTTATATGTTATTTGTAGTGGTAATTCATGCTAAAGTTTATTGAAGTCTGCCCTAAACTTCCAGAATTATATTGAAGAGAAGTTTGCTGGCAATAGAAAAAATATTGAATTTTTACGCTAAAAACCAAATTACGACGTCAACTACGCTGTCACAAAATATAGTCCACAGGTGAAAAAACCTACAAAACGTCAGATAAAGTGCTTCACTCTTGGCAAAAATGTACAAATGTTGGTTACAAATTATATCAAAATGCAAAAATCACCAAGTCCGGTAAAGCACGTGTTTCATATATCCTTATTCTATTGATATTATTTCATTTGAGAGAGAGAGAGAGAGAGAGAGAGAGAGAGAGAGAGAGAGAGAGAGAGAGAGAGAGAGAGAGAGAGAGAGGGAGAAATATATTGAGGGTACGTGAAACAATAAACGGGGCTTCAGTTGATTAGTTATTATACTATACTATACTCACCTCCTCTTTCGGCGACAAAGGCCAGATGAATTCCCACGAAAAGTTTGAGTAAGGACGCGTTGGAGCATCATCACGCGGAGGCTCTGCTTCATCCACTGAAATATTTGTAATAGGGGTAAAATTGATATAAATTCCTGTAGGCAACTCTCACCCTTACCATAGCCAGAGCATGCGTCATATAAAACATCTTCGTTTATTCAAAGTATTGCACTTTTCTCAGATAATAAAATTGATAAATTAATTTATGATTTAATCATAAACAAACGTTGGTTGAAAAGTATATCAGTATATCAAATGCTTTCCAATACTGAATAGCTTTGTTCAGTGATAGCATTGCCATAAACCGCAGGAATTTGGACAAAAACTGTTTCATCAACATATTTTTTTATTCAAAACATATTAAACATGTGATGTACAACATATTTAATGTTGTATTGGTTCGTCGGTTTAATTAGTTTGTAATTAAACTACTGCAATTTTGTAATACATACATTTCGTGATTGATAACTGTTAATGAACAGACTTTTTAAAACTTGAAAATAGGTGTGGATAAAGTTTATTGTCAAAAGATATGCTCAATTTACCTGTGGTGCGGATGGAATATGTAGTCATAAAACACTGGGTTCATTATGTTATCAGGCCGCACTTGTATAAAACATCTCAACTTGAGATTTCCTCAAGTCGAGATTTTCCTCAGCTGATATCTCCTCAAAAACGGCTTGTATCAAATTTTCTCAAGGAACAGGAGGAAGTCATCGGCTAGGATGTCCTGAAATTCCTTGAGAAAATTTGATACAAGCCGTTTTTGAGGAGATATCAGCTGAGGAAAATCTCGACTTGAGGAAATCTCAAGTTGAGATGTTTTATACAAGTGGGGCCAGGACTATTTACCTGAATTAAAGTCATCGTCTCTATGATCTGAGGAAGCGTTTGAACTCCAGCCCGGGGCATCTTCCTCTACATGACCCAAGTAAAATGGGTCACGATGAGGCGCAAAGTCAAACATTGGTTTAATGGAATGACGGGAGAACTTGGAACTGACGTCATCCGAGTCACTAATAAAGAAGAAAAAAGATATGTTAATTTAGATTTTATTCTGGTTTGGTAGCACATCCATTAAAAATAAATTGATGTAAAATAACGATGTGAACCCCTGACTTTTAGTTATAAGATAATTGTCACAGTAACACAACAACAGGCAGAAATATCTTTTAACTTAGGCAGACAATTATTTTCTATCATTGCTGCGGGTGGATATTTGTATTGCATACATCACTCTTTTTTATTTACTGTATGGCTAATCTGGAATATTAATTCTCAAAGCATTCTGATTCTTTTAGAACTATACAGTATATAAATTCAACATTTCTGACGCTAATTTCAAACAAAAGAGCGACAAGTTGGACAAAAAATATGTATTGATCTACAACTCCAGTTTCCTACCTATCTCTTCGGGATCTATTTCTAGTTAGCTCTTCTAGCTGCCGATGCCTCCTCCTTTTCTTGCGCCACATAAATACAAGCCACATGCAGCAACAGCATGTACATAGTAATAACAACGTTAAGCCAACTCCAAGACCCATGATGATGGCGAAATTATCTGGAAAAAGGATATAAATGTTAGCAGTACAGAACACAAAACAATGAAAACGGAAGTATAAAATAGTACATTCATCAACACAATCGAAGAGTAAAAGAGTAAGATAATAAAGAAAAAACCCTAAAAACAAAATAAATTGTCTTCCAATGTTCTGGACAATTCAACATCATGTCTGATTGTTTATGTTAAAACTATATTTCCCATGCTTTCGGATGAAATCCGTAACTCATAGAAAATAAAAACTGTTTAAATCCGAAGTTAAGATGCTTAACATCATGATGTTTTACTCAATTTTTATGAAATATAAATCCTAATGACCCGGAAGTCAATAGCACTTGATTAACGTTTAGATAAATAAAAAAAACTTACCCATTGACTGTGGTGGTCTACAAAAGGGATAAAGGAAATAAGTTATTTAGTTATCATGTATCAGATACTTGCATTTATACCATCAGTGAAACTAATGATACATGAATATCGTTTGCTTTTTGTGAAATGAAGTAACTAAGCCCATTTCAATTTTTTATTGATTTCATGTGATACCACATGACCAACCGACGAAAAAGGAAAATATGGGCAAAAGTGGCTATGTTGCAAACATGAGAATGATATCAGAACTGAGTTGTTCCTATTTTTCCTCGTTGCATTAATTTTGAGTTTGATTAAAAAAATCTATAAAAATATCAGTCTCTAGAATGATAAAATGCAGAAATTCTGTAAAACAAATGATACATATTGCCACCAGAATTATGGTGATAATAGGGCATTACTTACTGGCAGGAGTAGAGTCCATCGGCAAATGTACAAACACTTCCGTTTGTACACGGCTCTAGAGCATCAAGTATGTCGCAGGCACTGAAGTCTGCCTTCGTATAATTTCCTATTCATATGAATAAATAGAGATATTTCATCGAATTGAAAACTAATGGTATGTAAGACGTAAAGCAAATGAGTAATGCATCGAATGATGTTCTTACATATAGATACATATATACTTGTGCGATATGAAGTGTTCGATGGTTTGTCGTACTCAGATAAAAAATTGCTCTTTTTCGTTGTCGTTTTATCGAAATTATATAGCAAACTTCATATGAGTATCATGAATATCCACTTTCCTTTTTTCTCTCTTTTGGTGAAATAATTCCACACAAAAAACATCTAATTCAAAGTCGTCATAAATCTGCATACAGACACCAACTAGTTAACTATTTAAGTTCTGATATAACACAGAGCATGTCGTTACATGCCTGATATAACTGTTAGTAGAACATTATGCAGTAATACTTTTATATCTCTGTATAAATGTTTCTACATGTTCATCCTCTCTACCAGTGATTTTAGTTGCTAACAATATACTCAAATTCAGTTTAAAAATGTAGGTCGAGTTCTACTTTATAACCAACCGCATTGATAAACCACTTCAATTCCAGATTAATATGCGTATCATTATTTGTAATACACTAATTGAAATTTACAGATTTTGTGAGTTGTTAAAAATAATTGGATAAAAATATTCATGTTATCACAACATGTATGTATATGTGATCTCAAACATAGACATTTTCTTAAAGGTAGAAGCATGATCAATAGCCTAGTGATTACTCACGAAAAGTTCCGTTTAAGTCCTGGATTCCGTATAAAATGACCGGGATAGTCTGACCTCCCGCGTAAAATGGTTCTCGTTCAAATGTGATGTCTTGAATTGCTTTGATGATGATATTGACAACGTCTGGATTGTTTAGCGTATACAGCTCATGTTCCACAATAAGTGAACCTGCCCTGTAACACACAAAAAATGTATTTCTTGAAAATGCTCTACTTTTTCATGTCACTCATATATCAAATATTAAAGAGTTATTATTTAAAAGCATTATCATGTAACAGGTGTAAATTAAAGAAGGGACAGAAATTGATTATAAGCTCCAGAGAGTACAGAGCGTAAAAAGGATATTAATTAATGGAAATAACTAATGTGAAATGCATGAGCATTGTATTCTATCAATAGCCTAAAATATTTTATTTAAATACGGGAACTACTTATCATCCATTCCTTTTAAAACTCTGCCATATTCATACTATATGCTAATTGTAACTCAATTGCAATTAATATACATACATTATGTATTTTGTAGGCTTACCTCATTGCTGTAATTCTCACGCCATTGAAGTATGGTATAGTTCTGTTATACGCATCGTTGTACTGAAAAAGAAAGAGTGTTGTTTGTATATAACAGTATAACAGAAATATGATATCAAATTATCATGATGTTAAAAATTTTATTGATATTGATAATCCACCTGTAAATAAACTTTTATAAACAATGTTTAGCTGTTATACTATATCTTGCGATAAAAAATACATTCAAGTATTTGCTCATTTACAATCGATTTCTGACTGGCATAATACATTTAACCCCTTTAGTAAACAATTGAGGAAAGCAAGACAAGAGGTCAACTGTGACTGGCAGACTACAATTTTTTTTATACATTGATAAATGATGTTGGTAAAATTTCAAATTATGAAAGCATACCCCTTCAGTAAAATTGGAGAGGAGCCCCTGGTAGTAGCTGCTGGTGGTATTCTCTAAAGCTTGTGTGTCCGTCACAGTGAAGATAAATGAGGTAAGTAAACGGAACATCCGACCGGTGAATCCTAAAAAGAGCCAAAGTGAATGGTTTTCAATGTCTATTCTAGCCCATAGCCATATCATATTGATGTTTTAAATGTATCTATTCACAGCTGTGATAGTAAATATATTGAATTATTGAAATTAGACACGAATTCTTAGTCAATATCGAAGTTGTATATCCTTTCGAAATTGTTGTTTACGGTTGAAAAAAATTGTTTTATACCTAAGCACATGGATTCTCGTGCAGCTAGATAATCCATTATGTCGGTTCTTTTTAAATATTCTTGCCTTATAAGTATACCAGTACTAGGATTTAGTGAGAATCCTACTTTAGATTTCAGTGTGATATCAACTCTATTCTGTTGCGTTTACAAAACGTACTGGTTAGCGATGCATGGAACTACGTAAGTAGTCATGCATTGTTTCATTATCCGTAGGGTCCAAGTGATATTTTACCTGTACAGGACACGATTCCATCTCCAGGTAGACCTTCTCCGCACTTACAGTAGAATGATCCTATGGTATTGGTACAGTTGGCGATTGGCAGACATATGTCTGATCCGTTAATGCACTCGTCAATATCTGTTTAATGTAAATGTCATATTTTGTTCATTAAGGAACCTCGTCTCCCTTACATTCATTTTGAATATTGGTATCAGATCATAATGATGACGATGGCTTTGATGATCTTCTTTTATAAGGTAAGGCATTTTCAAATGATATAACAATCAGGTTTTGTGAACATTTATCATGGATCCTCTGTCTATTTCGTTGCCATCCAAACTATGTATTCTGGGGCTTGTTAAATAACATAATGTAGTCGAATATCAGTGAGATTGAAATCTGATATGCAGATAGATATAACATGTGCAGTTCAAAAATGAACAAATTGGTCACCATATATAAGCGCATAAGTAAAAAAAATAAAACCATATTGTGTATTTTACACACCTGTACATGTATATCCATCTCCTTCAAATCCGCCATTACACGCACAGGTGAACGAACCGTCAGTATTGGTACAATTAGCATACTGACTACAGTTGTGAGCGCCAACCAGACATTCATTTTGATCTGCAAGAAACCAAATACAATATCGCGAGTTAAAGACAGAGGATGTTTTATAGTGTGCTACTTGCTATAGTAATCACTACGTGAAAACCTAATATTCTGATGAAGTAACTATTTTATCGTAGTACAAGAATTCGTCAGTGATGCCAAGAGCCTTAACTTTGAATCTTAGACGGTGACCTTTGAAAATCAAAACTGGTCCAAAGATTTGTCAAAATTTAGATAGAGATATAATGCAATATATTTCTCAGATAACACGGATACAGAAGTAGATCACACGTACCTATACATGTACCGTTGCCGAGATTTGAGTATCCCTGAACACAGACACACTCATAAGACCCATTTGTGTCTATGCAGTCTGCATGTGAACCACATAACATTGGAACGTCGCATTCATTGATGTTTGTATTGCAGTCGATGCCAGTCCATCCCGTCATACAGTTACATGTGCCATTCACCTTATTACATGTATCCGTGCGGTTGAAATTGCACGCGCATACGCTGTCACAGTGATAGCCGTATCGCCCGTTTGGACATTCTAAAATATGAAAAATAGACGCAAAATATGAATCATAAATGATGCCATAGATACATGTATCAAATACCATAGAAACAAATTATTGGAAACGTAGGCATCATTGAAGAAATAAAGTTGTAAAAGTCAAATCAAGCCTAAGCCAATTTTTAAGGATATTTTAACAAAGAAAAAAAATCTCATCATTCTTCCATTGCTTTCTTTTGGATGGTAATACTTATTGATATCGACTATACGAAGAAAAAGCAGAGCACTTGCTACTACTGTTTACAGGAAGAATTCTGTTACCGTCACAGACTTCCAAAACATTTTCCCGTTACCTTTTCCCGTTACCATTTAAAACAAAGTGTTAATGCCACATGAATTACCACAACATTTGTCCATTACTGTTTACAGCAACATCTCACGTTACTTACCCACATATTGTGCGCGTAACTATTTACAACAAGACCTCTGATACAGTCACATATTTACCCAACCATTGTTTTGTTGCTATTTACACAACAAGAACCCTGATATAGTCACATACATAAAAAATACAAATTGCCATAGGAAGACCTCTTGCTCTCACATGCTTGTTACTATATACAGGAATACCTCTTTTACTGTCATATAACTTACCCACACATGCTTCTTACTATTTACATGAAGACCTCTGATACTGTTGCATAACTTACCCACACATTGTCCGTCATTATTTACAGCAAGACCATTGTGACAGTCACATACAAAGGTCCCATTAGTGTCAAGACAAGTCGTCGTTTTGGAAGGGCAATTGTCCAGACCAAGATCACATTCGTTAATATTGTCCGCGCAGGTGGTTCCATTCCATCCACTCTTACATGTGCATTGCCCGTTCATTTTGTCACAAGAGATCGTATTTTGGACTTCACATGCACAAGCTTCGCTGCAATTCCTTCCATAAAATCCAACATCGCATTCTAAACATAAAACAATAAAGGTAAACTTTAATACAATATTTTAGGTTGATAATTCAACTATGAGAAACAAAAGAGTTTGATTCAGCAAACAAGATAACAAAACTTATTTGATATCTTAAATCGAGTTAAAGAACACCAGCTGTATCAATTATCAACAAGACATAATACACTTTCACGCAGTTTTATTCTTATCAATACACATCAATAATAACACATTGGTTGATATAGGATAATGGATCTTTGTAAGGAAAGTGATGCTGTACCTTAACCTTCTCGTTCAATGAAGAAAGGCCTTTTACTAAAGACTTTACAATTTGTTGGAAACACAGAAAAAAAAAGAAAAGGAAAAAACCGAACCTGTACAGGTGGCGCCATCTGACTGAAGCCTGTATCCGAAGGAGCAGGAACATTGGAATCCAGGGGTCAAATCGGTACAGTTTTGTGAACAAGGATTATCGGCACATTCGTTGACATCTAGTAAAGTAAAAGACAATGACCACCCACATGACTACTGAAAGAACTTCCATAACAGTATCTTTTCCTTTTTGCTCCTTTTTCGGAAATTTTGAGATAATCAGTTTTATATCGAATAATCACATTGTTATGAATGGAGAAGTATTCCTCCCACATTTTTTTATGTCGTCCAGAACATATGAATAAATAAGACATGTTATTATGGTAATGCTGTAAAAATATATGATAATTTCAAAAACTATATTAATATCTCATACCGTTTTTATACTCAAAAGCTTACCTTTTTGATTAACAATCATGTAAGTAAATATAATACAATTATTCGTTAACGTTTTAATATGGTCATACTTTCTTGTTTGTACTTAATATATTGCAATAGATAGTATTGAAAGATAGTGTGATACTCACTGTTACACGTGACATTGTCGCCAGCCAATGCATAACCAGGTTCACACGAGCAGTATTGTCTCCCATTACTGCCTATTGCACATGACTGACTGCAGGTCGAGTTAGTACACGTGACCTTAGCTAAATAACCAAAATGAAAACAACAACGTGGATTTAGCACATGGTAGAAAGTTTGCTGAACGTCCAAATCCATATAACGGAAATTTTGTTTCATAATGGAATTTAAGAGACACATTATGAATTCGGGAAAATTCTTTTTTTTTTCAGATAATAGACTTAAGAATAAGTACACATGGTTGACGTTGATAATAAGGTATGTATGTGATTTAATTCAATGCAGTGGTTATAGATTTCTACCCTTTATACATAGTTCAAGACTACAATATCAATGACAATGGTAAGCAATAAAACATTGTTTTTAATTCAGAATATTTTATTGATTTAAACAGTCAATAGGATAAGACAGCAGGTTAGAGCCTGGGACAACATGGTGTACAGACATAAACATAATACACCATAAATACACACACACACACACACACACACACACACACACACACACACACACACACACACACATGCATACATACAAACAAACAAACATACATACATACATTACATACATACAAACCTAACATTACATACATACAATAAAACTTTAAAAATATTTTCTATCAACATCTCCGATAATGACGGCATCTTAATTATAGCAAGTCAATGCCATGTTGATGTCAACAAAATACAAAAGGCCGCATCCAAAAATTAAATAGTAAAATTTACAATAGATACCTATGCATTTTTTACGGTTGATGAGATCGAGGTCATATCCGTCCCGACAAGAACACCGGTAACTGCCGATGGAGTTGGAGCAGAAATGGTCACATCCGTCTTGGTGTATGGCGCACTCGTCGATGTCTGTATAAGTCGAACCAGTTGGAATTATCATGCCATTTATAGATACCAATGTCAGCAAACGTCTCATTTCAGATTTCAGGGTCAATTAATCTGTGTTTTTGTCATAAAATTCTTGGAGAAACCTGTGGTGTTTATATGAAGTAATCCCTAAAATATTTGGCCTAGTTTCATGTGATGAGTGGTGTACATTACTGTTTTGCATGCCTGAAGTTAAATTTTCGTATGTTTGTGTAATAAAGATATTCCAATATAATATATTTTTAAGCTTCCTGTTCCAAAAGTTAATTTCTATGAACAAAAATAGACATAATTAACATTCCCAAGTTAATGGTACTTCTTTTCTCCCCGTTATGCGCCAAGATTTCATCAAAGGAACACCAACTGGAGTAAGTTTCAATTTTGATTATTTAAAATGAATACTTAATTGTATCATATACGGTATTGATATTTCCTATTCTTTTGAATCAGATAAAAAACATTTTTTTTTATAAAACCCACTGAATTTTATGTATCTAATTACTAGTATCTTCAGTGGAAACGATATATGAAATCATTTGATTTATTAAAGTCAATAATGCTGAAATCAGCCATGTGGCTGAATATTTTCACCTTTGCAACATGCATTTGTGATATAAATATGCTTGGAAAGTTGATGAGTGAGAGTATATCATACCGGTACAAGTATCCGTGCCCTTGAATCCAGAAAAACAAGAACAGGTGTAGCTGCCCGGCGTGTTGGTACAGTCCTGAGTACATACATTTGTAGTGTTACATTCGTTGATGTCTGGAGAGTAAATTAATATAACTTAAACATCTATATCAAACATATCTCTTTGTACTATAAAATTCCAATGATATAATCTAATACAGTCTAAGACTGATTAAATCGTCAAAAATCATGACATATTTTTGTTTGCAAAATCTATCTAGGAATTACCAACCTTGACAGGTGCCTGTTACGTTGGAGTATCCAGTAACACAACGACACATGTATGACCCCTGGATATTCATACACTCTTCATTGATTCCTGGACATCGGTTTCCTATCAGACACTCATTGACATCGTCCGTACATTGAGGTCCTGTCCATCCGTCCTTACACACACAACCGGTCACACTGTCACAGTAAGTAGTACCGGCAGGACCACAGTGACAAATGTTTGCACATCCTTGCCCCCAATGTTCAGAATCACACGCTGTTTTTAAAACAGAACACCATCCCATCAATAACTAGTGATTAACTGTTCTCCTTTATTCTATCGTACATTTTATACACTCGCTTTTAATGAATAACTTAAACATTTTAATCAAGCAACATGTGTAAATGAAAGCTGTTTTTACTGTTTTCCTAAAATTTTATGTCCACAAGACTTCAATATCTATCTTACCTGCACATGTGCGGCCATCATTTTCCAGACGGTATCCGACAGCACAGGAACAGGTGTATCCTCCAGGATTATTGCTACAGTCCTGATTACACAGATCCAGTCCTGCTGTACATTCATTTACATCTGTGTATGGAATGCATAATTACTGAGTGTGGCATGCCAAAACAATGTGCCGTGAGTCAATAAGTAAAGTTATGTCATATTAAATCAAGATATATTATCAGGTATATAATAACATACTTTCCTGATATTTTTTTTCTTATTTCGAGTATTTCCTTTTTTCTGATTAAACATAATCGATCAAAAGGATTTAGAATATGCTTAGTGGTTCAAATTTTAAGCATGTATTTGATATTCTACCGAAATTATTAGACATATGAAAATTACAAGATTAATTGAAAAAGCTCATCCCGATCTCTCTTTTGACATCACTGAGAGTGTTATATGGAAGAAACAACAGTACATGCATATATAATGTAGTTTAAATCAAGTTTACATTATTATTTGGCTCTCTTTATTATTTTTTTTTTATCAAATTCTAATTTCATCGAGGGTGCAATTTACTGATGTGTATTTGAATGGAAGATTTTTAGAAGTAAACTCAATATACAGGCTCCAAATCCTACAATGTATTTTTCTGAGAGAAAATGTACAATTATCTTACGCTTTCTAAATAATATGTCTAATCTTCTCAAACAGAAAAAAATAACAGTGGCAGTTTCCAACAAAGTTGTATGATAAATGTGTTTATCTATTTTTTTATTACGAATTATCCATTTATAGATAGAAAAGTACCTGCTTCCCTAACCTATAGTATTTTTACTTTTGTTTGGTAGGGAAGGGGCTGTTTCGAATATTATGATTTTGCATAAGATGTCAACAGACGACAGAAAAACTCTCAACATTGGGTATCAAGAAATGCACAATGATGAAGATTATTTAGTCAGAGTGATCTTATTGGGAGGTAATATAGTTCCTCCTCGTACGACCAACCCACCAATAATGACGTTGAGTAGCATTTAATAATCAAAAGTAAATAATAGCCATATAAATCTAGTTGACAAACCTTCGCATGTTTGTTGATCCGAGGTCAGTTGGTATCCATTTGGACAATAACATTCTGGATTACTTCCATTTAAACGACAGGCATAACTACAAGTTAGTCCAGAGAATGCCGCACACGTATCAGAGACTGAAATGGAGTGATTAATCTTACTAAACCAGTTATATAAGTAAACATATGTTACATAAGACAAATGATGAGAGTGAACAAAATATTAAGATAACATATTACTACAACAAGAACCAAGTTGACATGGTCTTAATTTAGTAATGTTTCATTGTGATATCAAATAGCACTTTAACACAATTTCATATTGGCTTTTTATCATACACATTACTATAATTATTATACCAAATCCCGTCCTTGAAAAGATGCGTTCAATGTAGAGTGATCCCTGTTTAATAGAGTTTACTGTGGAACGATGGTCAGATGAAACATACATTCGGAACTTGGTAACAATGGTCGTTTTCATAAGAAATAGCATGAGATTATACTTATGTAAACAAAAATATGGATTATTACGGAGTCCGATTAGTATAATGATGTGCTGTACCTTTGACACAAGTCTTCCTATCGGACGCCAGCTGGAAGCCATCCTCACAGAAACAGTTATAGCTTCCGTCTACATCCTTACAAATCTGAGTGCAGCCATGTGTGCCTATTGCGCATTCGTCTATGTCTGAATAAGAAAATAGGGAAATTCGCAATTGAAAAATATTTTTTCGGTAATGCTGTGTATAGTGTCTGTGAAGATTTATTGAAGGAAAGCTTTCAGATATTCGTTTCACTTTCTCGTCTTAAATGATAGTTATGAATGTATGTAAGGTATATAATTATACTGACAATGACACTTGTTAATATACTGAGAGTCAAAAGAGCCTTCCTTAATATTGCCCTACCTACCGCTAGCCTTTCGTGAAGCTTCATGACATACCTCATAATGTGCACCGATAAACCTTTCACGCATTTCATGCTTCAAAACCTTGATTCAGGTATCGGACAAAAATTGTCTGATATACACTTTACCACCCAGATAGGTGTCAATGTGTTTTTCGACCGTTGTAGTGAATTTGATGTAGACAACAGCACAGTGACCAATTATGGCAGCGTTATGGTGTAGTTGAGATCTGTCCACTATTGTAACGTCGTTCTCCATAATCGAATGCAAACTTAACAAATTCTAAAGTTATGAGTATTCATTATTCAACTTATGAATTTTCCGCCTCTTCACTTTGGACTCCCTCCTACCAAATTGATTATCACCTAGCGCTTAAAAAATGACTTCATCGTTACTCAAATGGAAGTTCTGAGTTAAATATTATTTCAAATAATACAAGAAATAGGAGGTTGCGATTCTTTTTCGTGCCTGTATTTATACATCACATTTATTTTTTCACAAGTCATGCCCATTCTCGTTTTTATAACGTTACTTACTTTTACAAAGGTTGGACCTATCGTTGACATAGCCTGTAAGGCACTGACATGTGAATCCCCCATCATTATCTTCACACACAGAGTTCGATGGGCAGTTATGTGTTTCTAGCTGACATTCGTTTATATCTGTAAGGAACACATAATGTAGTAGTGATCTGAAATATTTCAAACATTGCTTTGTGCACAAAATGAAAGGTAGTATGAGAGAAGTACCAAGATAAACGCAATTATGTTATATAATTATTGTTGACGTGTATAGTAGTATATGTAGACGGGACTCAGCGTTACTTTCTTTTTGGAAGTGATGGCTTTCTTTTCATTTTAGCTGTAATATATTTTTCATGTAAAGATATTACTTTGCCATTTTTGACATGCATTTTGTTCATTCATTGCTGTACACAGATAACTATAATGATTGATACTCATACTGGCTTATCTGACAAAATCCACATTTTCATTATGGGATGTACATGTCATGCATAGTTAAAGCTAAATGACTTACTGACACACGTGGTGTTGATTTTCTCATATCCACTGTAACAATTACACCTATAGAACCCATTGATGTTTTCGCACGTTTTGTCCGCCCCACAGATAAGTGGCTCATTTTTACACTCATTGATATCGTTGTTGCACTCGGGTCCAGTCCATCCTGACTTACAAACACATCCCGTCGCTGCATCACATTCAGACGCCCCTTCTCCACATGCACAGGTATTGGCACAATTTCGACCCCAATACGGGTAGTCACAGGCTAGATTAAAATGAAAACGCAAATTGTTAGGTCGATTTCAAGAGTATTTGTTAGTTTCATTAAATATATCAACAATACCATTCTTCATTTTCTCTACATCAAGTCAAGAAACATATACCTTTACAAGATGTTTTGTCTGGATCCAGAGAGTAACCTGGCAAACAACTGCACTCGTAACTTCCGATGTTGTTTGAACATTCCTGCTGACATATGTTTCTTTCACATTCATTAATATCTGAAGAAAAGCATATTAATATTTAGTGTTCTTTCCAATTAACATGTCAGAAGAATCTATTATATAAACATAGTTAATCATTTTGTTTTCTCAGAGATGTCAATATGTCTTCTTTAAAAACATACTCGTTGATGTCTCGTAACGCCATCTTTTTCAATGAATGTGACATATAGCATTTCGAACCAATGTTTGCCAAGTGTTAAAGCTATTTTAACTTTGATCAAAATTGATCATATTACATACATACAGGAGGCTCAGAAAGTATATAATTTCCTGAGTTACTATACAGTACAAACATAACTTGCAATGGCTCTTACCAACACAATTTTTTCTGGAAGCATCAAGTTCGTAGCCTCCAGGACATTCACATTCGAGATTTCCACTATCAGTGTTGTTAGAGCAGGCATAAGAACAGTTAAGGTCTTGGCAAACATCAACCACTGTAAAGAAAGGACAAAAAGGAATTGCTTAAAAGTCAGCAAAATTATAATTGATCAGACAATTACTATCGGATAACATTATTTCAAAACAAAAATATGACTTTATGTTTCACAATCATCCTTATACACTTTGTACCTAACAATCTATAAGTTTTGGTGTCTTGTGTAACTTGACAATGCATATGGAAAAATAATATCAATTAAAAAAACAGCTATTGTTTTCTGAAATATCTTATATAATTACTCTAATACTACGGTCGTAAACGTGTACTCAATTGTTTAAAATCTGTGTGATACTGTAACCATGCATTATTACATTTGTTCTCGTCGTTAATAATAGCAGTTGTCAGTTTCAGTTACATTTATATTAAGAATACATTTGCTAACTTTTCAACACTGTTGACCTACACTCATGTTATACAGAATATACTTGCCTTTGCTACAAGATCGTTCATCCGCTTGTATTTGGTAACCGAAGAAACAACCACAGGTGAAGCTACCCTCGTTGTTGTTGCACATTTGTTCACACCCATCCGTATCTTCGATACATTCGTTGATGTCTAAAGTTGTACAATGATACAAAGTCATTCAAACATTTCACACTTCATTTTGAGACGACAGCCTTTCCGCATTTACAAGCAAGGGTCTGCCGCTCGCAACATAGTTAACTTCTAATTTTAAGATGTTGATATTTTCAATCTCTACATGTGAATGTGAAATCAAGTCTAAAATCTTGTACGACATGATCTTGTTTATGTTGTAAATCTGTAAAATTGTGAACCTGTGATCATACTTGTCCTATCATTTTCTGTTATCATTTGAATATACATACCAGTACAAACACCTTGGAGTTCCCGATAACCAGGAAGACAGCTACACATAAAGCTCCCTTCCGTGTTGGTGCAGTTTTGGTTGCACATATTTACACTGGCATTCAGACACTCGTCAATGTCTGTAAACAATTTCATATGTAAATCAATTTCAAGTGAAGCAATTTCTGTTAGACACTTTTCTACAATAAATATAATATTTAAGCTATACTGTACCAGAAATATATACTAAGTTTGATGAAATCAAGAAAGAAATTGGAAATTTTAATTGCTTAAATTCCGGATACATAAGCAAAAAAATAATATGGTTTGCATGATTAATTTCGATTCCGACATATTAAGAGTTGATGTATACTTGTTATAAAGAGTAAAAAACCCAATTTCTGCGATTGCTCTTACCTTTGCATAAGCTCCCTACCGCTTCGAAACCAGCTGGACAATCGGAGCAGATAAATGGCGCTCCGTACATTACTTCCTCCTGCGGGGACAGGTCGGTACAGTTCCGGCGGACAGAACACGGGCTACCCGCACACCCGTCCACCTCCTGACTACAGTTTGCACCTTCATCATACGTGAGCGAATTATGGATTAATACAGCGATAATTAAAAAAAACAAGATCAGTGGATTATAAAATATTATATTTATCCTATTCGACACAGAAGTAAAATTGCATTCAAAAATATTGATATAAATGCCTATTCGACTTTGGATGTTTCAAGCTATCCAAGTCTATTTGCATTCATAGCACTAAAACTGCAATAAGCTGTGATATTTCTATACTAGCCCGTTGATATAATTATATTGCATTTCATATAACTTATCATTGTTTTGACACTTTCGAGATTTCTATTCAATTTCTCGATAAATGGCTTATCTGTCAGTTATTAGAATATACCAAATACCTTTATCAAGAACTGTGATTTAAGGCAATTAATATTGCTATGGAATTAAACATTTATTTAATCGTGTATAATCTGTTATGAAAAGGAATGATTCAACTGGATGTTCTTATCTATATTATATTGGCTACACGTGTATTTCGCTAACTCTTGATTTCGTGGATGAAGATAGCTCAATAAACCTACTTATTCTAATTTCTACAGTTTGTTGACATATGCATGTGCAGATTAAGAATGGTCAGGAAATCAATGAAAATATATCCCCCCAAAAATTAATGTTTTCACAGTATTTGAATGTTTCTATATAATATCCAAACTAACAAATGTTTTGGTATGGCTTCATACGATCTAATCTTTTATGTTCCACTTTAAAGATCAGTTTGGAAGTAAAGCTTTACGTACATATACAAAACAGCAAATTTTTGAAATCAAAAATACAATATTCCGCATTTTTGTCAATCGCTATATTGACATCTCAAATATATTTTGTTTTTTTAAATCAATATTCTGCTGAACTAATATGTTGTTGAAGTTGATGAGCAATAGTGGTCATGCGAGTAATGCCATTCAACTTAAGTGAAATAAGTTAATATTATTTATGATCTGACATCTTTCATTCCTGTTTGGTAGATTTATATGAGAGAAAATATTATATACATATTCCAAATATAATCATAGCATTAAGTAAATGAGTAAGTATATGAAACATGCCAAGTGGTAAATGTCTCCATTAAAACTCTGATGTTGGTAACATCTTAGATGAATTAGGAAGTAATGTTGGTAAGTGTAGATAAGCTGTAAACATGGGAAGAAATGCTGTAATATTGTAGACAATGTAAAAATATTATTTGCATGCCTACCTATATATTACTACATTTCATATTTCATTGTTCATAATCTAAATGTGAAACAAACGAACATGTTTTACGACTACACAAAAATATCGGATGTACCTTTATTTGTTCTTTGCAGCTAAAAATAAATTAGCAGGCAAAATATGACTTTTCGAATGCATAAATGCATGTATGCTTTCTTACATTTTTGCTCTTTTCATAAAAAAAAAAAAAACAAAAACAAAAACAAACAAAACTCTACATCGGTACGTACCTTCATAGCCAATATTGCAGTCACATGTGGCGTACTGAAAGTTATCGTTCGTGGTGGGTATTGTCTGGGTGTAGTTACACGTGCCATTGCCACTACACCCCGGACAGAGGATGATTTCCACCTCTAGCGGAGGGGCAGATATATTGTAATTGTCCACAGCTGTCAAACTGAAAGCACACGAATACCATCAAGGTAAACAACGACAATAATAAAAATATTTGCTTAATTCATATTAGTTAAAAAATAAAAGTGATTAAAAATGTCTAAATTTGAATCAACGTTATTATGAATTAACAACATTTCCGCGTTATTTATGAATTAACAACATTTCCGCGTTAGTTTAAAAAACGATGATGTTGACAGCGAACATTGTGAATGTGGAAAAAATAGTAACATTTACACAATCGATATAATAGCCTCAACATCGTAATGATCTGAGAGTGACAACAAAATATGTCAAATACTTAGCATATGTCGGAAGCTGATGTCACCAGCGCAACATGTGTATAAAGGGTGCAAACAAATGTTGATATCAACTGAGTACTCACTCCTTTTATCAACATAATTGATATTTGGTAAGTAAATTTAATCAAAATTAGTATCGGCGTTTCTTGTTAGTGAATGTTACATGGTTCCATTCACGATATTTCCTACCTAATGGACACTATATCAGTGTTTTCAGGAGTCCAGCTTACAAGCCCGGAAGTGTTGTCAAAACTGAAGTTGGCAACTGGTTGATTGATGATACTGTAAGGAAAATAATTATTTGGGTTTTAATACATCAACAAAATAGGGACATTTGACTGTTAAGAATGCTTACAATCTGACTTCTATAACCCTTGAAAAATAAAAATAAATCTGGAATTTTAGACAATTTCACCATAAAATTCTACATACACGAAAGATGGGGTGTCGGCGGGATCCGCATCGGAAGCTGTGACCGTGAAACTTGATAGTTTGCCGACCTCCGCAATCAGCGATGTGGTACCATTTACTACCGGCGGTGTGTTTCCTGTTACAAGCAATGCATTCAGTTATACATGTATATCAATACTGATAATTTCGGCCCCGACATCAGCGACAAGTCGAAGGTAGAAAGAACTGTATGATGCAGTTTTATTATTTGGCTCTACTGTATCTAATTCTAAATTTGTATTACAGCATGTTAATAAATTGTGTGCCTTTTGTACAAACTGTCCCTAGTATTTATATTATTTACTAATTCCACTTCAATTGAAATCCAATGGGACATTACGATTTACCCTTACTGTCGATATGTAATACCTACCCAAGATGTTGAGAGTATCTTCAGCCTCTGTCTCAATGTTTTTAGATACCATGGCAACATTTTGGTCATTCGTCACTAAATAGTCATAAATACATGCGTCGCTTTGGCTGCCACAAACCCGCTTGGCCTCCTCTATTTGGCTGGAATTAAAGTCCACTTGGAAAGCTGGTACAAACGAAGGATCGTTAAAAGTCGAAAATGTCTTTCCGAAATAGTCGAAACAAGACGTGGTCTCGTTAACAGCCCCTAAATGTGAAAAGAAATATATATTTAGTTGTTTGTGCGATCATTCTGGAAAAAAAGACGTCCTCGAAATTCTTCATGAAAGGAGTAGATCAGAACATTCTTAGTCGAGATAGGAAGAAAGAAAAACTGATGTAAGACAAAGATACAGCTTTCTCCTATTAGGGCTGTTAATGTTTACAAATTAAAATGAATGATGTTTATATACCCGTGTTTTTGTGCATTTCTATTCTGATGTTAACTGACAAAATGCCTGTGATGTATTTTCTGTCAGAACAAGTAAAAATGTTACTGATCCTTCTATCTACGATATGTTCGATACAGCGATATGAGAGAGATACACTTTTCCGGTCTACGATCTCCTTGATGTTAAGACCTGATACATTATGTGAGAGATATTCTTCTCTGGTCTACGTTCTGCTCAGCTGACTAGGCCCGATACATTATGTGAGAGATATTCTTCTCTGGTCTACGTTCTGCTCAGCTGACTAGGCCCGATACATTATGTGAGAGATATGACCCTTCGGTCTGCAATCTGAATGATTGGCAAAGTCTTTACAGACAGAGGTTCTCCACACCTAACAACGGATGAGATATTTATAACTCAGCGGTCAGTTTCCTTGGCATCTCGGCTTATTAAAGATAATTAGTATAACCGGGTTGAGAGGCGATCGCTGCCCATGCAACCCTTCTTGTGTTGATCATTCTCATGCGAGAAAAGAAGTGAGCTCACAGTACTAAATAACTGTGCATTTCTCATTAAAAGACAATCGGTCGTTTGAGATTTGTAAATATAATTATCACAAATAATTAGCCGGTCCTAACACGTGTACGTCGCCGTACACCTGTGGTAAAAATGATGAAGGGTTGCATTTCATATTGGCCTTGACCATTACATGTGTCGACATCGTCAATAACATACATATGCCCACATTAAACGTGAAATTGACCTCATGCCTATCACCTAATTGATAGATATTTGAAAACCCGTGGAATTTAAGCACCACAAAAATGTTTGCTTTTACAGTAGTGTCTTATACTATCTTTGATGTTTTTACCTTTACAGAATAAAACACTGATAATTTTTTTTTCTGACGCAGGTTCCAGTCACATTTGTTGTCCTTTACAAACTGTTCTGTATTAACCGGCCATTAAGAATATACTAAAACTGATAATAATAGGAAAAGTATTTGCATGGCTTAACACTATAAATACAAAATTACAAAAAGGAAACATTATGAGAAATGTACAAAAAGACGCATTTCAATGAACAAAGTAGATAAAAGGAATGCTGACAGATAACAAAAAGGTCAATTCAGCAAAAATGAATGAATCATGTCTTTGATAGTGTAAATAATAATAATATTTGGCTTCAACGTCAACATCAATACCATAACATGACTCAAATCACTTATCAATACTTACATGTTTGACCGTAATCGAAAATCTCCTTCTCAGTCATGTTAACGTTAGGAAGAATTGTGCCGTTTGGAAAGATAAAATCGTCGTTGGGGTTACCATTGAAGTTTCCCAGTAACCCAGTCAACGAGCCTCTAAAGCCTTCGGGGATGGAAGGCGAAATGGACAACATCCGTGCGCTCACTTGGAAGCGCAATGAAATGTCTTTAACAGAAATGAAATAAAGGATACGTTAATGTTGTTAATAAATGAAAATAGATATGTATAAATATAACAAAAAAAAAAAAAAAAAAGAAAGAAAGAAAAGAGCAAGGACAAGAGAGACGATCTTTGATAAATTACTAAAAATCAACTAAAAGCCAACACGACAACTTTACATTTAAATACGAATTCGCACAAAATAAATATATCTGATTCCTCGTGTCAATTAGTTAATTATTATGACAAATTAATTTGATAAAAGATAAGATATAATGTTTATACCGTAGGATTGATGTAAACTTTTCGTATTGGACAATGACTTCATGCTCGTATATATATACATATATATAGATTAGACATTACCCGTGAAACATCATATAGTTATCTTTGGTTTCGCTAATGTTTTGTTAAACTTACCGGAGTTGATGAGTCCCAGGAAAAGAGTATCCTCAAGTCGCACTGCATTAATCTGATTTTTAACAATGGTACTGAAATTTGTGTTGTTATAGAAAGGAAAAGTGAAGTCCCGTCCATCCAAATATATTTCCATAGCTACAAAATATAAAAATGACGAGTCATTGAAACTTTGTCTTGTTTTCGTTGGACAGCGTAGGTATATCACGAGGTCTAGGGAATAGGGATGTCTCGAGATGATGTGAGATCGAAGGCACAGGACTGTCACAGTGTCATGGGTTTTAGGGAATAATTCTGTACCGGTTCTAATGTTCCGGACTGTCGCGAGCGAGGTTAAGGGCAAGTAGCAGTCAAGTCTGACGTGAGGTCAATGGCATAGGACTGTTCCGATCTGTTGTGAGGTCAAGGGCATAGGACTGTTCCGATCTGTTGTGAGGTCAAGGGCAAAGGACTGCTGAGATCTGTCGTGAGGGTCATGGCATAATACTGTTCCGATCTGTCGTGAGGTCAAGAAACTTAGAGCTGTTTGGATCTGTAATTAGTGGAAAAGCATAGTACTGTTCCGATCTGTCATGAGGTTAAAAGAATAGGACTGTTCCGATCTGTCGTACGGTCTAGAGCGTGGGACTTTTCCAGTCTGTGGTGAGGTAAAAGGCTGAGGCCTGTGTTGCTATGTCGTGAGGTCTAGGACTTGGGACTGTTCCAGACTATTGTAAGGCCTTAGGGTTGTTGGAGTCTCGGTTTGGCGCGAGGTCTGGGACGTAAGCATCTCAAATTGTTGTGAAGTCTAGGGAGTAAAACGGTCTGTCTGGAGGATATGATAGTAGCAGTCCACTGTGAAGTCTTTGTTTTGCTTTCATGATCAGTCCCTATCTTTCAGTATACGTTTTTTACTATAGTGACGTAAGATTTATATATCAACAGTGAATGCATACCCTGCATTGAATAAAGGTAACGAAGATATGATTTTTAAAATGATTCAGAAACTCTGAAAAAAATAATCACGAACGAAATGAAAGGAAAGTACGCAGTTAAACGAGTGAGGTCTTACTTGTTTTATCTTGGGATAGCTGCACCTGGAACGAAACGTTGGCGTTGAAATCTTTGCCGGCAAACGCCGTGAAAACTGTTGCTCTGAGGTCTGTTCCATTTTCTGACGTGGCCTGTCCAGTGCGAGCCTGCAGTTCCAGACTATGGTTCCCGTTGCTGACTTTGAGCATAATATACTCTCCTTTACCATTGAATGTGAATGTTTTCCCATCCAGAGAGGTGAAATGAGGATCCCCGTACATGAAACCTGGACGTTAACAATTTAGTAATTATTCGTATGGCCTCTATAGTTGTAAATTTGTGTTGAACTATTATACAATATGCAAGTATTTGGCAGCACTTGTGAACCTATGACTAAACGTTTCAAATCTAAAAACACTGTTTCCAGCCATAGGTCGAAACGGTTGTACACGGTCAATAAGAAAACTATAATTATTTCTATTTTCTTTCACTTTTCTGCTTCTTCAAGAAATCTTATGGAAGCATAGTCTTCATTGAGCAGTGGATCTAAACACGCCAATATTTCTTGAATATACGTTTACTTCAAAAGATACATAACCCAGACTCTACTAACGACAGTGCTGACAGTGCTTTTTAACATATATTTTCTTCATTTTTACTAGACGATCTGTCCCGTTTCAAACATTGAAAATGAAAACGGACAGAAGTGGCTGGACTTATTTCCACTACTATTCCGCTCACTAAACAAAAGCATAGTGTAAAATAGACCAAAAAACACCATGAATACAAAATGTAAAAGTATGCTTGAGTACATATCATAAATTCGTGTGGTATTCGCTATTAAATGAAAATGATGACAATTAAAAACGTCCTTCTCTTGTTCCATTTTACTTAGAAGAATTTCAAATAGAACATATCATGCATATTGTAATATGTTTATCTCGGCCATGACTTACCAACAATTAAGAGAACGACGACCCGACACTGCTTTGTGATTGGCCGAAGTCTCCGCCAATAGCGACAGCCGTTCGTTTCTGTACAGCACTGTCTTCTGGGAATGTTATCTTGGGCATCGAAGCCAGGCAATAGCGGATGTCTCGCAAGGAAACGAGACTCTTCTCGAATTAAAAATCCGAACTGGCTGGTGTAGCAACATTCCTAGAGATACAAATGTTATTAAATCATTCTTATATTCTTAACGGCTCATCAACGCACAAATGGACATCAGAATCAACAAATGGTGATTGCATTAACATACAATTTTTGTGTGTCACAATGTTCAATAAGAACCTATTTATATATATATAGTTGTATTTAGCAAGGTACATATATTGTATGAAAGGGTTCTGGAAATTATTAAGAATTTGGCATAAATTTTCATAATTTCCGCGCCGAAGTCAGATGAAGAATTCGTTATTTGGAAAAATTCTTATTCTAATGCCGTAAAGATCTTAGCTTAAGTATACTGGATATGAGATTTCAATGAAATCGCAGAATACATTCAATATATTAACATGTGGCACCGGGTCGAAATATTTAAAGATTGTAAAAAAAAAACCACACAAGTGAATAAAATCTTTAAATACAAATTTAGAGTTAGATACAGTGGAGCCAAATTACGACTTAAACTGCATCCTACAGCTGTTTCGTCATTCTCGTAAGTGATGTTAAGGGCCTGTGTAGCCATAGATTACTTTTACGCGTCCACTGTAAGACTACTGACTTATTACCACCAAAGGCCAGTTTTACTTACTCTGGTCGACGGAAAGATACTCGTTAATAACCCGGACACACAGTACATTCCATCTCGGATGTAGGCAGGTAGAACTGAAAACCGCCAGTCCAAGATTCGCGTTAAGAAATCACAGGGACACATCGTGGTGGCGTCAGGAACGAAATTGGCGAATGGATCTGGGTTTTCCACAGTTCCAGCAAGATTGCCACTGTACCAGTTCAGACATTCTAAAAGTGGAGTTGTGCCTTGGGCATCAGATGGAGTTATCTCGTAGAAGTAGAACCCAGAAAGATCTGAAATAGAAATTACAATCCTGTGAGGGTCATAAATTTAAATCGTACATGAGGACCTGAAATGCTAGTCTCAAGTGATATACTTGTATAATAATGGTCTTTTTTTCTTTTACTGATCTTTCTGAGTCATACAATACTTACACTGATTTCTGGAGGTCATACTAAACTTTCACTGGTTTCTCTACCCTAATATTTTTATCATTAAAAAAAATATACTACAAACTCTGGTTTCCTCAAGTAATACTACAAACACCGGTTTCCTCCGGTAATAATACAAACACTGGTTTCCTCAAGTAATACTACAAACACCGGTTTCCTCCGGTAATACTACAAACACTGGTTTCCTCCGGTAATACTACAAACACTGGTTTCCTCAAGTAATACTACAAACACTGGTTTCCTCCGGTAATACTACAAACACTGGTTTCCTCCGGTAATACTACAAACACTGGTTTCCTCAAGTAATGCTACAAACATCGGTTTCCTCCAGTAATGCTACAAACACCGGTTTCCTCAAGTAATGCTACAAACACCGGTTTCCTCCAGTAATACTACAAACACTGGTTTCCTCAAGTAATACTACAAACACTGGTTTCCTCTAGTAATACTACAAACACCGGTTTCCTCCAGTAATACTACAAACACCGGTTTCCTCCAGCAATGCTACAATAACACGTGTCGCTCTCCATTGATGCACACTACCAATGGTTTTCTTCAGACCATGATTCATTAAGACTATGATTCACCTCACAGTTATATTGTTTTTTCTATCTACATTGCACTTGCACTGGTTTACTTTACTAACACTTTTAAATATCACTTGTTTCTCTGACCCACGCCAAAGATTCACTATTTATATGCTAATCTCTCACTTGTCTTTCCACGTCATGCTATACTCTACAAAATCACTTTTTAATTCAAAAGTTCCATCCTTAGAATCGTCAAATTTTGTAAAAATGTAGTTAAACAACATGTCAACATAATCATAATCCAAATTCAACAAAGAGGAAAGTTTTAAATAAACTGATATATAGTCACCAAACAAGTTTCATGTCAGGGCGATATATAGGGGAATATCCCTACTCTCGACAGATTTTAAGGAAGCGTTTAATTCTGTTTCATGGGTGTTTATTGAAAAGATATTGAATCATTTTAATTTTGGAAATGATATCAATAGATGGTTTAAGACGCTTCATTATAAGGTTTGTTTATCAATAAATAAGGATGGTAATATCTCAGTTCCTATCAACATTCAAGGCGACCCAAAGACGATATTGCTGCAAAATTGAAGAAATGAAAATATTTAGACGATCCAAGTGGAAAATGTGCCTGTTTTGAATTTACAGTATGCCGATGACGCTGGCTTAGTGCTAGATGGTTCTCAAATAACTTGAAGGGAGTCTGTTAATGAAGTAAATGGTTTTTCAAAGATCTTGGCTTAACACCAATGTTGACGAGACAAATACACTACAAGAATTTCTTGATCTATGAAGAGTTAGCACAAACTTTCTTCAATACCATGACTTAGTATCGGCTAAGGTTCAAAAGACATCTACCAATGTCTCATTACACCAGAACCAGTGCCAACAGGTATGAACAAATGGGAGAACTCTTTTTTATTTAGTTAAAAAGGGGAACAAAGATGTTTGAAATTCCCTTTAAAGTCTCAAGTTTCGGGTCAGAATTATACACCATATCCTGGTTACAAACACCTTTCTTTTTAAAATAAAAAATTCTTCTGATTCACTATGTACTTTTTGTAATGATGAACCAGAAACATTAATTCGCTGCTTTTGGGAATGTAGAGAAGTGCAAGGATTATTACAGGAATTTGAAAATTTTTCTATAAAGAATCGTTTCTATTTTGAATCACATCATCATATGCTAGTTCAGTTGATAATGAAATCTTAATTTTTATTTAACATAATATTTTTTGAGCTAGATTTTTCGACAAAGCTTTACATATTGATGCTCTTGTTAATGTTATTAAGGATCATTATATTGTTCAAAAGTTTTCAAACTTTAAAATTGGTGAAAAGAAAAACAAAACTTTTGACATAAATTGGAGGAAGTGGAAGTAATTAATATACTTGTCAGTCTATACGTTTTTCTGTTCATTCACTTTGCATTGCGATTAAATCTGTTTTCTTGTGTATATATTTTTTCCCTTCTCAATCACAACAGTTAAAAAACCTTTCCGCAGAGCTTAACAGTGCACCAAATTTGAGTCAATCCAAGTAGGTAAGGAAGTCACGTTCTTAACTAAGAACAAGGTATACAACAACGGAACCAACAGGCAAACTAACGAGCATCAAACACGTTCAGCTTGACATCCTTTACTAAATTTTGTTTGGGAGATTTCTTCACACATACCCTGATTTCCTCGCCAGACATCCATCTGCGCAGCTGAGCGTTGGAATGAATTCTGATTCTGCTCGATCATTGTTCCCAGTTTGTAGCCGATCGAAATCTGTCTGCCGATTGTTGGTACCATCAAGAAGTTGTTATACACTGTCATATAGTAGGAGTTAATGCCGTTTGTTGTGATAACTGCCTGGAAGGATAATTTCTGGGGACAAAAACAAACATATGTATTTTTATGTCATTAGATAGTTTCGCGTGACTTTAAAGTACTATTATTGTTATGGAAACAATACCATAGTGATAATTTAATTGCCGATGAAATAAAAATAAAAAAAACAACAAAAAAATAGACTGTTGGAATTAATAGACACAATCGAGACGGCCTTCGATAACAGAGACAATTTAGATATAAGTGGTTTAAAAAATACACTTTTGGAAGGGGTAGCACGTGGTTATAGGTAGATAAAACCCGATAAAGGTTAACGTACCAGCTGACGCCGTAAACCTTACTGGAATTACTAAATAAAATGAAAAATTAGTGCAAGAACCGAGAAAAACCAAGATTCCGCGCAATATTTTGACATACGAATAAAGAGTTTGATCGTACTAACAGGAAATGTAAAAAAAATCTATCAAAGGACTCCAAAAGTTGTCAAATGAAAAAAAAAAGATGTATATGTATATATAAATATATATACAAAATAAAGCATGACATATGTTAATAGCATACAGAATAAATCATGACACATGCAAATAGCATACAAAATAAAGCATGACACATGTAAATAGCATACAAAATAAAGCATGACAAGTGTAAATAACATACAGAATAAAGTATGACACATGTAAATATAACACAGAATAAAGCATGACACATGTAAATAACATACAGAATAAAGCATGACAAGTGTAAATAACATACAGAATAAAGTATGACACATGTAAATAGCACACAGAATAAAGCATGACACATGTAAATAGCACACAGAATAAAGCATGACAAGTGTAAATACCACACAGAATAAAGCATGACACATGTAAATAGCACACAGAATAAAGCATGACACATTTAAATAGCACACAGAATAAAGCATGATATATGTAAATAGCACACAGAATAAAGCATGACACATGTAAATAACATACATAATACAGCATGACAAGTGTAAATAACATACAGAATAAAGCATGACACGTGTAAATAACCTAAAGAATAAAGCATGACACATGTAAATAGCACACAGAATAAAGCATGACACATGTAAATAGCACACATCATAAAGCATGACACGTGTAAATAACCTAAAGAATAAAGCATGACACATGTAAATAGCACACAGAATAAAGCATGACACGTGTAAATAACCTAAAGAATAAAGCATGACACATGTAAATAGCACACAGAATAAAGCATGACACATGTAAATAGCACACATCATAAAGCATGACACGTGTAAATAACCTAAAGAATAAAGCATGACACATGTAAATATCACACAGAATAAAGCATGATACATGTAAATAACATACAGAATACAGCATGACACGTGTAAATAACCTAAAGAATAAAGCATGACACATGTAAATAGCACACAGAATAAAGCATGATATATGTAAATAGCACACAGAATAAAGCATGACACATGTAAATAGCACACGGAATAAAGTATGACTCTTATAAATAACATACAGAATACAGCATGACACATGTAAATAACATACAGAATAAAGCATGATGGGTGGTCGGGTGACGCAATAGTAACGCACTCGCCTTTCACCTAGCCGTTCGGAGGTCGACTTATGGACGTGACTTATGAACGAACGTGAAAAGGTATAGAAACGACATGTTTAATGATAATTACTAGAAAATACGGACAAGCATGTCTAGATAGAGAGTAGAAACGATCTGTCTAATGATAATGACCAGAAAATACGGGAAAACGTGACTAGATAGAGAGTAGAAACGGTCTGTTTAATGATAATAACCAGAAAATACGGGAAAACGTGACTAGATAGAGAGTAGAAACGGTCTGTTTAATGATAATAACCAGAAAATACGGGAAAACGTGACTAGATAGAGAGTAGAAACGGTCTGTTTAATGATAATAACCAGAAAATACGGGAAACCGTGACTAGATAGAGTGCAGAAACGATCTGTTTAATGATAATAACCAGAAAATACGGGAAACCGTGACTAGATAGAGAGTAGAAACGGTCTGTTTAATGATAATAACCAGAAAATACGGGAAAACGTGTCTAGATAGAGAGTAGAAACGGTCTGTTTAATGATAATAACCAGAAAATACGGGAAAACGTGTCTAGATAGAGAGTAGAAACGGTCTGTTTAATGATAATAACCAGAAAATACGGGAAACCGTGACTAGATAGAGAGTAGAAACGGTCTGTTTAATGATAATAACCAGAAAATACGGGAAACCGTGACTAGATAGAGAGTAGAAACGGTCTGTTTAATGATAATAACCAGAAAATACGGGAAACCGTGACTAGATAGAGAGTAGAAACGGTCTGTTTAATGATAATAACCAGAAAGTACGGGAAACCGTGACTAGATAGAGAGTAGAAACGGTCTGTTTAATGATAATAACCAGAAAATACGGGAAAACGTGTCTAGATAGAGTGCAGAAACGATCTGTTTAATGATAATTACCAGAAAATACGGGAAAACGTGACTAGATAGAGTGCAGAAACGATCTGTTTAATGATAATTACCAGAAAATGACAACACCGTTTTTGTAAAGATAGATTTCATAGCATAATTTTGCCTAAAGAAAAAAGTCAGTAAATATAAATATCTAATTTTGTGGAGGACGAAAAAGTTTTTCAATTAATTGTGATTTTTACAGTGCCCTCAAATATTTAATTTGTGTTGAAGCGGAATAAAAACATGCAGTAAAATTTGATGTATTTTGAAAAAATATTGAAGTATTTCGTAACAAAATTTTTATATAGATTTAGTAATGAAGTAATGATATAGATATAAGACAGGAGGACAGACTTCATGATTAAGTAATGTTATAGATATAAGACAGGAGGACAGACCTCATGATTAAGTAATGTTATAGATATAAGACAGATGGACAGACGTCATGATTAAGTAATGTTATAGATATAAGACAGATGGACAGACTTCATGATGAAGTAATGATATAGATTTAAGACAGGAGGACAGACGTCATGATTAAGTAATGTTATAGATGTAAGACAGATGGACAGACTTCATGATTAAGTAATGTTATAGATGTAAGACAGATGGACAGACTTCATGATTAAGTAATGTTATAGATATAAGACAGATGGACAGACTTCATGATTAGGTAATGTTATAGATATAAGACAGGCGGACAGACTTCGTGATGAAGTAATGTTTTAGATGTAAGACAGGAGGACAGACCTTGTGATGAAGTAATGTTAACCAAAATATGACATGCAACTTACTAATCTTTTCCTGAGGGTTGAGATTCCCCTATCTCACTTAAAAGGGGATGAATGATCCTTAGCTATACGTTTTCATTTTCACAGTACTTTGCATCGTCGACGTGACATTACAGATATGAAAAGTTTACTAGATAGTTGACACGACAGATGTTATAAATCGAACACATACCGGTATCACAGATTATATAAATATCACTAAGTCAGCATAAACAAAAACAAAACAATAAGTGGTATCATTGACAATATGAAGCTATGCTGAGACATGCGTACCTCGCTGGCTTCAGCAGCTGAAACTTCCGGATGGACATTTAGCCACGTGACTACGAGTGACCAGATGGAAATGTAGTTTGAATGGGCTTTGTACTTTCGTACTATCTGGTCAATGGAATCGAGGTTCTGGTTGAAGAGGGTTAGGTTAGTTTCAGGTCGGATATTGTTCTTATCATAGAGCTGGTAGTAGATTCGGGTATCACTCAGCTGGCCTACATCCATCCAGAAAGGTGCGAACAGGTCAACGTTTAAGGAGAGGGAAGAGAAATCTTCGGGATTCAGCGATACGAAAATTGAATTAAGAGAAATGATGCCATTAGAGTCAATCTGGAAAGAAAAAAACAAATTGTATGGGTTGTTCAACTTATTGTAGCATAAACACAGAAGATATTGATATTCATTTTCTTAAAATCACTTGTTTTATCGCAAGGTAATCCTGACTTTATACAATCTTTTAATGCTTTTATGCGTGGATATTCTAAAGTTGGAAAAAACTGCATATGTGATAAGCCTTTAGTAGTTCCATAGATATAAATATATATTTATAAATTTGTGTTGCTGAAACTTTTATTGCAAAACGGATTGAGAACTTCCAGCCTGTGGGTTGAATAAAAATATCTTTTCATACAAAATTCAAAATTTCCAATCAGACTTGAATGTTAAAGAAAAACCACACTTAGATTATTAATAAAGTAATCTTTAAAAAAAACAAAAAAAAAACAAAAAAAAAAAACCCCAAAAACACGGGAAACTTCGTCACTCTCCGTGAAAATGTACCGTTTATTTTTTACAACAAAGATAAAGATACACGATTTGGTTTAAGGTCATGAAATTTATCGAAAATGTACTACTCATGATATGTTTCAAAACTACTGTATAACACACTTCCTTTGCTTTAAAATAAATTTCAATTAACACCATTCCCACACTGCCGATTAGAATTACATATATATATTTGTTATCTTACGAAGAGTTCTAAAATGTATATTTTGCTTTCATATTGAATACAATTATCTGAACACATAATTGCGAGTCTGTTTGAGGCTGATTTCAGGGCATATTTGTTGATTTTAATTATAATGCAGCAATCTTATGTTGACTTACATAGAAATTGTTAAAATCATTGTCGGTAGTGGCCAACGGTACGGTTGGCGTTACTAAATTAGATGATCCCTCTGCTGTCAATAACGTATCGCCTTCCTCTTGTCCGAATGCAAAGAATCCGGCAGATGTAGCTGGAGAAAAGTTTTAAAAAAATAAAAGCACAAATATTGTGTATACATTCATCACTTAGTTGCAATCAACATGCTTGAAATTAGAAAACACCACTTCCTGATGGCGATACATCTCCTGTCGTGTTGGTCATACCAAAATACCACCCGTCGTGTTGATTATACCAAAACATCACCGTCATGTTGGTCATACCAAAAAATCACCGTCATGTTGGTCATACCAAAACATAACCCGTCGTGTTCGTCATACATAAACATCACCCGTCGAGTTGGTTATACCAAAATATCACCGTCATGTTGGTCATACCAAAATATCATCCGTCGTGTTGGTTATACCAAAATATCATCCGTCGTGTTGGTTATACCAAAATATCACCCGTCGTGATGGTTATACCAAAACATCACCGTCATATTGGTCATACCAAAATATCACCCGTCGTGATGGTCATACCAAAACATCACCGTCATGTTGGTCATACCAAAATATCATCCGTCGTGTTGGTTATACCAAAATATCACCGTCATGTTGGTCATACCAAAATATCATCCGTCGTGTTGGTCATACCAAAATATCATCCGTCGTGTTGGTCACACCAAAATACCACCCGTCTTGTTGGTTATGCCAAAATATCACCCGTCTTGTTGGTCACACCAAAACACCACCCGTCGTGATGGTCATACCAAAATATCACCCGTCGTGTTGGTTATACCAAAATATCACCCGTCTTGTTGGTCACACCAAAACACCACCCGTCGTGATGGTCATACCAAAATATCACCCTCCCGATACGAAAAAACCCATTAAAGCATTACTATAAATTTGTCTAAGGCCATTTGAAAATAATCCCGCTTACATGTTGGTGAAGTTGTAGAAGTTGTTGTAGTAATATCTGCAGTAGTTGTAGGAGCCGTTGTTGTAGTAATATCTGCAGTAGTTGTAGGAGCCGCTGTTGTAGTAATATCTGCAGTAGTTGTAGGAGCCGCTGTTGTAGTAATATCTGCAGTAGTTGTAAGTACCGCTGTTGTAGTAATATCTGCAGTAGTTGTAGGACCGACTGTTGTAGACTCTGTTGGACCAGTAGTAGTTGTAGGACCGGTTGTTGTAGACTCTGTTGGACCAGAAGTAGTTGTAGGACCGGTTGTTGTAGACTCTAGAGGACCAGTAGTAGTTGTAGGACCGGTTGTTGTAGACTCTGTTGGACCAGTAGTAGTTGTAGGACCGGTTGTTGTAGACTCTGTTGGACCAGTAGTAGTTGTAGGACCGGTTGTTGTAGACTCTGTTGGTCCAGTAGTAGTTGTAGGACCGGTTGTTGTAGACTCTGTTGGACCAGTAGTAGTTGTAGGACCGGTTGTTGTAGACTCTGTTGGACCAGTAGTAGTTGTAGGACCGGTTGTTGTAGACTCTGTTGGACCAGTAGTAGTTGTAGGACCGGTTGTTGTAGACTCTGTTGGACCAGTAGTAGTTGTAGGACCGGTTGTTGTAGACTCTGTTGGACCAGTAGTAGTTGTAGGACCGGTTGTTGTAGACTCTGTAGGACCAGTAGTAGTTGTAGGACCGATTGTTGTAGACTCTGTTGGACTTGTAGGACCGGTTGTTGTAGACTCTGTTGGACCAGTAGTAGTTGTAGGACCGGTTGTTGTAGACTCTGTAGGACCAGAAGTAGTTGTAGGACCGGTTGTAGACCGGTTGTAGACAGTAGTAGTTGTCTAGGACCGGTTGTTGTAGACTCTGTGGACCAGTAGTAGTTGTAGGACCGGTTGTTGTAGACTCTGTTGGACCAGTAGTAGTTGTAGGACCGGTTGTTGTAGACTCTGTTGGACCAGTAGTAGTTGTAGGACCGGTTGTTGTAGACTCTGTTGGACCAGAAGTAGTTGTAGGACCGGTTGTTGTAGACTCTGTTGGACCAGTAGTTGTAGGAGTTGTTGTAGACCAGTTGTAGTTGTAGGACCGGTTGTGTAGACTCTGTTGGACCAGTAGTAGTTGTAGGACCGGTTGTTGTAGACTCAGTAGTAGTTGTAGGACCGGTTGTGTAGGACCAGTAGTAGTTGTAGGACCGGTTGTTGTAGACTCTGTTGGACCAGTAGTAGTTGTAGGACCGGTTGTTGTAGACTCTGTTGGACCAGTAGTAGTTGTAGGACCGGTTGTTGTAGACTCTGTTGGACCAGTAGTAGTTGTAGGACCGGTTGTTGTAGACTCTGTTGGACCAGTAGTAGTTGTAGGACCGGTTGTTGTAGACTCTGTTGGTCCAGTAGTGGTTGTAGGACCGGTTGTTGTAGACTCTGTTGGACCAGTAGTAGTTGTAGGACCGGTAGTAGGTTGTTGTAGACTCTGTTGGACCAGTAGTAGTTGTAGGACCGGTTGTTGTAGACTCTGTTGGACCAGTAGTAGTTGTAGGACCGGTTGTTGTAGACTCTGTAGGACCAGTAGTAGTTGTAGGACCGGTTGTTGTAGACTCTGTTGGACCAGTAGTAGTTGTAGGACCGGTTGTTGTAGACTCTGTTGGACCAGTAGTAGTTGTAGGACCGGTTGTTGTAGACTCTGTTGGACCAGTAGTAGTTGTAGGACCGGTTGTTGTAGACTCTGTAGGACCAGTAGTAGTTGTAGGACCGGTTGTTGTAGACTCTGTTGGACCAGTAGTAGTTGTAGGACCGGTTGTTGTAGACTCTCTAGTAGTTAGGACCAGTAGTAGTTGTAGGACCGGTTGTTGTAGACTCTGTTGGACCAGTAGTAGTTGTAGGACCGGTTGTTGTAGACTCTGTTGGACCAGTAGTAGTTGTAGGACCGGTTGTTGTAGACTCTGTTGGACCAGTAGTAGTTGTAGGACCGGTTGTTGTAGACTCTGTAGGACCAGTAGTTGTTGTAGGACCGGTTGTTGTAGACTCTATAGGACCAGTAGTAGTTGTAGGACCGGTTGTTGTAGACTCTGTTGGACCAGTAGTAGTTGTAGGACCGGTTGTTGTAGACTCTGTTGGACCAGTAGTAGTTGTAGGACCGGTTGTTGTAGACTCTGTAGGACCAGAAGTAGTTGTAGGACCGGTTGTTGTAGACTCTGTTGGACCAGTAGTAGTTGTAGGACCGGTTGTTGTAGACTCTATAGGACCAGTAGTAGTTGTAGGACCGGTTGTTGTAGTTGGTCCAGTTGTAGTTGTAGGACCGGTTGTTGTAGTTAGTTGTGGTTGTGTAGGACTTGTTGTAGACTCTGTTGGACCAGTAGTAGTTGTAGGACCGGTTGTTGTAGACTCTGTTGGTCCAGTAGTAGTTGTAGGACCGGTTGTTGTAGACTCTGTAGGACCAGTAGTAGTTGTAGGACCGGTTGTTGTAGACTGTAGGACCGGTTGACTGTAGACTCTAGGACCAGTAGTAGTTGTAGACTCTGTTGGACCAGTTGTAGGACCGGTTGTTGTAGACTCTGTTGGACCAGTAGTAGTTGTAGGACCGGTTGTTGTAGACTCTGTTGGACCAGTAGTAGTTGTAGGACCGGTTGTTGTAGACTCTGTTGGACCAGAAGTAGTTGTAGGACCGGTTGTTGTAGACTCTGTTGGACCAGTAGTAGTTGTAGGACCGGTTGTTGTAGACTCTGTTGGACCAGTAGTAGTTGTAGGACCGGTTGTTGTAGACTCTGTTGGACCAGTAGTAGTTGTAGGACCGGTTGTTGTAGACTCTGTAGGACCAGTAGTAGTTGTAGGACCGGTTGTTGTAGACAGTAGTAGTTGTCTGACTCTTAGGACCAGTAGTAGTTGTAGGACCGGTTGTTGTAGACTCTGTTGGACCAGTAGTCAGACCAGTAGTAGTTGTAGGACCGGTTGTTGTAGTAGTTGTAGGACCGGTTGTTGTGTAGGACCAGTAGTAGTTGGTTGTAGGACCGGTTGTTGTAGACTCTGTTGGACCAGTTAGTAGTTGTAGGACCGGTTGTTGTAGACTCTGTTGGACCAGTAGTAGTTGTAGGACCGGTTGTTGTAGACTCTGTTGGACCAGTAGTAGTTGTAGGACCGGTTGTTGTAGACTCTGTTGGACCAGTAGTAGTTGTAGGACCGGTTGTTGTAGACTCTGTTGGACCAGTAGTAGTTGTAGGACCGGTTGTTGTAGACTCTGTTGGACCAGTAGGACCAGTAGTTGTAGGACCGGTTGTTGTAGACTCTGTTGGACCAGTAGTAGTTGTAGGACCGGTTGTTGTAGACTCTGTTGGACCAGTAGTAGTTGTAGGACCGGTTGTTGTAGACTCTGTAGGACCAGTAGTAGTTGTAGGACCGGTTGTTGTAGACTCTGTTGGACCAGTAGTAGTTGTAGGACCGGTTGTTGTAGACTCTGTTGGACCAGTAGTAGTTGTAGGACCGATTGTTGTAGACTCTGTTGGAACAATAGCAAGAACTTATAATTTATACAAGCTATTGTAACATTCCTAAGGTAGTTTATTGCTGAGGTAGTTTTTAACAAGAATCCGATAATTTATTTAAGCTATTGTAACATTCCCGGGGTAGTTTTAACAAGAATCCGATAATCTATTTCAGCTACCCGATGTATTGATGTTTTGATAATTTGATTGCGGTAGCGATCAGAGCAATCTTGGCAATTTACTTGAACTTGTTGTGAGATTTTGAGCACTCACCTCGAGTATTTGTTAATGGGATGATGGTTTTGGTTTCTTACCTGAATTAGTTGTTAGCGAGTATCTTTTGGTTTCTTACCTGAATTAGTTGTGGTAGTAGTAAGATCGGCTGTAGTTGTTGTTGGTACATCTGTTGTGGTAGTAGTGACACCGGCTGTAGTTGTTGTTGGTGCATCGGATGTCGTAGTAGTAGTGACACCAGCAATCGTCGTTGTTGGTACATTTGTAGTAGTAGCAGTAAGATCGGCCGTAGTTGTTGTTGGCGCATCTGTTGTGGTAGTAGTGACACCAGCGGTAGTTGTTGTTGGTACATTTGTTGTGGTAGTAGTAAGATCGGCTGTAGTTGTTGTTGGTACATCTGTTGTGGTAGTAGTGACACCAGCAGTAGTTGTTGTTGGTGCATTTGTTGTGGTAGTAGTAAGATCGGCTGTTGTTGTTTTTGGAGTATCGGTTGTCGTAGTAGTAGGAAGATTGGCTGTAGTTGTTGTTGGTGTATCAGTTGTGGTAGTAGTGAAACCGGCAGTCGTTGTTGTTGGTACATCTGTAGTAGTAGTAGTAGTAAGATCGGCTGTAGTTGTTGTTGATGGATCTGTTGTGGTAGTA